TTATACTTTGTGAGCCAACAGGCTTTTTGCTTTCCTTGTCAGGCCGGGGCGGGCGTCACTCACACGCTTAGCAATGGCAGCTTCGAACATGGGCACAACGTTCTCTCCTTCGACGCCGGCAATGTCGAATCCTTTAGTCCAGCGCTGAAGAATACCCTCATCGATGTGATATTGAGTGGCTGGGTAAGAGAAGGTGAAACCCAGAGGCAGCGCTTCGATTTTGGTCAGGTCACCGTGGTGAGTCTCGACGAACTGGTGAAGACAGTCTGCGATGTACTCCCATAGCTCCTCGCTGGATCCGGTCTTGAGCTCCTCTGGCATACGGTACTTGGACTGGATGATGTCGAATTCTGATTTGCGGTCTGTCAGGGTAATTTCACAGACACGCAGGTTGGTACCGCCCATATCGAGAGCCAAAAAGGAACCAGTCTCGTGGCCATCAGGGAAAGACATGACCCATGTTGGGTTCATTGGCTAAAGGCTGTTAGCAACTAACATACTTCCTTTCACTCGATCAACATGAATCATTTACGCACAATGCTGCCACCCTCAACGCTAAGGCCTTTTCGAGCCGAATATTAGCATACTTGATGCCCAAGATCAACATCACTACGACGCTACGCAGCAGTACATACCTTTAGCAAGCTCGCTCACGAAATGCTCAGTGATTTGCTTCAGCTTCTGGGTGTCGACAGTGAAAATCTCTTCCAACTTTCTCACTTCATCGAGAAGATCCTTAGGGATGTCCGCCTTGGAACCTGGCATATCGCTAGTCAGCATGTATGCTATGAGACTCTCCATGATATCTGGCAGCCCGGATGCCCAAGGAAACAAAGGGTATGAAGCGTGTAAATTCTGCCCTGATGAAAGAAATCCTAGAGATCTTGGACATTTGGGAAATATTCTCGCTATGGTGAATTTAAATCATGACGTTGGCCCTGCACGAGGTCTGAGCGTCTGTGCAACATCAAAATGACGTTCACGAGACGCCTGAAGCCGTTGCTTATGCTTATCTTGCAATTGCGCACAGCTTGTAGTGAAGACGGCTTAGCCATTGGAAGCTAAATATGTCTTACTCATGCCTTTTCTTTAGAGTACCCAATGATTTTGATAGCCCAAGGCCCAGTAGCTATATCGGCACCATGCAACCGGAGAAAAATCTCCTGTTCTTGGCGAGCATGGCATGACATCGGCCACAGTGGGCATCACGAAGGGACCCAAAAGCTGCGCCAGAGCTCCAGCCAGCATCAATGATGAAGCAGATTGAGAGAAGAATGGCAGAAGAAAGCGATGACAGCTCCAGATCTTCAGATCCCCAGATCTTGAACATTAAACGTACCCTTTCTAGAGGGAGGTGGACGGGGTCCAAGTCCGACCATTTTTACAGCTGGATCGCGGGGCCTGGCGGGGTAGTAAAAAGAGCTCCTTGGAGGATGGGCGGGTGGCAATGAAGCAACCGCTGCGAGGGGGTGAGGTCAAGTTAGGCGCGAGGCAGCAATGCAAGGACGAGAGCGTAAAAAAAAAAAAGAAGAAAAAGGAGATATGTATGTACTGTTGGTCGAGAGAATAGGAGCAAGAGCACCGAGTCTAGAAGCCGGGACACAGCAACAGAAGCAGATTTGGAGCTATAAAAAGTCCACAAAGGTTGGGCTAGTCGGGATCGAGGGGCCTGTTGGGCAACTCTTTCCGGCTCTGGTTGGCTGTTGCTCCCATTGCCTCCACGCCGTCTAGGCTTCCAAATAGCGATTATGGAGAGCAGCGTTTAGTGGCCTTCAACTGCCATCAAGTGCCAGCAGCGAGTAGATATGAGCGTTTTTAATTTTAATTTTTTCTGGTCATCAGCGAGCTGGATATGAGATTGCTAGCACTATCAAATGATTTTACAGTTTGCAATTACAATTGCATTCCTTTTTTTTTTTTTCTTGCTGTGTCTCGCTGAGTAATTCTCCTCAAAGCCAATATTAAGCTTTAATGGTGCAGATGGGAACCCTTTCAACACTGCCGGCAGATTCTGGTCGATCCCACGCAAAACACAAAGAAACCGGATGCACCGTTATCGTCATGTCTCCACACTCCGGAACAAGCTTTAGCAGGGCGGCAGGGCGGGCAACAAGACAAGGTCGAAGTACCTGCTGTTGCTGTGCTGTGCTTGTACTCCGAGCCCGGAAATTCATATCGCCGCGACGGCCCCCCAGCACGGCCTCTGGTTGGCTGGGCCCAAGCTCTCGCACCCCTGTAGCTTGTCGCTGTCGCTAATCGAATGGGCGACGTATGCTTTTTGGGGCTGCCCACTAAGAGCGAAGCTGCCACAGTCTCGCGATCGAGAGTCCGACTCCCATTGCGCAGGGCACGCACAATCAATGAGTGTCGCTTCCACTCCCCCGTCACCATGAAGTCGTTATCGTTCGTAGCGGCGCTTCTGGGCCTCCTGGCTGGTCCTTGCAGCGCCCTCTCTGTCGTCTGTCTGCCCGCCGAGTTCAAACCCCCACCCGTCTTTAAGAACACCAACTTGGTGCATGTCGTTTCGGTTGAGAAGAGCTTTGCAAGGGAACAAATCAACGTTTTGGTTGAGAACGTTTCCGGCGAGCCTCAAGATGAATACTTCCTGCCGTTTACCGCAGAGCAGATAGCTCGACTTGGTGGCATTGAAGCGAAAGATCGCAAAGATGACAAGGTTGGGCCCTTTGGAGTCGACCTGGTCGAGTATAGTTCTCAGAGGTAGGCTTGCTTTCTTGTACATCAATGGCTGCCGATGGGTGATCAATTATGCTTCATGTTACTAAATATTCATCTACAGCGACGTTCAATACTACCGCATCACACTGCCAGCACCCCTAAAAGCTGGCGCCCAGCAGACTCTTGCCATCTCTTGGTACTACCTAAAGCCATATCGTCCTCTCCCGGCCTCAATTGGGCAGGACGAACAGCAGTTCTTGATCTACGACTTTTCCCTCTACGCTGCTTCGGCATACCCGACCTTGAAGCAAAAGACCGAGGTCAAGCTGTCGACAGTCACCATCCCAGACTATACCAAATATACCAATAGCGAGGGCAAGGAGTTTCCTGAAAAGCACGGTAGCAAGCTGCTATATGGACCCTTCGATGAACAGCCCGCTGGCGCCGTCTATCCAGCCCAGATCAGATTCGAGTTTACCAAGCCTGTGATCCACGTGTCAGAGCTGGAGAGAGATATCGAGGTCAGCCACTGGGGCGGCAACGTGGCATTTGAGGAAAGATACACTCTGTATCACCGCGGTGCCAACCTTTCCACCCTGTTTAACCGCGTGAAATGGGCGCAATCTCAATACTACAACCCCGCCACCTCTGCGCTAAAGGAGCTCAAGTTCCCGCTTCAGATTGGCAGCGTTGATCCTTACTTCACTGATGCCATCGGAAACGTATCAACTTCTCGATTCAGGAGCAGCAAGCGTGAGGCCATGTTGGAGCTGAAGCCCCGCTACCCTGTTTTCGGCGGCTGGAAGTACCCCTTCACCATTGGCTGGAACACCAATGCTGCCAACGTCCTGCGCAACACTGCTAGTGGAGGCCATGTGCTCAAGGTTCCATTCATCGAGGGACCAAAGCAAGTTGAGGGCGTCGAGTACGGCGATGTCACCGTCCGCGTCCTCCTCCCTGAAGGATCTGAGTAAGCACTACCCTTTTTTTTTTCTTTTGCATATCCCTTTTTATGGAAACTATAATGCTTGGAATCGTAACTAACCAGGAACCAGGAACGTGAAATTCTACACCGATCTCCCCAATTCATCAATTGTTGAGACATCGGTTGGTATTCACAAGACCTACCTCGACACCACTGGCCGAACCGCCATTGTGATCAAGGCCAAGAACCTAGTAGATGACTTCCGATTCCGAGATCTGATCATCTCGTACGACACCCCATTGGCAGGTACCCTCCAAAAGCCTCTGGTGATATTTGGAAGCATGCTTGCTGTGTATGCCGCAGCATGGGCTGTTGGAAAGGTGGAGGTGGGATTCTCATCCAAATAAAAATGTACCAGATTAATCTATAGCTTTTTTTGGGTCGCCATGTTTGACGGATAAAAAACGAGAGCGATATTTCTAGAGGATGTGTCATTAAGTGGGCGTTTGAGAGTACGATTTCACCCTGGCAGATGATAGATGAGATTCGCTAGATCTCTGGCACACTAGATCTCAGCCCGCCAGCATTACCAGCGTAGTATGTAGAAATTCAATCAGACTTGTTTTTTTGTTATGTTTATGTCATCATTTAGCACCTGGCATCATAGCACGGCGAGAATCTGTACAATGATGTTGGGGATGGTCTGTGATGTCGTCCCCATTGGGTTCTGGAGAGCTGCCGCGATGACGACATTAGCGTCCTGTCATGATGGCACGAACTTGCAGCATCCATCCCAAGGGCGAGCCAAGGAAAAGCAGCCCCAGGAAAAGCCCAACCAAGTGCGTGCCTCGCATAATAGTGCTAATAGTGCTAGCAATGCATGCTAGATAAGCTCAACTTCATCATCAAAATGGCTCCAGCTCAACCTGCTCAAGCTGCTAGCTTCTTTTCTTCCAGCTCAGATTTGAATTCGGCAAAGGCGAGACTAACAGCAGTGAATTGGGTGAGGCTGTGCCACTTGGTTCGCGCCTTTCGGCTCTCACGCAGCTAGCCTCTCACTTTGCGTTGGAGCAGTGCCTTGCGTCGTCGCCGTGCGTGCAGATGGTGGAGTGGCGCAGGGCCAAGCAGCTCGAGCCGCCGACAGGGGTCAGAGATCAGAAACTTGGCCACGGGAACGAGTAAGAAGAGCCATACGAGACAAGAGGATGCGCTTGGCCGAAGCTACGGGCACTGATTGGTAGTGCATGTCAGTCATAGTCATAGGCACAGCTGGGTTTATTTAAGGAAACGCAGTGCTCGTCCGAAGAGGATTCATCCATTCGTCTTCTTCTTTCATAAATCAGCATTCTTCCACGAGCTTAGTTTTTCATCTTCAAGCCAGATAGACATTCTATAGAAAAGTCTCCCGTTTCGCCAATTCTACACAAGCAAAAAGCCGGTACTGCTTCCAAGCGATTGCGCAAAGCGACACAGCAGCCTAGTCGACATAACATCCATTCAATCTTCCTCTTACTTGACGCAAACAAAATGTGTTTCTCAGTGGAACCAAAGGCAAAATACTACTATCAGGAGGAGATCATTCCCGCCCGGCCGCACCGTGAGTCGTACCGCGACTCATACCGCGATTCATACCGCGATTCGGGCGTCGACTATTACCATCATCACCATCGCCATTCTTCTTCTCATCACTCGCCGCGAACGAGCCGCACGGCCGTTGACCGGTACAGCAGCAGCCCCCGGGTCAGCACATACAGCCCTCGCATCAGCTCCAGCAGCGTCAGGCGCAGCGTTGTTCCGGCGAGAGTCGTCTACAAGGAGACGACGCAGAGCCGCTACGTGTAAATCTATATTCATTCCGACTGCTTGTTGAAAAATAGAGGGGGAAGAAAAAAAATACGGCATCCGTGCAGAGTTTAAATCGGTGTTATCAAGGTTTAGCGACCTTCGGCTGAGGATGGGATATTATGGTACGATACGAGGTATTGGGAACTACTAAGGGTAGCGAGCGGCTAATGACGGGAACGAGGCAAGCCACGACTTCATGAGGCTCTGAATGCGATGACGGCGTTGGGAACATCAATCTACTTATTTGTTTTTTATCTATATTTTTTATGAGACGTCATGTATGTTTGCTTAGTCTAGATGGTCTAGATCGCCCTTTGAGGTGCCAACCCTTTAATGATCTGACTGCGCATCACTTCCGCTCCTGAGAGCACATGCATCGAGCCAGTGGCCACACCATTGAGCGAGATGCTGTCTACATCGTCATGATCCATCCCATGAAGAGCACCTCGTCAGCGACTGCGTATATCCAGACTTATTGGGCCCTTTTTCATCACTCTAAGTCAAAGCTGCTGTCTGTACCTGATGCCTATTTCTTGTAGTATTATAATGCGGAAATGACATCATAGGCTCATCCCATCTCAGGTTTAGGATATCGCAGCCCGCATCAAGCCTTCTCTTGTCTTCACCAGCTTCAATCCAAGTGCGCATTTTGCCGATATGCCTAATTTTATCTGTGCCTTTCAAGACGCATTTAGTAGCGGGATACACCGTGCTTTCGGCACCTTTTACAGACAAAGGTCTCGTGAATTGCAACAAGCAATCTTTTGCGACACAATGTTTATAGTTTCAAACATCCTTATGCGCCGGCCATGCTCCAGAATAAAATGGCCGGTAGGTTTCTTTGATTCAGTGCTTGACACGCTTTGTCTTTCATTCGTTTGTTTCTTGGTGCATTGAAATCGCGGTACTTCCCTCTCTTTGTGTCATTCTCAGTTCAAGCTTATCTCCTTGGCCATATCAGAAGACGCAACTTAAGTTGCTGAGCTTGCTCATATAAACAGTAGGATAATCCAAATTTCTGAGCCAGAAGGAGCCTTAGATCCAGTGCTCTTGCGAATCATACTGGGACGCCGCCTTCCAAGCCAAAATTAAAGAGTAGCCTGGAAAAATAAACACCATGTAAGTGATGCCGAATTCCTTCTTCTTCTCTTCTCATATTGCCATCCACACAGTACTCTTCTTTTTGGGTCCATTATTTTTCTATTCTCATCATATCATTTCATCATGTCTCAGGCTTCTTTTTTATCCCCCATTGCGTCGTCCCAACATGCCTTTCAATCATCTTTCGATGACACCGCTCCAGACCAACCATGGGATCGGGGATTTGATATCCAAGAGACGTGGCCTAACGCTGCTCCGATTAGGGATAAGAGTGCACTGCCTCGTTCCAATACAGACCCTCAATCGTCAAAGACGTGGAACTATACCTCATTCCTCAAACTATTAGCTCATATCCAGCCTGAGCTCTCGCGAAAGCAATATCGCATTATCAAGACTGATAAAGGCCTTATCGAGGCATACAAGTCTGCGGGTGAAGAACGTGTGGAAATCGGCAAGCAGATCTGCGAATGGGGCAAGGACACGAAAGATGATGCCATCGTCGATATATCTAGCAAGGTCGGCCTTCTCCTGCAAGAGATGGGCAAATTGTCAGAGCCTTATGTGACTGCACTAGAAGATGCGCGTGGTCATCTCAAGATCATTCGCAACATCGAGAAGATCGTTCAACCAATCCGCAACAGAAAGATGAGGGTGATGGACGAGATCCAGAAAGTCAAAACGAAAAAACCTCTTCACAGCATCAAACTGGCCGCGCTAGAGCAGGAGCTTGTTAGGGTAGAGGCCGAGAGTCTGGTTGCTGAGGCGCAGTTAACAAATATTGTAAGTGTCTGCGGTTTCTACTGGCTGACAGATGGGTTATGGTTTGCTAAAGATTGCTTTTGCAGACTCGCCAAAACTTCAGGGAAGCGTTTCAGATCGAGCTGGCTGCTGCTATTGAGCGCGCTGAGAAAGAAGTTATTTTAGCCAAGCACGGCTTTCGTCTCCTCGAGCTCCTTGACGCTAACACAGTCGCGCCAGGAGAGCGTTTCGTGCCCTACGAACATGGAGTTCAAGCTCACCAAGTGCTGAGTGACGCCGAAGCTAATCTCAAGGAGTATCAGCCGGATGATAGGTACAGAGCTCCAGGAAGAAGCGAAATATTAGAAGAGAATGCGGACGAAGTCGACCAGCAAGTAAATATCAGCGGTTGGGGGGTGGCTTGAGGCTCAATCATGCATTAAGCCTTTGGTGTGGCTTTAACATGTAAAGGGAGGCTTTCCGACATCATTCTGTTGGTGTCTACGCGAGGAGTCTTGCAAGAGGATTCGACAACCAGCTCGGGTTTATCTATATAGGTTGGGTGGTTTATTTTTTCTTTCTTTGGGCGCTCTAAGAAGCATATCTAGTTATGTCCAACTGATGCGATGGATTGGTTACTTTTTCACTTGCAGCAATGAACAATAGAGCTCAATTTATAGAGGCGTATTCAGCTGATAAGATGGAGCGATTCGGCGTCTCTTCATTGTAAGAGAAGGGAGTAGTATTGCATATTCGAGGATGAAGTTGTATGTTGCTGGAAAGGGTATGCAATGATATTTCACATCTACGTTTAAGGGATTGGGGGATTGAAGGATTGGTTGGCGTGTAATTGCGATCGAGCGTTCCTAAAGAGATTTACCCTGTACCGAGCAGAGATGGCGAATATGTTTGAGCTTTGCCGGCGATGATGTATCGTGACACACAAATTTGAGGGGGTCGGTACGTGGAATGAGCTATTTGCCTAACAGACCCGCAATAAAACTGCATGTGCCTTGGTAAAGCTCGAGCCCTCTGCGCCGTCTGGGCTTTACCGCCTCTCGCATGTAGATACAGTACAGGTTTCCATTGCCGCCCCGTATCTCCGGCAGCCGTTCAGCACACCGGCACTGAAAAGCCTGCTACGAACCTCGGTCAAAGGCCCGAAAGAACCGAAGTCGCCCCCTGTGAGATTGATATTCTAAGAGAATCTGGAAAGGACAGAAATAAACTCCTCTTACCAGTTGGTCCTCCCCCGGACTGGGGACATTCCTTCATCCTGCTGCCCGTCAAGAGAGCCCCCAACCCGGTCTTGAGACATTTGCCCATGTTGGTTCGACGTGCACTGCAGCTCAGGTGGCAGAGTCTGCGCGGCCAAATCTCCCTGCCCAATCAAAGCGGTGCATGCTGGACAGCAACTCGACAGTACACTTCCGCTGCTCCTGACGCAGCCTGCGCACAGCGCTCCGGTAGGCCTGCGGACGGCGTTACTACAGGCGCTGACAGTGCTATCCCTATCGCTGCCAAAATGGGTCAGCGTGCCCCGCCCCCTCCATCGGGTCAAAACTCCTCCGCCTCCTCGCAAGCTTCCCAACCCTTCCAGCGAACTGCTCAAATTGCTCGCCATTTGAACAGCAATTCCGACTTGCCATCATCACAATCCGCCAACATGTCTGGATACACCGTCCGCAAGGTTGCCGCCCAGAACACTCTGGAGCACCGCGTCTACATTGAGAAGGATGGCGTCCCCGTGTCTCCCTTCCACGACATTCCTCTCTTTGCCAACCAGGAGCAGACCATCCTGAACATGGTCGTCGAGATCCCTCGATGGACCAACGGCAAGCTTGAGGTGAGCTCATTACCACAGCAATTGATTGGATCTCGATCGCATTAGCTGCCATCTTGTCTTTCATCTGAGACACGAGCGCATCTGGCTTCGACCTTGTCCATCCCCCTTTTTGCTGCCCCTCGTTTCAGGCACCGCTCTTTTCGATGTACTGACTTTTGTGGCCTCTTCCCTCATAGATCTCCAAGGAGGAGCTCCTCAACCCCATCAAGCAGGATGTTAAGAAGGGCAAGCTTCGCTTCGTCCGCAACTGCTTCCCCCACAAGGGCTACCTCTGGAACTACGGTGCCTTCCCCCAGGTATGCGATGCCAAATTCACTCTATACCCAACTCCAGCTCTCTGGCCCAGGTGCCAAACTTGCTGGTATAAAGGAAGATGACAACTGACAACGCTGTACGCCTTAGACCTGGGAGGACCCCAACACCGTCCACCCCGAGACCAAGGCCAAGGGTGACAACGACCCTCTTGATGTCTGCGAGATCGGCGAGCTTGTTGGCTACCCCGGCCAGATCAAGCAGGTCAAGGTCCTCGGTGTCATGGCCCTTCTCGACGAGGAGGAGACTGACTGGAAGGTCATTGTCATTGACGTGAACGACCCTCTGGCTCCTAAGCTCAACGACGTCGAGGACGTTGAGCGCCACCTGCCTGGCCTCCTCCGTGCCACCAACGAGTGGTTCCGTATCTACAAGATCCCTGACGGCAAGCCTGAGAACCAGTTCGCCTTTACTGGCGAGTGCAAGAACAAGGCGTATGTGTCCTCTCTTATCGCTAGATATCTCACAAAGTGCTTTTAACTAACCAAATAACAGCTACGCCATGGACGTCATTCGCGAGTGTGCTGAGGCCTGGGAGCGCCTCATTACTGGCAAGACCCAGCCTGGCAGCGTCTCTACGTAAGTTTTAAATCCCCACGGCCCATAGGACAGTAAATGGTCAATCTGACTAACTCTTTTTCTTTTCTTCTCTAGCACCAACACGACCGTCGAGCACTCTCCCAGCCGCGTTGCTCCTCAGTCTCTGCCTCCTCTGCCTGCTCACGAGGACCTCCCCCCTGCGAAGATCGACGCCTCCATTGACAAATGGTTCTTCATCAGCGGTGCTTCTGCTTAGTATGCATGATTTAACTATGAACACTTGTTGCTGGCGTCACTTGTATCAAATGTTTAGTCTTTGATAGTGTATACCCTGCGGGCTTGAAATCTGAGCCCTGCAGCAAAAGTACTAAAGGAAAAAAAAGTTTCATGACAACATATCGTACAATATCTAGTGACATCCACATTGGCCTCATCTAAACTGTATCCCTGCCCCGCGTAACGCCGTCAATGCATAAAAATAGAGACATGTTTTGTAGTTTTATTCGGATAAATCTGCGGCCTTTTGCAATTGGCGCGAGTGACGGTCGACCTCCTCGACTAAACTCTTAATGTTGATTTTTGAGCAGTTGAAGTCCATTTCTTTGCCATCCTCTGCGCAAATCAGTTAGCGCATGCTCAATTACCCCATTGCTTCTCCTTCTCGATGAAAGCGTACTGAATTTGACTCGCAATGAGCTGCTCTCTGCAGAGTCTCTCGGGAGGAGAGCCGTATTGACGACGGTTCCATTCGCACGAACGTTTGGCGGGAGGAAGGTTAAGAACAGACGAGCAGGCTTGGCGCATGTCGAGAAGGGGTTGAATTTGGCCGTGACCTCGGTCATGAATTTGGTAATCATCTTTTCGGTTAGAGAAAGGGGAAGAAACTGCGGCGAAAAAGAGTTATAAGGCGAGAATCGAGCTTTTGTCGCTGCTGGTACGACTTGTCGATAGTGGGCTTTGGCGGGACGATGTCGAAATTTGGTGGAGACCCGGTATAAGCATATCGCTATACAAGGTACTTTACTGGCCACGCCGAGCCAATGATGATGATGACATGTTAGCTTTGAAAGTTGTCTAGGTAGCTATCAACTTTTCAAGATTCCTAATTTTTACACAACGAAGCAATATTTTTGGTTTTTTCTTACTGCGAGTTTTTAAGTAACAAAGATGTCTCTGGAGGGACTGCAGGAACGGCTAGCTGCCTTGCAGGAGACTACCGCGCAGCTGAGGGAACTGATCGATCGATTGGCAAACGTGGAATTTCAACCAGGATCAGTGCCTTTGAATATCGAAGAGGAAGGGAGTGTGAGCGGAGAGCTTAGCGCAGAAGCTGGCTTAATATTGAAGAACGGATTAGAAGATCAGCAGCTGCTATGTGAAGAGGCGAAATATCTGCGGCGAGGCGGACATGAGAAGGAGAGGCTTGAAGATGGGATCGAGAGGGTAGGAAAGGAATTGGCCAGGTAAGGAGACCCGAGACGGTTCTTATCCCAAGAGATATTAAGGCAATCTGGCACATGCTAAAACTATATTTATATAGCCATCGATCATCACTTCGAAAGGCACGCCTATCAGCGAAGAAGAGTTTAGCGCGGGCACAACGACTAGAAAGAGAGCTCATGGTACAGTCCTTCTCCGAGCCCATTTCGGAGACAGATACCTCCGTCGGCGGCAGTGCCGAACAATCACAAGTTATATCTCGACCCGTACGACCTAGCTACCATCAGAACCGCCAACTGCAGTCCAGTCTATCGGAAGAAGACCGACAAACGGTGGGAGCAAGCAGCAACGTCACAAATGCCCTGCGACGGACACACGCCCTCATTGCGTCGGAGCTGACAAAGAGCGAGTTTGCGCGGCAGACGCTGACGGAGTCGTCGGCTGCGTTAAAGAAGCTGGACGAGTCGTATACTTCGCTGGATGGCATGCTGGCCAGCTCAAGGGATCTGCTGGGCACGCTGCTCAAGTCTCAGAAGAGCGATACGTGGTATTTACAAACGGCGCTGTACATGCTGATGGTGACGGGCGCGTGGCTTGTGTTTAGGAGGATCTTGTATGGACCGTTGTGGTGGCTTGTATGGTTGCCGCTGCGGATTGTGTTTGGAGTCGGGTCAAAGGCTGGAAGCGCGGTGATGAGTAGTACCCGCGAGCCTGGGCAATCTGGAAAAGCTGGGGTGGTGATTGACGGGGAGATTAAGGTGGATGGATTGCCGGACGAGAGCTTGCCTACTGCAAAGGTGGGATGGGAGCCGAAAGTGGCGCAGGAGGAGAGGGATGGTAATGATGAGTCCATGGTTGACAAAGTTGGAAAGATTGTGGATGCAGTGAAGGAGGCTGATGAGTTGGGAGCGATACCTGGAGATGCTGAAGATGGTCTTGATGATTTGCAAGGAAGCGAATCTGCAGAGGTCGTTGTAGAGGATTCGCGGCCGAGAGATGAGCTATGAGATTATATCATGCATAACGCGAGAATTTATAATATGATATAAAAAAAAGAAGATTTAACATTCATAACTAAATCCTAACATTGTTAAAAGAAAGGATGGTTTCTACACCTTTTGAACTCCAATCTAAAATCCCAAGTACCAAGTTGACACCTCCCTTTCTCTAGTTTTTTCTTTCTCTTCTTTAATCCTACGTCGCCTTAGGACCTCTGAGGCGCAATCTGGGCAATGTCGCTGATCCAAGGTAGGCCGAGCTGATGCATCTCAACAGCCAGCTGGAAGAGGTAGTCCAGACTATTAATTCACGGAAACCAATATCAGCACTGTCCGTCTGTAGTGTATACATGCAAAGGAAGAAAAGAAAAGAAAAGAAAAGAAAAGAAAAGAAAAGAAAAGAAAAGAAAAGAAAAGAAAAGAAGCAACCACTCACCTCTCGCACTGAGTCTTTGCCTTGTGGACATTATCCCCCCACACATAGACACCATGCCGCCTCACCAGCACGGCATATGTATCCGGATACTGCTCCATGGCCGCCTCCAGATACTCGGTCAAGTCCTCCTCATGCGGCGTGTTCTCAATGACGGGGATCCTCAGCGTATCGTGGTACCCCAGGTTACCGGCCTTGCCGAACCCCTTGCCAAAGCCCTTGATCTGCTCAATGTTGTTGATCTCAAAGACGCGGCTGTTGCCCTTTGCCTCGAGCAGCAGCGTGACCAGCACGGCCCAGTGGGAGTGCGTGTGGATGCAGCAGCCGGCGCCGCGGCGGGTGAAGGCCGCGAGGAAGAGGGGCGTGCACTGCGAGGGCTTGTAGACGGGAGGGGAGCGCAGGTAGGTGCGCTGCTTGAGGGAGGGTTCCTGGTCTTTGAGGGAGAGGACGTAGATGTCGGCCGGTTTCATGAGTTCCTTCTGGACGCCCGAGGGGGCGAGGTAGACGAGATTGCTGTTTCGGGGGGGGGGGGGGGGGGGGAGTGTGTTAGTTTGGGTTTTTTTTTGTACAAAGCGTGAGACAGTATGTGTGAGTGTATAGTGTGGACGTCTTATACATGGTTATGTGAGTCTTATATGTCGTTTCTTCTCACTTGAGATGGCACGAAGCGAAGCTCATCCGCATCGTCATCGTCATGCTTGTCACCGGGCAAATGAATATGGGGGATAAAACCTCATCAAGGGGAAGGGCGAGGGGAGGGGGCATCTACCCATCTCTAATTGAACATCCTCCTCCCGTACCAGTAACCCATCCCAACGTCCAAAACTTGGCGCACAGCGAAGGGATGAGGTTGGCAGGGTGCTCAGGGTCCGTCGAGGTGATGAGCTGGTCCGGGTTGTCAACAACAGTAGTCTCAGCCATTGCGAAACGGGTGGTTTTTTTTTTTTTTTTTTTATGTCAAAAGAGAAATAGATATGCAGCGATTCGTAATGATAATAATTGCTTAAATGAATTATTTGTCTCTCTCTCTCGAAAAAAAAAAAAAATACAACAATTCGAGCCTCTCTTCTCTGTGCTGTCGTTATCGTGTTAGAGAGCTTGTTGCCCCTCTCAATTTAGTGCACCTTAATTTTTTTTTTCTCCCTTGCTTGCCCCTCCATGCGCGAAAATGACGAGCTTAGCTGTGATAGGTAGGCAGGGAAGCCAAAAAAAACGTGGGCTGCTTGCTGGGAGGCGCGCAAGGGCCACCTTTTCATAACAAAATGATCTCGATTGTTGCAAGTGAGATAAGATTAGATCGGCAATTCTATACTATGGGGCAGAGTCCGGAGCATGGTCTTTTCCCATCGAGAACAGCAGTCGAGATTGCCATGGTGAAGGCGCGTATAGCGACCTCGAAGTGTACTTTTGCATGTTGCATGCCCGCAGTGTCGCGTCTCGATTGAGAAACGGCGCTGCCATTGATTAGTGTGCTCGCTCCTCGTACCTCGTACCTGTTTTTCCTGCACTTTGGAGTCTCTCCTTGCGTCGTGGTTGGTCGGACGCTCGCCCTAGTTACTAAGCATCCGCCCTCGCTGACAACTGTTTCAGCACCTCATTTCAATCTTGTAAAGCAGCTTGTCTCATTGGCCCGAGTGAGAGAGGAATGGCGAATCAAAGGTTGGGATCGTCAGCGCGTTCGCCCGCGTTTACTGCTGCTAGATTGCACTTTATAATATGGATTCTGCGAGAGAGGAGGAGTAAAAAAGGGGACTCGCAAAACTACCTTTTTTCCTCACAACTCTGTGGTGCCTACTGTGCAATTGTCTCAGACCAATGTACGTATGTAGGGTTGAGCCGGTCCTGAAATTAACATTCAAGAGCCCGCATTACACGTATCGCTGCGGGAGTTGCAGTAGTATCTACCTAGTGCTGCAGCTCCAAGGGGTATGGGATTCTTCTTTGCCATCGTACTAGCTACCTCGCACCTCAAGAGCCACGGCCGAATGGATGGAGAGCCACTACTGGGTAGTTGGTGACCATCATCAAAGCATAATGAGCTGAGAGTGCCGAGCTACCAAAGCTGAAAGTACCGCTCGGGGCTCCATCGTAACCAAGCTCCATGGTCACAAGGCCAGGAGAAGCCGAGCCCAAGGCCAATGTTTCTGTGGAAATTGCGGTCCCTATCCTCAGGACACAGGCGGATGTCGCTGGGCCTGCCCGTGCATACGACTTTCAGCTGCACAAGGAGCAGACGTTCCTTTGACCAGGGGGCCGCAGTCAGCTTCACCAGCCGCAACTTGGTTAGATCCCCCTTCGGAATCTTGCCCCGTCTGGCACGGCCATGCACCGATCGCCAAATGGAGCCCTCGTATAAGAAGGAGCCAAAGCCTTTTTGCCTCCAAAGCACAGTGCGAAGACAAGAACCGGGACTGGGCCTGGCTTGTATCTTCAACAAAGGGAGCGCCGCAACCCCTGGTGGCTCGCAGGTCACAGGCTAGAGAGCCTAGCCTCACGGGCTAAGGGCCGTAGTATCAAGCATTGTGTGGTAAGCTGGCGATTGTTTGCTTTGCTATCGTGAATTGGCTTTCCGCTGCCCTTCTTTTTTGGGTTTACACCAGTGTAAGCCTCCCCCTTTCGTATCCATTGGCTATGCTGTGTTAGCGGATGTTCGTGACACGTTTCGAAATCTGAAGATGGAGAGAGCAAAAAATATATTTAAAAAGCCGGAGAGTGGCACAAACGGCAGCATGAAGTGGCCAATGCTGGTGTTGATGTTATTACTCACCAATGTCACCGTGTGACGAATTCCAGAGGACGATCAAATTCAAAATACGGCTTGGACTTTTGTCTTAGTCACTAGAATTAACCACCCAGCAAGTCTTTCGCTAGCATGGGCTGCCCTAGCGCCGCTTCATGCCCCTGCAGGCCTTAGCCGAATGGAACAAAACAGCCAATAATGCTTGTAAACACACGACTGTTGATGGTAATAATGTGGTAGTATGTGCTAGCAGTTCTAGTTGCAGCGGGGAGACAATCGGCGATGGGGGACGGATGAGTGGCCTATGAAGAAGCTTCAACTTTATGCTGGTGCCATTATCTTGACAAGGATCAACCGAAACGTAGCTTAAGAGAGGAAGAAAAGAAAAATTGGCATAGACAAAGAGGAGGCCTCGTTCCGTCACTGCGCCGCATGAACAAAACAGATTGGAACAAGGGAGCCAGGGTACGAGATACTTGCAGACCATCAAAGGTGGTCCGTCCCACAAGCCGCACACAGCCTCTATGGGACCCATGGCCGAGATGCCGACAGAAATCAATGACCGCATCGCACAGCGCAGGCCTCGGCGAAATGGGCCGTGATCTGGGAACTGGCTGGAGGACGGCAGAAGGGCAGAAGCCGCACCTGTCCTCGTCGTTGGGCAGAGTCAATGCATGCACAGCAGAGGAGATCGTCACGACTGGATACGAGCCAAAAACGCCTGTGTAGGCTGCGAACACGCAGCAACGTTGGATTGTCTTACGAGGCAAAGGGCAGCGGGAGTGCCACAAGACAACGTGAAGGAAAATCTCAGGCGCCACGGCATCAGAAAGAAGTTGGGGGTTGCAACGGGTTTGATTGCGGCTGCTGCATCGTGGCGCCACGCAATTAAAGACGCCGCCTTGGCTTTTGCGCCGCCGCCGCAGAGAACGGACGTCCATTCTATCTGCGCATGTCGTACTCGCAATTAGTATTGCAAAAGCAAAGAGTTGAGCCTCGAATGTTTACTTTGCCAACACAGATGGGCAACCATCGCCGTAGCATCGAGGGCAGCAAGCAAGCAATGCTTGGGCGGGGCCCCTTAAGACCAGCAGGTTTTTTGTCTCATGCCATGCACCCAAATTTTGGCCAGCTCAAGGCCTGGCGCTGCACTAGGAGATTTCCCGCCCGGTACATGACCCGTACTGTGCGCCGAAAATAACCACGGCGAGGCTTGCCGCCAGTGCGTTATTGGTCTCCTGGAGCTACGAACGCTCGTTACGCGCCTGGGGCCTTGGCTTTGGGACTTCCTGGCCGCGTCCTGACCTTTTCGTCGGGTGCTCGTACTATTAAAAGGGAGATTCCCTGCTCCTCGGCGTGCAACTGCTTTTTTTCTCCTCTCTTTTCCTCTCTTTTTTCTTCATCATCTCGATCGTCCTTCGACTCGTCCTTCGCTTCGGTCCATCGCCCACATTCGTTCGTGTGCTTGTTACTCCACGACCTCCAGTGTCAGCCCGTCTCTTTGTATACCCAACAAAAAGAAAAACCTTCACTACCGTCACCATGCGTTTCTCCGTCCTTCTCTCCGGCCTCTTCGCCGTCATGGCTGCTGCCGAGACCACCTCTGCCCCAGCTACTGCTGTCTCCATGAGCCCCGCTCAGGCCTCTCAGCTGGCTTGTTACAAGGCCTGCCCTGAGGGCGATGTCAACTGCCAGGCTCACTGCGTTGCTGTATGTTTTTATTTATCCTGCCTCTATGCTCTCACTTGAACTCTCTCGCTCTCTCACTTTGATGGCATGAGAAGAGCAAAGTGAATGGAATGGCCCATAGCCACCATGACGATACTCCTGATAAGATGACTTACACGTATATCCAACAGGTCCCCTCTCCCGACGGCGCCCAGGCCAACGCCACCACCCAATGTGTCGCCAAGTGCCCCCAGGGCAACGGCAGCGCTGCTGATACCAAGGCCTTTGGCGACTGCATCCAGAAGTGCATCAACAACCACTACTTTGTCACCTCCAAGGGCACTCCCGAGGCTACTGGCGCTGCTGGTGGCAACAACGCCGCCAACTCCAACACCGACTCCGCCGCTGCCCCTACCGGCACTGGCTCCTCTGAGTCTTCCGGCACTGAGTCTGGCGCTGCTCCCACTGGTTCTGCTACCAAGTCCAGCGGCAGCTCAAGCACCAAGACCGGCTCTGCTTCCACCACATCCACCACCAACGCTGCTCCCGCCATCATCGCCTCTGGCGGTGCCTTTGTTGGTGTCATCGCTGCCCTTATGGCTCTGTAATTTCTGAGATATCCCTTGACTTTTTTGTTGTCTTTTGCTATCTTTTTAATTTCAGTCTTGGATAATGTAAAGGGGTTTAATTTTCCTGGTTTTGAAGGACTTAATGACGATATTGTGTGTATTTAACCACAAAACGTAATATGGATTGGTTGGATAGGGATAATACCAAAAGAGCCTGTTTGGACAGCTTTACGTCTTGCGATTCCATTCATCTGTGATTCTACGAAACCTTGTGAGCCTGAGCCAATGGAGAGTTGATCTCACCCCATCTGTGAGATCCAACGTCTTGCGATTCCATACATCTGTAATTCTATTAAGCCTTATGAACTTATAACTTGAGCCCGTGATGGAGAGTTGATCTCATTCCATTTCTGAGATCGGCTAACCATCGTTAACACTTGGACCAGTGAGCGCATCGTGCAATCAATCATCTGATGTGGGGAGACTTTTCCACCACGCGCGACGTGAGTTGCGGACCCTGCGCAGATCGTATGAATACATGCAATCTACCAAGTACTACGAGGTAATACCTATCCACCTATATGGCAGGTAATTCAAGCTATTATGTCCTGTGATACTACTAATCCGAAGCCGTCACACATACACCGCATAAATTAGTAATTGCTCCATGTATGCAATTTGTCTTGCATATATCGACACGTGCTGTCGGATACAACGTGCAGACTTTGTTTGTTATACAAGATTACCCAGCTTCCTAGTAGGTAAAAGGTCATTGGCTACCTTAGTAGTACATGTATATACCAGATACTAAGTCAATAAATTGAACTCGGAGTGCTGATATATAAAGCAATGCTACGATGGTTTCCTCGATTTGGAACGAAATTGCAAACGCTGGAAAGATGGGCTATTTCAGTAGTTGAATAGCTGTTCCCGAAATATTCTCGGCACATCTGCGCGGGCTAGTGCCTTAGCGGTGCCTCTGTATACCACTCTCTGGTGCAACTCCGTAATAATAGCGGCAAACTTAGCGGCTTGTCACATTAATGGGGCACCTCTTGTGTGCATTAGAAATCGATCGATGTGCTAAAAATTTTAGGCTCTCCATAGCGTTGGGGAGAAGAAAAGTGCAGGGAAAACAAAGAGGTTGAAGGAGGAAGAAAAATTCGCCGTGATAGCATTCAAGAGCATGTTCCGTGCTGCATGTAATAAAGCAGAAGAGCTGATCTTTGTGTCGGCATCGTGAGCGCCTTAATCCGAGGCGGCCTCGTTTGCTCAGCGCCATATTGGACATGTGGCATCTTCTGTCCCGTCTACCTAGCCAGGTTCCTCCACCATTTCCCCTCCTCCGTCTCGCGGGTAATAAATTGATGCTACCAACCGCGTAATAGGATCAATTGATTGGGCTTGGGGATAGAAGCAGGGCATTTGTATAATGAATAAACAAGAGGACATCTATTTCTACACGTTTTATTGCTATTGATAGCTTTCGCTTGCCGGATTGCCTCAATTGGCGCTGACTGTCTACTTCCCCAAGGAATTCCAAAGGATTCCTAAAAAAAAAAAAAAAATATGTGGTGGATAGTACTTGCAGCATCCATCAGCAGGCCAGGCCCCACACGTGGGTTGCAGCGGCGCCAAAGGAGCTCATCCGGGACTTTATTCTCGTCTCCTGCAGCGCCTCTGATTGGAGAATTGGGCTGCTTCCGATGAGCACGGGTACGTACATTTTGCGATTTAACCCAGCCTGGCAGCTCGACCCCCGCATCAAGAACTAACCTGGCAGCTAAATTCTGGTGGTGGCCCTGGATAGCTTCTACGTGTCCTCAAGACCTGGCTGGCCTGTTCCCCAGCCTTCTTCAAGTGTCGCCGCGCGCATCTCAACTTTTTCCTCTTCTTTCTCCTTCCTTCAACCAAACTCTTGAGAAATCATCTTTCTCTTCGAGCGCTGGGACTGCTTTGTTGGCATCACTTCCTTCTCTTCTCCCCCGCACTCTCCAAGCACCATCGTTGCGCCCTGCGCTCTGATATACTTTTTGCAGTGATTTCAAGCCTGTCGACCAGGTTGCGCTTCTCACCATGAAGTTCAACACCGTCGCCGCCGCCGCGGCCTTGTTCGCTGGTGTCGCGTATGCCGAGGAAGTTGAAGAGTCCAAGGCTGTGCCGGAACTCCCCACCTTCACTGTAAGCTGCTTTTTCCTCTTCCTCTTCCTGTTGAATGTGGAGACAGAATGCTTTGTTTCCAGAAGCAGCCGCAGCCGCTGCTGCTTGGATGACCATCGTAGGGCCATACTGCGAGTTGCGTGCTAACTGACATGACTACCAGCCTACCACCATCAAGGCAGACTTCCTTGAGCAGTTCACCGATGACTGGGAGACACGGTGGAAGCCTTCCCACGCCAAGAAGGATACCTCCGCCTCCGACAAGGACAAGGAGGAGGAGGAATGGGCCTATGTTGGTGAATGGTCTGTCGAGGAGCCCTTCCAGTACAAGGGTATCGAGGGCGATAAGGGACTTGTCGTCAAGAACGCTGCCGCTCACCACGCCATCTCGGCCAAGTTCCCCAAGAAGATTGACAACAAGGGCAAGACCCTCGTTGTTCAGTATGAGGTCAAGCTCCAGAGTAAGTTGACGCCCGGGAATAGAATTCTAATATCTGCAAGACGAAGGCATCTAGACATATGCTGACCTGCGCGTGCGCTTTCTAGACGGATTGGACTGCGGTGGTGCTTACATGAAGCTTCTGCGGGACAACAAGGCTCTTCACCAGGATGAGTTCAGCAACACTACCCCGTACGTCATCATGTTCGGTCCGGACAAGTGTGGCCACAACAACCGGGTTCACTTCATCGTCAACCACAAGAACCCCAAGACGGGCGAGTACGAGGAGAAGCACCTCAACTCCGCTCCCTCGGTCAACATTGTCAAGACTACCGAGCTCTATACCCTCATTGTCCACCCCAACAACACCTTCTCCATCCGACAGAACGGTGTTGAGACCAAGGCTGGCAGCCTCCTTGAGGACCTCACCCCATCCATCAACCCTCCCGCGGAGATTGATGATCCCAAGGACTCCAAGCCCGAAGACTGGGTTGACGAGGCACGTATCGCTGACCCCGAGGCCGTGAAGCCCGAGGACTGGGATGAGGAGGCTCCTTTCGAGATCGTCGACGAGGAGGCTACCAAGCCTGAGGACTGGCTCGAGAACGAGCCCACTGTCATTCCCGACCCCGAGGCTGAGAAGCCCGAGGATTGGGATGATGAGGAGGATGGTGACTGGATCGCCCCCACCGTCCCCAACCCCAAGTGTGACGATGTCTCTGGATGCGGCCCCTGGACCAAGCCCATGATCAAGAACCCTGACTACAAGGGCAAGTGGTCTGCCCCCTTCATTGACAACCCCGCCTACAAGGGTGTCTGGGCTCCTCGCAAGATCAAGAACCCTGACTACTACGAGGACAAGACTCCCGCTAACTTTGAGCCCATGGGCGCTGTAAGTTGAAACCTTTGTTCAACTAATTCTATACCAGGGTGTTTGCTAATTGATTCTGTTCTTTGCAGATTGGTTTCGAGATCTGGACCATGACCAACAACATCCTCTTTGACAACATCTACATTGGCCACTCCGTTGAGGATGCCGAGAAGCTTGCCAACGAGACCTTCTTCGTCAAGCACCCCATTGAGAAGACTCTTGAGGAGGCTGACAAGCCCAAGGTTGACGACATCCCCAAGTCTCCTTCTGACCTCGTCTTCCTCGATGACCCCGTCCTCTATGTCAAGGAGAAGCTTGACCTGTTCCTTACCATTGCCCAGCGTGACCCCATTGAGGCCATCAAGTTCGTTCCTGAGATCGCTGGTGGTATTGCCGCCGTTTTCGTTTCTCTGATTGCCATTATCTCCGTTCTGGTCAACCTTGGCGGCTCTTCTGCCCCTGCCCCCAAGAAGGCTGCTGCCACCTCCAAGGACAAGGCCAAGGACCAGTCCGAGGCTGCCGCCACTGGTGCCGACAAGGCTAAGGGCGAGGTCACCAAGCGCACCACTCGCAGCCAATCGTAAAAATCTATTAAAAGGACGGCTGATTTTCTTTTGTTGAGTGAATGGGATCAAATAGCGAGCGAGATGTGAGATGAACCAAAACAACATATCCAATATACCAATATCTGGGACAGAACCCACAATAAGATTTGGAAGCATAGGCGACGGAAACATGAATAACTATTATAAGACAAACTTTGTTAAAAAAAAAAAAGGAATCTATTGCTATTATTTGCCCCCTCTTGATTTGAAAATACTACTACCCCAAGTGGTGCCTGTCAGATAAGATCCCAGGCTTTTTTTTTTTCTCTTTGTAACGGACGTATTATGGAGCACATCGGCAAGCAGTAAGCAGCGGGACAGATATGATTGTGCAGATAAATGTTACTTTGCAGGCAGGTAAGCACCGATTACAGCTTAGGGCACGGCCTTGAAGAAGGGCACCAATGCATGAGTCGAAGGAATCAGGCGCAAGCAACACGTGGCTGCTAGTTTTTTTCTTCTTGTTCGTATTGGTATCAAGGTTGGATTGATTGATTGTTTGGTGATTGTTGAAATCTCGTCGATGTTGATATCTAGAGACAGACCTACCCAGTACTACTTACTAATGGACTGCTACTAGTAGCTGCTCTATACAGTTACCAGGCCACATACGGAAACCTATCTAATAATCCAACTCCCTCCAAAAGGCGCCTGTGACCATCCTCGGTAGACTTGACTCTCTAGTGCAAGTCGAAAGAGACTGACGGTGTCAGTAGCTTGGCTGATGGCGTCAAGAGCAGAGCTCAATCTTCGTACTTTTCTCGGCAAAGGCCCCCCGTCATCGGAGCTTTTATAGCTGCAGCGTTGCCGAGCAGGATGACAATCGTAGCTGTCCACGGCCATGCAGGTGAGCACACAGTAATCCCGCGGCCATCAGACACCGTCAGCACGGCGCTTATGTAACAAGGGACCTGCCCGAATCAAACGGCGTCTGCCACGGCGCGCGGGCTGCCAATGGCTTCGGCATGAAGCGGCATCGGCTTAACACGCACCTCTAATACGGAGTCGAGAGCAGCAATTTGCGAGGAAATCCCACGCAGCAGATGCGGCGCCCTTCCCCACATGGGCCTTGCGGCTATCTGGGTCCTGGCGTTCCCCCCCATCTTAATTCGCCTCCCCTTCCCCACGCCCGGCCGTAGCCGTGTGTAATCGCTGGGTATAACGGGGAAGGCGGGTGAGGATAAATACTCTCTGGGGGGACGACGACGCAGAGGGACGGTTTCTGCTTTCTTTTGTGTGTGACCTTGATTGGATTGAGACGCATAAGAGAGACGAGACGCCGAGGTTCTAGCGAACGGGAAGACAGGAAGCAAGACACCAGCCCCGCGTGCCTTCCCATCTCGTCACTGCTCCAGCATCTGCTGCTAGTACTAATACCCATCATCGTCGCCCTCCCCTTCTTTCTTCTTTCTTCTCCTCCCCCACACTTCCTAATATGCGTCGCTTCATCGCGAGCAGCGCCTCTGCTTCTGCCCGCAGGCCCCTGACCGCCGCAGCCTCTCCTCGCTCAGCCATTGCTCTCACCAAGATGGCCTCCAACTCCAGAGCAGCCCAGGCCGCCACCGCTGCCCGGCGGATACACGCCACGGCCGCGCAGCTCAAGCCTATGGATGCCCTCGCCTCGACGGCCACCAGCTTCCCGACTACCCACGAGCCCATTGAGGAGATCCGCAACACTCCCTACTTCATCGACAACAAGTTCGTGCAGTCCTCCACGGACAAGTACTTCGATCTGGCCGACCCGGCCACCAACAACCTCGTCACGCGTGTGCCGCAGATGACCGAGGCCGAGATGAAGGCCGTCGTGGAGTCTTCGCAGAAGGCTTTCCTCGCCTGGAGGGACACCACCGTGCTGTTCCGCCAGCAGATCCTGTTCCGCTACGTGCAGCTGATCAAGGACAACTGGGACAGACTGGCCGCCAGCATCACGCTCGAGCAGGGCAAGACCTTTGCCGATGCCAAGGGTGATGTGCTGCGTGGTCTGCAGGTTGCCGAGGCTGCCGTTGGCGGACCGGAGCTGCTCAAGGGCGAGGTTCTGGAGGTTGCCAAGGACATGGAGACGAGAAGCTACCGTGAGCCATTGGGCGTCACTGCTGCCATCTGCCCTTTCAGTAAGTTGTTTCCATTGTACAAATTAGGGAAACCATGACGAACCTATTATATATATGCATATGAATGTGTGGCTAACAAGAGACTCTTTTAGACTTCCCTGCCATGATTCCTCTCTGGTCTATCCCCATTGCCACCATCACTGGTAACACCATCATCATCAAGCCCTCAGAGCGTGACCCTGGTGCTGCCATGATCCTCGTCGAGCTGGCCGAGAAGGCTGGATTCCCTCCCGGAGTTGTCAGCGTCATCCACGGCGCTCACGACACTGTCAACTTCATCCTTGACGAGCCCTCCATCAAGGCTGTCAGCTTTGTTGGTGGCAACAAGGCTGGTGAGTACATTTACTCGCGAGCTTCTGCCAACGGCAAGCGTGTCCAGGCCAATCTGGGAGCCAAGAACCACGCTGCTGTGCTCCCCGACTGCAACAAGAACCACTTCCTCAACGCCGTTACTGGTGCCGCCTTTGGCGCTGCTGGTCAGCGCTGCATGGCCCTGAGCACACTGGTCATGGTTGGCGAGACCAAGGAGTGGCTTCCAGAGTTGGCCGAGCGCGCAAAGGCCCTCAAGGTTGACGGTGGCTTCGAGGACGGTGCCGACCTGGGCCCCGTCATCTCTCCCCAGAGCAAGGAGCGCATCGAGAGCCTGATTGCCAGCGCCGAGAAGGAGGGCGCCAAGATCTTGCTCGATGGCCGTGGCTTCAAGCCTTCCAAGTACCCCAACGGCAACTTCATTGCCCCCACCATCATCACCGACGTCACCACCGACATGACATGCTACAAGCAGGAGATCTTTGGCCCCGTGCTCGTGTGCTTGAACGTTGACACCCTTGACGAGGCCATTGAGCTTATCAACAAGAATGAGTATGGTAACGGTGCTGCCATCTTCACCAAATCCGGTGCCACCGCCGAGACCTTCCGAAGGAAGATTGAGCCTGGCCAGATTGGTATCAACGTGCCCATCCCCGTGCCCCTGCCCATGTTCTCCTTCACCGGCAACAAGAAGTCCATTGCGGGAGGCGGTGCCAACACATTCTACGGCCGACCCGGCATCAACTTCTACACACAGCAGAAGACGGTGACAGCGCTGTGGCAGAGCGCAGATGCCGTTGCCAACAAGGCTTCGGTGAACATGCCCACGCTGCAGTAGAGGAGAGGATGGTTTAGGCTTGTTGTGATGGGATTGGTGTGGTAGGCGTTGTCTTGTATGTATGCATGCATGCGAATGGATGTGCGGAATAACGGATTAAAATCGGTTGCTGTGATGGAATAAAAGGGGGAAAACGGGGGGAAGAGAATCCATCAGCGGTTGTCTCAGCACATGCATGTACATTTTTTGAATGATAATGTAGTCACGACCAGATTCTGCTAGACGGCATGAAAATGTTTTTGTCGAGATGAAATAAATTTACGTTAAATCAAGTAACAAACCATGTGCCATTAATCTTTGTGGATATCCATCAGCTGTGAATGTGCCATATAATGTGGCGTTGGACTAGGTATACGCTGCCTAGTTCTAGTCCTTAGGCTGCTCACCTATTAAACGTGGAAACTTACGAATCCATCCACATGCATAAAATCAAAAGGGCGAGAAAGGAAGCATTTTTGCCATCGCGGAGAATACACTGATTTAGAAGGCAGCACATGCGAGCTGTAAACCGCATCCAGATATGGCACATGCCGCCTGCCTCAGCAACCGCTTACAGCATCCTCTCCTGCTATAAACAGCCTGCATCCAAACCCATGCTATAAACATCACCTCATCCCTTCTCATCATTCCCATCATATTTCTGTCAAATGCATCTCACATAAGCATCATACTGACACATATTAGAGAAGGAGGAGGACAATTATGGACGTCACGCTGGCAAACCTCCCTTTCCACATCTTCTGTGACATCGTCTGTCAACTCCCCCCCATACGAGTCGTCAACTGCCAACGCGTTTCTCGCATCATTCACGAAGCCCTCACGAGAGATGAGCTCTGCATCACCCTCATCTCGAGGCATTTCCCGCGCTCGCGAGAAGGCCGGCGACTCAGGCAGCTTCTCAGGGCCGAAGACCGCGAATCTCTCGACCGGGGGAACTGGGCTGCCGTGTTTGCGCGGCTGGCGAGGCGGTACTATTATCTGGGGCGGGCAATGCCCTGGCAGACTGTCAAAGTGCCTGTGCTCAAGGATGCAACGCTGCTTCGAGGCGTGGCGACTTGGAATCGGTTCTTGAGCTTGAACAACATAAATGCGATATTCGACTACGAGGACGCGGTATGGACGGTGGCCCCAACAGAGGGGCTGCTGGTGTATCCGGCGCCGGAGACGGACTCGTCCGAGCCGGGATACCGGGCCCGAGATCTGGCGACTGGGGTGGAGTTCAGGGTTCCGTTTAAGACGAAGGGCAGGATTGTGAGGCGGGTGCGGCTTAGCCATGGCATTCTTGCGATTGAATGGTGCCCAAAAGTTGGAAGTGTTCCCTTCGGCGGCACCGTACCGTTTCATCGCCACTATGCAATCCTGTACGACGTCCATCGGGCTGGATCTTGGGACGGCGTCATTCCTCAGCGGCCTGCTGCCGGCGTGGCTACACCGGGCTACTCCTGGAAGTTTGATCTTCGCTCTGAGTTTGAGATTCACCATATCGGTCTCCCGGTGAATAGCACAGATCGTTTCTTCTCAACGCACAACGCTACTCATTATGCTGTCTACGTATGGCAGACTACACGCTATCCCTCTTCTACTCCGTCCAACATCGTGGGGCCCATCGAACGGCTCACAATATGGGAGATTCGCACTGCTTCGCCATACAGGCCATCTCTAGATATATTAGGCATCGCGAGACGAGACCCGACTGTGGGACCTCGCGTCATTCGCAGAATGGCAAACTCCCAGCTTGCCGCATGGTCCGTCTTGCAAGGCGTAACACCGTCGCTACGCTCATTGGCCCTGGACGACTGTACCTGGAATGCCTCTAGGCGCTCTGCCTGCGGCCACGTCTTCTTCACAGAGGAGGAACACAAATGGTCTGATGGCCCGCATAGCAGTCTGGATCCACCGCGTTTCCATCTCGTCAAGACGACGGGGATACCGCTGATTGGCAATGGACCAAGGTGGGTGGATGAGTGCCGAGGCGGAAGCGATGCCAACATACAACCCTTCCGCAGAAGCAGATGGAGGAGACATGCAACTGAGACATACAAAGAGGAAGAGGACGACGACGATTATGACGACAATAGCAACGGAGACGGCGACAACAACGGCACTACTGCTGCGAATACCACCGCAGCACCCTCGTTTCTGAAAACGATACCCTGGGCCAGGCACTCAGAAACATGGCCCGGTCGAGCTCCTTGCTGGCGCCACGTCGACTTCCCCTACATCACCATGTCTGAAGTCTTGGACATGCCAGCCGGCATTCGCATCATTGCCCGAAACTGCTTCATGCTTGCCACCCTCTCCATCTTTCCGCGGCCCAAGATCCATATCGAGGGCGTCAATGAAGATGGCCCTATACCTCGAAAGAAGAAGGAAAAAAAGGACAAAAAAAGGAGAGTCAAAAGCAGGAGCGGTGGAGATGGCGGCTCGAGACCTTCTAGCTCCGGCTCAAACTCGTCATTTCTCCGAGAGAATCGCCAATTGGCCGCTCCGACGCAGAGCCAAGACGGGAACGAGGACCAGAAGGCGGTCCAGTTCGCAATCTCAATATGGCCTCAGATCATGTGCAAGGGATGCATCTATGGCGATGAGCGGTGGCTCATCGGGGAGGATGCTGGCGGAGATGTGACCATTCTCATGTTCTAAGTCGTTCGAGAGGAGGGGCACGCACTAATGATTAGACGAATTGGTGAAACAGTTATTAGGAAAAAACCCTCGTTGGAAAAAAAAAAATGATACAAGTCAGTTGTAATTGCAGCAACAGAAGTAGCAACTAGAGACCTTGTCCATAGGTAGGTATTAGATGGCGGAACGAAAAGAGCATCACGTTAAAACGAACGTCTCATGCTTCCTTGGTCACGTTCCCCCCAAAACCCACATTACCAAGCCGCATTTACCTTCTCAGTTCATCTGTGGCGTCACAAACTCGTATGTTAGGGGGGGCGCGGGAATTTTTGTCTTGTTCTGTTTTTAATCTAGGTGCCTTGAATTCCCCTGTTTTCTCCGTCGTTTCCATTTCATTAGGGTTCCATTCTACATGCTTCTCGCTGTATCTACACCGATTCCCGACTGTGTTTATAGTATATAAAAGACAAGTAGAGCAGTTTACAAAAAAATAACTATATTCCCGGCCTTGTTGTGGCCAAGGAAAAACAACAACAAACAACAACAAACAACAACAAACAACAACAAACAACAAGTGCCATGAGCAATCGATCAAATCAGTTGGGAGAGATGCCAAAACATCCCATCTGATAAAAACAGTGTGTTGCGTTTTAAAAAAGCAGTGAGAGTTCTTTCCGAGCTTCTTTTGATATTCCCTCCTCTTTGTTCATCCTTTTCCCATCTCATTCATGTACAAAAAAATTTCCGTTTCTCAAAGAGCAACAATTCTCTTAAAATGCAAACTCATTACTCTCTGCCTGGAGATTGCATATTGGGAGATCGCACACTAGGAGACCGTACACTAGGAGATCGCATAGCTGGAGCTTGCAAAAATCCGCCATAATAAGAATCCAACCATGCAGCTGCCTGCTCGCCAGCCTCATCGATGTTAGTGTCCCAACGGCCGACGGAGCCAACGTAGCCGTCGGGACGGACATTGACAATAGCGACCTCGCTGGGGCCGAGGCTTCCAAGCCACTTCTCCGTGCAGAAAGCGCCCCTTGTATCTAGCTCGGGGACGTTGTCTAGGTAGAACGTCCACCGGCTATCCTGCAAGAGGGCGGGGAGGTCTGAAATCTCAATTTCAGATTTGGGCATGGTGGCTAGACGCATCATCAAAGTCAGTAAAAGCTATGTCCTGGTTTATTATTGAAAGGAGGGAGGGGAAACCCACTGATCAAGGCAAAAGTAAACAAGTGGCTGACTACGGTATATCTCTCAGGTCGTGTATACACATCTTCAGGCGCCGGCGCTCTGGGCTGCTTCGCGTAAGATGCGCTTGCGGCAGCGGAAAGCTGGCTCACCAGAGACTTGGGCGTCGCAATGGAGCGGCATAATGTCTCCAAGAATGGCCTTGCCTGTATCACATCCCACATAAGGAGGTAGATACGGAACTGGCCAAGCATGGGGATATCAAGCTGGACATCCACCGGATTAGAGTCGATGTACCGCGACACCTTGGCTGGGGGCAGGAGGCATCCCGGGCGAGCAGCACCCAGTATGGCTGAGTTATCCTCTGGCCGGGTAATGTTGAGGGGGCTCTCGCTGTAATCGGCGCCGATGCCAGAGATGAATCGGACATTGGCTCTGAAATTCTCGGCCATTTTGACGGCATCTCCTTCAGCAATCCGATTGGCATGCTCGTAGTCGAAATTGACGAGATCTAGGGCGATCTTGCGGCGCTCCACCTCGTAACTCTCAAGCAGATAGGGCTTGGCAAGCCCACGGCACGCCAAGTTCAATTTCCATGAGAGGTTCCACGAGTCGTGCATGGAAGTATTCATGCCCTGTGCCGATTTGGGGGAGTGAGTGTGACTGGCATCTCCCGCAAGGAATACTCTGGTATTGGCGTCTGTGAAGCGGCTGGCCACGCGCTGGCCAACTTGGTATCGCCCAAACCACTCAATGTACTTCCAATCAATTTCAAAGGGCGCCATAATCTTGCGAGCCTGCTGCATAACGAACTTCTGGCCAAGCTCGCGGCGGTCGGCACGAGCGCTAGCCTTGAGTTCGATGTAGAAGCGAGTCATGTTGCGCTCCCGGGGAACAATGAGGATCGAGCCGTGCTCCTCAGAGTACACAAGAGTCTTGGACCAAATGTCGGGGAAGTTGGTGATGAGCTCGCCGTCCAAGACACCCCAAATATCTGGGTGTGACATACCCACGGCCTCTACATCTGGCATGTTCTTGCGGACCTTGGAGTGCGCTCCATCGCCTGTTTAGGGGGGTTTCAAGTTAGTTAGATTTCGCTATAATTTCAATTGATTTTGCTTACATCCGACGAGATAATTGGTCAAGATGGTCCTCTTATCCTGGTTGACATTGGTGTGGCATCGAACCTGAACGGGGCCAGATTTTGGAACGTAGTGGGATTCAAATGCTGTGTTCCGGCGCACTTCCTTTCCACGCTTCCTCAGGTCGTCGACGAATAGGCCCTCGACCATGCCCTGGTGGACGAGCAGGATATAGGGGTCCAGAACATCAATGACGGGAGGGTAATGCACCTCACGCCCCAAACGATGCAGAGGTGCGTCAGCTGTGCTGCGCCAAAAGGAGATGTCGAAGACTCTCACGCCGCGCTGCAGCAGCGGATCAGCCAATCGCATCTGGCGGAATGTCTCAATTGATTTGGGCTGTAAGCCATCCGCTCTGTTTCACCATTTTGATGTTAGAGCAAGATATAAAAAAAAAGGGGGAGAGGAATAGTGAAATAGGGCCAGTATAGACAGAAATAGGTGAAAGTGGAGAATACTTGAAAATGTCATCTCATAACAATTTCAAGTGAATTCATATGTAGACATAAATATGGCATGAGTAAAAGGGGGGGGGGGGGGGGGGTAAAAGGATCAAGACAAAATATCGTGCATTGAGACATACCTGCCAACAGGCGTTTGATCCGCCCTGTCGTCTACAACTTCAACATCGATGCCGTAGCGGGCGAGATTGGCCGCCAGCATCAAGCCCGCAGGGCCAGCGCCAATTACGCATACCTGGCATGTGGTGGGCGGCTCTGGAAGGCTCCGGAGCAGAGCAAGAGGATCAGTGGCGTCTTCATCGTCGGCGACGTTTTCATAGTTTGATGGGCCTGGATCGGGTTCCTCGTCCATGTGGTTGGGACTCTGGTTCCGCGAGTTTGACGAAGGACTCAGGACGCCCGGCGCCATGTTGACGGCAGACGACGAAGCGTCGGAAGATATGTTGGCCAGCGCGAAAGAAGCTCTCTGCACCCCGTAGCAGTCGCTCAGCCGTGTTGCTTATCGGCTGGTAGAATGCAGCAGACGGCCGGAAAGACGAGCTCGCTCCACAGTCAGGGAGCCTGGTAGTTTTTCAACGGCCAGTCAGCCGCAGGCTCGCCCAATGACGCCTTGCCTGGTCCAAACCAGACGCTCAGCGCAGAGCACGCCGTGCCCGACGACAGCGGAAGCGATGGATAGGCCGTTTGCCTCAGCGGCTTGGATGTGTAGCGAACCGTCTCCACCACACCTCGTATGCTGCAGCACAACCGCAACTGCAACTGCAACGCAATGCAATGCACTTTTAGGATCCTCGCGGCGTCGAGTCTGCTCGATGCCGTTTGACGGGATACTGTGACAATATACGGCACAGGCTCTGTTGGGCCTGCGTTCAGTTCTTTGGCTGCTCAGCTTTTGCCCCCCTGGCTGCTGAGACGAATTGGATGGATACCGGGGTCTGGCTCGGGGTTCTAGGGCCAGAGGCTCAGGATGATGCGACAATGCACAGAAAAGCAGTCAGATAGAAAAGAAGATAAGAAAATCAGCCACAGGAAAAAGTAAGATAGAGTGTCGTTGGAGAGACAAAAGCAGTCACCCGGGAGCCGCCCCAGTTCTGTGGTGGCAGCGCAAGGCAGTCGATGTCAAAGGCGTGTCACGCGGCGTCGTGGCAGACGCATACAGCACTCGGCAGCTCTGAGCCCATTTCCCGCGAGGAGAAGAAAAAAAGCTTCGTCCCCTTGGTTTTCTATTCCCTCCAGGCTCTGGCAGCGTCCGCTACTAATACTACTAGGCCGGAGGCATCAGAAGGTCCCCAGGGCGGCCTTTGGGGGGGGGAAATTGGTAATAAATAACGGCTGGAGTACTCGCGACTCGTGCAGGCTGAGGCTCAGGCGCTGTGCTCGGCCCAGAAGGGCGACGGCAGCAGCACCTGTTGGTGGCAGGCACGCGTACCGGCTACTTCGCACCTAGAGCATGATGATGCCTGTAAGGGTTTGGCTGCCACAGTGGCCGGGTCCAGCAGTCGGGGAGGCTGACGGAAGGAGCGACACAGCAGCGCAGGGCCCCGGTAAAGCCCGACGCACGCATGGCAAAAGTGGCATGACAGACGGACGTGCTGGACTGGTGTTGAGGGCAAGATCAGCCCATTTTGCGCTGCAGAAAGTTGTCATTGGCGTAGCACCATGCCCAGGCGCTTGCTTACCGATAGCCTAGCCTCAGTTTGCGCGCCGCTGATTGGCTGCGGCTCCTGCCTCGGAGAGGGCAAGTGGTGCCATTTCGCAACTGGCCGCGCTTGCTCCAGAACACTGCGGTTCCACTTTGCTCCATCCATCCAACGGAAAGGGCAGCGCGAGAAAAAAAGGATGTTCGGATCTGTTTGAGATTCCAGAGACGTGTGGAAAGCCCCGTGCTCGCCCCAAACTTTCCGACGCTCTCGAACATGGCCTATGGATTATTACCTTTAGTGCTTAACGTCTCAAGGCAAGCATCTGCCTTAGTACTTCCACCTTTGCAACATGTGCTGGGGCTTTCCATTCCAGCAGTGTTCCGGCAGCCCTTCTAATAAACCTAGTGCACCTACTTGTAGTGCAGTGCCGCCAGCATCTTATTGGGTTTGTCCTGTTTCGGATGGTTCTTCCCTTCTTTCCCCAAGGGTCTCCCTAGGGGTCCCAGCTCCTCTTTGCTCGATCTCCGCCGAGTCAACAGGCTCCGTTTTTTTTTTAGAAGCAGGAATTGATGAGAAGTGAAAAGTGGCATGAGCCAAGGGCACAAAAGTACGGGGTACTACTACCAAGTTTTCGTGCAGGACCGTTTGGCTTAGTCAACCCGCCGCGTCGTATGTAGCTCTCTTTAGCTTTTTTAATGCTGCCTACCTGCCGACATGGGCCCCAGTACAGGCTTAGCAAAAGAGGAAAAAATAGATTAGAAAAAGATAAACGACAAGATAAAACGACAAAACCCTGGAAAGGAAAAACCGCCAACGCCACAACCGCAAATATACTTCCCCGATCAATGGACTACTCCGAGCTGGCACTAGATAGTACCTGCAAAACGAGGCTTGTCGAAGCGGCCATGCCCACTCGCCTCGTGGCCCATATAGCACATGCACCTCTGATGCTGGCACCCGTAGCATCCCGCATCGCCATCTCGTCTTATCGTGCGAAACTACCTAGTTGGTACTCGTATAGCACCAAGCATTGGACGCGCCATGGTGATCTGCCGGCCAGGATGAAATGGCCTGGCTCGACTCTGACTCGCTGCCGCGTCCAAACCCGGCATGTCTCCCTGCCATGTCCAAGAGGTATGGGACTTGTCGGTAGTGCTTTGGTAGCCGGCGCAAATAGCACTGACATCAGTAGCGGCTCGGGATCAGTTCACAACAACGCATAAAGACCCAGAGATGGAATCATGTTAGTGAGATTGTCCAGACAGCGCAGTTAACATCATCGTGATTGGACTTGAAATTCAGCCGATGCTGGAAAGCGGAGGTGCTGTTGGCCCAGCTTCAATCTTAGCACAGAGCTCCCTACACCCTCGTATAATATATACCGTCTGCCAATTATCCTCGAGGCTAGTTGCTCAAGGCGCAGATCCCTCCCCGTTCGCTGCCGTCAACATCGTCTGATCAGAGCAACTTCAAGTCGTCAGCTCAGGCCACGGCGCAGGCTACTGCTCCATGGGGGAGATATATGGTTACGTGTCACGGCCCGAAAGTCCTGGCAACACACACAGGTTTGCGGAGGTTTGCATGTCTCCGCCACGAGGCCAGCACTAACATATGTCACTTCTAATATTAACCATGAATAGTAATACTACTGCTACCCAGTCCTCTGCAGACTTGTATTACAAAGTAGTAATGCTAAAGCCCGCTAGCCGTTCATCTCTGGCCATTGTGGAACGAGTTTCAGGTGTTGGAAACCTAGTTCTCCAGCCCTCTCCAATCAGCCCTGGCCGAGGAGGCCTGATTCGCTCAGTTAGACTGTCAACAACATCAAGTTTCGGCCATGCTTGTGACAACCAGCTTCCCCATTCAGGTCCCGGTGTCGGGGCTAACTGCTGCCGTTGGACGCAACAGGAGCAGCAACTGCAGCTGGATCCTCAATGACCTGCCGCCCGTTATAGTTCAGCATACCAGTCTGGGCCTTGCTTCGGACCCGAAACGATTGCCAGTCCGGCTGGGATCTCAAGGAGGGGAGTAGCCCTCCAGTTTCTGGCTGAATGACCTGACCGCTCCGACCGGTCAGGATCTGCTTGACTACTGCCTCGGCAATAGATTCAGGCGCTTGTGCGGGCATTAAGAAAGGTGCCCCCTGATCGAAGCCGGTAAAGAGCTCCGTGGTGGTAGCTCCAGGATGGACTATTACGGTGCGGACTCTGGGAGCGTTGTATCGAGTCTTCAACTCAGCTGAAAGACCCTCATGGAATGCCATGGCTGCTGCCTTGGTTGCGGCGTAATCTACCATGTTGGGGACTGTAATCCATGAGGCAAAAGATGCCACCGTCACTACCATGCCGTGATTCTGGGACACGATATGCGGTAAGAAAGCCTGGGCAACCCAGTAATGGGCTAAGGCATTGACGTCAAACGTGAATCTTACATCCGCTGGCGTGGCATCTAGAATAGTCTTGCCGCGGACGACACCGGCGTTGTTGATGATGACGCTGGGGTGGCCGACTTGACTTGTTACCTTTTCAGCAACAGCAGCCAGGTTCTCTGGCGACCTAATGTCGCAATAGAAATGGTGGACTCTCGAAGCTGCAGCAGCACACCGTCAGCTCTGCAATGCAATGCAGCTGAGCAAAGCAGCTCGGCCCGGTTGTGACAGGCGATTAAGACTTACAGGCTGCATATGTCATCTTCTGAACATCCAGCACCACGACTGTGACTTTCATCTCATCCAAGAGTTTCACTATGCAGGCGCCGATGCCCGCCGAGCCGCCTGTGATGAGCACAATCTCCTTTGACCAGTCATACTTGTCGTCGACCCAATTGTTTCGGACTTTGTCTGAGAGCCAACGGCCGACTCCACGCGCCACCGCGAGGTAGAAGAGCTTCCTCAGCCATCGTGCCGCTTTGGGGTGTAGAATCGAGAGGTCCTGACCCTTTTTGGTAAAACGAGCGAGAAGAACCAAGGGCAGCAGGAGGTTCGGGTTAAGAACAGTTCTGCGGACGAGCTTTAGAACCACGTCGGCACAAAAACCTTCACGAGGGAGCATGCCCTTGTGCATCGGCATGGTGATGGTACTAGTATAGGGGTGATGGGAATATAAAGCTGCTTAAAAAGTGAATGGCAATACCAATTTGACCTGTTGATACGATGGCAGCGTGCAGTGGTATGAAGGCTTAGTCAACGGCTGATGATGGTCTTTATCGGCGACTTTGGTAAGAATCTGGCGAATCTGGCGTAGTCGGTAATTGCACAACGGTGGTTGGTCAAGACGCGTCGCATATACCGTAAACACCCAACAACAGCCTGCGGCACGAGAAATACAAAAACATGCAGTAAAGCCACGAGAAATACAGGGTGTTGCGATTCAAGATAAAACCGTCGCTTTGGCCTAGAATAGCTGCTGAAGGCCAATCTTATAATGGCGATCAGCACGGCAGAACCAAAGCATCCCGGTCATGAATTGCGCCCATGTGCGTCTCGTAGGCTACAGTTGCCGAGGCTTCTGTTTCATCGCAATGCGGGGAGCATCCTGCGACTGCAGATTATGGCAAACACTGCGATGCTGGAAGCAAAAGGGCTCCAAGCGCTATACTATATACTATAAGAGTGTGTGTTCATCAGTCAGAGAACCGAGCATGCTCTATGCTCCATTCAGTGTCTTCCCCGCATGGTAAATTAAGAGCTCGATCGGATGTGCGGGTAAAAGTAAAAGAGAAGCAGAGATGTCGTAGCGCCATCGCAGCCACTACTAAATGGTGGGGATTGTGTGGGAGAACCTGGAGATGGAGTGTGGTTGGCCGAATTTCCAATGCTGCTCTGCCGAGAGCTGTGCCGCGCAATATAGGCTTGGTTGCAAGTATGTGTAATAGCGCATTGGCCGACGGAGCACCAATTCCACTAACAGCGCCTTTCGTGTTGTAAAATTTCCTAATGCGTCTTGCCGATAGGAGACACGCCGCTCGAAGACCCAGTTTGCCCAGAGACTCAGCAAAACCGCTGCGAAACAGCTGAACAATTGGACACGGCAGAGACACCATTTGCGGATTCATTGATAATTAGTTTGGTATTAGTCGGCATGACTCCTTCGGAGGCCGGCGGGCCACGATATGGTGCTCCGGGCAACGGGCCCTATACAGCAGCTTAAATGAAGCGCAATCGCCAACTTTGTGGTTTAAACTTGAATATAAACTCTGCTGCTACTGCATACCATCTTGCATAGAGCGACAAGCCAATCGAGATACCTATTACAATTAACGCACGTCAACAGCTGGGCATCTTTCTCGTCTCCAGAGACTACTGGCCAGAGTCGTTAAAGAGTGGGGGAGGAAACCATCAACTAGGTGGGGGAAACTCTCTCTGAGTGGCTTTGCAATTGAAGGAACAATAAAAAACCAGCCCTGGTCCTTCAAAGTCATTGGTCACCATGAACACTTCACGGCTCTCCGCCCTGCTACGGCAAACTGGATCAGCCCAGTCTCGGCTGCTGTCCTGCTCTTCACTTCCTCGCCATGCCGTGCAGCGACGAGGCTTGAGCGCTGCGGCGGGCTCAAATGCCATCCGGGACCTTCTTCAGGTATCCAGCGAAGTGTCTGATGCCATTGCGCAGAACAAGCCCGTTGTTGCCTTGGAGTCAACCATTTATACCCATGGGGCTTTGGGCAAGGACCTTGCGCGGGAGCATGAGGACTTGGTGCGAAGCACTGGCGGCATCCCGGCCATTATTGCTATTGTGGACGGCGTGCCGAAAGTTGGTGTCACGACTGATGAGATTATTCGGATGATTGAGGAAGAGGGCACAGTCAAGGCTTCGCGAAGAGATATTTCCTACTTGGTGGGCATGGTAAGTTCTGCTTTCTTCTGGTAAAAAAAAAAGAAATAAAAAGTCAACTTGTCTAACTGATTTTCTATAGGGCCTTGCTGGACGCAAGATTCACGGCGGCACAACTATCGCCGGTACTATGCTTCTGGCCAGATTGGCCGGCATCAGAGTCTTTGGAACCGGTGGCCTTGGAGGTGTTCACCGCGGAGGCGAGAACTCCATGGACATTTCAGCCGACCTCACTGAGCTGGGGAGGACGCGAGTTGCTGTCATCAGCAGTGGCTGCAAGGGATTCCTTGACATCCCCCGCACACTCGAGTATCTCGAGACTCAGGGCTGCTTGGTATCGACCTTTGCAGATGGGCGGAGTGGCAAGGTTGACTTCCCGGCCTTTTGGGCGAGAGACAGCGGCATCAAGAGCCCGTCAGTCACATACACTGAAAGGGAGGCTGCGGCCATGATCCTGGCCCAGGAGAAGCTCAACATCGAGTCAGGCATGCTCTTTGCCAACCCCATTCCCGAGGAGTTTGCTGTTCCCGCAAAGGAAATGCAGGCTCACATCGAGCAGGCTGTCGCCGAGGCAGACCAGAAGGGCTTCACCGGCAGTGCCAACACCCCGTATGTCTTGCAAAGACTCAAGGAGCTCACTGGCGAGAAGGCAGTGATTGCCAACAAGGCGCTGGTGCGATCCAACATTGTGAGGGCGACCAACATCGCAGTGGAGTTGTCACGCTTGCTGAGCCAGGGAACGAGCTCGTAAGTCATTTTATTTTGGGGCCTAGTTGTATTTGTATTTTGTATTACGAAAGATGGCTCTAATCGGTTAGATAGAACTTCATCAGATCATAGTGTGGCGTTTTCATCATCATCAAAAGTCGAAAATAAACCATCATCTACATTAAAAGCAAATCCCAAAGCTGACATACTCGTTGCTGGATCGGTCGCTGTGGACCTCAGCTGTGACTACACCAGCCTCAACGGCGGCGATGGCCAGCCGAAAGCTCATACCTCTAACCCGGCTAGCATAAGCCAGTCAATCGGCGGTGTAGGCCATAACGTTGCTCTGGCCGCTCATCGAGCAAGCCGCCAAGCTCACGTCAAGTTCAGCAGCATGGTTGGCGATGACATGTAGGCGAGCCCTTTCATGTTGATGTTGAACAAGATCTAATATCGTGGCTGACATACACATAGTGCAGGCGATACGGTCCTCTCGGCTTTGGAAGCTTCCGGGCTTGATCCCACATACGTGAAGAAACTTGACAGGACAGAGCACCCTGGAAGCCGAACCGCTCAGTACGTTGCTATAAACGACTCCAGTAAGAACCTCGTCATGGCTATGGCAGATATGGGTATCTTCACGCAGCATCTTTTCCCAGAGGACTGGGAATCAACCATCAAAGCGACAGATCCCAAGTGGCTTGTCGTGGATGGAAATTGGAGCCCCAAAGGCATCAGGACCTGGGTCCACACGGCTAATGAGCACGGAAGCAAAGTGGCCTTTGAGCCTGTATCGGTGGAAAAGTCCAAGAGCCTCTTCGGCCCACAGCGCGGAGTGCCGCCGCTGGGCGTTTTCCCCAACCAGAGCGTTGACCTCTCCTCACCCAATATCTACGAGCTTTCAGCCATGTACTCTGCAGCCAAGGATAACGGCTATCTGGACAGCGCTGAGTGGTTCGAGGTCATCGATTCGTTCGGCATGGTCGGCGCCAGAGACAAGTTTGTTCGTCTGACGTCGATGGAGCTGACTGACGCCGGGGTGCCAGTGCAGTCTATCCAGCTACTTCCTTATATACCAACCTTGATTACAAAACTCGGATCCAAGGGCGTTCTCTTGACAACCATCCTTGGGAAAGACGACCCTCGCCTCCGTGACCGTGAGTCCGAAGAATACATCCTGACGAGATCATTCAATGGAAACCCGGCAATTGGTGGCGTCTACATGCGGTTATTCCCACCGGTTGAAAAGGTAGAGCACGTTATTTCTGTAAATGGCGTGGGTGATACATTTTTAGGCGTCATGATTTCGGGACTGGCTCAAGGAGGAAGGGTGGACAAGCTGGTTGATGTGGCTCAGCGAGGTGCGGTTTACTCGCTCAAGTGCGCAGAATCTGTGAGCAAGGAGATTTCAAAACTAGAGGGCGAGTTGGAAAAAGTTGCATTGTTGAAATAAGCGAATTTTGTTTTTGAAGCATCGTAATAGTAATACTATTCTAAATAGAGCAAGCGGTGTTCAGTGAAATATTAAAGGAATTGTTAAGGCGTCGTCGAGTGGTACATGTAGTAGGTACTTCAAAATTTCAGCCTTGCCTAATAAAAGCTGCGAGTCGCCCCACAACCCCACTTAGGCAAGCTTCTGTTCTGCAAGGCTGAACTCCAGACCCAAAAAATTATTCAAAAAAAAAGTTCCCAAAATTTGCAGAGCAAACTAACAACCGCTACTCAGCACAGTCGCATTGCGGAACAAACCAGCAAAAGATGGCTCCGCCGCAGGACGAACCTTTCTCAGAGGACGAGCAGTCCGAGAGTCCATTTTCATCAGACATTGACTCCGATGATGCCTCAACAACAAATAAGAAGCCGGTGATTGCAGTGCAGGACAAGGACTCTGACGAAGAAGACCTGGAACGATTGGTTTTCGGCAGCAAAGTTAGCTTTGGAGAAAGCCTTTTCAAGAACAATGCGTTATTCGGAGCTTCAGACGAGAAGGAGGGCAACGAATTGGAAATGGCCGATGACGAGGCCGCTGGGTTGGAAGATGTCGACGATATGGACCTGTTCATGATCGACACTGCTCCGAGCGGCGCGGCGCCTCAAGTTTCAGCTACTGCGCCGGCGAAGAAGAAGGGCGAAGGCGAACCGGCAGCCTGGGAGGACAGCGATGACGACCGGCTGGGAATCTCGCTCGCGAATCACACACGACTGCGAAAATTGCGACTGACCGAGGCCGAAGACGTTGTGAGCGGTACAGAGTATAGCAGAAGACTCCGACAGCGCTACCTCCAACTCCATCCCGTGCCTGCGTGGGCTAAGGAAGTAGACGGTCGTCCTACGAAGAGGAGACGGCGTTCATCTGCATCCTCCGGCTCATCGGACGAGAGCGGCAACGAGTCCGACGGCGAAGTGTCTGCCCAGCCATTGGAAGAGTTCCTGCGAGATGTCAGAAGCCTATCTGGTGCGGGCGGCCCCGCGAAGCGACGCCTCAGCCCAGAAATCATCGGCATCCAGCGAACACGCGAAATTTCAGACAAGCACCTTGCGCCTGTGGAATGCCTGTCCTTCCACCCCGAGTACCCGGTCTTGCTCTCAGCCAGCACCGCCTCGGTGCTCTACTTACATCATATTGCTCCTGATGCCTACCCGGTGCCGAATCCTCGATTAACGTCTGTACAAGTTAAGGGAGTTGACGTCAGGAAAGCAGAGTTCTTATACCCTGGTGGTGACAAGATCTTTATTGGTGGACGAAGGAAATACTTCCACCACTGGGACCTCAAAACTGGCATTGTGCAGAAGACGTCGCAGATTCAGGGCCACCAGCTGGAGCACAAGACGATGGAAAGATTCAGGCTGAGCCCTTGCGGCAGATACATGGGCATCATTGGCTCGTCACGCAAAGGCGGTGGTATCGTCAACATTCTCAACGTTGGCTCGCTGCAATGGATCGCCACGGCCAGGCTCTCCAGCAGACACGGTATCGCGGATTTCGCCTGGTGGAGCACCGGAAACGGCATGACGATCCTAGGAAAAGACGGCCAGGTTGGCGAGTACAGCGTGGAGAGCAGGAGCTTCGTCGGCATGTGGCGCGACGACGGCTGCATTGGTGGCATCGTCATTGCTCTCGGCGGCCACCAGGGCCCCGAGCTGATTGGCGAGGACCGCTGGGTAGCTATCGGCTCCAACTCCGGCATCACCAACATCTACGACCGAACCACGCTGCTCACCATGGACAGCGACAAGAACATCACGGTCAAAGAGACCCCCACCCCTACGCGTGTGTTTGAACAGCTCGTCACGCCCATCACCGTGCTCACCTTCTCGCCCGACGGCCAGCTCCTCGCGTTCGGCAGCAGAGATAAGAAGGATGCCTTGCGGCTTGCGCATCTGCCGAGCTGCACGGTGTACAGGAACTGGCCGACGGCGCAGACTCCTCTGGGGAGAATAACAACAGTGGCGTTTGGAAGGGGGAGCGACTTGTTGGCGGTGGGTAATGACGCGGGCAAAATTAGACTGTGGGAGATTAGGAATTAGATGTTTTCTCATCTTGTGAATATAAAATTTAGAGCGGATTGCTTGTTTTGTATAATTGAATGCCCTCACGACCGATTTGACGCCTATTTTGAATGCTGTACTCGTGGATATTTGTTTAAGCTTTTCAGTTGCTGGAATAGAACGAATTTTGCCCCATGCTCATAAACACATTCCTTCACCTACTAGTTGAAATATATCCCTTTTATAAGTTCGTCAAACTATCCAACTCTTGCGCTGAGTTTCTTGAAGCTCAGCTTCAGCCAGCCCTATCCATTACGCTGTTGTGTGCGTTTAAACCCCTTCGTTAGCCCTGTCTTGGTATACCATTTTGCACGCAAAGTATTTCTCCCTCTGATCCTTTAATCGCTTCTCCACCCCGCTGAATAAATAACGCCGTTGTATTGTGTGTTTCGTCTGCCCTCTCCCCCAAAAAATATATTTCCTTTAAACCAGTTCTGCATCCCCATGCTCAACAAGGTCCTTTGCACTTGACCATCTCAAAATGAGAATGTCGCCGCTTGCCGCCGGAAGAATAGTATCGACATCGGTTCCTCTGCCAAAGACGTCCTTATCCCGCAACAGACGAATGAATACTGCCGTGTCCAAATCCGGTGAATCAATCATGCTGACGTTGCCGGCCGTGTCGTTAAGGTTCTGCAGGCGCTGGGGGAATGAAGACAGGAAGGATGAGAGGTAGTGATTGTGGAGGAGGGCCTGATGTCTCGTAGCATAGGCCAGTTCGGTGGGAGAGAGGCGCTGCCTTAATTCCTCGGTTGATAGGTAGTGAAGGGTGTATTTATCAATCTTAGAAAAAAAAAAGTCAGATCCTTGCCGCAGTTACTGTCTCTCACAAATATTCTTCTTATTCATGACGCCTAAGAAAGGGGAAGGGCTAGGCTTGGCTCACTTTTGCTATTCGTGCCCTGAGGTAACTTCTCACTAGAAACTTATATCGTTCCAGTTCGGTCTGGATGACAATGAGAGCAAAGTTGGTCTTGGGATCCATGTCTCCTGTCATATCTTCAATCTTTTCAATCTGAGATTTGATCTTGGAATTGACCCGCTCGAACAACCCATCTGCAGGCCAGCTAATCGAAAACAAATCATACAATTAGTAAAGAATATGAACAATCATTGAATAATTCAGAGTAGAAGGTTGGGAAAAACTCACTTGAGCAGCTCCGGCGCTGATCTCTCAGCAACCCAGAGGCGCGTCAAGGCCTGCAGGTCACGAGTCTCAAGAGGGATGCCGTGAGAGGCGGGATCTACCTCTCGGAGGATATCGTCGATATCCATGGTGAGAGGCCGTTGTCCGGGGGGGTTCTCTATCTCTATCTCTATCTCTCGGTCATGGGGCTGGTTTCTGGCGAGATTCAGTGGAGGAATCTTGAAGTAAAGCCCGATTGGCTTGGATCGGTTGGTAGTGATGGCGGCCCAGCTTTTCTGCAGACGGGGCTTCGCGGTGGGGTCTGATTAGTGGCCATCCATGCCCAGATTCAGCATGCACATGGCCAGTGCGTGTGCCTGGTGCAGGGTTAGTGGGAGCTCGCTGTTGTATAGCGCTATAGCCCGCTATAGTGGAAGATGCTCAGTTTCTCATAAGTGTTTCCACGTCAGCAGTAAAAGGCGTCAAAAGGAAAGTGGACTATTCTCAACTCATACAGACTACTGTTGACCATGGGAGTCTAGTGAGCAATAGAGCCTCTAATCGCCATATACTAAGGCAGCCACGGTGTATTTCCATCGATTCAATTAAGCACTTTGCCAACTCGCATAGGCGGGGAGACCTCCAAGTACCTTCCGTAGTCAGTTAAGCTGCCACAATTATCTACTGCCAGTTGATTAGTATTTACAATTAATTATACAAAAAAGAAAACAAAAAAAAAAAAAAAAAAAGGTAGCTTATTAGTATTTATTATTATGATTATACATTGCAAATATCATTACCAGGTTATTTTTCTAATCAGATGTACTCGTGAAGTTGTTTACAACTCAACTTCAACAGCGTGAGTTGCGGCCGGCATTATGTTATACCTAGAAGCATTCCCGTATTCCTGTATTCCAGATACCTAGTGCAAGCAGCTACAGCGTGAGTTCGGCGAGTTTTTCCTCCTGTTTCTCGGCGATTATTCTACTTACAGACATTTACCTACGCGGCTTGTCAGACGGCTGACTTTATATCAGGCGAGTTGCACCAAACTCTAAGTTGTGGTGGGATGATGTACAGCGATCTGTTGGGCCGAGGCAAGTCTGTTAGTCCCCGCGATGGGACTTCTTATAAAGAGAGATGTGCTCTCCAAGCTTAGATGGGGGCTACTTCTGGACTCACAACCATTGGCAACTTTCGTTTTGTTCTTATCACAGACTTACATATTCCAATCAATATACATACAGTGTACATATGTATATATGCTCTCTTTCGTAACTTTTCCCATCAAATCAACCATCAGTCCTCAGTAGCAATGGCAGACCAAGACGGCGATGGCCCTCAGCCCTATGCTGCGTATCTTCGGACTGTTATCCAAAAGGGCCTCTTAACGGGCGAATTGCCCGTCGTGACAACGGATCCAAATCGACTCGAGGAGCAGGCCAGGAAGACGATGCCCAAAGCCGGCTTTGACTACATCTTGGGCGGAGCCGGTGAGGCGGCAACAATGGACGCCAATCGTCTTGCTTTCCGCCAGTGGAAAATCATTCCCCGCGTCTTGAAGCCCACAACGCCGCGTGATCTAAGTGTCACTCTTTTTGGCCAGAAATATGGTAGGTGACGTTGCAGTATCTGAAAACTCTTCTTTGTAGTTGCTGCATTATACGAAATATCTTGAGATTCAAGCACAAGTATATTCATGAGCTAACTTGTAAAAGACGTTCCCATTCTCTTTGCGCCTATCGGTGTCCAATCGCTGTTCCATCAGGACAAGGAAATTGGCGTTGCTAAAGCCTGTGCCGCTTTACGCGTCCCCTTCACCTTGAGCACAGTTTCTCAATCTACATTTGAAGAAGTTGCTGCCGCAGCGCCAGGGTCGCCAAGATGGTTTCAACTATACTGGCCCAGTGACGAGGAGCTCACGGCCTCGCTTCTCAAAAGAGCCAAGGATAACGGCTACACGGCGCTCGTCGTAACGCTTGATACTTGGACTCTTGCTTGGAGGCCAACTGACCTTGATACCGCCAATGTTCCTTTCCTCGTTGGCGTGGGAGACGCAAACGGGTTTTCAGACCCAGTCTTTAGGCGCAAATTTGCTGAGATGAGCGATGGAGGAACTCCCGAGGAAAATATGGTGCAGGCAGCGATGTACTGGATCGGAAACACTTTCCCCGGAGTCTCTCGCTCTTGGGAAGACCTCAAGATCCTAAAGAAGCACTGGGACGGGCCCATTATTCTCAAGGGAATCCTCAGCGTTGAAGACGCCGTCTTGGCGGCCGAGCATGGCATGGACGGAATCATCGTGAGCAATCATGGCGGCAGACAGATTGATGGCGCCATCGGGACTTTGGACGTCCTCCCCGAGATCGTCGACGCTGTTGGTAGCAAGTTGACCGTCATGATGGACTCGGGCATTCGAACCGGCGCCGATATTCTCAAGGCCCTCGCGCTTGGAGCCAAGGCCGTCTTTGTTGGGCGACCTGTGGTTTATGGATTGGGTATTAATGGCAAGGAGGGCGCCGAGGCGGTACTGGCAGGGTTGCTGGCTGATCTTGATTTAACCATGGGATTTACCGGAGTCCAGAACATTGGGGATTTGAATAGATCGATTTTGCGTAGGATTCAGCACTCTGGGGATATCAAGTCAAGTCTCTGAGAGTTAGATCATAAATGAAGCCTGGCAGTGCAAGCGCTTGCATTTACATGGACGACTAATGCTGATGTCTGTCTCATCGTTATCTGCTCCGTATACAGGGATTAGACATGCCTGGGTTTGTTAGTGCTAATCAATGAATTATTAGACATTGATTGACATCGTTTAGCATTGATTTACTAGAGAATATATGTCGTGTAAAACCAAGGGAGGTTTTTTTTGCTATACTATCACTTCTTCAGAGCTCCTCGTCTGTCATTTTCCTGTAAGCCAGAAACATGATATTGGCTTTAGTGTAGGCCCATTGAATGCATGGGATGAAGAGACTATGAGATAGAAGTAGAAAGCCTTAAATGACGAAATTAATCCACCTAAATTAAAAAAAAAAAAAATTTTTTTTTTAAGGAATGTCATGTATGTCATATTAAAATGCAGTCTCATAGAAATGCCATCCCGTCGCGAAGATGGCTGTTTTAGAGCACAGTGCGGATATGCATGTAAGTCCCGTAAGGCTACAGCTCGCAGCTAATCTTCAAAGCTAATTCGTCAACTTTATTGTAGCTCCTGCAACACGGTCACAGCCTTCTCAGCCGCGACAGACCATTCCTCTGAGCCTCGACGGTATTGTCTCTTCAATTGCTTGGAATTACTCCGAGATCTCTTGATCTGCCAAAAGCTATGGCGGACTCCGCAGCTGAAGATGACAGCCGCTTGCAGAAACGCAGCCACGCAGAGTATGCACAGCAAGATGATTCAGGTACGATGGTTCGTCCGTCTTGATTGAGCAAGTATTGCACACGAGGCTGACGGCGTGTTTTTGACGCAGATTCTTCGTCCGACGATGATATGGGACCGCAGCTTCCCACCGAGGCCCCGAAGAAAAAGCGCCGCGTCCTGCCTTACGAAAAGCTATACATCTCTGCACTACCCAAGTCCGCCCGATATTCGAAGTCGCTGATGCACAAGGAGCAGCTGCTCTTCGCTACATGGACCCCCCTCACCGAGTTCCTGATAACATCGTCTACTGATGGTGTTGTCAAATTCTGGAAGAAGATTGGCCAAGGCATTGAATTTGTGAAGCAGTTCAAGGCCCACAATGGCATGATCACGTCAGTCTCGGTGAGTCGAGACGGACGAAGCTTTGCAACAGCCGGCGACGACGAAACGATTAAGATTTTCGACGTCATCACATTTGATCTGCTTTCCATGATTACCTTGAAATATGTACCCAAGTGTGTCTGCTGGGTTCACAAAAAGGGGGCTTCGTTTCCTCTGTTGGCTGTGTCGGAGGAGGACAAGCCATTGATCCACCTATACGACGGCCGGGGCGAACGAGAAGAAGCGATTCATACCATGAAAGGCCTGCATAGGAGTCCCGTACATTTAATGGCCTTCAACGACGAGTACGATTGTGTTGTCTCGGCGGACGAGAATGGCATGGTTGAATACTGGCAGCCCAGCGGCAACTACGAGAAGCCAAGTAACGTCTTCGAGTACAAGAGCTCAACAAATCTGTTTGACTTCAAGAAGGCCAAATCCGTACCAACATGCCTCACAATATCTCCGAACGGAAAAAGTCTAGCCACCTTTTCATTGCCGGACCGGAAAATACGAATATTTGACTTTGCATCGGCCAAATTGCAAAAGACTTACGATGAATCGCTCCAAGTGGTCGAGGACATGCAGCGGTCAGGCACATCGGCACAAAAGATTGACAATGTGGAATTTGGTAGACGGTTGGCTCAAGAGCGAGAGATTGAATCACAGACTTTGAAAAACAAGTCGAATGTCATATTTGATGAATCAGGGAACTTTATCCTCTATGGTTCCATGGTAGGGATCAAAGTTCTCAACACATATACTAACCAAGTTGTCAAGGTGTATGGCAAGGACGAGAACTTTCGCGCTGTGAACCTGGGCATGTATCAAGGACAGCCCCAGAAGAAGGGAATAGTATCTGTAGAGATGGGAGCTTCGAGCAATCCTCTTTTGCAAGAATCAGAAGCTCGTGACCCGATTCTAGTCGCCACCGGTGTAGGCAAACTTCGATTCTACATGTTCACGAATGAAGAGGAGATTAGCAAGTCGACACGAGACGTTCAAAACGAGAAGCCTACTGTGCTAGGAGGCAAGGACAAAGCGCAAGCTGCTAAAAAGGCCGAAACAGGAAATGCTGCCATACTTCATACTACATACGGCGATATTCATATTCGCCTGTTCCCTGATGCTGCGCCCAAGGCGGTAGAGAACTTTGTTACACATGCAAAGCGCGGGTACTACAATAACACGATATTTCACCGCGTGATTCGCAAGTTTATGATACAGGGAGGCGATCCCCTTGGCGACGGCACTGGCGGCGAGAGTATCTGGGGACGAGACTTTGAGGATGAATTCAGCAGCTTGAAACACGACAAGCCCTACACAGTGAGCATGGCGAACGCAGGCCCGAATACGAATGCCAGTCAGTTCTTTATTACTACGGAGAAGACGGTGAGTTTCTGACTCATAGAGCTTGCTACGCCATGAGAAGAGATGAGAATGCTGACAACATTATTCTATAGCCATGGCTGGATGGTAAGCACACAATTTTCGGGCGTGCGACGCAGGGCTTGGATGTGATACACAAGATTGAGAACACAAGGACGCATAAGGAGAAACCGGAGGAAGATATCAAGATTCTTAATATTGATGTTATGTAAATGACCAGGGCGAGAGCGAGCGGCGATTTTGGCTTGATCTTTTTCTCCGATAGCACAGATGATGCATATATGGGTCTTGATAGAGAACATGAGAGTAGCACCAAGAATTCTATCACCACATACAAAGTATACATGGGGAAGTTTCTCAAGATTTCAAGATTTGAGCATCACACAGTTGTGCTTGCATCCAAAGCTACACAAACGAACGTAAGTTGGACCAAGTTGGATGTTTACTGTTGCAGCTCACTACATATGCGTTTCCCACGCTCCATGAGTAATTTCGTGTGACACAAGGAGTGGAAGCTCGCACAACCGCCTCTTTGCCATTAAACACGCGAGGACAAATGAGAACTCGTGCCACAAGGGCATGGAGCACCGACGTCGGCCCCGGCATCCAAGTGTGAGTAATTGAAGCACCGAAATTTTAGTGTAAGCGCCAGCCGCTGCCGGTGCAAGAATCGCTGGAAGAATAGAGCTTAGTAGGGGTTTAACATGTGGGTGGGCGCTGGAGCTTTAGTGCATGCATGCAATTGGCACCGATAGCCCTGCCTGACCTGATTTTCCAATACACGAAGCTCAATTTCTAACCACATGTCAATATCCTCTTTTTTTTTTCTCCTTTCTTCATTCTTCCATTGCATTTATACCCATTGGCTCTCTTGAGAAAACAAGGAGAAGAAGAAAGGCTGAAAGTTGATTGATATTCATTCTGCCATCTCCCAATTAAGCCACCATCCTGTCAATCGCCTGCTATTGACGTCACCCAGCAGCTGCAATCTTTTTTTTTTCTTCTTTTGCGCCGCCGACCTAAATTTTGTATTCTCAAATACCTCTGCTTCTCTTCCTCCGGATCATCTCCTCAATTCTTATTTAGGAGCAATTGTTCATCATGTCTACCGTACGTGTGCTCTCTTACCACAGACATCTTCCATTGCCAGCTTTAGGTGCATGAGTGGAGTGACTCACTAAATTGCCCCTCCAGTTCTACATCGAGAACAAAAACGTCGGCAACCAGGCCGACTCAGAAGATTGGCGAAGTATGTTTCCCCTTAGATTTTCAATGCGTGGAAGATCATGTTTTTGCTAACTGCAATCGTCTTCATCCAAAACCAGTTCGAGGCTACAACCCTCTAACACCGCCCGATCTGCTGCAGCATGAGATTCCACAGACAGCCGCGTCCAAGAAGGCCGTCATTGACGGCCGCAATGAGGCTGTAGCTATCGTCAATGGCAAGGACCCCAAGCACCGATTGCTCATTGTCGTGGGCCCTTGCTCAATTCATGATCCTGAAGCTGCCCTCGCCTACTGCGATCTGCTCCTCAAAGCCAAAGAGAAGCATAAAGACGAGCTCCTCATTGTCATGCGCTCGTACCTCGAGAAGCCTCGCACGACGGTCGGTTGGAAGGGTCTCATCAACGACCCGGATATTGATGGCAGCTTCAAGATCAACAAGGGACTGCGATTGTCGCGCCAGCTCTTCGTCGATCTGACAAGCAAGGGCATGCCTATTGCAAGCGAGATGCTGGATACCATCTCTCCTCAGTTCCTGGCTGATTTGCTCAGTGTTGGTGCCATTGGTGCGCGTACAACGGAGAGCCAGCTGCACCGTGAATTGGCGAGCGGTTTGAGTTTCCCCGTCGGCTTCAAGAATGGAACTGATGGTTCACTTGGTGTCGCTATCGATGCTATGGGCGCAGTCAAGCACCCCCACCACTTCCTTTCCGTCACCAAGCCCGGTGTTGTCGCCATTGTTGGCACAACAGGTAACGACGACTGCTTCGTCATTCTGCGAGGTGGCACCAAGGGCACCAACTACGATGCCGAGAGTATCGCCGAAGCTAAAGCCGCTCTGGACAAGAAGGGAGCGTCTCCCAGATTGATGGTTGACTGCAGCCACGGCAACTCTCTAAAGAACCACAAGAACCAGCCCAAGGTTGCGAGCGTAGTCGCTGAGCAGGTGGCCAAGGGCGAGACGGCCATCATGGGTCTTATGATTGAGAGCAACATTGACGAAGGTGGGTAGCGTCTCATGGAATAAGTTTTTTTTTTTTTTTCTGTTTATAAACTCTGCTAACATGACTGGATAGGCAACCAAAAGGTACCTGAGGAGGGCAAGGCCGGGCTCAAGTATGGTGTCAGTATCACAGATGCTTGCATCAATTGGGCGGATACCGAGGAGGTACTTGATCTGCTGGCTGAGTCTGTGAAGCAGAGAAGAAGAGTTTTGGGGGTGGAAATTTAAAGCTTGAAGAACGCAAGCTAGTTTGAACATCACACGTCAACAGACTGATTGGTTGTTTGCCACATTGATACCATTGTATATGGAATTGCTGGCTTTGTACGAGCTGGATATATTGGATTCTATTTTTTTCTATATGCTGCTGTGCTTTAAGAGAGCCAGATATGGGTTGCATTTATTACGCTCTCTCCGGGTGTGTACATACAGGATTAGCAAAAAGTTTGCGAGGTACTTCTTTTAGGTATACTAAAGTCAGTTCAGACATTGAGAGATAGCTTGGTACTTGGCTTTTTCGAAAACCATCACCAAGGAAAAATAAAAAGTAAAAGTAGAAGGAAATCACGGAATGAACCCAAGAAAAAAGTGATAGTAAATGGGGCGAAAAAAAGGGATGGAATCAATAATGCTAATTTGATGATGAAGCTATCACCGTATTTCCATTATAGGCGTCGTCACGCTATCGCGGCAAGGCTCACACTGTGCGACATTCTCGCCGACAGCAATGGCCCTTGCTTCATCAGGCTTTAACACAGTATGGAGTAAGACTGGCCACTCTATAGCGAGCAAGCGCAGCTAAGGCAATTTTCCGACGACGCAGGAACAGAGCCCTCCAACGCTCTTGTTTCCATCTTCCCCCGAAACGCCAATCGATCGCCGACTATCGTACGGGCACCTCGCAGTTCCTTCTCTTCGCTTCCAAGGCGTTTTGCTGCCTTTATCAATCGTTTTTCTCCCTCCCTCTATCATCGCTTTTTGATAGCATCTTTGGGATAGCTTTGCCTCCTACGCGACTTGCCTTTTCTCCATCACAGCGACGCGCGCATCGACGACGACCATGGCGCCCTACTCGCCACCAGATTCGCCATTGTCGTCGGCAATGGAATCCTCGTACGAGGAAGATATCCACGATGAAGAGACGATGCTGCGACCGTCAAAACGCCAGAAAGTTGAGGCTGGCTCGACAACTTCATCTGCCGTCATACCCGATCCGGAACACGAGCCTGTGTTGGAAGCCGATGCGCTCGAGGGCATGTCAGATATTTCGTCGGACACGTCAGGCGACATTCCCAGCTCTCCTGTCAATGCCAGGCTCGAAGAAGAGGATTTCCAAGACCAGGTGACAGTTTGCGACTGGGACGGCTGTCCCGCTGGAGACCAAGGCAACATGGACAAACTGGTCGAGCACATCCACAACTCGCACATTGAGAACCGCCAGAAGAAATACACGTGCGAGTGGCGAAGCTGCAACCGCAAGGGCCTGCCTCATGCGAGTGGCTACGCCTTGAAGGCTCACATGCGAAGCCATACAAGAGAGAAACCATTCTACTGCTATCTACCAGGTAGGTCTCTATTGACGACAGCTGCTCCATTATTCGGATATGGCCTGCGCCTTTATATACTTGGGTTCTTATGCTGACAACTTGCTCAAAAGAGTGCGACCGCTCCTTTACCAGATCCGATGCTCTTGCTAAACACATGCGAACCGTCCACGAAACCGAGGCTCTTCGGCCGTCTGACCCGGTGCCCAAATCTATGCAGTCCGGACCAACAGGTCGGACCGGAAAGCTCAAGATCATTATCAAAACTCCCCAATCACAATCCACCGGACAAGACGACGGAGACGATGCTAATGGCGACGTTCCTCCATCGGAATGCTTCACAGTGCTCCCACCCGATCTGTTCACTGAGACAGAGCTCGAGTATCCCCTTGCCAAGCTATGGCGCAAGTGCCACTGGGAAGCAACGTGGGCCGAGGAGGTTGGAGAGGCGCTGAAGAACGAGTGCAAGCAGTGGGAGGAGATTTACTACAAGGAGTGGCTAGAGAAGGAAATCCTACTGTCACAAGTAATCCAGAGCGAGGTAGACTGGAGCGAGAGGCGCCAAGCCATCATCTCTGGTGCTGCCGATGTGCAGCTCCCCAGCAGTGCAGAAGAAAAGGAAAAGGATGAAGGCATCACAAACGGCGTGGCTAAGGAAGCCACCGCCGAGGCATAGGAACCTGAGCCTCTTTGTCCAGGAATGAGTTTAGCCTTGATGATTAGGATAATTATCTACAGGATTTCGCGGGAAAAAAATTAAGGTGGCGTGCATTCTAGAATGCGGCGGGGAGTTTGGGAGTATTTGCAACAAGACGCGCAACGCGGGCTGAGATGCGCCACGCCAGTCTTCGTTTTACCTCTTCATTTTTTATTCCTTTCTTCTCTTTTTTTGTGTGTCCTTGTTTCTAAATCCTACTTTTGACTTGTTTCTTCTTATTCTAGCTTTGGAAGTCCCAGTTAAACTAATGCAATAGCCGCCTCTTTGGAGTTGGTGAAGAGATATTTTCCTGTATGATGGTTTCAAAACTCATATAATATCAGATGGAGCAATGAAAATACAAGAAAGAAACAAAAACATCACATTGGTACTTTAGATCTGGCTTGTGTATCACCAACGATCAAATCAGTAAAGGACGAAATTGAGTTGTTTCTTCACTTTTGCTGAATATAGCTTCTCCATACTCGCATAACATCAGCTCAACTTCTTAATGCAGGCACTAGTAAACAGACATACTTATAGCATAATAGCGCGGGGGATCTTTTTTCTTTGCGCTCGCATTATTACCAACCAAAGCTCGCGCGCCGATTTCGCATCCCCACTATTGAGCCTTCATCGCCTAGGACTCCAGCGCATAGATTTGAAATCCTCGACTTTTTATTTGCGCAACACGATCATATCTGCGAATGACTTGGGAATTGATACATTTCAACAGAGAATATATTTCACTGCTTCTTTTTTTGCTTTCTCTGGTGTTCTCTTTCATACTTCTATCCTCACTGTAATCCGAGTTTTGAAAGTACCCTTCCTCTATTAACACGTGCCTTATCAAGATTAAGTGCGCCACGGATCGCAAAACTCGCCACTCGGAAGATAAGCTGCTGGCAAATACATTTCTCCCAAGCATACAAACTACAACTGAGTTGGCGAACCGGATACGAAAACAAATACACACAAGATTTTATATCTACCATCGCTACTCTTATTGTCACGGTAAAAAAAAAAGTAAAGCGAACGGCATTGCCGTAAAACAGTCCGCACCATGAGCGCCATTCTCTCCGCCGACGACCTCAACGACTTCATCTCCCCCGGAGTCGCCTGCATCAAACCTGTCGAAACTCTTCCGGCTCTCCCCGCGCAGCAGTCCGCCAACGAATACGAAGTCGTCCTTGATGGCCAGCATCCCTCTGCTGCCAATGCTGCCTCGCCCGCTCAGATCTCTCTCACAGACTGCCTCGCCTGCTCCGGCTGCGTGACGTCCGCAGAGGCCATCCTCGTCAGCCTACAGAGCCACAGCGAAGTGATTTCAACGCTCGATGCGGCTCCGGCGCTGCGCGTGGTAGGACCCGATGCGCAAGGAAATTTCAAGGTTGAGGGCCTCGAGAACGAAGATGCGAAGCTGTTCGTCGCTAGTGTAAGCTCCCAGACGAGGGCGAACCTGGCTGCTGCGTGCGGGCGAGATGTGTCTGAGGGCCAGGCTGGATATATGCTGGAGAATCTGTTACGAAGTCCAGAGGGGCTTGCAAAAGGAGGAAAGTGGAATAATTCTTTCGAATGGGTAGTGGATATTAACGTAGCGCGAGATGCGACGCTCGCGCTTGGTGCGGCTGAAGTCCTCTCATCACCCACGCCAGGCGTCTCAACGCCATCAACGCCAATCCTCTCCTCGTCATGTCCCGGCTGGGTGTGCTATGCAGAAAAGACTCATCCATATGTGCTACCGCATTTATCCAAAGTCAAGTCGCCACAAGCCCTCATGGGTACCATCTTGAAAACAACATTGAGCCGAAAGCTGGGAATCCCACCCAGTAGAATATGGCATGTAGCTGTCATGCCTTGCTTCGACAAGAAGCTGGAGGCTAGTCGAGAGGAGCTGACCGACGAAGTATGGGCGCGCTCGGGCTTGCCTGGAAGAGGAGTTCGGGACGTCGACTGCGTCATCACGAGCAAGGAGGTCTTGATGCTTGCAGAGTCAAGAGGGCTCAGCTTCTTTGATTTTTCAAAGTCCGCATCATCTGTCCCACCCTCAATACCCTTCCCTGATGATAAAGTACACTCCTTCTTGTTCCCAAAGAAGAGTTCAAGAAATCCCTCGCGAATTGCTGGTTCTTCTGGCGGGCTATTACACCACATTCTCCAAACCAAAGCTGCTCAGACCCCAGGCTCAGAGATTCAAATCAACCGAGGCCGCAACGTCGATGTGGTTGAATATTCTGTCACAGTAAATGGCGAGCCTGTTTTCAAGGCCGCCCGATACTATGGCTTTAGAAATATCCAGAATCTTGTTAGGCGTCTGAAGCCAGCTCGACCTTCCCGCATGCCCGGCGGAAAGCCCTTTGGGAGTGCCCGCCGCCCAGCAGGAAAGGCAGCCTCTCTCGATTTCAGTTTCGTCGAAGTCATGGCATGCCCCGGAGGCTGCACTAATGGCGGTGGCCAAATCAAGGTTGATGATGCCATCATTCTAGAAAGAAAAAATATCTCAGGAAAGCCAGGCCCACAAGAGCAGAAGGATTGGCTGGCAGAGATTGACGAAGCATATTTCTCAGGCGAAGACTCGCAGTCCAGACTTGATGGCGGTAGCCCTGAGAATATCAATGGAAGCGTGTCCCACTCGTATATAGATGATACCCTGGCGTATTGGGCCAGCATGACAGGCATAGGATTGGATAGACTGGCATTCACGAGTTATCGTGAAGTGATTAGCGATGTTGGAAAGGGCTCAGCCACCGAGAGCGCCGCCCATTTAGCTGGCAAAGCCGGCGGTGGCTGGTAGGTAGCTTTCACAGATAGAAAGTAGAAGCGCAAAAGCGCACAATGAAATCAAAAGAAATTCAAGTCGCTCTGTTGCCACGCTGTGCAAAGCCAAATCCTCCTCTGCCGCTTCCGTCCGGTCCTCTTGGTGATCGAATTGCTTGATGCTCGTCTCGACCAGCCTGTCCCCGCATAGAAGAATCGCTGCTGCTCCCTTCACGGCCGCCTCGCCTAAGTGAATCTGGTCTCGGGGACGAGCTAGGGTCGAACAGCTCTCTCCTGGGGCCAGGCTGGTTCGCAGGCCGTCGAGGCTCAAACTGTTGACCGCTGCTCTCGCTGCTAACATTGCTGTTGCTATAATTGTAGCCACTATTGTTGTTGTTGTTGCTGTTATTATTATAACCGCCTCCGCGTCCTCTTCCACGGCCGCGGTACGACCCTCGCCCTTCCGTTCTAGGAGGAGTGACAGTGCCCGTGCCCGGCGACGATCCGCGCGACGAGGGTGCCGACTCGCCAAAGATCTTGGCCCTGGCCTCGTCGTAGCGCCGCTGCTTCTCCTCGCGGTCTCGCTTCTGCTTTGCGCGGATTTCGTCCGGCGTCATCTGCACTTCCGGCGCCCTAGAGGCGTCGTCGTCGTCGAGCGACAATTGGGACAGGCCGGTGATGGGGTCTTTCTTGGCGATGACGGGCTTGCGGCTCAGAACTTTGACCTGGGGCTTGAAGGCTGTGGTGAGAGGGACGCCGCCGCCTGCAGCTTCGACGTAGTGGAACGTCTCTTTCGAATCGCTGTTTATCCGCAAGAGCAAAAAGAGGACTGTCAGTCAACAAAGACAAGCAAATGATGTACAAAAGAATTTTATGAAAAGCTTTGTCCATACGCTGATTCCCATAATTTCCGGTTTGCTTCGGCGTGCTGCTGCAGCCGCTCTTGTCTGCTGAGGTTGGGCTGCGGAGCGGCCTGGGTCTCTTTGTTCTCGCTCCTGTCGGCCTGGGTCTCCCAGTCGTCGTCGTCCCAGGCATTGGGGACACCGCCGGCTCTGCTCATCCTGAAATTTTGGGAAGATTGAATGGAAAATATCTGCTGCTGGGGCTGGAAGTGCTTGTGGGAAAAAGAAAAGAACGTGCTTCAAGCCGAGGGAGGTTTGATGTTATATTAAGCTCTCTCTCTGTCTCTCTGTCTGCTATCACCGAGCCCTAGCCGAAAGAAGGAGTCGTCGCAGGGCAATTCTGATGTCCGGTCTCAATATTGTATGGATTTCCTTGATCTCTTAGGCAGCCTGCATACTCTGGTTGCCGCTCTATAAGGGTGTGCATCGATGGTCGTTGGCTGTGAGAAGTCCGTTTCGTCGGGGTTTTCAGAGCGAGCTGGCCATTCGGCGCGAATGGGCTATAAAGTTCGATTTGTTTGTGTGTAGTGTTTTTTGACGCGCAGTACCTGGAGTGTACCGAGGCCGTTGGTCGCAGCGAAGACAAATTTCGTGCCATTAGCGCCCCGTCAAAAGTATCTCCAGGTATCTATTTTCGGGCTTGCTTCATGCTAGGTCTTCTTTTTTTCGGGCTGCGGAGAGCATATTTCAGTGGGGCTAGCCTCTTTAATGTCGGTACCTCTTGCGGATTCGCTGCCGTCACGGGAACTTCATGCTCGATATCAAACCACCTTATTCGCAAGTCTCAGGGGATTATTGAGGCTTCAAGCTTTTTGTACTACGAGGTATGATTATGGATCATTTATTCAAGTCCGAATATGAACCGACATGTTAATAGAAGCTCACGCCAGTCCACTGCTTTGCACTGAACCCCCCATGGCTGAATCATCAAGCGCTGCGGCTGCTTCAGTCGCCAACGCAGCCAAGAGGCTCAGGGAAGAGGCCGAGGCTGCGAAGAACCGACTTCTAGATCAGCAATTCCATATCAGTAAGTCTTCTCTACTCCCCTCCTCTGTGTCTACGGCGCATGCCCCCTTAGCACTAACTGGAGCGATCCGCTTGTGTGTAGGTCGCTATGCAGACCCCTTGGTTCCACGAAAGACGTCAGATCCTCAGTTTTGGCCAAAGGATGTGACTCGGGAAATGGAACAAAGATGGCTGGCTATGATCAAGGAGCATCGGTCCGTTTAAGTTGCGAGTTTGGGGTTGGGTTTGACAGACGGAAAGGGGAGAATACTAATTCAGTAAGCTTGCATTTTACGATTAAATGATAACGAACGTCCCATCAGCTTGGAGCTATTTTTACACCTTGCTTCATAATTGTTCTTGCATCTAAACTACTGCCAGTGACAACCATAGTGCCAGTGACAGATAAGCACGACGTCGGCCACGCCACTTTGTAAATACTCATAGAACGGTGAGACGGAAGCTTCATAGCGTACGAGCAACCCTTGAAGCTCGTTGTTCTTATCAAGCCAGCAACGTTATCCATCATATATATACATACCTAGCAACAGGCTAAGGCCCATTATCAACGGACAATACTCGGGGTTTCTACTACAAGCGATTGTTGTGTTTAGTGTCCTCAGCTTTGGGAATGAAGCAGTTTGCCAGGCTAGAGATCTTATTCAAGCCTTCACAGTATAGGATAAGCTCCAGTAGTAACCTTCTATGCTATAATCAAGACCAACGTAGATAGTCAAGCGGTTTATCCGTTATATTGTCCTACGAAATGTCATCGGTGGCAGGATACATAACCAACGATCTCGCTTGTCAAACGATACTACCAGGCGGTGGCTTTGGGACCCAAGTAAAAGTGGACAAATCCACATTGCCGTAAGTTTGGCGATAAGACGAGGCTAGAAGAGGACTAGAAAATTCTGCTTGTGTTAAACGCCCAAGGTCACTTCGTCGCAAAAACGTTTTTGCACGTCTAGGAAGTCCACGTTAGAGTACAAGAAATGAACTCAGGCGCCACCATCTAGCCTCAGCCAACTGGCGATGACATAGACACAGTGCGAGGGATCTCGTCAGGCCATGCCATGCATTCTTGCATGCCATGTGTTGTTCTATGTGTGTGCATCGCTGTTAGTTGCTCTTTTGCGGAGAGTGACGACGACGATGGCAATGCAATATGCCAATACATGCACATTCTTGATCCCACGTCAGCTGATTTGCAGCGAGACGAGGCTGAGCTCTCTCCAAACTTGTAGCCTCTTCCAGCCCCCTGCTGAAAGCTACATGTAACCCTGCGTGTTCCCCTCATTGTTGGAGTTTACGGTGGCAAATGCATGCCTTTTCTTTTTGTCCCCTCTAATACGCTGGGAATAGGCACCCGTGAGTCTGGCGTTGTCCAGACCAACTCAGACGCTTGCCAGCTGGCTCGCTAGCGAATAATAAGGGGGAACGAAGGCAATGAGTTTGTGACCAATCACAATTTCAATCTCGCGACGACGATGGTGGCAAGTCTGAGTCGCGGCTGAGGGGGTGGCCAAGCACTGTATACTATGGCAAGTATTGAATGTCGCAGTAGTAGGTAGTATCAGAGAGGCTTGCCTTACATGAAGCCCAACAACACAGAAGACACGATAGCGTGCTGAAAGCCATGTTGGACGTGCTACACGGTACTCAGAAGTTAGCATCACACCCAAATCTCGGCTGTCTTGGTCAACTGCTTTCGATAGTGGTTGTCTCGGTTGAATTGGTTGGGGGTGGCGGGATGATGGAGGGATCGGTTCAACCGATTCTGGTGAACCCCCCCAAAAATCCCAAGCAAAGATGAGATACTTTCGGGCCACTCGCTCGTCTGACGAAGGGCCAGGTGACTAGCGTTGCGAGGCTCCCTTGCTTCGTCTGCTTGGTTCTGAAAAATACAGCAAGGCAGTGATAGCCAAGGTGTACTCGATGGTGCTACAGTAAAGCAAGGCAGTATCCCCTTCGATACTCTTTGCAGCGAGTGCTACCAGATACTGCTGCTACTACCGCGGCTTATAGCGGGTACAAGAGTGGCTTAGGAGTTGTTCTCACTAGACCTGGATCTTGGACACCATTACCAGATTACCGGGACTTATGTTGCAACTCTTCAGCAGCACAGCATCGGTCTTGTATTGTCTTGACTCACACCGACACCACGTTCCAGCCAGGAGTACACAAGCACTGCTCGTGTTAGAAACGACCAGAGACCAGACGACGGAGAATCTCTGCACGATAGGGAAAAACGGTCAATAGCGAGGATAACGCAGCCCCGCCTCACAGTATGTGCAAGTGGTGCAGCTATGGGGCATCTCCACTCGGCGAAGTGGACGCCGTGATGTCGCAGCAAAGCGGCAAATCACCGCATCAAGGGCTTGTGGCGTGCGTTCCGCAGATGGCAAAAACAGACAAAAAGGAAAAGGGAAGGGGAAAAGCAAAGCAGCAGAGCAGCTGGTTCCCATAGCTGCCTAGTATGAAGGATTTCCCCTCCTGTCTCGGGAGACGCGGTAATGCGCCTCCAAAACTTTGACGGGCAGCGATGCTTGATTCGCCGTGCGGCTGGCCAAGATCTCGGAAACAAGACCCTGTCAAGTTTAGCCACCGCCTTACTTGACAGCCAAGCAGGCGGTCGATTCGCTTCCACAGCGTCCACGTTCCATCTCCAGAGGAGCTCCTGTTAACGTAAGGGAGCAGGACAGCGAGGCCGATGCAAGGGAGCACTGCTCGTGCTACCACACTACTATACTGGAGGCAGCTACAGTAGCAGTAGGCGCATCATACTTTGTCAGAAGCATCGATTCGATGTCAAGAGTCGGTCTACGAGTCTGGAATAGGGCCGTCAGTAGCATGCATGCACTCCATATGGGGCTGAAGCTGAATCATCCATCACCCGCTGCCAGCGAGTCGACTCAAATCCTGCGAGACATGCGAATACGAAAAGCACTTGCTGTGCAGATGCAAGGAGTGCGTTCGAGATGCCGCCATCAATTCGACGGCATGGCAGTTAGCCAGGCGACCATGGCTGGCCGCGTGGTGTGGATGACGGTCTGGCTGGCGGTGGCTGAAGTCGCGAAGACGAGCCTTTGAGGCCAATCTGCCTGATCGGGACGCGGATTTCGGCCTGCCATGCCGCTACCGCGCTGACGCTAGGGGGGGCGCTGGCAACTGGCAGAGCGCAAGCTACAGCGCTCCACCCGCCTAACCAGCAGCCGCAAGCCCTCCGTTAGCAGCAGCCCACACACTGTACGGGCCCTCCTCACAGTACCTGTCCCATGTTCGGAGCACTGAGGCCCGCCTAACGTAAACTAGAGCCCTGCAGCCCAGCGGCTTCTTCCTCAGGCTGGCTTTTTGCCCCAAGAAGCCATCCATTAACAATCAGTTTTTTTCTCCTTTCATCATCGCCAGTCTTTGATATTGTTTTTCATCCTCCAGCATCACCACGCCTGGTGTCGACTCCCCTTTCCCGCGACCAACCTCTGGCGTGCGCGACGCCATCCGACTTCAAACGGGCCCTCCCCCGCCCATCCGTCTTAGCTCGATCGCCTGGCCGCCCTCTGTAGCCTTTTGCGATATTACGATTTCGATTATCATCGCCCGCTTGCTTCGTCATGTCAGGCCCTGAAAGCGCTCATGCTGGCGGCGGCTACGACCTTCTACGGAGGGCAACTCAAGCAATGATGTCAAAGTATGTTGGTTCTGTGTTTGTGTCTCTCTCTGCCTCCTTTCGGCCCTTATCCCGCGCTCTGACGGCATCCATGCCGTTGCGCTGAGCGCAATGGCCCCGCCATCGTAGCGGTTACTCACGATAGCCTTGCAAGCTACCAAGTAGTGGCTGAACCTTGAGAGCTATCCCCAGATACAAACATCCATCTCTTATTTAACAGAACACTCCCCTATTTGTTTATTTGTTTGGTTCATTGTTTTGTTTTGGCCTTTTTATGGAGAGGGGAAAAACAGAATGTATACAATGATGGCGACTGCTCCGAAAAAGACTTTTGGTGGAGATCTGGCGCTCAAGTGGCGCTGGCCTTGGGCACAATGCACAATGTCCGCGCTTGAAACAACCTCAGCTTGTCTACCCAGCGTCCACCCCAGGCTGCAATGTCTCGCTACTCGACGCCACGGATCAATCAACCTGGCATCATCGGTATCTACCGGGTTCTGTTTTGCCTGCGGCCGCTTTGCGGCTTAATAGCAGAGAAAGCGACGGCACTCAGACAACGCTTATCAAACACCGCCATGACACACCGATAGCGCGTCACATCTACGACTCCTCGTGTGTATATCGAGCGGGCTTGCACATGCCAATCGAGAAAAATTCTCTTGCCCATAAAAGCGTCGAGGGTTTGGAGCCAAGCTCGTCCTGGATATCACGGCTATTTTGCGGAACCAACGTCGTCATACCCTGGCGCATCAGCTCCTCGCTACATGCACCTACCCACGTCAAAAACCAGGGAACAGCGATACAGCTAGGAAAGCTTGTTAGTTGATCTTGGTTTGGCTGTCTTACTTGATCGACTTCCTGACTCGTGGTCAACCCCTCCAACACATACAACCCCTACTGCAGTGTTGTTCGAATCCGGCCGGCCAACCTTTTCTTCGGCAGACCCAAAGAAGAAAAGAAGAAGGAAAATGCCATTTTTCTAGAATTATCTGGACGCTCTGCTTGATAAGCTCGAGAGTGCCTTGGCCACTTTTTTTTTCCCGGCCTTGTCAACCCCGCCACGACCATGCTGGTTTTCTTTTCCCTGCCTTGATTCAAGCTTGGATATCCCCACCCGTCTAGATGGCCGTGCTGGAGCAATATTCGCATCGTCATTCCCCTTTTCCCTCGCGCTTGTTGCGCCCGGCGTTTGTGCATCCGGATCCGCTCTCGGAGGCTGGCCATCGCTGACTCCCCTCGCGCTGGACGGTCCGGGCTGCCTGGCCGGCGGTCTCCGTGTTATCCTCGTCCACTGTAATCCATCCTTCCCCCTAACGAGTTAGTGCACATCACGACTTCAATTTTCATCCACCGTTTCCTTGGCGCCTTGGGCCGCCGTGAACTAGTGTTCCCACTTCAATACCGTTTCCCCGCGCCAGTCTTGTCTTTTTGGCCTGACCAATGCTTTGATTTTTTTCTTTCTTTCTTCTATTTTTCCGTTTCAACTCTATTTTCTTTGTTCCGCCGACCATGCAGGGTACTGACCAACCTGCCAGAACCGCCGCGCCTGAGGAGGATGGTGCGGACCATATCGGCTACGAGACCCCTCGATCCGGCGTAGCCACTCCTCACCCCGACCCTCACGATAAACGCCTGCCCGGAATCATGACCTACTTTTCCCAGGTTCGTCAAGACCTTTCTGCAAGTCAGGAAAACTTTTCTACAATGTCAATTCCAGAGAGGCGCGTGTCCTCGGACCAGAAGTCAGACCAGCAGTTGCTGGGCTGCGTATGCAGAGAAATGCAGTTGCCTGAGCATGCTGAAGGCTCTCAGCCTTGCATGCAATCACAGCCCATAGAAGCTCACTCCCCGCGGTCCAAGTCCTTGGCTGTTCGCACGCGCGATAGCCAAGAGCAACTGAAGGGATCTACAACCTCCTTGCCAGCCCCCATCACTACACATTCATCCTCCTCCTCTTCTTCTTCTTCTCTGGGGTCTGCCACTCCAGAAACAACCTTTTCAGGCGGAGAGACTAGAAGCGTCAGTTCATCAGGCACTTCTAGCCGCTCAGAACCTGTAAAGTCTGGTGGTTGTTCGCAGGACCGCGAATCCTCCTCCCATACATCTACTACTTTTCCTTTGTCAGATACCACCGCTGCACCAGCTCCATGTTCCGTGTCACGTATACAAGCCCACAGATCTTCTTCTTCAACTTTGCAGTTGCATCGACTCAGCGTTGGGCTTGAGGCAGCTCAGGCTCCACCCAGCAAATGGTTTTCGCTTCAAGGACTGAAAGAGCTAACTCGTGGTCTCTTAATCAAGAGCGGCCCGCCTACCCCTACTAGAGCCCTCTCTACAGCCAACTCACAGTCAGATGGCAGGGACACTCCGAGCGGATCTAGCAACGATGGCGCCGAGACAAGTGGCACCGTAACCCCGAAGAACTCTGGCGCCGACGCTCCGGCAGCCAAGGGGAAATTGACCATCAAAATTGTCGAAGCGCGGGGAATACGCAAGAGCCGTGACCCTTACGTCGTTGCCGTGTTCCAACGTAGCGAACTGATATCTGGAGGACCCCATGCCATCGAAGAGGAGGAACAAGTGGTTGGAACACCTTCCGGACTTGGTTCCATTCCAATGAAGCGCCAAGTAAGCGATTCTGGCAGGCCCATGGCCATCCCGATGCGCAGCCGCCAGAGTAGCAATACTAGTATTAGCGACTACAACACTTTCCGCAACCGAACGTCTCGAACTCTCTTTTCAAGCCCGAAATGGGACGCAGAGGCAGTTTTGTAAGTTGTTCACTCCCCAACCGTTGGAGGGTTACGCTGACCGCCGATATAGCGACGTTGTCGACTCGGATATGCAGGTAGACATTTCGGTATACGACCATGCGGCTTCCGGAGAAGAATTCTTGGGCCATGTCAACCTCGAGGCCCGGAAGGACAGCCCTGTCAAGGGGTGGTTTGCTCTGCAAGGCCATGCGAACACCACCGTCGAGAATATACCAACGGGCGAAATATTTGTTGAGGTTTCTTACCAGAGAACTGAAAAGAAGCACTTTGGCCCAAGCGATTTTGAGATTCTCAAGCTTATCGGAAAGGGCACTTTTGGCCAAGTCTACCAAGTTCGAAAGAAGGATACCCAGCGGATTTATGCTATGAAAGTGTTGCAGAAGAAGGTGATTGTCCAGAAGAAGGAAGTGGCGCATACTGTGGGAGAGCGGAATATTCTTGTTCGCACCGCCACATCAGATTCGCCCTTCATCGTTGGGCTCAAGTTCTCCTTTCAGACACCATCAGAACTGTACTTGGTGACTGATTACATGTCTGGCGGAGAACTCTTCTGGCATCTCCAGAAGGAAGGCCGATTCGACGAGAAGCGAGCCAAGTTTTACATCGCCGAGCTGATCTTGGCAATCCAGCACCTTCACAACAATGATATTGTGTACCGCGATCTTAAGCCTGAAAACATTCTTCTGGATGCAAACGGCCACATTGCCCTCTGCGACTTTGGATTGTCCAAGGCAAATCTTACAAAGAACGACACCACCAATACCTTTTGCGGAACCACGGAGTACCTTGCACCTGAAGTTTTACTCGATGAGTCAGGATATACCAAAATGGTCGACTTTTGGTCGCTGGGCGTCTTGGTGTTTGAGATGTGCTGTGGATGGAGCCCCTTTTACGCGGAAGACACTCAGCAAATGTACAAGAACATTGCCTTTGGCAAGGTTCGGTTCCCGCGTGACACCCTATCTCAGGAAGGCCGCAACTTTGTCAAGGGGTTGCTTAATAGAAATCCCAAACACAGACTAGGAGCAACGGACGACGCTGAAGAGCTCAAGAGACATCCCTTCTTCAACGATATTGACTGGAATCTCCTGGCCAAGAAGCTCATTACACCGCCCTTCAAGCCCAAGTTGAAGTCGGCAACGGACGTCTCGTACTTCGACCCAGAGTTCACCACTGCGTTGGATCAGAATGGATCTCTTAACGAACGTGCTGCCGCGCTGGCCCGGGGATACGCTGCCTCCACACCTCTTTCACCATCGGTGCAGGCCAACTTCCATGGATTCACCTATGTTGATGAGAGCGCACTAGATGACCACATGCGCGATTTCAGAAATGACGACGAGCATATGGATGATGCCCACGCGAATGGTGACGATGATTGGGATAATCTAGATGATATCGATCCCCGCGCGTCCAACCGAATGAGTGGCATCGTTAGATCTGGACACGATGAGCAAATGGTTGGAGGCTCGCATTTTGACCCGTAAATGATACTTGATCGAACCCCAGGTAAAAATGGGAGTGGACGTGGTGGGCTGCATGGCGTTTGTTTATTTTCCGCTGTTTTTGTTTTCTTCGTGTCATGGCAATACAGGTCGACGACTCTTGTCCCTGAACAAAAAAAAAATTGATATCCCGAAAACAACCACGACGATGTTGATACGACCGATTAATCATATGGCATCTGCATTAGGAGGGGTTGGCTGGTTTTGCATTTTGCATTGTTCCATGGCTACTACATGTGCAGGAAAAGATCCTGGAGTTCAGGTTGAGCCAAAGATATACGAAGATGAATGGAACTCTTCAACGCATCAAAGACTACCTTGCACAACGACAGTGCGAAAGTCAGATGCAGATTCCAGAGTATTAAAAGAAAAAAGAAGAAAAAAACTACATGAAAGAGAAGAAGAAAGAGAAGACAAACAAATGATGTAACAAAAAAGGGAACCTCGGTCAGAGAGGAAATGAGAACAAGAAGAAAAAAAAGCAAATTAGCATGATTCTTTTCCTTTTTTCCACTTATCTTTTTCTTTTCTTTTGGCTGTTATTGCATTCCAAGCCCAGTAGGATTATGCTGCCTCCATATTCGTGTCTAGTCGCGCGCTCTAGTCAGGATGTGGTGTAATGATGGTGAAGCCTTCTTTCTGTGTCGACACGCATGTACATATACTTAATGGATGGGGAGAGAGGCTAACAGCGAAAGAATGATGAAATCACAACACATTGGCTGTCTTGGAAATGGGCTATTGTATATACTTAGTAATTGGCATGTGATGAATAATACGACAATAATACGCCATGGTGTTGAGATCTGCCTGGTATTGGCTACTCAAATGACACGGTACATGATGCTGCTTTGCTTTAGTTCTAGATCTTGGCGAAGTCATTCGTCTGATTGGTTCCAACTAGATGGTACGGAGTACCTGTATATCAATTACTTTGTTGCGTCGTTTCGTTATCACAAAAAAGAAATACGGTGTTACGTGAACTGGGTAGTTGAAACAGTCGTCACAATTTGAAGAACCTATGAGGCATTTGCATATCTTTGATTGATACTGGCATTCGAAACAATGTCCTACACGACGAGGCTGATCGATAAGGGGGGAAAAAATGTACAATGGGATTAAAAGCATCCCCGGCAAGCCGACATCTCCTTTGTTTCTGGCCATCATCAGCCTGGCCTGAAAATTATGGGTCGTCCGGTATGCCCAACTGCCTCCTCTTTGGCTCTTCTCTTGTCTTCATCCTCTAACTCTTCCTTTATAGCATAAACCGCTAAACGTCAAGTAAGCTTCCGCATTGACGATCTAGCTCCTCTCCTCGTTTTCCTCCTTCCTGATTCCCATGTGCTTCTAGTAACAGGGAATTCCCTCCATGGTTTTAATTTTTAGAAAAAAGGGCGATTCGTTTTTTAGTGGTGGGGCTCCTCCTCTTCCTCAGCCTCGAGCCAGTCGGGCAGCTGAGCAACACCGGTGGCAGACTGAGCGGAAGGATCCTGGCCCTCGATCTCAACGGCCATGGACTCGTAGGTCTTCAGGCTATCGGCGAGGTTGGCCTCCTCGGGAGAGGCAGGAGTCTTGGGCATGGTGAAAACCTGGACCTGGCCCTCGGCGTCGGCCTCCTTGACGGGGGGGACCTTGTAGGCCTTGAGCTCCTTGAGGTAGAGCTCCTGGACAAAGTCGGCTAGAAAGAAAGAGAGATGTTAGCAGCAGTCCGGATTAGCGCTGTGTTGCTGCATATGTATGTATAAGCAGGTTTAGCTAAGCCGGGGATGGTCGCTGCGGCGGAAATAGCGCAACACTTGCTGCGTTGAAATATGCGTCCCAACAAAAGGCGAGCATCGAAGCGATGAGATTGAGTGTGATGAGAGTGCTTTAATTTGTAACAATGCGGCGAGGCGGATGAGCGAATGGTAATTATCGGAGGTATCGGCTATAGCTGAAATGGCAAGAGTATACGTTCCACCTGGTTGTATTTCCACCGCAGCCGAACAGTAAAGAGGTGCAAGAAGTGGTCGGCAACCATCGGATGTTGGGAGGCATTCATTGGATAATCACATAAAGAAAAACACAAGGCGTAGTTGCATACCTCGTCGGGAGACGGTCGGGGCAATGAAGCCCCTCACCTGGACGGCATTTGCTCTGGCGGCGCGAGCAGCAACAGCGCGCTACATCAAGGAAACACGAAGCTAGTTAGCAATCAAAAACACCATCGGGTCATGCAGAGTGCAGCTGAAGTGCGTAAGGCTTTTTTGCATGATGCCGGGCCAGCGCATCGCATGCGGGGAGGGTGGGATGAGGTGATGACAACAAGAGGCGAGAGGCCGTGGAGAAGGCCGAGCATGGCCAGAAGAGGGTTTTTTTTTTCCTCGTCTGGCCATGGTGGTCTCAGAAACAGGAGGCGAGGGCAGAAACTCACAGAGGCCCGGGACAGTTGGCTGAGCATCTTGATCTGGCTTGGGAGTTGCTCAATTGGCGGCGAAGAGGGCGGACCCGGAGGGCGAAGGCGGTTCTGGGGGGAGGAGGATGGAGACAGGCTGAGGGTTTTGTGAAAATCGTGATGCCGACCTTTGGCGACTTTCTCTTTTCCCGGCTAAGGCCTGTCCGCTTCGTCACGCGGAGCGCCGGGCTTTTTTTGTTCCCTGGCTGCCGCGCTGCTCGTTTTGCAATTTTCTTGCTGCCTCAGGCTCTGTGGGCCCATCCACTGCTGCTGAGTCCACTGTATTTTTTTTATTTTTCCCGCTAAGCCCACTAATTTTCGAGCTGTTGCACCCCGCCCTGCAGTGCAGTGCTTGAGCAGCGCGGGAGCGCAATCCCTACCTTGGCAAGGTGCACGTGACTCGGGAGAAGTCGCGCAGAGGGAGCTGCACGACGTCAGTCTCGATCCACACAGTTTCGATCAAATCGGCCGATGGAGCATCGTATCTGCGTGCATGCAAAGCAAAGCAAAGCAAAGCAAAACAATTGCTGCATCTATGTAGAATGAATGTGCATACATACAGTTCTATACCACATGCACCTGTGCATACAAAGTCAAGCGAATCGGCTGCAGCGAGTGGGTGGGAAACACTCGATCCCGTATAAGCGCCCGGATCGATCATGCAGAGAGACTAGACCAGACCAGTAGGAGCTCCATCCAGCCACATGCATGCATTGCACCAAGCACGAAATACTGGGCAGACTTGTATACTTCTCCTATTTTCCCGGTGTTGGCGACAATTCAAAAATGGCATGGACAATGAAATCTGGTTCAATTGAATGACCAGATACATGTACTCTCCCATAACTTCATGTATACAATACCATCTACCCGTAGTATTGAGTACATCTACATCTATATACGGTAAACAGTCTAATGCAATCTACGTCCATCACTCATTCATAAGCCCTGCCCCTACGATCTACCAGCTTTTAAATTTAAAAACGATCATCTCCCAAATCAGCTTCAGGTGTATGCCTACCATTACGATAGAGGCTCCAATCCTTTTCGGCTGAGTTTACACATTTGTTATAAAAAAAAAAAAAAGCACGAATTACTGTGAAGAATCAATTCATAATCGAAAGATCAACTAGATTGTTCACTACATGTCATACTTGTTCTAGGTCCATAGAGATTTCTCGGTATATAGTCGTTACTATCCCGGCTACATATAATCACTTTATGCATCTACCCTGTTCAAAATCCAGGAGCATCGACGGTTAGAAAGAATCAGCGCCAGCAGAAGATTGATTGATTGAAATTGGCTCTTATAGTATTCTCTCAAAATGTTTCATCATTACGGTGGTACAATTTAGGGAATCATTTTGAATGATAAAAGTTTTGATTATGCCACGTCGTAAAGCGTGAGCTGCCTTGTGCAAACATCTTGTCTACACCTCTATATACATGTGCTGCTCGGTAATACATGTAGTCATTTCCATTTCCTGTAGTAGCGACCGATTTTCCCAATCCATGACATTATTCATCTCAAAAACGCCGACAGACATACCACACATGTATGTGTAGGTGTATGTGTGAATATATTATAAACGCGGGTATAACATTGGCATAAAGTTTGCCTTTTTTTTTTCTCAAAACCATTCTTCATCTCAGACCAGCATCGTATATTCCAAGTTGTTCTCCTCTTTCTTCTCATTATGAGGAGCTTGCATCCTTTGGTTGCTGTCGGCTCCTGCGGAGTACTGTCCATCCAAGGGTAATAGAGGCCACATAGATGAATGACATGACTCCAGCCACGACAGAGTAAGCAATGATGTAGCGAGTAGGAGCGTTGCCGAGCTGCAAGCCAAGACCACCATTGACGATGCCGATAATCATCAGTGCTCGTCCATACCAGCAGTGAAGATGGCCAAAGATGCCGCGAGACTGAGTCTTGAGGTAGTTGATGTGGTGGATCAAGCCGAAGATGGGTTGCAGACTGATGAGACAAACGAGAATGACTCCCAAGCGAGTGTGGGCTTGTTTGAAGAACTATTAAACAGAATTCACTATCAGTTTTTACCCTAAGGAGAGAATGAAGCAGGGAAAGATTGATTTTCAAACTTACTTGGTCCTCCTGTCTGGCAACAAACACGCCGATTCCGAAGCCAGCCCACATGCCCAAGAAAGCAATCGTCTGCCACGATGCATGAATGTACCACTTTCCAATCAGGGGCATCAAGCTGGAGCCAAGAGGATACAGGATGACAAAAACGACTGACATGAGGACGCCGTGGGCAGTGGCCAGGGTTTGGTTCGATGAATTGTTCGAGACACCAGAAATCGCACCGCTGCTGCTGCCGTCACTGCCACCATCACCGTCACTATCGCCATTGCCAGAGCCAGAAGAGCCACCAGAGTTATTTCCGCTGCTACTTCCGCTGCTGCCGGTGCTAGATCCGTCAAATGGGTTCGAGTCGGAGCTGATGCTAGCCTTGGCCAGGTTGACCTGGAACAGAGCCACGTTGTCATGCTGGTCAATATTGGCCGCCGGGTTTGTCGAATCCAAAGAGTCACCCGACTTCCACGCCGAAATCCAATTCGTCTGGCCAGAGAAGTCGAGTCCTGTGCACTTACTGCACTTAACATTGGCCACCATGTTGCCATCGACGACGCCAGAGCCCGCCAGGAGCTCAACGTCGCTTCTCGCTTTGTAAGTCGGCATGACGTGGTTGGCACCGGGCCTCGTGCTGAGCGTAACGTTTCCCTTGCCGTCCTGGTACATGATGAACATGTTTGAGTCCGACATGGAAGTGCCGATGCCGAGTCCGATCCATTGCCACGATGTCGGGGCCTTGAGCTGGAAGAAGATGTCGCCGGATCCTGCCTTGGCGGTGGCGTCGGGGACTCCCCATTCGAAACAGACTCCGGTATTGGGGCAGAAGGAGGTAGCAGCAGCTGAAGCAGCGCCGATATCTTGAGGTGGAAATCATGTTAGCAATAGATAGTATAGAGTAGATGTATAGATTTTGAGACCTACTGAGAGCGGCAGCAGCAGCAGCTACGGCCGTAGCTTTTGAGAACCACATAACGTTTGTTTATGAGACGTAAAACAAAGACAAGCTAAGCTAAGAAGAAAAGATAGAATAAGACAACGTCTGAAGGGGGTGTGCGGAAGGGGATCGATCAAGTTTATAACAAGAACACCGCCGAGAGTTTGTTAGTGGCATTAGTATACAGGTACGACTTAAGCAAGAGAAGCAACCGTTCAACAAGCCTCACACAGAGGAAACGATTTGAAATTTAAAGTGTTCCAGACCCTATCCTTAAGAGCGCGATAGGAGGTGGCCTCCCACAAGGGGTGGGTGAGTTGGGGGGGNGGGGGCGTGTGTGCGTCGAGAATTCATTCATGCGCCTCGGCCCCTGCAAGCTCGATTGCTATTTTTGCTCTCTCCAGCTCCGGGGACCCTCCAGCCTTACGGCGGACGGGCACTGTTTTCGTCACTAGACTTGCCCAGTATGGGTCCTGTAATAGGTATTACAAACGCTGGCATTGCTCGAATCTCTCCGGTTTGGAATCGAGACAGGCCGGGCCCCGGTCCTTGGGTGTGTGGTTTTGGTCCATGATGATGCTCGACGAGGCACACAGAAGCTCCGGGAGACGTGGATGTCACGATTGTATCAGACGCCTCTATCTTAGAAGGATGCAGTTGGCATTAGGAAACGCCCATTTTCGGTGGCACAAGGTTCTTGCATACATAGATAGGCATTGGCTGCCATACTAGTTTCAAGTTTCAAGTACACGCAGCCTGGTCTGGGGTCGGGTTGCAGCTTGGCGGAGGGGAAACCAAGGCCTAGAGCTGGATGCTAGGTCTCAATAGCAAGCAACTACTAGGCCTACAGGAGTATTTCTGCACTCAGCTAGCGGGAAACGCCCCATTGTGTAGTCCCAAGGCAGTGGATGGGGGAATCTAAAGTGCGGGATGGTACGACGACCACGGCATTCCAAGCTGTGATTACTTTTACCAAGGTATTTTCTTCCAGCCAAGGGCCATGCTTGGCTTTGGCCCATTGGCACCAGTAAACGCCTCGACAAATGTAATCTGTGACGCTGGTTGGAGCAGCCGGTAGCCTGGGGCGTACAGATAGTTTACTGGGCACAAATAGTCGTCTTGAAACAGTTTCTGTGCCAGTATCATTAGTTCCAAGCCACAGCCGCGCACACCAATAAGGTTGGTGTGCTTGGCGAACCCTCATGGCTGCATGTTCTTGTATATCGTCAATCTATCCGACTATCTTCGTCTCTCCTTTGTTCTCGTTTCCCCTTATCTGCTCTACTCTTCCTCCCCCATAAGGTGCCTATCTCAACCTCCCGGCGGAACAACCTGCGAGTGATCTACAACATAAACCACGTCTCAAGCAGACCCGACGGCAGACACGGCACAAACTGACGATAACAACCAACTAGGAAGTATCACAGAGCAGCCTTAACGCCGACATCGTGATGCACAAGCAATGATGACGAATGAGGCGCAGGGCAGCTCCCAGGTGCGTTGGCTAGCGACCTCGCGGGCGTCTCTTATTTTCCTCTTAATCGTTTTTCCCCTTCTCATCTCACCGTTTACCGCAATCTGCTTCCCTAGCGGTCGGAAAAAAAAAAGAGAGAGAGGGACAGGGTCTAGCGAGAATAGTATCTCAAATACCAAAGCCTGGCCAAGAGCTTTAATGCTGACTGTTTTTGACCCGGCGGGGGATCTAACCCTCCGAGACGGAGCAACATCTAAAAACACCAGATCGATCCTGGCGGGCGCCCAAAAGACTCGCCAAAACGTGCCTGGCTGCGTTTCAATTGTGGATTGTTCCCGTTAATAATACAATTGTTGAAATCACAAGGTTGCAAGTTCTTTAAATTTTTGTGTTCTTTTGTTTTGTTTTGGTTTCAAACTCTCCCAGCCAGCCACCATTATGGGCACCGACCTAGCCGCGTCGGCCTCGTGTAAGCCAAGCCCAAAAGAACAGGCACCGCACCGCACCGGACACACCCACCTTTTAGAAGAAAAGCTTCTTTTCTTTCTTATGCTTGCACTGCCTCGCTCTGCCCGACGCCAATCCCGCGCAGCTGTCCTGGTATAGGCAAGGTGTAGTCACCATGGCTTTCTCGTAAAATAGAAAGAGTAGTAGACTATGTGAACCTTGAACCACGTGTGGACCTGCAGGACTGGGAATAAAGACTTCGTGATGCGCGAAAAATGGCTGATTTAGTTAGGAATACGGGATCAAACAAGTATAATTCGGGGCTGAAAGAAATGCCGGACTGTGAATAGAGTGTCTCCTGTTTTGTTTCCCATGCAGCATGAACGGAGCTCCCTGCCACCATCTGCCGGCGCTAACTATGTCGTCGAGCTTGTCATATTTGGTCCATTAATATCTCTGGAAATGCTGCTTACACGCACTTACACGTATGGAGCATCTTGAGCCATGTCATCACGGACCACTAACACGGCCCCGTATACAAAAACTACGCTTCCGGATTTGGCTATTATTTTTCCCAAAATCTCCCCTCTTCTTTGTATATTTCATTGAAAAGTCCCCTGGCTTTGCGATCGTCGTTTTCTTACTCGTCCCACCGACTGCTTACTCCTTGGAATAGCCATCAATTAAGGGGGGTGTGTGCGTTTACCATCCCCGATGTTACATTGAATACAATAGGTACTTGTAAGACGACCTGCTATTAGTACGAGATATTCGAGGAACCATTAGTAATTTCACGAATGCCGAATCCTTTTCTAACATAGGTCCAAGCTAAAGGGGTGAAGTTGACAGGCTGCTAATAGATATTCGCTGCCAAATAGTTGTATCCGTCACTTTGAGGTCGGCATCACCCTTGCCTGTCATGCCATCTACAGAGCAGATCGGTAATACTATTATACCCTGGCCGTCCGATCAGCAAATCTGACAAAGATCCACCAAAGACAAGAGAATGGGCACTCCGTATTTTGTCGAGTCAGTGATTTCACATTATCACATTACTATCCGGGTCTACATATAAGCGCCTACGCAGTAATCTCGAAAACATAAACCTCTGCCAGCCTGCTTCGGGAACAGCATCACTAATGGTACGTACCTGGGCATATCGACGAATGGTAAGCTCCCTATTACCTATATTGCCCGCCTATCCAAAAATAGGGGCAGCATGTACCAAGAGTTGCAGCAAGACGCATAAGTGACAGCCAGCTGTTGTCGATCATACCAGTACAAGTAGGCAATAGCACCAATCGCTCCATTCGTCTATCTGAGCTGTCGACTATAGTCAGCTACCTCTCGATTCTAAGCTTCTCTGCCAGCGTATGTATGTGTATGTAGACAACATTGTCTATCCTGATTCTTTCTAGGTTCCATTAATGAACCCCTGTCCAAATGCCGTTCTCGTTGTCTCCTAATACTGTGCTCACGCAGCACTGCCTCTAATCTATGAACGACTTGTCAAGTAACCTCCGCTCTCGAGCAAGCTCGATGAGGCCACAAAGCTAAATCCACCAAACATATCATCCTTGGTTGGACTACCAGGCCAAAAGTCTCTCGAAGTCACTGTAGGGCTCAGTGACAGTTCAGTGAACTCTGGTGCAAAATTCTCTGCCAGTTCAGGGTCTGTAATCATAGGCTGGATGGGCGGCTCCACCTCTCGTGCTGCCAGCTTCTTCCAATCAATCTTACGGAAGAATCTATGGTTCTTCATTGTCTGCAGGTCCTTGGGCATCACAGCACCCAGTCGTTTACCTGGATCTTTCCTTAGGAGCCTAGTGAGAATATCTTTGGCATCCATGCTAAGGTAATAAGGTAGTACGAGCTTTTGCTTGATTATGTTCTCCTGAATCTTAGCATGGTTTCCTCCCCGGAAGGGCGGGTTACCCGTCATCAAGTCGTATGCGAGAGCCCCAAATGACCACCAATCTGCGGCTTTGCCGTATTTCTTTCCTTGAATCACCTCGGGGGCCATGTATTCAACGGTACCCAAGATGGAGTTGCAGCTGTCTTCCGACTGGTCGACCGCAACCTTTGACAGTCCAAAGTCTGTCAACAAAAGATGGCCATCCGCATCAAGTAGGCAATTTTCCGGCTTAAGATCGCGGTATATCACACCAAGAGTCTGATGGAGATGGGAAATAGCCAGAAGCATTTCGGCCATGTAAAAGGCGGCCACTGACTCGGAAAACATCTTCTCCGTATTGAGATGAGTGAACAACTCTCCGCCCTGGCCGTATTCTAGAATAAGATACAGCTTCTCTTGGTCCTGGAAGGCATAAAAGAGCTTCACAACAAAGGGATGACGGTTCACGGACTCCAAAATCTGTCGTTCAGTCTTAGTTTGCTCAACCAGCTTCTTGTGGACGACTAAAGACGCCTTCTTGAACTGTTTCTGTGCGTAGAGCCTTCCCGTTGACCGTTGCTTCACCAGCACAACTGTGCCATAAGTTCCTTTGCCAAGGCATCGAAGCGACTCAAAGTCATCAGACGTCATTTTGCGTTTCGGGTTCAGTCCGCCTTCTAGGGGCTCCATGAAAGATCTCTCCCGCACACTCTCGCTCACAAAGTCGTTCTCCAGGTTGACCTCATAGCTCGTCGACCCACCATCAGACAGCTCACTGCCCGTTTCACTTCGAGCCCCATCTCGGCTCTGGGAGCGACTTGTCGGCCCAAAGCCAATTCGAGAATCCAGACGAAGGCCATTGCGAGACAAGGATGACGAACGGGACGCTGCATCGAGGCTCAGAGGATCCATTTGCAAACGCAGCTTGGCGATTCCCGAGACGGTTGGTGATGCCGTTCCGCGCAAAATCGGGCTACAATTGGCGCTTACAACGTCGTCGATGCGCGGACGGCCTCGACGGACGGACAGACGTGGCGTATCACAGGCGCCATTATCGGAATCTTCATCCCCAGATGCCACTGGCGTCACCTGAAAGCCGCGAACAGTGGAGAGTGCCACTGGGGCAGCGTGCGATGCGTGGTTGATCATGATTGCAGGGAGTACAGAGTACAGCCCAGTATATGTAGATTTATAGTATTAACAAGGTGCGACGGTCAAGAGCCTCTTGACCCCGTCGCGAATCGAATGGCTTTCACGGCGTGCCGCGGCGACGCTCCGGATCTACACGCTGCGCGGATTCGGTTTGACGCTGGGCCTCAGGGTGTCTCGAAACACGCATCTGGTACCTGAAAAAGGACGTTGGCAAGTCAGAGGTTTCTTGTATATGCATTTGTAAGTATCCTTCTTCACAAAGGGAGAAGACGCAGAGGTGAAGCTGTGTTTGTATCACCAAAATGGTGTAGAGAAGGGAAAGAAAAAAGGGAAGGGGAGCGAGGGAAGCAGCGGAAGAGGGAAGCGAATATTTTTAGTAATTGGATCACCAGAGCGCAAAAAGTGCTGCAGGTAGCCTCACTATCGGGCGCTCGCTATAACCCTTGTAAGCCCTTGAAACCTTCCTTGTAGGGCCGCGGGGTACAGCGCGCTGCTCCAGCGTTTTCACTGGAATTACGGAGCACATGTCAGCGCCGATGGGCCTAAACCTTGTTAGGGCAGACATTTAATAGGCCAAGATGCCTTGCATTGAACTGTTTACAAGCTTTTGGTGCCACTTAAAAAAAAAAAAAAAAAAAAAAAAAAAGTTGCGATGGAGCATAGACTATGATCAATGTGCTTAGAGCAAATGAAATTCTCGCTCTATCATAGCTAGCATCTATTTCACCGCCCTGGCCTGAGAATCGCAATGTGCTTGTGCCGTGAAAGAGGCATTTGCGTGCATCCTGAATCATAATCCTCGAGCATCCCTCATCTGACTTGCCAGCATAAGACACAGGGGAAAAATGCAATCTCAGCATTCCTGCGTCCAGGTGCTGCGCTACTCGAGCTGCAATTGGCCCAGCGCTTGCACATGCTTATTTGGCCGTGCCAATGGATAACTAATAGATACTAATAGATCATCCCGTAGCGGCTACTCCGTCCAGATGATGGTGTGCGCTTCCTCCGACAACCTGGTCGGTGCTACCTACTCTGGGCTCCAAAGTATGTTGGTTGTTTACTGGATAAAGCTCAGTGTGTTTTTCCCCTGGTACAGCCAAAATCTAATATCGACATATTCATCCTAAATAAACATCCTACAAGACGCTCACTTTAGCCAGGCGCTTTTTTTTTTCTTGGCCACAACACAGGCTTACGAATGCTGCTGCTAATGATGTGACCTGACTTGTGTAAGGGGGTCCGTCTGCAATACGACGTGGACAAGCTTGACTTGCTGGATCTGTCGTCGACTTGTGGCAAACATGCTAGCTTGCTGCATTTCCTAGGCACGGCTAATCGCGGACTGCCAGACATGCACTACGGAGTACGTGGAGACGTGAAGTAACAACAAAGCGGTTTTCCTACGCCTTGTTTCGTTTTCTTTCATCAGCTGTTAGGCGCAATTACTTGTATGTAGCTCGTCTGTCTCTGCTCCAAGTCTCTTTGCCTCGCCTCATGTGATTCTATTGTAAGCCTCGATTGCTACCTAGGCACGACAAGTGCGACGTCATAGGTTTGAATACTCGATCGGAAAAATCTGTCGCAGGAAATGATGGTATGCTACAAAAAATGATCACTCTTTCTCTCTCAAGGTAATATTAAATCTACAAATAGTAGAAACAAATATGGAGGAGTCCCGGTGGGCATGGTGCATGTACGTGAGCATTGTGCTTGCATAAAAGCTGAAGTGCTCTGTGTACTATTTCTTCTTACATAATCAAGGCCCGCCAATGGGCTGTGGTTTCAATTTTCTAGAGCTCCAAGCTTAGGCAAGACTCACGATGGCACAGAGCCACCACTTCGCCATTTCAACGACATCCAGAGCTGCCTTGCTGTCCGGCCAATGAATACACCACAATAATCTTTAATATTTATTCCATTTCCTTGATTGATCCTCTAAACTGAGTCCCTATATCCACATCTCGGCTATTCCTCTCGTTATTCAACAAAGAGAGCACGCTCTCATCACGACATACCACCTTTACCTTCTTCAGACTCAATTTCCAAGATGATACATCCGTCACGGCAAGCATACGTGGAGGAAGCAGAGCAAAGCACGGGCATTGCTCTGGAAGACCTCCCAGAAGATCATGACTACGAAATGAACATGGGCGATGGCGCCCCGCCCGAAAAGGCGTCTGCCATCCTCAGCCAGTTCAATCGAAAACGACTTGCTGCCACCATTGCTGTCCCTACCGACGATGGCCGAGTTCGTGCCAGGTTACGGGAAATGGGAGAGCCCATGACGCTCTTCGGCGAAGGACCAGCCGACCGCCGAGACCGACTGCGAGAGCTTCTCACGATACAGGCAGAAATGGCTGGGCTTGAGAGCGGCGACATAACCATGGAGGATGCCGACGAAGCAGAAGAGGAGGAGCAAGAGGAGGAATTCTATTCGAGAGGAGGCCCCGAGCTACTACAAGCCCGCATCAACATAGCAGAATTCTCGTTGCCCCGGGCAAAACGAAGGACGGCGTTCCAGAAAGCAGAATCTACAATCCCCTTGCGGACACATGTCAAGTTCCGGAAGCAAATCAAGGAGCGATTACAGACATTTGAGCTGCAAGGCAGTCAGACTGTTGGCGAGAGGCATATAAGCATGACGAGATTCTCTCCCAACGGAGAACTGGTCGCTGTTGGTAACTGGGGTGGTCAAGTCAAGCTGGTTGAGATACCAAATTTGACGGAGAAGATGAGCTTCCGTGGGCATACCAATAAAATCAGTGGCCTCTCGTGGTTTCCTGGAGCTACCTTGCCTGAGAGCGGAGTTTCCCCAGACTCTGTCAACCTTGCCTCGGGCGGTGCCGAGGGAATGATCCATGTATGGTCTTTAAACCAAGACACCCCCTTGTCAAGCTTCAAGGGGCACTCGCAGAGGGTTTGCCGAGTGGAGTTTCATCCATCTGGCCGGTACCTCGCATCTGCTTCGGAGGATACCTCATGGCGACTCTGGGACGTGGAGTCAAATGCTGAGCTCCTGCTTCAAGAGGGCCACTCCCGTGGCGTGTACGCCATTAGTTTTAACACGGATGGCTCTCTACTCGCTAGCGCCGGCCTGGATAGCATTGGAAGAATATGGGATCTGCGGTCAGGACGCACTGTAATGATTCTCGACGGTCATATGGATGGACACATCAAGCCAATACACGCTTTGGACTGGAGCCCCGATGGACACCGAGTTCTGTCCGGCTCTGCTGATGGGTGGATCAAATGCTGGGACGTCCGGAAAGTACAGAGGTCTGGTGGCATTGGTGCTCATAATAGCGCTGTTTCCGACATGCGTTGGTTCAAGGGCTTGGACGACCCTCTACTCGGAATTCCACCGGGACAAGACGAGAAGGGAATGCAGCTACCGAAGAAGGCAGGGACATTTTTCGTCTCTAGCGGATTTGACCGAAACGTGAAGATCTTCTCAGCTGATGATTGGACCTTGGTGCAAACGCTGAGCGGGCACACTGCTCCCGTTGCCAGTGTAGATTACAGCAGAGATGGACGGTGGATTGTAAGTGGAGGGCACGACCGCACAGTGAAGCTTTGGGGAAGAAGTGACGGCGAGGCGATATAGTCAAGATTTCTATACTTAGATTTTGAGTGGAATAATTGGAAAATCGGAATTGATACCCAGGTTGGCAAAGCAAATAACAATTACCTACTACTACATACATGATGGCAAGATGAACATGAAGAGGTAGAGGTACTAACTACCTAGTAGTATACTATGTGGTTATCACTTACAAGTGACCTTGCCTTGATTAGTCATGTGATAAGTGGCTCCAGATTAGATAACAGGGAACCGCAATACGTACTAGCCCAACCACGACCTTTGTACTCGTTCGTCGCGCCAGCGCCAGACTCCGTCATGACGTCCCAGCGACTGCGCTCAACAAAGTGAAAAGGAAATCAGGTTCATCCCTGCAGCAAAGTTCTCCATGAACTTTCACAGTCGCCGCCTCCATTCAATTTCCAACGTGACCTAATCGTCCTCAGCAATGGCAAGCATCGACCGCTATCGCCCTCCGCGAGAGGGATATCAACCTCCTAGTCTTCAAGGCTCTGCGCGCCATGAAAGGCCATCCCGATCGCCTCCTGGACGTCGCGAAGTCCCTCCGGCTGCACCTACGCCCCCTCAGCACAGCGCACGTACATCTCCTCCACGACCACAGGCGACATCCAGCCAACAGACTCCGTTGCGATCCGGGGAGGAAACGCCGTTGGCGCTGCCGAATCAATGGTTTTTCACCACGGACGAGGTTCACAGCACACCCTCTATCATTGACGGAATTTCTCCCTCGGAAGAGAGGCTTCGCAGAGCAAAGGGCATCAACTTCATATACCAGGCTGGCGTGATGCTCGATCTACCGCAGATTACACTATGGGTTGCCGGAGTATTCTTTCACAGATTCTTCATGCGCTTCAGTATGGTTCAAGAGAAAGGCGGCATTCATCACTACGTACGTCTCTCTCTTTTTCTTCTTGCTCCGCATTTTTTGAGATACATGACAGACCATTCTGGTCCTCATAAATTTTCCATTTATTCAATTGGTAGCGATGCTAATTTTTTTTTTATTTTTTTATCCAGAATATCGCCGCAACTTCTTTGTTTCTAGCAAATAAGACGGAGGAAAATTGCAGAAAAACCAAAGAAATTATCATCGCCGTTGCTAGAGTGGCTCAGAAGAACACGAAATTGATTATTGATGAGCAGAGCAAAGAGTACTGGCGATGGAGAGACAGTATATTGACATATGAAGAAGTCATGCTGGAACAACTTGCTTTTGATCTGATGATCGACAATCCCTATCGCCATCTTTTCGAGCTTCTCGGACAATTGGAGGTCATCCATAACAAACACCTGCGGCAGGCAGCCTGGGCATTCTGCAACGACGCATGCCTTACAGCCCTACCGCTGTTGATTGAAGCAAGGGATGTTGCCATCAGCTCCATCTACTTTGCTTGTGCCCACACAAATCAACAGATTGATGATGTGAATGGCGAAGGCTGGTGGAAGTACCTAAAGGGGAGCGAAGACTGCTGTACAAAGGCCATCGAGGTGATGCGTCAGTTCTACACGGAGAACCCGCTTAGAAAGCAGAACCCGTCACTGCCATCACCTGCCTTCCACCTAGAAAACACAAGGAGGCGAAATGACGATCTTTCATCCAACGCTGCAACACCGATGGAACTCGACCGAGAAAGCCACAGTCCAGCCCCGAAGACAAACGGAGGGACAGACAGACGCTCAAATGGGAAGGACAAGGAAAACGACTCCCTAAAGGTACCAGGTGATGGCGAATACGCGCCACGATCGCCTTCCAAGAGAAAGGATGCAGAAGTCGACATGTCTGCGGAGAGTGAAAGAGCTGAAAAAAGGGCCAGACTCTCGGAAGATGAGGAAGGCGAGCTGGTTGAAGATTAAGTCCTTAGAGCAGATGAGTTATCTGTATCCCTGCTATGATGGGTTTGGCGTTGGGGTTATTATCACAAGCATTTTCTTTGCGCCAGCACGACGAGACGGTCTCAGCAAAGATTTGATGTTTCTCTTTTATGTTTCAGGCAACGCTACGATCTTGAAGATGGCGTTGGGGCTCCTTTCTTTCCTTTTTATTCCCCGCAGCTAATTGTATCAATCGACCTAACATGTTGGATAGAGACTGCCGCATAGGCACAATGGTATAAATGTTACGTATTCAAGCTGGAGGTTAGGTGTGTTTTTTTGGTGGAAACTGGACAGAATTTGATATCCCAACCAAATGCAAAGGCTAAAAATAGTTTGATATGTTGAGCTTGGTAAATTCAACAGTGTTATGCTATGCGAAGTATCAGCCAAGTACCTCTAGTACCTAATGTACCGACAGTATCTCAACTTTGGAACATCAGGTTAGAGCTACGAAATGGGAAACCTCCGTTTGCTTTTGCAACAGCGCAGTCTTACTCAGCTGCTGCCTGGAACGCAAACGGCTGAAGGCGAAGTCACCTCCCTCCAATTAACGTTTCCAATTCTGCCACTGCCAGAGCTCTGACCGCCCCTAGGAGGCAGCTGCCTGGAAACTATAAAGAGGGCCATCGCCCGCCAACATCTTTCACTTTTTTTTCTCTCTTCTTTTCCTTCTCTAGCTCTCTTTGCCAATGGCTTAGATCAAGTGTAGTATCTGTTCTTTTCAGTTTAATCTCTGAAATGCCTCTACTGGAGGCAACTTCGTGGTTAATCTCATTTTTGGTTGTTGAGCGGGATGTCCTCTGTGCTTGCGCATGATGTTCTGCTCACTGTGTCCCTGGTATTACACTGCTTCCGGGCGACGCGACCTTTTCATTGCTTGCGTTGGCTTGTCCAGCGAGGTGAAGAAGAGGGTCTATATATGTAGATTTTGTAGGTTTGCAGGCGTTCCGAGTCAGAATTATCAGAATGCAAGTCACAAAGCATGGAATTAGCACGGTTGCGTACGTACTGTGCATAAGTTGAGGTTCTTGGCTGGCGTTGGCGCGTCGAGGATACCAGGCTGGTCAGCTATAATTCCCCTAGAATTCTCAGTAGATATGGTATACAAGTTCTACCACCTCTCGTAAAACCTCCTCTCTGCTTCACTGCCCGCGTTTTTCGTCAATTTAAGACAAAAAAAAAATACAAAGTCGAAGCTCGTCGAGTTTCAGCGACATTCCGTCTCGAAGTCTCCCAGAATGTCCCAGAAACAGCTTAGCGCGACCTAGAGCTATGGTGCTTTGCTACAAAAAAAGATCACCATAGCTTCCACTTAAACAATCTCTCGCCAAGCACCATCAACCAACCGAACCATCTATACCACCGCTCTTTTTCGCTACGGATTGTTCAGTTCGGCTTTGAGAGAGCGTTTATTTGCGGTGCTCCGAACACAATGGCCACTCTAGGAGGCTATCTCAACAGTGAGCACCGCGCCCCTCGTCCAACCCCGCAGGCAACCAACCCTCATTGATCTTGAACTAACGCTTTGTTGTGCTGCAGAAAAGGTCTTGATCGTGACGGCAGACTCGCGAATCCTTGTGGGGGAGCTGGCGGCATGTGATGCGTCGACAAATCTGGTATGCAATTGTCCTCTCTCGCCCTTTGAGAGCTCTTCCCGAAAGCTGCTTCTTCGCCTCTCCAAGACAAAAGGCAAAATGCTGACCACTTTGTGCTGTATAAGGTCCTGAAAAACGCATTGGAGCGAATTATCCGGACACCTGACGATCCAGAGCCATCAGCCGAGGTCCCTCTGGGGCTGTATCTCGTGCGAGGCGACAACGTTTGCTCGGTCGGCCTGGTTGACGAAACGCTAGACGATAGCATAGACTGGACACAAGTAAAGGGTTCGGTAATAGGAGGAATCAAACATATTTAGAAATCAGCTTTCAAAGACCGTCCTCTGAGATACCATGGGCAGCGAGTTTGGGGGGGTTGAAAGTAGAAAAAGAGAAAGAGAAGAACCATTTAGACTTAATTTTTGTTTTGGGTACGGGATCATTAGGCACAAGGAGCGCCTGGAGTTAGGATATACACATGAAAGCCTTTCTGCAAAGGGTACGAATTTATATGAATTTCATATTTTAAGATTATTCTTTTTATTCTGAACTGGTTTTGCTGACATGGCTCTCTATCTAAAGATTTAAACAACGCTACACTACCCAAATACGCGCTGCATCCAGACCTCCTTGAAGGTGTGCTCTCCGGGAGTTCCAATCACCCGTCTGATTCTGTTTCCCTTGCGAACACTCAGCCATCCCATTGTGTCACCAGGGACCTCATCCAGGGTGACGAGATGGGGATCAGCATCAAGGTCCTCCGACAGATCCACCAGAGCAGCCTCGCCGGGCTTCGATCTAACACGCTTGTCCAGGATATATGATCCTTTAGTCCACTGTCCAACTGTCTCCACTCGGAGATCTTCGGGCTTCGCGGGCACCTTCCATCGAGGATCGTCGTGGGTCAGCATATACCAGACGGTGAAGGGATCATGCAGCGCCAGGGCCGGCTCGTTGCCATCACCCTCCATAGAGTCGATCTTGTTGAAAGCTCCGTTGATGAAGTGGCTGGACCATCGAGCAAGAGGGCTGCCGGCATCGATGTAAGGCTGAACCTTCTCGGCGAAGTAATTCTTGTTGATGGCATGGCGTTCCGTGATGTCCAGTGGGCACAGGGTTACTGTAAGCCGGCGAGAGAGCTTCGCAGGGTACGGCTTAATCGAGACGGTGCTGGGAATAGGGGGCATCGTCGATGCAGGGTTAGGCGATGAAAGGGCATAGACAAGAGCGGCGGCAAGGGGATCCGCATAGGTGTTGAACTCTGCTGAGGGAGTGACGTTACCAGGGACCTCGACGGCTCCGCCCATGACTACCAGCTCCTTGACCTTGAGGAACGTCTCAGGGTCCTCGGTAGCGGCCAGCGCAACGTTTGTGAGGGGCCCAACGGCGAGAATGCTGATGGTGTCTGCAGGGTTCTCTCTAAGAAGACGCAGCATCTCTTTGTGAGCGGGCTCCTTGGATGGAAGAAAGTATGGGTACGATGAGGTGTGGTCATTGGCATCTTCCTTATCGAAGAGAGCCTTCCAAGTTTCAGCGGGGCTCAAGTCAGTGTGGATATCATGAACGTTGTGCAATCCATCAGCACCATCTATATAGTTTACAGCAGTTAGCGATTATCAGAAAGAGGATATTTATACGTATAACGGAATCCCATACGGAAGTAATCAGCAGCCAAGACAGGATCTGCCAGTGAATGTTCGGCACCCGCAGCCACGATGGTCTTGTGAGCTCTCAGGGTCTCATAGCCTTCTGGGCGACCCTGGGACTTTCTCCACGCGAACTCCTTCTCAAGGACGTGGTACAACGCAGCTACGTTGCGAAGGCAGCTATGGTGAGAATAAGTCAGATGATTTGAAATGATAAGGTGATTGTTCCATCTTCTTTCAACATACCATTGTAGAGGGACGTTGCCATATGTGACTGAGATCATGGCCAGCTCAAGCTCCTCGGGAGAGGCGCTGAGGGCCAAGAGAAGGGCCATGACATCGTCGACACCTTAAGATGGGGTAAGTTTATATCAAGTAAAGAGAGTTTAGTGATGGAGCGTTACCTGGATCAGTGTCCAATATGATCTTAGATTTGGGCGCCATTTTGATCTTGATAGCGTTAAAATTGGTTTTTTTTTTTTTTTTTTTACAGCAATGTGGCACAGTTTAAGGAAGAAAGATGAGAGGACATACAAGCTTAAGTAACTGCTCAGCGCAGAGAAAGAGCGTCTCTTGAATGAAAAGAGAAGGTTTGACAAGCGCGAATAAACAAATATCTCAATAACGCTCCGGGAACAGAAAGTCTTTAATAAATCCTTTCACGTCAAAACACATTCATCCACAACGGCTTAACTCGCCTCTCCGCAATTAGTCTTGGCGGGGTTTGGGGGGGTTTTTTCGTTCCTGCTGAGATAATAGTCACAGTACACGGAGCCCACCCCGTTTTTTTATGACTATCAGCGGCCGGCGACGGCCGAAGAACGCCCTTTCTACTGTGCCGGGCAACTACTTTGTTGCCATTTTCTGTGTTGCCAATTTGAATTCGTAATTTTGCTATTTTCATTTGTCTATTATTTACCGCCGTTGGCCTGCTGAGCTCAATTTGGCTTATACAGGTATCCATTTGGGGCTGGGGTAGTATTGGCGGGGCGAGCAGACATCGGGCTTTGAGCGTAGAATTTGAAGATGCAGCAAATGGCGAAATAAATCATCTTGATTGAACATTCATGTTCCTGTATAAAGGATTCGGGCAGCTATGGATCATGCCATGCACTATTCTCACATTGGCATATATCATGTAGTACCACTAAACAGCTACGACGTGCTTCTAGCAGCCTTGATACTTCGTCTCATGAGTCAGAAGATGCTTTTTGCTCTACCTAGTCATACTTAGAGAGCATGAATATGCCAACAGCAAGACCAAAAACTTAGAGACAAGTTAAGACAACTATTTAAACATTCACGATATGAAAGAGTGCAGGATATTGATGTAATCAAGGCGTTTGCGGCATGCCATTCCTCAAGAGCTGTAGGGTAAACAAATAAATGCTCCCTCTAAAAGTGCAGAATCAGAGACCGTAGCCTCTATGGAATCCTGCTGCAGGCTGATATCGTGTAACGGGAGCATGATCCCTTTGCATTAGCACGTACGGAGTGGGTAGCGGTATCGAATCTGCGGTACCTTGCATTTACTTTACGGTCGCGCAGCGAGGCGCAACAAGCTGATGCAGACCTGGGATTTTGACAATCATCGAGCGTGCTATTGGATCAGCCGCTAACTGCTGCACTCAACAGGCCCATAATTCCTGCAGGGAGAGGCGTTGATGTGCAGCAGTGGCCAGCACCTGAAGTAGAAGTTATAGGGCTGCTCAGACTCAGTTGACAGTGATCTCAAGGCGGCCGGATTTTCTATGCTTGCCGGCTGGCAGAGTGAATGCTATGTGAAGAATAGTTCGCAAACACAGCACCAAAGAAATATCGCCTTGCACTCTACACAATTCCACCCTTCAACGCGACGCGACGCGCATCCCATCGCAACTCTCCCTCAGAGCTTCATCGCTGGCCAGCCCTCTCCGAGACATCGTTTCTAGCCGCCAGGGGACTCTTGGCCTCCAGGGCACGGCAATCTTGCCACCGAACGGCATTCTAGCGAGACGATCTGATAAAAGTTCCCACGGCTCGAAGCCAGAAGCTCTCCGCATAAAGGGCCGGCAAGAAACATTCAGGTAACGGGCCCCACCAATTTCAACCCGCCCCTTGGCTGAGCCACTGAGGTGCTCGCACTCAGCCCCCCCTGGCCGGCTTTTTTCTCGCCCTTTCCGACTAGCCAGCAGCCCTGCTCCTCGTTTCCCCATTGGCGACGTTGCGGCAACATACCCCTGCTTTGCGTTGAAGCCACCTGGTGCTTTTCTTTTGTCGTGTCCTCAACCGTCTGTACGTCTGTCCCTTTTCCATGCTTGTTTGCTGCCATCGATCATCAATCCCGCATCTGGGCAATTGGGGCATTGCGGCTGGCCTTTTCACTTTCCCCTCACATCTTTCCGTGGCCGGCTTTTAACATTTCTGCCAGCTTGCGGATTTGCGCCAGCCTTGAAGATTTGCCGCTGCAGTCAAGTCAACCTTGCTGCATCATCCCGTTGGTGCAAAACCTTCCAGCACCCGTGAACGGTAGCGCCTTCTGCAGCTATCCGACAATCGATCGAGCGCTTGGGCGTTGCGTTTCTCTAATCTCCTTTTCAGCTCGCTGTTTGTCGCACAAGCAGCCGTCGGCTTCGGGGAGAAGCGAAAAGACAGAGAGCAGCCGTTCGCCCCGTTCGTCTCCATATCGCGGCGTCGTTTTCTGCCGTATCACTCGATCTCACTCTTGCCCATCAATCGCAATTCAGAACGCGAAAGCGGTTTAGAGTCATCATGGCCGACGCAAGCATGCTTTACACCATTGGCGCCTATGCCACCTTGATTGGCCTTGGCTATGCCGTCTACCATATCTCGACACAAAAGGACAAGCAAAAGGGCGGCGTCACCATTACCAAGCCTACAAAAGTCTCTCAGCAGCCAACGGCTCGAAAAGAAGACCGGAAAAAGAAGCAGCGAATGGAAAGCTATGTGACAGAGAGCAAGTCATCCAAGCCCGAAGCTCAGAAAGAAAAGGCTCCCGAAGCCAACCAGTGGCTGAGCAATGATGCCGAGAAGCAAGAAAAGCTTGACAACCGAGAGTTTGCCAGACAGCTTTCCAAGGCCAAGGAGGGTGCCAAATTCGACAACAAGAAGGAGGCTACCAAGCAGAGGGAGAAGACTGTGAAGCAGTCCAAGGCTAACAAGTCCAAGGCTGCCCCGGCCCCAGAGGCCGTCATTTCTGCTCCGTCGTCCAACGGCGCCGACGCCGATGACGACGAGTCTCCTGTTGCTCTGTCCCCCGAGACTCGCCCCGTGGACGCCAGCGGTGTCAGCGACATGCTCGAGCCAACCTCTACTACCGGCCCTTCCGTTCTCCGTCTCACTGATACCGAGTCCAAGAAGCAGAAGAAGAAGGCTTCCAAGAACCCTGAACCGGTTGAGACCAAGAAGCAGAGACAGAACAGGAAGAAGGCCGAGGCCGCCAAGGCTGCCCGTGAGGAGGCCGAGAAGGAGCGCAAGGTCCTCGAGGAGAAGCAGCGCCGAACTGCTCGCATTGCCGAAGGCCGTGCTGCCAAGGATGGCTCTGAGTTTATGGCCGCTGTCAACGCAAAGAAGTCTGCCTGGGACGGTGCCAATGGAACCAATGGAACCAACGGAACTGCTGCTAACAAGGGAGATGCCGCCGTCTATGCACCTCTCGACACCTTTGAGAAGCCCACTTCTGCCCCCGCTGCCAAGAAGGAGACTGTCAATCAGCTAGAGAGCTCTTGGATCTCAGCTCTTCCTTCCGAGGAGGAGCAGATGGAGATGCTCAAGGAAGAATCTGATGAGTGGAACACTGTCAAGACCAAGTCTTCCAAGAAGTCCAAGAAGGCCCCTTCAGTCGAATCTGGAGAAGAGGCCACCCAAGCCCGTCCTACGGCTCAGATCCAGCAATCTACCGAGACCATGGCCAAGAAGGTGGCTAAGCCTGCCGCTCCCAAGAACTTTGGAGGATCTTTCTCTGCATTGACCACTAAGGACGACGATGCTGAGGAGGAAGTTGAAGAGGAGTGGGAAGTCTAAAGCTCCGTATGCACGACAACGAATACAATTGTGCATGTTATTGCCCAGTTGCAGGGGTGGCCTGACACCTAGTCCCCTGCCGCTGTATACTACTCGCCACGGGCATACCCTTAGCCGTTGGCATTTTCTCTCTATCTCTCTATCTTGCTAGTCTGTATGGATGCCATGTATGTTGGATTTGGGAGGTATTCTCCAAAAAGCCTACCGCAGGAGGTAGGAAAACAAAAATATTTGACAAGGCCTGTTGATGCATTTATTCGACAAGGCAATTTACCAATTGGCTAGTGGTCAGAGGGATTGCGGATCGGCTTGTTTAACGCATCATATAAATGCCATGAGGTCGACCTTTTTTTTTTTTTTACTTGGTTTTTTTTATCTTCTTCTTCTTTGCCTTTGTTATTACGAATTTGACTGTTGAGCGAGACTGGGAAAACGGTCTTGCGGCGGAGGCAAAAAAAGGGAGGACACAGATGCTATGAATGAAATTATCCAGATGGACGAAGGGCGAGATATAAATACGTGTGTATGTAAATACTGTTGGTATCAGATCTCAAAATGGGAAAAATCTACTCTTGCTATGATTGAAGGCGGCTCCCATGGGCTTGGAAGTGATTGATAGAAGGTGATGGGGCTTGCTTGTGATGGAGCACATTGATGTGAATTATAACACCTTGATGGCACTCAAGTCCAGTACTAGTATGTAGGTATACTGCCACTAATAGCAATGCCATTTGGTCGCGATGAGCAAACAACGCCATAATTGCACCTGTGTTTGTACATATGAGCATAAATGATGCTAATTTATACCTCAATACGAAATTGAACGCACTGATCGAACACGATATGTAGCTGGGTGTCGTCTGCACGGTCCATTATAGCATCTAATACTGTAGCAGGTCCATTGGCCAAAAGGTTGCCCCCCTCAGGGCACGCCCGCATTCCACATCCGATTTGGTGCAAGGCCCGATCCAATACTAGTACCTACTACTACTACCTGGTGTAGAAAGCCACCGCCTCAAAATGGCCTCGTTCCCCGGACCTACTAGTAATGTATTACTGTAGCATTGAAAACAATGTCTACGGGGTAGTAATGCTACCTTGACATTCCTGTAGGCCTTGGCCATGCCCCCCTGCTAAACTTGCTAAACAATGGGCGGCTGTTCATCCTGCTCCTGGGTGGCTATAACGAGGCACACATATCACGCAACACGCACAGGCATCCTTGGCGCTTCCCGGGTGTCCGCCTCGCTTTTCGTGGCGCGGCCAGTTGTGGTGGTGAGTCGGAACCGGGTGCCGCGAGTCCAGTCCAGCCAAGCCATTTGGAGTTTGGAGGACGGCTTTTTTTTACTCTTTGCTAAAAGTGGCCACCGCGGGGCTTACTATCCGACTCTGCATCGAGATATATCTGGTGCCTTGAAGGGAGGGGCACTGCAGGGTCGTCTTATACTACTGGCTACTGCCACCAAGTGACTACTACCTACTACTACGTACTGCGTATTAATACATTTGCGTACGTAGTTCTGTGTAATCATTTCACAAGATCGAGATTCGGGCTGTGGGCTTCACATCTTCCATCATCGATACAGCCAAGAATCGCATAAGTTGAGAGTTTGGAGTGGATGGACGGGTGGACGTCGTCCCGAGAGGATTTTTTGTTGGCTTGCCACCTTTGCGGGACGGCCAAGTCGGCTCCCCGAGCCGCGCTTTTCAAAACGGCTGATTTTATTTTACTTTATTTTTTTTCTTCCTGATTGCGATTGATGTGACAAAGTTACCATGGGCCAGTAGGCATCGTTACTCACCTTCCCGCAGTCCCGAGGGAGCAAACTAATCCATAATTGTTTTCTTTTCTCCTCTTATTCTCTGGCTCTCATTGTTCTTACGCACGGAACGTCGGGACCAAGTGAGATATTTTCCTTGGTGTCAGCCAAGCAGGTGGGAATGCGCAGCGGGGGGCCCAGCGCACGGCCAAGACGTTTTTTTTTGGACTCGGTGACGACGACTCGTGAGGGGGTTTAAAAAGTCAAACGCTGAAAGTCCTAGGATGCAAGGAGGAATCTTTTTTCGACGAAATCTGCTGGCTCTGTTCGCTAGCTTAGGCTCCAGGTTTTGTTGTCTGTGCGTACCTACATACATGTGGTGAGGGCGCAGTGCAGTAAGTTGATGGCAGATGACGACGTGGCATGTTGGCATTAGACGCTGCTGCCGCTGCCGGGGTCTGGCCTGACAGACTTTATCTCTCTTTCTTTTTGATACATCGTTGTTCTGGCAAGCAAGGAAAGCCCCGGGCTTTATTTGACCCTGTTGTGATGTCAAGCATCTGAGAGGCGCCGCTTGTGGAGAGCAAATAGAAGGTCGAGAATGCCCAACATGGGAGCAACATGTCGCCATTGGCGGCCACGGCACGGCGCTCATACGAACGGACGGGGTCGATAGCGCAACTTAGTTTCAGTAGCCCCGTGGCACGAGCACAAACAAGCGCAAATGTTCGTTGAAGAGACAAGTTGCCAGGTTCGTCAAAGGCCAAACCTCCAAATTCAATTTGCATCCCGGAACCCTGGCCAAGCCGCTTGCCGCTTGAGGCAATAGGGAATAAAAGAAGGGTACATGGGCAATGGGCGCATTCCGGCAGGCCGAGGAGGTACCCCCCTCCCCCATCAGCATCAGTAATGAAACGAACGACAGGCATTGTCCCCGTTCCGCATTCTCGCTTGCTGGCATTGGGTCCATTTGCTGGGCGAGGATCCCAATGCTGTGCCCCCCAGAGATCCTTATCTTACTGTGATGACGATGCGCAGCACTCGCACGTAGTTGAAACACAAGAGACAGAGACGCCTCCAGGCCAAGTGTTTCATCGGCGAGGCCAGCAGCTCCAACCCGCCGCACGCCAAGCGCTGGAGTCGCGCGCGCGAAGACGACCAAAAGGGAATTGGACACCAGGACGAAAAGATGGGGAATTAGACCGACGCCGTATGGAAGGACCGCGGACGGAGCGCCAGTGGCTCTTAGTTGATTGGGGGACCCGTTTCTCCATGGATCTAAGCGGTGACCGCGCCCCGAACGAGACGTATTCGCAGCACTAAGATATTGGGGGCAGGTATCTGAGCTCGAGTAAAATGAGAAATATCACGACGTCTCCGTATCTGCCACCGGTACGGGCGTGGGTAATTAGACGCTCTCGGCTCGACTCGTAATGCATCGTAGGCCTGGCCGGGCTCTCTGGTGACGTGACGTGATGACTTTGCCTCCTTGATTGATTCGATTCTTGTCTTGTCTCTTTTCTCGGGCATTAAAAGAAAGATTAAAACAAAAAAAAAAAGGTTTGCAGTAGGCAGTTGGTAACTCTATCGGGCCTCGACAAACGAAGCGCAAGCCTCTGGCGGCGTTTTAGGTTCGTCCGCAGAGGGGCGGCCTGCAGTGAATTGAAGCCCAGGCCACATCGCCAGAAGAATGCGCCAGCTAAGCTCCCGGCGGTGCCTCTTGCATGCGCCGCTCCATGCTTGCTTGAGTCGTAGCAGCGCTGTTTGAGGCCTTTGTGGCGAATCGTCGCGGGGTTCAAGCTAGCGGGCGTCACCACTGTCAGGCAATCATAAGGCCCTGGCCCCCCCCCTTGCCCATTAAGGCCATCTCTGATCCTCTGATCTGCTGTCGAAACTGCCTCTGGGCTTGTGGTAGCGCCGCATCTTCAGCACGTTACAGCGCAGCGATCTCTGCTGCGTCGATCTGCGCCTCTCCCTCCCTTTCTCAGACACTCCTCAAAACCTCTATCCACGTCTCTCTCTCTCTCTTATTTTTTTTTTACGCGCCTCCCCCAAAATCCAACCCTCCTCCAAAAATAGAGAGGCCAGCCAGCTGGACTTGCTGCCGCCCCCCCGGTGCTTATAGAGCCTTTGGTTTTATTTTTGGCGCAGCTCTGGCCGCTGCTCGTACTGAAACGAACCTCGTCGCTACGAATTTCCGCCCTGCCACCGTCTCGCCTCGCCATCTCCTTTCCGCAGCCGCCTCTTCTTTCCTTTCACCTCATAACTCGCATTGTCCTGCGTCATTGCCAATTTTCCCTTTTCTGTTTCTTTCCTAGCCTCTTTTTTTTTCCCTTATTGTGACGACTTTCAATTATTCTTTCTTTTTTCTTTGTCACGGTTCTTTTCTCCCTCCATTTCTTACCGCACTCGGCCTCCTGGGACTTGAAACTGTCGCAGACCCCCCTTACTTTCTCGACGACACTCTTCGCTCCCCCCCACGCCTCCAATCGAATTACGATCTATCGAAATCCTCCATTCCAGTGTGCCTAACGACGAATTTTTTCTTCCGGATAGCAACCTGTTTGTTATTATTGCCATCTTTCTTTGGGCTGCTGGACTCTCATTTAGCCGATTCGCTGCGTTTTCTATCACGACTGTTCTTTCTCTCGATACCGACTCTTAAACACGGCATCCTACGTCCATGTTGGGGATATCAAACGCCAATTGAAAGGCATTCTACATACGGGGACGTGCCCTGTAGCCTTCCACCATGTCCTTCCCTGTCGCGCTACAGTCGGCCATCTTCTATCTGCTTGCCTGCACACCATGCGCCGAAGTACGGCATCGTCACAAGGCCAAGGGCCAGGCCAAGAAAGAGAGGGTAGAGAAGGCAAAACTAGAGACACAGCAACCTGGCTTATATCGGCACCCTTCGCCGTTCAACACGAATCCCTACTGGCAAGAAGAAATTCGCATGGGGCCTAGCTTACCAAAGAAATCGGCGAGCAAGAACTCAAGTCAACGGGGTTTGATGAGCGCGGGAGGAGAGACGACGGGAGGAGAAATCAGTGCACTCAGCCTGTCAGGGCGTACAAACACCGGCGATAGTCACACCAATTTCGGAGACAGCACGTTGGTGGTATCACAGGATGGCATTCTATCAGATGACTGGAACATGCGGCACGGATATCAGCGCGAGGACGAGGAGCTATGGGGAGCAGACTGGACTGGCCACAAGTTAAAAGACGCCTTCTCCAAGGCGAGGGATTCAGCTGGAAAGCTGATTGAGTCAACACTGGGCATGGAGAAGGAAGTAACAGAGGAGGAGCGCCGTGCCTTTTATGCGGCTCCGCGAAACCCACCCGTCAACGACCTTCACCCTCCCGTCGTTAGCAGCAAACTGCCTCACAAGGAGGCTCACAAATGGATGCTGCAGCCACCTCCGTCTGCCAAGGTTATGGAAGGCAAGGTGCCTGTCAGCAGAGCCATGAGCGCTAGCAGCAGAACAAGTGGGAGGACAGTTGCAAGTGGGAGGACGGCTGCCAGCGGAGAGGAAAAGCTATCTCGCCAACTTCAGGAAAAGCTGGTCAGGGAGAAGATTATGAAGGAATTGCCAACTGAATCTGAGCTGATCGACTCACTATTCGTTTCTCGAACTCGGAGCACTCGATCTGACTTGACGCGGACACGTAGCCTGTCGTTTGACGGCGGCTCCGACGAGGCATTAGACAACTCTTTTGATAAGCGAAGACGGAATAACCGCCTGAGAGCCTTGGCTGTTCCTCCCGGATACGAAGAATCTGAGGATGAGTACGAAGATATATTCACACCTCGCATTACCAAGAGCACCAGCAACTCCAGTCAACCTGGACACGCTGCGCAACGACCGAAGCTGGAAACCATAACCAGCAGCGAAGGCAGCAACAGCCGTTCACGGTCCAAGAGGTCAAGACGGCACAGGTCTACTAGGAAGAAGAATCTTCCTGGAACGGGATCACCTGTTGGAGATGACTCTGACTAAAGACGCCATATGAAAGCGTTCTTGTATTAAAGCACCGACATGCGACTGTACTCAACCAACGGCGCAATGGTTTGCTTTTCTTTTGCTTTGTTCTTTGCTTTGTCTGTCTTTTTGAGTTTTTTTCTCTCATCGGTTTCTCTGTTTTCCACATACATATTTTTTTTGCTTCAATTAAAGCATAGCACAAATGCGGGCGCTGGGAGAGAGAGAAAGAGAGGCATGCTTTTGGGTAGTGTTTTTTTGAGTTTGGTTTTTGGGTCTGCCATTTTTTTCTCTCTGGTGCATGTTTAAAAGGCATGGCGTATTTTGGCTGTTGGCTTTTGGCTGTTGGCTTGTTTTTTGGTGTGCTCGTAGTAGCCAAGAACAAAAGAGGCGAGATTCAAAGCCTACTAGAGGTGCAGTGCTAGCTTTTGCACAAGAACATTGGATTCTTTTCCATCCGTATTTCTCCTTTCTCGTTTCATTACTGTGGCTCTTGATGAAAGTGATCCGTTTCTTGCCTATGGGTTGTGATCACTTCAAATATTCTTTTCCGTGACGTTGGCTGTGAAGCTGTGATTACTTTGCCAAAGAGGGGGTATATCTTTGGGGCATCTATCTAGCCCAATGTAGATTCCAAAACGCCTACCATGTAGCCTGACATTATTCCTTTCCATTACTTTTTATTTTCTCCCATATCATATCATACTCATAGATGCAGACCATCCTCCTCAGTATTACCATGGCTCTCTCCCCCTTGTGTTGTTGATTGTGCAGCACTATCATTGGCCGGCGCATTTTGTCCTGCGGGTTGACTATCAAATCGTACTTGGCCATTTGAAATTGTGCCAGTTTGGAACGTGCCGTCCGTCCAAGCCGAATGTCTCGTCTCACCCGGCTGGCCAGCAACCTCTCCATTAACAAGCCCGTTTATAGCAGCCTCTTCAATCCCCTCGACGCCAGCATCTGTGTTTGCTGCCACCTCATCCTGGCTCTGAAATTCCGTCCAGCTGATACCTCGGTCTTCGACCTCTGCGCGGACGATGGCTAAGCGCTCTGCCATGCGGTCGATCACGACCTCGTTCTCCTTGATGGCGTCGATGCAGTCCTGGTCTGGCTCTGCGGCAGATGTGCTTGTGGATTCGCCTAGCGCGACGGAGGTGCCCTCTGCGAATGGCTTGAGCTGGTCGTTGGAGTATTGGAGGTGGGCGATGGAGTTGCGGATTTCGAGGACCTTGAGGTGAAGCATGCCGATGGAGAGGTCTTTGATCGCGGAGGCGAAGCGAGCTGGTGATATGGGGGTGGTGTCGGCGGACATGGTGGCGGTGTAGTAAGACTGTCCTCGAGCTGGAACTTTTATTGTTGTTTTGTAAGCCAGCAATAATAAAGAGTTGACGGGATCAGACGGGCTTTATACGAGAGAACTTCGATAAGTGTATGTGTAGAGCAGAGCTGAGGTTATCATGGAGGGGCTGCCCATCATGCACGTTATAGTGGGGTTAATGGGCTTTTAAACCGTATGGCGTACCCCTGCCAGCCTAAATCTGCGAGTGGCGCAACGCCCGCAATCTTCTATCCGATTCGGCAGAAGAAATTCTTAGCTGGATGGTGGGCAACCACTCTGATATCTCTCTCAAAACCCTCCAATTCGGGACCACAACACAGACTGGGGCCATCGTAGGCCTTTTCGGCATCTCCGGCGCGCAGTTGGCGCATTAAAACAAAGAAAAGAAGATTGCGAAAAAGACGTTTCCCCCCATTCGCAGCATGAATGGGCTCAGCTGCTCGAACGCTTCCTGGTCGCTGCTTAGGGCTGCGGCGAGGGGCATTTCGAGGCAGGCTGGAACGTGCTCGACCTCGACCTCGATAGCGAAGAATGGCGCGGCTACGACAGTTTCACGATGGATGTCATGCTGCGCTTTACAGACTCCCGAGAGAGGGGTGTTGAGGCGGACCGAATGGGCGGGATTGAAGGCGTGCAGGAAGCTTGATGGTGGTCGCCGGACGTTCTTTGGGCCAAAGATCATCCGGGATTATGAGGAGCTTCCCAAGGGCTATAGGGACCAAGCTGGGCTTGCCTTTAGCGGAAGGGATCTGTCAGCGGCGGAGGTCGACAAGATATTCGGTACGGGTATCGGCGGTAAACGGGCGAATCACTTGCTACGAATCTTACACGGTAGAAGAGTGTCGGGAACGCTGGAAGACCCTGCCTTTGCGATACATACGGCGCAGTTTACGGAAGAGGAGATTGCCAGGGCCTTGGCGTACCTGCGGAAAACGGTGCCGGTGGAGGAGATTAGGAATGCCGGCTTGAGAGCAGAGGACGAGCTGGAACAGATGGAGCAGGAAATGGAGCGGGCAGCCGAGAAGAAGGCAAAAGCCAACAAGGGGGAGGTCAAAGAGGAGGAGGAGGAGGAAAGCGCGGCTGAAGTCTACACGCCTGATCCCATCTACGGCCGGAGCAAGATCGACGAGATGCGAGCTCGGAACAAGGCCAGAGAGAAGGCCAGGGAAAAGGCTCTCGAAGAAGAGCGCAAGGCAAAAGAAGCTGTCGAAGGCGTTTCTGGTCCATTGGCGAAGCGAGATAACCAGGTCCGGGAGATTACGAACCCTAAAGTGGCGGAATACTACAAGGCTGCGCAGTCGGACATGGAAGCACCACCGGAACTGAAGCCTTGGGAACGGATTCTGCCCTCTGCGACTGTTGTGGCTCTGGTACTTGGATTCTTCGCTGCGGTGGCCATGGTCTATGAGGAGCCCGCGCCGCGGTACAGACTGTTCCAGGAGGTATCGACTGCGCACGCAACGGTGGGAGCTCTGATTGCTATCAACGCCCTGGTATACTTGGGTTGGAGGGTTCCGCCCTTGTGGCGTCTCTTCAACAAGTACATGATCTTTGTTGTGGCGACGGTTCGGCCCGTCACGCTGTTCACTGCGGCGTTTTCGCACACAAAGCTCAGTCACTTGTTGGTCAACATGGTTCCCCTGTGGTTCGTCGGAACGTGCCTCCACGACGAAATTGGCCGCGCGGATTTCCTCGCGCTGTACCTCGGCTGCGGCTCTGTCGGTTTCCTGGGCAGTCTGATCACGTATACGCTCAGGGGCTGGTTGACGGTCACGTCGCTGGGCGCCTCGGGAGCGACGCTGGGATTGTGCTCGGCGTACTTTTGGGAGCATCGCACGGATGGATTTAAGATCTTTGGGCTGCCGCAAGACGGTGTCCATGGCATTGTGTTTTTGGCGTTGATCACGGCGGTGCAATTGGCTGGTTTGGGGAAGACGGTGAAGCTAAAGGTGGACATTGCGTCGCACATTGCTGGTATTGTGGCTGGTATATTGGGAATTGAGCTCTTGAATAGGACGGAGAGGAGAAAAGCGCCTGTTGAGGGAGATAAGACGGTGATTGATATCTTGTCTGGAGAGACGAAGACGCATGGGGTGGCTGGTGAGACGAAATAGAGGCATGGCTTTTGATGCTATATAGAACTGCATGTACTTATGTAACAACACTACTTACTTTATGACATGATCTGAGAATTTCTGGAGGAAGTTGTATGGGAGCCATTGAGAGCACGATTTATTCGTGAGCTGTGCTGTGGTTCTGCTGTATGAATTTAGGATGAGAGCGCCCTGAGGGTTGATGCATAAGGCTGCAGATGCACTAAACCTTATGAATTTTTGGGTCATGGATGCCATAAGAATGATCTATGACCGTTATCAAATCTGAGTTGATTATAAGACTGCACCCTTAAAATGAGAAAAGAAGGCATTCCAAAATCAGCACTTATATAATACCACCACCTTTACATTGTAGATCATTTGATACGTTTCTCTGCTCTCTTTTCCCTTTGGGATGGCCGCTGCAGCCCGTCGTCATCGCCAGGTTTGATGCAGTAGAGATGGAGAGCCAGCCCCACTGAAGGCTGCTACCCTAGCTGCCTGTTAGCGCGGATGCAGTTTCCGGGCAACGACAGCGTCATAACAGACCACCTTGGCAGGAACAAGCCGTGGGGCCCCACCCTTGCGGAAAGAAGAGTGTGAATGCGATGTGATGAGCTGGCAGGAGCTTTGCCTTGCAAGTGCTTTGAGGCGGCAAGGCGAGGTAACTTGCGCCAACGCAATATGACGATGTCTCTTTTTCTCCCACTGCCTCAATTCTTTTCCTTCCCTTCATCTTCATCTTCATCTTCATTTCCCTCTCTTTTCCGATGAAACACGTGCTTGTGGTAACCTCCGTTACCAGCTCCATTTTATTCGTCCTCTCCTATTTTTGCGCTTGCTGCAACTTTCCTTCAGCTGCCGATAGACCGATCAACCAAGCCAATGGGGCTGACCCTTACTTAGCCCTTAAACTCTCCAGAAATTTGCGCGCCGGAGCCTTTCGCGTTTTCGTGAGCGGCATAAGTAGTAGCCTTTAGGCAAACGATAGCTCGGAACTATCCACCACACACAACAATACTGCGTTTTCTGCTGCGCCGTGCTTGCATACGTTTGACGCCATTCGATCCAGCTCATTCTCTCTGCAGACGTTGCTTTGTGACAAAGACCAGCGCTAGCCCAAGGCGAGGCTGTGAAGAAACCTCGCTGCAAGTTACTGACTGGCATAAGCCTCAGCCCACTCTTTTCTGCCTCGCCAAAAGGGAACTCGATTGGCACATCCAGCCCCTAACGCCTGGAACGCAACGCCCCACGTTAGCGCCAAGATTGGCGCTGCACGTTCGCGTGCCGGGTTTTAGAAAGAGATTCGCTGCAAGCTGGGGTATTGGCGGTGGCCGCGCTTTCTGGCTTTCTGGTTGCTGGGCCTTGGTCTGCCCACACACCCCGAGACTCCGCATCTGCACCTGCAAAACTAAAACCTTGGGAGGCAAGCTGGCTCATATTCGCTCTTTCACCCTGCATCATTACGTTACCGCGAGACCGGATATAGCTTGGAAAACAGCAGAGATCCAGGCATAAGAGGAGGAACCTGAGAAAGCAATTTTTTCTTCTTTCTTTGTTCCGAGATGATCTAGTTCAGATCGCGGCGCACTTGAATTTTCTCTCTAGGACGGCCTTGCGCGTCTTCCCATCACCCTTTGCCCTTTCCTTTCCTTTTTCGTTTTTATACAAGGACGACCTTCGATCTCAAGAACCATGGATGAACCATCAAGTCCTCTATCCTCGCCTCGTGGCTCTTTCCGCGACTCTACTCCGTCGTCGCCGTCGTCGCCCCTCTCGACCCTCTCAAACACGCCCTCCTTACCAGATACCTCTGTTTCTTTGGTCGACCCTTCACGACGGTATCCTTCGCCCATGTCGACGACTGCTTCCGGGGCCCAGTCTCCTATGAGATCAACAGCTATCATTAGCCTTGGCCAACCCGTCTCCGACAACGACTCTTCAAAGAGTGTAGATGACGAGCAACCCCCGGCTAAAAGACGTAAGGTTTATCAGCCCAAGGAGCGCACAACAGAATACTTGAATTACCTAAACAAGGACGAAAAGGATATGACAGCTGAAGAGAAGGCTCAGGAGAAGAGGTTGATCACGGCGTTGCGAAAAAAGAAGAAGATTGTTGTTATTGCAGGTGCTGGCATCTCTGTATCGGCAGGAATTCCTGATTTTAGATCATCGACAGGCCTTTTCGCACGTGTCAAGAACCAACACAACTTGAAGGGTTCGGGCAAGCACCTATTCGACGCGTCTGTTTATAGACACGATTCGTCAACGCAATCTTTCCACAGCATGGTCCGGGAAATGAACGAAATGACCAAGAAGGCGAGCCCAACACCATTCCACCGCCTACTAGCATCCCTGGCCCAAGAAGGACGTTTAATGCGACTCTACTCTCAAAACATTGATTGTCTCGACGCGAATATGGAACCGCTAGCCACCGAGATTCCGCTGCCTCTCAAGGCTCCCTGGCCAGCTACCATCCAACTTCATGGTGGATTGCAGAAGATGGTCTGCAGCAAATGTGGCCATTTAGAGCCATTCAATGGGGAAATATTTGACGGACCTGAGGCTCCGTTGTGCAATGCGTGTGAAGAGCATGACAATCTAAGAACTTCATTTGCTGGAAAACGGAGTCACGGGATTGGGCGCATACGGCCGCGATTCGTGCTCTATAATGAGTATAATCCAGATGAAGAAGCTATCGGAAACGTGTCGAGTGCCGATTTGAAAGCCCGCCCAGACTGTGTCATTGTTGTTGGAACCACCCTCAAAGTTCCAGGCACGAGGAGGCTAGTCAGAGAGATGTGTCAGGTTGCAAGAGGCCGAAGAGATGGACTCACAATATGGATCAATACCGATGCAGAGCCCAAAGATGCGTTATTCAAAGACTGTTGGGATCTTGTTGTACGCTCTCCATGCGACAAAGTAGCTCACCTCGCAGCCTTGCCTCCGTGGGATTGCGACATTGGCAATGACTACCTTGTGTCTGCAGAGCAAGACGGCCAGAACCAGGAGCGTCTCAAGAATACCAAATTGGAAGTTGCGTTGCCACTTAGCCAAACTAACCCCGGCCATGATCGTGAGCTGGATGCTATCCCCACGCCACAACCCAGCCCTAAGCCTGTGGCTAAGAGGCAATTGAAGATTGTCCTCGGCAGGGAGCCTCCTGAAAACGCCAAACAAACCAAGGCGGCAGCGAAGCCGCGCCCTCGAAAGACAAAGCAGCCCGCTAAGCCCAAGGCTCCTCCAAAGAATGCCGTTACAGAGACGTTCAAAGCCGTCAAAAATGTCGCTAGAGGCAAGACTGCAGCGAAGGGGCTTGATGACCCCATTGATCTATCTTCTCAGCCGCTTCTCCTACCACCTCTGAAGTCCAAGCCCCTAAAGACAGAAATTGACTTCTCTTACGATACTCCCCGGAGTGATTTGAGCTCTCTACCTCCCTCCACCCCTATTGCGCCCACCCAAACCAAAGAGACGATATCTCCCAAGTCTATACCCCACAACATGGAAAATTTAATCGATTATTGAGTGAGACGATACAGGGTCAGCTAGAATATGTATAAATGGCATTGATATGACGGCGTTTTTTTTTTCTTTTTTGTTTTTCCGGCGGGATGAAGCAGAAACCTTCGGCAGGTACATAACCGGTCATTCGTGGGATTGGGTATATCAATATCAGCAAGGCGATGGATTCTGGATGGGTTGGCAGCCCGGAACATAAAATAATGGGAACTTATGCCTACGATTATAAAGTATCTACTATTTCAAGTAGAGGAAACTGAAATGGACGGCTTATTCTTAGGGGTTTCAGGGGTCTAACAGGCAGATAGCCTAGAGAGGTTACAGCGAAAATGGAATACTGATGCTATATTTCACCTGATGATAGCTATTACGTTTGAAAAAGTGAAAACATCTGACTTATCATTCCCCTCTCACCTCATGCTTTGTATGGACTCCAAAAGAGCCCGTCGCCATTCCATTTCTCCTGTAGTCGATCCAGCTCTGCCAACTTCTCTCCAGAGAACAGGTCCCGTCGCCCAGGGAGAAACTTCATTATACCAGGGAACACCCTTCGTGGAAGACCAGCTTCCTCGTCATCTTTCTGTAGAATTGTCACGGCCTCATCATATAATACAGCCAAAGCATCTCTTGTGGCGGGCTCCGAGGACCACATTACTCCAATGGTACAAAACCCCCTGTCTCTGGCCTCGACAAATCTCCCCTCGCCTTCAGGGGTGGCGCCAAGCTCCGCGAGCTTGGAAGGGTTGAAGCTATGGAACATGAGGGCAGAACGGACAGCATCTGGGTATTTGTCCGTCACGGCGAGATATTTGCCGTAGGCGTCCTTGAGGGCCCGGGGAGAGAGGCGAGCGATCCGGTTGGAAGACATGGATTTAAAGCCGCCGTGGTCATTCAGCGGCTCGTAAGCGTTGTTAGCGTTGGCAAAGGGGATCTGGACTGTGTCTGCCTTGACGGCTTTTTCGACCAGGGACGGGTGCAATAGCCTTGCCCCCACGGAAGAGGCTTCGGCTTCACTTGCAGGGCCGTAGTATGTGCTGGTGAGTAGTACGATGGGCTTTCCGGCAAATGGAGTACCTGGAGGACCACGTGAAAAGCCAAAGATGACGTTCATGGGCTCTGGAGGAGGAGAAGCGGCGAGGAATGCGTCAATGGCGGAATCGATGGCTGTGGGGGGGAAGATCAGGGTGCGGCTCCAGATGCTGGGAGAGGGATCGTCTTTGCTGGCTGGAGAGAGATTCAGGCTGCTTAGGGGATATATGCGAATGGTAGCGGAAACGACAACGCAGAGGCCGTGGCCGGCGCCGCAGAGAGCGTTGAAAAGCGCGAGCTCTTCGCCCTTGGAGGAGGAGCTGACTTGGACGATGTCTCCTGCAGCGGTGACTACGCGGAAGCTCATGATGTTGTCGGCCATCCAGCCTATGAGGCCGTTTTGGGAGCTGTTGCCGCCGCCGAGGAGACAGCCGACGACTCCGACGGCGTTTGAATTGGCCATGGTGGTGAAGTATCCTTCTTGAGCAAGATATCGTATGACGTCTCCTGTGAGGGCACCTCCTCCGATTTGGACTTGGGAGTATTGTTTGTCTAGCTGTATGGATTTGAGGTTGATCAAGTCTAGGTAGAGAGATTTTGAGTTGATTGGGATGGCTGGATTATGGCGTCCTCCGGCGGGGATGACGGTGAGCTTGTTGAGCTTGGCGAATTTAAGGGCCGAGACGACATCTTCTTCGGAGTTTGGGGTGATGATGATGGCTGGGGGGCTCTCGACGTGAGTGTCTGACCAGCGGGAGACGACTTTGGTGGCAGAGGCTTTGGGGTCGGGGATGGAGAAGGGACAGGCGAGGAGGTTGGTGTTGTTGAATGAGGAGTCTGCCATGGTGTTTTTGGTTGGCTTGTTTTTTTGCTTGATTAAGAGAGGATTATGAAGATGGGATTGAAGTAATACATGTTTGGAGAGGGAGGGTGAGGGCTCTTTAATAGCATGATGGGTGGCATTATTAAAGTTACGTTGTTATATATTGCTGCTTAGCTTGTTACGCAATTAAATAGCAAGAGAGGAGTTAATGGTTGCCAGTTTGTACCACTTGGCGTCTGACAGCAGAAGTAGTTGCTCAGGGTTACACATTAGTAGACTTGTAACTCACCTGAGAATAAGCACTTATTTTTTTCGGATATCATCAGCAAACGGGTGTATGCTAATCCCGATATGCACAAGCATTAACACTGCAGGATAGGCGGAGATGGAGATTCCAAATGTGATCTGACCACGGATTATAGCATCGCCGCACACGGTTGAGTCGTATGTTGGAAGGCGAAGATTATTGGTGTGAGAGAAGAATGAATGGGTCTGACTTAAGTTGGTGTATGGAAAGGGTCGGCAGAATGATTCGCTAGTTAAACGCATGGAAGATTAATGCTTCTCTCTGAATATTATTATTGTTGTTGCATTTCTTCTCAAAATAGGATGTACGGCGAATGTAGTTGCTCTTATCGCTCTAGCAGGAGAAAAGAGCAATATTAGAGTAATGTTTAGTTCTTTTTTTCTCTCTCTTTCTTCATCCTCGTTGCTTCTGAAAAAGCCTTATTTTTGGGCTGCTGACCAATCTGTGAATCTGACAACTCACTGCTGACTGCTTTTGCTTTGATAGAAATCGATCCACGTCTAGCTACTACATACATACATGTATATAGAACAACCTGTGCGGTTGCAGGCTGCATGTAGTGGATATGGATGGAGTACCATTCGGATGGCACGAGACGGTGACTGGGCTATTAGCACGCTAGCAATTTTAAGCTACTACTTCATGCCTTCATGGCATTTATGCCGCCTGGATCGTCAGTGACAGAAGCAAGAAGAGGCAGAGAAAAGGGGTGCACAAGCCGAAAGGACTTCTTGGGATATATACATTCTTCCTATTTTCCGAGTTTCCATGTCTTCATTCTTTGTGAGATGATTTTCTCTGTCCTCAAGATTCAAGGCCATCTACGCATCCTTTTTAACTACGTTCCATACTCTTCTCGTAGCTTAAAGTCACCAGGCGAAACAAGTCGTCTGCCCAAAGGCGTCATGTCCAGCAAAGTCAGCGTCGGCTGGACCTTTTCTCCTCCTCTCATGAAGGTTGAATACGTGTGATACACATTGCCGTCCTTCTTCAAAAAGACGCTGAATCCGGGAATGTCGCCCTTGAAGGATGGCTTGAATCTGGCGTCAGTCTCTTTGAGCGCCTCAAAGTTGTACTCTTTGGGAGCTACTGCTTCATCCAAGCTGGCGTGGAAGTCGTAGTTGAAGTCAGAGTCGCCACTGGAATACCACGGAAATTTCCATCCGGCGAGCTTCTTGTACGCTTCGATCTTGTCTATCGGCGCACGAGAGATGGCGACGAGGTTGGTGTCCTTTGACTTGAGATGACGCACGTCGGGGAGCGATTCGCCCATGTGAGTGCATCCAGGGCATCCGCGATCGTCCTTGGGGTCGAACATGAAGTGGTAAACGATAAGTTGCTCTTGACCATCAAAGAGGTCGCTGAGAGAAAGTGACTTGTTGCCGGGGCCGTGGAACACATACTCCTTGTCTATCTTGACCATGGGGAGCTCCCGTCGCTCAGCAGCAAGAATGTCTCCTTGGTGCGTGTATTCTTTCTCTTTCTCGAGAAGAGTCTTCCGAGCGGCAAGCCACTCTTCACGACTGCCAACCTTTTGTAATACACGATTGTCAGTATAAGTAGTGAGTGCACTTTAACGGTATGTACATGTAACTGCTTACTTTGCCTGGCATTTTGTTCAATGATAACAATGAGAACCTATGAATTTTTATTTTGAAGTATGTTAAGTGAGCAGTAACTTGGAATCAGTTGAAACTGAGTTTATACCAGCTGAGCTTAATGCAGCGATTAATGAATTCTCAAGCGTCTTGAAAAGCTTCCTCAACTGGCTATCTTATATATACAAAAGTCGCCTCCATCTTGAATTGTTTACTAATCTGAAATCTTGAGTGAATCTGGAGTTTTCGTTTTGCCTTTGCGACTTGGCATCAGATCGACGCATGTGGCGTCCGGGGCAGGCAAACAAGCCACCATTACCAACCTGAAGATGTGCAAATGCAGTAACAGCTTCAGGCTCCAGCGGAGGGGTTTCAATCAGATTTAGTGGTGGCGCTATTTCTGCTGATTAAAAAGGCGCTGAGCGAAGATAGTGATTGGATGATGGGGGGTTCAGCTTGCAAGTTGCTCTGTAAGGGGATAACTCAATATAGCTCATAAACATAGCCCATGAAGACTCGTGATATTTGATATGGCCTGTGAAGCAGAATTATCACACCAAGTCATATATGCGTGCTAGTCTGTGAATAATAGAAACTGTATTGTTCAAAGTGAGTTGCAACGTTATTGAATGAAATGATCTTAGTCAAGTAGTAAGTGGTATAATAACAGTTATTCAATGTAATAGCACTATTAGAGGTTGAATAGCAGTATCTCAGAACCTGGTGCATCGTAATTTCGAAACGGGTGTCGCTTGCGCTCCAACATAATTTGAGTGCTTTTTTTTCTCTTTGAAGACAGTTATCAAGATGAGATGGAAGCAGAATCAGAAGTCTCAGCGTAGAGTTCTAGCATGTTCTTGGAATGGTCTGTCGAAGTAACTGGGGATGACGAGGATCTTGTGAAGAGGCTGTTCATCCACGCCAGAGTACTCATCACATTACCACGAAGACAGAGAACAGAGTGTGTATATAATTTTCAAACTAGACTGCGCGTGAATTTACAGTAGAGTTCAACTTCAGCGTATATCTTCCAACCAATGAAGTTTTATAGCGCAGGTTCGCCTCAATTCGGTTCGCCTCAATTCTGTGTCAGCTTGACTTTCTCGTTACGGTCATGCTTGTGCCGGCCATCATACCGTTATTGTTGCCCATCTAGTTGGGAGGAACTAAGTACAAATGGCCCGACTGGCAGCACATCTTGCCATTGTCTGCTTGCGTCATCCAGCACTGGCTATTGCCAGAGCGCAGTCTGTCTTCATGTCGAGTCTGAACTCTCACACGCGCTGCTCCGGATTAGCGGTAGGCCCAGATGACCATGGTATGGCCGTTCGCCAAGGCTTGAGCACAGTTGAGCGTAAGCTTGTGGTCTGGACTATAGTCTCGCGCTCAATGATGCGTTTTATCTCCCTGTTGCGCCTTCTTGCATGACCATTTTCGATGTACTTGGAATAGAGTAACGCTCCGTTAGAGCGAGTAGAAACGAGGTTAACAATGCATAATGGCAGAAATTAATTCTGTCAAGCTACTCAGGGGTCGGAGCGCTTGTATAATGGTATTGATTATAAGAAACTGAGGCTTCATTCTTTCCTTATTTGCCCTTGTTCGCTGACACTATCTTATAGAAGCTTCAATCTTCATACCTTGATCTTCTTATGAAATCGTAAAGTAGTAAAATAAATTGTATTATTATAATTATCATCTATCTTTAAAATTGTTCCAGCTGATAATAATCGTATGCTGGTATATATTCCCTCAGACATATTTCATTTGAGCCTCAATATATGTCTCGTGATTTAGCTCCCCGCATAGGTGCCCTATGCGCAGTGGTGTTGGATAAGGTACATGTACATGTATTGCATGACCACATTTGGAGTACTGCAAGGCTCCAACCTTCGCCTTTATATCTGCATATTTATGCCTCACCGATCATACCGCCAAAAGCTGTCATGAAAAATGGCCAGGAATCACAACGTGTCGGATAATACATTTGGAAATAATGCAGCATTTATTCAGGGTGGCGTTAAAACAACAATCAACATTGGTATATTTATCTGAGGGTTACAATATCAAGCATCCACGGCCTGGCTAACTTGTATTGTTGACAGGTTCCCCAGAAGAGGAGGATAGCTCTTGGCTTGAAAAGATTAGCCAAACGAATCCTACCTATGATAAAAAACGTATTTTAGAGTCAAAGGGACCGTTCTTGTATAAGCCATTTTGCTGGATCCTGGATAATGAAGATTTCAACAGGTGGCGCAATACTGAAAAGAGCGGTGTGTTCTGGATTAAAGGAGATCCCGGGAAAGGGAAGACAATGCTCCTCGGTGGTTTGATCGATAATGTTGAGGAAAATCCTGGAAATATTAATCTTACCTATTTCTTCTGTCAGGCCACAGACTCCAGGATCAATACTGCTACTGCGATTATCGGAGGCTTGATAGTCTCGTTTATTAAGCAGCATCAAGATTTTCGTCTAGAAATATACGAAAAGTATAAAGGCGACTTGGATAAACTTAACGGACCTGACGGATGGTATATTCTGTCCGATATGTTTGAAGAAGTTACACAACATCCGGATTTACCATACCCCGTCTGTATTGTTGATGCTCTTGATGAGTGTGAGCAAGAACACGGCTGCAAACAACTTTTAAAGCTAATTATTGAGACGAGCGGCCGTGTCAAGTGGCTTATTTCAAGCCGTAATATAACAGAGATAGAGAGGGAACTCCAAGCAGTCGACTCTAGCCGAAGGCTAAGCCTGGAACTGAAAGAAAACGCTGAATATGTTACTAAATCGGTTGATCTATATATCAACGAATCTATTCAGAATATCATGGCATTGAAAGGCGACGAAAAACTCCAGATCAGGGTGACTAATACCTTGAAAAGCAAAGCAAACGGCACCTTTCTATGGGTAGCTCTTGTCATTGAGCAATTGCGTAATACAAAGCATCGCCATGTAGAAAACGTGCTGGAAGAAATACCAGAGGGCCTAGAAAACCTTTATCATCTGATTTTAAAGCGATTAGCTAAGCAAAAAGACAAGGAAGTCTACCAAATCCTACTCTCCACCGTCACTACAGCTGAAAGACCTCTTCGTCTTGAAGAACTTCTTACATTTATAAGCTTCCAGTGGAAAGATTATAGAACCACACATAGCTTGCGCGATATACAAGATATAGTAAAGGATTGCAGATCCTTTTTATCTATACGGGATGACGATAACACTGTTGATTTTATCCACCAGTCGGCGAAAGACTATATTATGGGCGCTGCCTCTAAGATTATTTTCCCTTCAGGCATCGAATATCAGCACTACATAATGTTTACAGCTTCGCTAAGAGCCATGTTTCGCACACTTAAACATAATATATATGGCCTTAAAGATCCAGGGAGTGATACCGCAACAATTTCTCCGCCTAACCCAGATCCATTAGCGCCTATAGCATACTGTTGTGTATTTTGGGTTGAGCACTTATTTCGAAGCTGCGATTCTGGAGCATCACGAGATAAAATATTCCTAAAGGATGACAGAACTCTTCACTCCTTTCTCAGAGTCAAATACCTATGCTGGCTAGAATCCCTGGCCCTCTTGCGCAGTCTTGTACCGCAAGGGGTAGATGCTATCCAGAAACTCCAAAATCTCCTTTCCGGCTATTATAAAAGCGAGTTTAATGGACGCCATGTTCGTGAAATGGCATATCTACGAAGAGAAAGAGAATCGAACCGCCTCGGATTGTTAATTCACAATGTTTACCAGCTCCTTCACCGTTGCAAAGATTTATATCTCAGAACGTATATTAACTCTGCGCTTACTTTTTTTAATTACCACGACGACTCGCACATCCGAGCATTTGTTAACGATGCTTATCAATTCATTCATTACTGCAAAGATTATGTGCGCAAATACCCTTTACAGCTGTACTATTCGGCCGTTATATTTGAGGATACACATAGCGCAATTTACACAACTTTTCAGCACATTATACGTGCTGAATTTAAAAATACCCTTACATTTATCAAAATGCCGCAAAATAGATTCTCTCTGGTACAAAATATAGAGCTGAATTGCCGTGGTTCTATTATCGCACTTCTTTATTCACCAGATTCCTCTATCCTATGTTCATTATCTAAAGGTGGCACTCTCTCTCTATTCAGAACAGACATATACACCCTGCAGCGAGCGATTGAACTGGATCTAGACCAAAAATATAAACATAGATTCTTATCTGATCTGCATCATTATTTGCTTGCCTTTTCAAAGAACTCAAAACATCTGATCTCAATATCCGCCACAGGCATTGTGCAAGTATGGGCTGTCAGTTGTGGGACCCAGCTGCAGAAATTCTCCTTAAGCCTCAATACGAGTATGATACCACGTCCCAGCAGATCTGGGTATGGCGCAAGCAACATTCTCCAGGAAGAAGTGATTGCTTTATCATATTCCGGAGATCTTGCAGCATCGACCTGTCGCACGCTATTAGGCACCGTGAGCTCAGTGAAAGTCTGGGCGATAGAAGCTCGCAAATGTATATATGTGATTGATCAGTCTCATATGCCGAACATTATCTATGCAGCTTTCTCACCAAACTCAGCAATGATAGCCTTATCTCACAAAGAAGATGCCAGAGTTTACTCTGTTCAGACAAGGAAAGAGATAAAACACATGAACCATCCTTCACACTGTTTGGGTAAAAAATTGATACATCCTCAATTTTCTCCAGATTCAAAACTACTGGCGTTAAGATATGCCAATCGGGATATGTATCTCTGGTGTACAGAGACGTGGACAGTAGTTCGCCATTTCACAAGCAAATTCTCAACAGAACACTTTAATCTCTCGCCCAATTCAACTATGTCCGTACTCCGCTGTCCATATGCATTATTAATTGAGAGCATGGATACAGGAGAGCCCTTACTCAATATTAAATCACATGCTTGGGTAAACAGTCCTATTTTCTCTCCTGATTGGACAGATTCATCGTTTCTTGCATCTTTCAGTTTTGGCGCAGTTCAAATATGGCGAGCTTATCTAAATACAAAGGGCAAGCCATCCGAACTACGGAATACTGTCAGCCACTTGAGTCGTTTGCCCATATTTCCAAAGTCTAAATTTGTGACGGCGTTGGATTATAGAGGCAATATTAGGATATGGAGTGGAGAGAGCGGCGAGTGTACTCAGGTACTTGAAGGAAATAGGTCTACATGGCCATTCCCACATGCAGTCTTCTCACCTAATCAGGACCTTGTGGCCTGCGTCCAAGGGGACAAAAGCGATGTCCAGACCTGGCACGTTGAGACTGGGAGGCCCCTTCACCTGCTTAACGGTCCAGGTGGCGCCAGTGGTGAGACCATACGCACCGCTTTTTCGGATGATTCAGGGTACATTGTGACGGGCTATTCAACCGGCCTGTTGAAGGTCTGGTGCGTAAAATCTGGAACATGCTTGTGCGAAATCGACTGGTGTGATGAGAAGGTAAATACCTTAGATGTGGCATTCTCTCCCGGCTCAAGATATATTACGGCGGCCTTTAACCTCCACGGAGGGTATAACATCCATGCGGCGGTCTGTATCTGGGACTGGCGAACAGGCCAATGCATCTCCCGGATTGAATTGCAACGCAAGTTTCTTCGAACGAGTCTTACATTTTCGTCAGATGCGACAGTCTTGGTTATGATCGCTGAGATTCCACTTTCGCCTCCTTCCTTCAACTCTATGTATCGTTCGTATGCGGTAAAGTTCTACGATATTACTTCTGGTACCTGTTTAAGCCATATTGATATCAAGAGCAAATGTCTGCCATTTTACGACCCATCAAAAGACCATATAGTCTCTGACCGTTTCAGGTTCTGTAAAAGGTCTTCATGGAGACGCTGGGATACAATTCCACAACCAGGATACTCCTGTTTCACTAAGGGTCCACCTTCGCCCAATGGAGAGACTTGGATTTGTTTTGGCGAACGTAAAGTCTTTCAAGTTCCGAGAGAAATTTTGGAAAATGATATATATATATCTGGCTCTCTACTAGTATGTAAAAATACTGTAGGAGAATTATTTATTATTCATCTTCCTAGCAAAATATAATACACAAAACGTAAATTAGGACATCCATATATATACGAATAAAGTATCATTTGGTGATCTTACGCCTCTGATCCAATACCTAGCTACAACTTGCATTATTCCAACAGGATTTGGCGTCCACCTCTCAGACTGAGATTCTCCCCTGCTTATACGTCTCATCTCCTTCTCCATATCATTGGAAAAATAGAATGCCATTAGACATGTGAGGAGCTCAAAACGTCAATCAATATTCATTTACATCGTTCAAGTAATATGCGTAGTAAGAGAAACATAGTTGAAAAATACGCAAGTCCTTTAGCCATTAGAGGGCCATAGGACGAGCTATTCCACCTTCTTCCAAAGCGCCCCTAGCTGTGCGATACGCATCCAATCATCTGTCTGATTTGAAGCTGACAGATCGCTCATAAAACTATTCCAATGCTGCTTCGACTGAGCTCCATATCTCGTATCGAACCACCCAAGGCTATTACTGCCATATCTGTATCCGTCTGTGTTCCCTAAGATAGACGCCATTCCATCCATACCTTGATACTGAATGCTAAGTAGGCTATGATTGAAGGCGTTTTGTTTCTTTATATTTTGCAGAGCTTTTATGACTTCAATCTCCGAAATCGTTGCATGATATATTCGAAGTCTCTGCACGCAAAACTTCTTGAACTCTTCCAGGGCTGCGTCCGATTCTTCGGATCCTGGCTCGCCTGCCTCGCAAACTTCGAGCCATAGACTACGCATCCGCGGTGACCATACATGGCAGAGCTTTATCTCTTCTATGTATTCCCCGTTCAGAGGCAGTGAGTTCGCCAACGGCGTATGGGCCACAAAATCGAGATAGCATTCTTGACAGAATTGTGCCTCTGGATATCCCCACCACCTGGATTTGCCGTAACCCTTGACCTTGGGACAAGCAGGCACGCCAGCAAAAGTCATAACGAACTCCGAGAAATAGTCAAAGACTCCGCGGTCAAGCATCTCCGCAAACTTGGTAATGTACTGACCAAAGCGTGGGCTCGCAAAGCAAAAGTCACACACGTAGGCATTGGAAGAATCGCGCTCCGACAGCTGGAAGAAGTGATCCAAGGCTCTTATTTGGACAACTCCGGCGAAACATGCCTCGCATATGTTGAACTTGTCGTCGTATCCCTCCAGGGTCCACCAGTTGCCGTAGACGATGCCGTCTGCTGTGCAAGGCACGAGACTGCAAATTGTTTGCTTAGCCTTTGCAAACGTCTCAAAGTCCCTTCTAATAACGAGAGCCGCATCTAGTGCTATTGTTGTTGAGATGTTTCGATCCGCCAACCCACAGCACCACAGCTCTGGATCCAGATCATCAGAGAAACGCTGAAAGTCCCTCTTGAAGGAGGTCAATGCTAGTTTATCTAGGTAACACGTCTCGCAGACTTGAAAGCTTTCAATGTCGTAGTCTTTTGGCAAGTACCACACAATAGCATCAGAGCGTGTCTGCTCGCCTATGCACGCCGGAAGCTGAAGCCGTCGAATTGCGCCATTTATAAAGCCATTCCAGTTAGTATGCTTGGCCATTGGAGCAACTAATTCCAAAATGTATGGGATGCTCAGATCACAGTTCCATCTTGGAGCTATTTCAGAATAAGTCCCGAAATTGGACTCAAAGCCGGTTCCAACTACGTAATCCTCGTAACAGGCTTCACATGCGGCAAAGCCCGCGATTTCATTGTCCATCAGGCCATAGACTGTCCTGTCTTCAACGTCTTCGGTGATTTCTTGCCCCGGACAAGACTTAATCTGTAAGCGCTTGGTCATGTATTCACGTAGTGCATTCACGTTGTTTGTTTGAATGGCTTCGGGCCAAAGAACGTCCTTCACGCGCGGAAGCCAAAATCGGCAGACGGCAATGTCGCCATTTGGCCACTCTATTTGCTTAAATTGGACTTCGAGGGATGTTCCTTTGATGTGATCGGCGTGACATCTGGTGCATATCAAGTAGTCTGCCGTATCTTCGAATGCATCCGGTAGGTAGTACCACTTGAGCGAGTAGTTGACTTCCCTGTCTCTGGGACATACTGCGAGGACCTCCAGCGGATCTCCAGTCTGTCGGATTAAATTAGGCGGTCGCGGACCATCGTCATCTTCTTCAGTATTCGCAGCGTGTACAGACGAGCCCTGCTCTTCTTGATGTAGACTTAGGTCGCCCAATTCCGCAGTGAGATCCTCAAATGGATTCTTCAGGACTGATGCGTCTCCCATTGTCACACAATTAATTTTTCCTTCTTTCTTTCTCTTCTTAGCGACAGATTGTGCGTGGTATCGCACGTCATGTTAGTCGGTAACATAGAAAGGAGGGGAATGCGATATTTATTTGATTGAGCAGTCAGCCTCAGGTGCAAATGGTGTCGTGCGGCTGAACGTATCCGAATAGAGCAAGGCAGATTTAGTCGGGTCGTGCAACTACGCTCAATCTTATGATTATTACATGTAGATAGATGCTGCATTCATATCGCGTTATTTTTTTTTTTTTCCAAAAATTCTTTAAATAAAAATCACAGTTATAAATAAGTCCAGAGTTCCATATTATAAGAGCAATGGTTGAAAGTAAGTACCATGTTATATGTAATGCATGATATATACAAGAGGGGGCATATTGCTCTACTTGTATTTCTCCGCTACATACTTTGTAGCGCGCTAAAGGAAATATGAATGGCCGCGATAACGGCCGCGGCTGATTCGTTTAGCCGAGAGTCTAGATTCATTTATTTGAATCGCACGCTGCAAGGTGTCATAATTTTCGTGGCCCATCATGCTGGCTAGTGCGAAGGTATCTATCGTATTAACCCAATCTACTCTCGCCGGAAAAGCTTCTTGAACTTTCCAGATATCCGGTTCTTCTTCTTGGCGTAGTCAATGCTGTGAGGCTCTGAATAAACCGTCGGTCGTCTTGAAAAACTCACCGATTCCTCTCTCGTTCTGTCTTTTCCTTGTGACGAGAGGAGGCCAAGATGCCGACCCAATCTCCAGTCACTCTTCATACCATATTCCGTTTCTTTTTCGTCAATCACAAAAGTACCCTGCTGTCGAACCCTGAATAACATCTTCCATCTTGGCGCAATCTCATCCAGCTTACTCGAATTGTAATCTGGGTGCTTTTGGCTGATATACAGCGCAAGATCACATCTGCAGGCCAGCTCCAGGAAGGACTCGATCTGCGGGATACCAAACAGATATTCCATGGCATGGGAGAAGCTCCACATCTTGAACTGCTGCGTTATAATGTCTTCAAGCTCATCCAGAGCCTCTATCTCTGCGGTATCATCCCTTACTTCAATCGAATGAGCATAGTATAGACTGCCTAATATCCATTGCTGGAGATATGGCTTTATGTACATCAGCCGATGGAGGTGGATCAGAGATCTGATTTGACCTATATTCGCCTTAAAAAGAACTTTGACCGGATGAAAGCTTCTGCCAGCAATACTAGATAGCCTCTCGTTTATATCTGGCAAGTGTAGAAAATTGAGAACCATGTTATGTATAAACTCAACTTTCTCGGCAAAAAGCACTTCACCTTCGACATCAGAGACGGTATGGATCAGGTCTTTGCATTGGGCAATCAGCTGCCGCTTCTTCACCTCCAAAACCCTTTCTTCTGCATTGTCAACGATTGGCCATTCTCTCAGGAATGGCAGCGGCTCGAGAGAGAGAGGCTTATCACCAAAGTTCAAAAAGTAGAACGTAATGATTGGCAGCGCCACTTTGGCAGAAGTCATGGTGAGGAACAGTCGAGACACCCTTTCTCTATACACATCCTCGATTATACTGAGCATGTTATCGAAGAATTTGTACAGATCATCTGGCAGCTGACCCAAACGCCGCTCAAGATCCAAGATGTCATCTTCGTTGCGCAGCCCGCGTAGGAGGGAGCGAACAACCAGAAAGACCCAAAGGAACACGCCATCCGCTTTCTCTGTTATGCTCAACACAAGTCCATCGGCTGCAGTTTTATCACGTCTGCGAAGCTGGTTGAATTTGTCGTCACTTTGCAGCGTGCCCTTGATGAATTTTTGGATATCCTCGCGCGTGAAATCTTGCAGTTCTAGTTTCGGCTGGTTGCCCCCAAATGCATCAGAAAACTCGATCCATGGCCGGCTGGATATACATATTTTAATATTGTCTGACTCGCCAATTTTGTGGATAATGTCTATTACATCTGTAGGTTCGCCATCGTACTCATCGAGACCATCGATGAAAAGGCATATTTTCCACCGAACGTTGCCTAGGCCACCTAATCGTTGAAACGCTTCCGCTAGCTGCTTCAGAGTCCACGGGTAAGAACGTTCATAATGAGGAGCATTCCAACGATCGGTGCATACTGTAGGAATCAATTCCGGGCGCTGCCCCAAAATCTGGTGAAGAAGAGCTCTGAAAAGCCCGTCTTGCGACTTTTGCATAGTCGTGCCCGGACTCCAGAAATAGTGCTTAGCAACTATAAGGTCATTGCCATTTGCCCACTCCGTCAGGTATTGTAACGTCTTAGGGTGATCCGTAAGGAACTTCATGAGAGTTGACTTCCCAGATCCGGCTTTCCCTGTAATCCAGTATATGCCATTGCTCTTCTGAAGCCAATTCACGAAGTTGGTCGGCTTGGTCTCATCAAAAATCCACGTTGCTGTGCCTTCATGCGCTTCACCGACTGCAAGTTCTCGCTCGTGTAATTGGTTAAAGTTCAGAGTTTGTAAGATGCTCTCTCGCTTCTGTATACCGCGCCGCTCTATATCGTCTAAAATGGCGTCAAATGGCCCCTGCATAACACTCATTGTAAAGACATCCTTAATCCTGGATTCCCTATCTTTTTGAATTGACTTGAAGTCCTTCTCGGAAGATCTGTGGCCGCTTTTTCTATCGCTGGAGGTTGCGGTAGACGCCATGTTTGGTTGTTTTTGCTGTGAGATCGATTTAAGGTATTTCATAACCTCGGTGTATTTGTCGTTGATATTTTGAAGCATGTCTTCATTTGATGTTACAACAGTTTGTAAAACCTCTCCAAGTTTTAGCTGTTCTTGCCTGCTGCCGTTAGATGAAATATCTCGAGCAGCTACAATCTAAGCTCCGCTCACCTAATAAGCATTATCAGATGACTGGATACTTCGCTACGTAAAATGAGTAGTCTGCTGCGAAGCTCCATCAACTCGGATTGCTTGGAGAGTCTTTGGGCAGTTTTACTGATGGCATGCAAGACACCCGCCGATTTGGCGCTGCACCCGTTAATAATGCCCTTGATTTCTTTGGCTATTGAAACGCATTGCTCGATGAGGCCGTTCATAGTTTTATCTGAAACAGAAATCGCTTGGCTGGCATCCTCAGATGAATGGATGTTTTGCAGAGAAGATTCAACATCATTGACAATTAATTCCAGCTCAGCATCTTCTTTTAATTTGCCATTTGGGCTGTGGTAGATCTGAGCAGCCTTCGTCGCCGCAATAATCGCATATTCAACGAACTGGACGGCATTTCCAGCTAGCGAAATGGTATTCAGCGCGTCCATCACAAAGCTTTATGCAGCTGTAGCATGGCTTACAGTGATTATAGCCCGGGCTTTGACCAAGTGCAAATAGAACTCTCAGTTCATCTCATTGATTAAGCCAACAAAATTGAGGCCATAGCCCACAAACTAGAGTAGTTGACTGAGGGGATAAACAAACGGTCATCTGTCGCGACGAAGGAAGGGTGCGTAGCGGTCCAATCAGCAATACCCTTGCATGTTGTACATGCACACTTCGCCACATTCGATTCAGCCGCAGCAGATAAAAAATACAGGGGTAGGCAGCATGATTGCCTAGCAACTCAAATGGTTATCAAAAGAAAAGATGTCGCAAAAGAAATATGCGCACAGCTTTAGATGATTTGAACAGCATCGTCAAAGGGCAAATCTCCGCTTTGTGTGTATCTATCGTAGAGCTCTGTAAGTTGAGTTTTTCTGAGGCCTCTTTTTCCTAATGTTTGCCTACCGCTACAACGTTAATTAAGCTCTTCAATGCCAACTTCACCTATTACATCCTTTTTTTCTGCTTTTCGAAATATCCTCTATAAGTGGTAGCCAACTGTCACAGTACATTAAAATTACGCCTGAGCAGATGATTCGGGCAGTATCTCTCATCATCCAGCTCTCCGGCAGAGACGATGTGTCAGAAGCGGGGAATAGAAAATTGATATACTAATCCGTTCCGACATCTTAAATGCTGTGTATAAGCGTATAGTAAGGCGGCCTCCATGAAGCCTCCATGAAGCCATCACAAGATTGAGCCCAAGCTCTAAACTTTGCAGTAAGTTGGGCCATGAACTGAACTTGCCATGGCTGGCCTTTAAGGTTTGCGATAAGCCTGGGCAAACTCCAAAGCGATATCCTAATCGCCTATTGTTCCCAGCTGACAGTCTGATTGCTCAAACCTCATCTTTGCCACAGGATAGCCGCGGTCGCTTATTCCTTCTAAAGGGCGGCGAATGTTTAGACTTCGCGCACTCAGTTTGATTAGGTTGTTGTTATACGAGGAGCTCCCTCAAGGTAGCTTTCAGCAGGTGAGCAGTTCATAATACAGCCACTTCTCAAAATGGCGCGGGCCACGGTAAGCTTAACGAGAGCTCGTCCTCGGTGCTCCGATCAGCAGCAGCGAGTTGAATGACAGGAAAGACATCACATATCTAATCCTAAAGGAGTCTGAGTCTCACCCTTCTTATCCCCGACAAGGCTAACAATCAAGCGGTATTTGCTATTTCCGGTTGCAACATTCGGAAGGCTAACACCACGGCTCCGCAACAGCCGGCGCCAAATACTGTTAGTCACGAGTTAAAGCATGAGGACGAGGTAAAATCCGCGGCCGAACACATAGGGTTGCCCAACTTCCGCCCCCCCATCCGCAACCTTCTTAAGGTAAGCATTTGGAGGGGTTGTCAGTAAGACCTAAGTCGCGGCCGCGGCGTTTAACCAGTACCGACGGGAAGGTCAACAGGGAGCATCGGGAGCCGAAGTTGGACGAAACTCTTTTGTGCAATCGGTTCACACCCCCCTCCACTTTACTGATCGCGATAGGGCCCTGTGGCGATCACAAGGGAGTGAGCCGAAACCAGGTGGTGATTGGTCTGTGAGCTTGAACGATAGCTGGAAGAGACAGGAGTATATACAGTAGCATCAAATTAAGTGGGTAAGACGCAGGCCGAGTCGATATAGTTGACTCATAAGACAGGCTCTGCCAGCGAAAACGCCCGTAGCGCAATGGTCCATGGATAGAATACTGCTTCCCTCGTTGTTCGCAGTTTTGAGTCTGTAAGCCAGCAGGTAAAGGATGCAGTCTTCATAGTTCATAAGTCCAGCCACTACAGCCCTATCAGCCATGTGCGCTGCTTAGAACTCGTAAAGTCCGAGATCCAGCAAACAGTGTTATGCGGGGGAAGGAAGCCAAACAAGCCGTGCTGACAGACAGAGCAGTGCGAGGGCGAGGAACCCGAAGCTCCACGGACTTTGTGCATGTGTGTTATTTGCCACACCGTTAGCCAATAGCCACTGCTCAACTTCATACTTGTTCGATTTCGTCCGAATGGAAACCTAACGAGAGCTTCCTTGCTACCATGCATGCCAGGTTGTTTACTGACATACTTCCAGCCCGCAAAACAGCTTGTTGCTTGTTTTTACTTCCGATGTTGCCCGTGCTATGGAGAATCTCCATGCCGGCAAGGGTGGGGCGGCCTTGGTCTTGTGATGGGCTGTATGGAGCCCAAGCAGCAGAATCGCTACCAGTCGATCATCCACGCCCTGCACGCCCTTGATTTCCTCTTTCTTCATGTTCCTGAAAGTGGCAGACGGGGGGGTGTAGGACGGGGAACTCTGGTGAGAGCCGGCTGACCGAATCATGCAGGCACCGCAATCGGAGGGCGAAGCGCAACGGTATAGGCTAATCGGCGGATCGGATTCACGAAAACACCACGATTCAAAAGCCCTTCATTGTGATCAAAACACACGGGATTGGCGGAAGCCGGAGTCACGAGAACCAGTTGTAGCCAGATATGGCCGTTTCATCTTTAAGAAAATGCCCCGGATGCTCTTCATTGGCGGCGATAAGCATGCCTCGTGCCTTTTACATGTGTAGCCGAGGAGGACGGTAACTTATTGCAGCTTAGCAATTCTTGTTGTCATTGAGGCTGGTTGATAAGATCAAACCCCAGGTTTTGGATGCATGTTGAGGCCTCGGCTGAAGCTCTGCTGAGTCTTGCCGGTGTGCGACTAGTAATACCTACCTGCGATTAGTAGTGAGTGACTGCTCGTCACGCCTATACGGATTATTAGTATGTCGTCTAGAAGACGAAGGGCGGTAATAAGGGCTTATATGACAAATTAGAAATGGAACAAGTCAATTGGCTTGAGTGATCAGCCAGCCAGCATAATGCAAATACCTAATACGGAGTATGTAAAGCGGTGTTTATATTCCTGAGCAGAGGCAAGCCACACACCTGCCAAACTGCATAAGCGGCGCTTATGCTATAATCAGCCTTATCCAGAATAAGTTTAGCGATCTTGCTGTCTTTGTAACGCCTACTTGAATTGTGGCAATCGCTTTTGGCGTTTAATGAAGTTATGCAAGAAGGCGTAATGGCGAGAGTCGTCTGTGAGAAAAGACTGCTGTTCACAGCGGCTATGAGTTTCTTGACGGGCATAGCCCGCATGGAATGGAGAATCCTTAATACCAATAACAGGATCTTTCAACAGTTACATTATAACGCACTTATTAGATGCTACCAGAAACTAGGAGTAACCAACTCAGTACCAGCGAAAAATTATGAGTGAAAGAGTAGGTATTTCGGTCTTATAACGGTATTCATAATTGAACACAGTAGCAGCAAGTATCGTATATTAACAGCAGGTAGAGGAATAAGTCGAAGTTATAGACATTAAATGCTAATTAATATATTTCTAATTATAACTCATCTGAAGCAAAACTCTTCTTCGCATCCTTTTATGCCAAGTGCTCAAGAGCATCATTATGAGTCTTCTTCAGGTGGAGCTCTTGAGATCCGTACCGAGAGCCACGGGTCGCTGAGGATTACCATTTTCGGAAAGGCCTCGGCACTCGCACCATCAAATCTGGCGATGAGCTTTGGGGCCTCAAGCTGTCCAAGACAGTTCTTAGTGTCTCCATATTTCGGCATACAAACACCGACACTGTAAGAATATGCGTATTTGTGAAGAAAAAAGGCCCTAATTTCAATAAAATATTTTATATATCCACCATTTATTTGATTTTTTATAGGTGATAACCATGCATTTTACGCATGTTCGTACGCTTTCATATGTCGTTTATAAATCCTATCTTACAAAACACATATGCCTAGTTTATGACACATCGAGTGCTGGGGGAGTACTATCCCATCCCCAGTGCTGTTGTAGCTTCGCAACTCTTTCTGCTGTTGAGTACCCAGTTTCTCTTTGTATAGTGGCGAGGAGCTGAGCTAGTGCTGTCCTCTGCTCGTGTGTCTCGAAGCAAAGTCCAGCCAGATATAAAGGCTGTACCATATGCTGTCGAACAGGGTCATCCGGCCGCCCCAGGGATATTGCGCATATCTCATTAGCGTGCCCTTCGATTTGGGCCGATAGCTGACGATAAGCATGAAGTCGTTTAGTTACAAACTCGAGATGTGACTCTGTAGGCTTTTGATTTAGAGGTTTGTGAAGCAAGAGAAGAAGTTGAACAAAGTGATATAAAACTGCGGCCGTTGCACACATGGCGTTGGCATAAAACAATTCTTGAAACGCGCTTTGAAACTCCGACCTGGATGCCATGTTGTCTGAAGGTGTGGGTATATTGTTATACCGCTGTGCTATTCTCGCGCAAGGCTCAAATGTATCCGGCAGTGCTGCACACCAGTTTTCGAGATGCTGGGATACATCATCCCAACGATGAGATTCATTAGATGAGTTCTGACAGGCGCTATGGTTTTCTCGTAAGCCGTTGATTGCCGTCTTATTGCCACTGTTTTCAGCTGCAATGAGCGTCAGTGTCTTCAGGATTATCCAGATCAAACTTCTGCAAGCCAACGTCTCTGTCATCTGCATCTGAAAGCCCGAATCTCCATTGTTGCAGAGCGCATTTGGCATAGTGACTCCATCAACAACACACATTGGTAGACCTGCGGCTTTCCACAACTCAGAATTCTCCACATCGAGACGTGGTGCTGTCTGCTCAGTGTAAGAAGTAATCCAATCGATACACACAATGTTCCAAAAAGATGCTTGCCATGCTCTTCGAGCATGTAGTCCGTATGTTCCGTTGCGACGATTGATTTCCGTACTTTCAAATAGCTGCTTGAGATTGAAAGTGAGCAGATACTGTGCACCAGACATATGCCTGTTACGAGAGATTGTCAGCTGCTGTCTTGAAATAAACGCATAAAGTGAAATGAAAAAAGAACCATACCTAGAGACTTCTGCAAAGCGATTATCAAGAGATTCATAGAGCAGAAATACAGATATTGCCGCGAGGAGATCATCCACGATAGTGTGAGAGCCTTGGCTGCTTTCCACTCGCCGCCTCTTGAACGAAGGAGATACTGCTGAATGCAAGCCCAGACCGGCATCAATAGATGATGTAGATCCGGGTGATGAAGCTGGACTGCCGTCACGTAATGTTTGGAGCAGCCTCATCATATGGCCTATAGCTTTGTCATAAAAACTCGCAGCCTTATAGAACCAATCGATATGGGCCGCATTAGAGTACAGCTCCAGCGTAGATCGCCCCGGTGACTGATGACTCGTCATGTATGTCTCTCGCTTCGTCTTCCCAAATTGTTTCGCAGCAATGGCGGCCAGAGCATTTTGTAGAAGCGGGCTTCGAATTGCCTTGATAGGAACAATGTGTCCAAAGAATCGCTCAATATCAAACACGTCCAGACACGGGCTAATGCGTTCCGCAAAATATCTTATCAGATATGCGGTCTCTTGATCGGCTTCACTGGATGAATCAGGCATTGGCGACGATGCTTCGGTCTCCAACTTGTCTGATGTTTGTGATTTATCTGCCTCTGGATCGTATCCGGACGCTGCATATCCTTCTAGATTGACGTCGCTAATCCAAGAAAGAGAGGGTCCTTGCAAACCACTGGCATCACTTATCAAAGAGACGGAAGGAATAAATCCACAGCAGTTATTTCCCTCCGCAAAGTATTCGTTGGGGTCAATATCGAAAAATCTAGCGTCGAAGTCTTCATCGGAAAAGCTGTCAGTCAGGATGAAGGGTGCATCAGATGTCCCTTGATTAGCAGATAAGCCGTCATGGCTAGGCCTCCCCAGGCCAATGTCATGCAAATCATTGTCTTGAGCCTTAGCTTGGGCCTCGACCTGGGCTCCTGTTTGGATTCGAGGTTGAGCTGGTGGTGTTTCAGGCTGAGACTGGATGCGAGTAAACTCAGTGTTGCTTGAGATTGCCGAGGGTAATGGAGCCGAGCCAAGTGAGCCTGAGAGTGACGACACCGAAGATGAAGCCTGAGCTGCCGGGTGTACCTTTATGGGGCCGCTTCCCTGCGGGCTGGCATCGGCAGAAGAGAACTTTTTTCGAAGGTTCTGGCTCTCATCGAGAAACTTTCGAAGATGATTATAGCCAGGACATGACCGGGATGATTTTTCACACCGCGCACAGCCTGGTAGTCGTTTATCGCACTTGAAAGATGTGAGAAGACCGCGCGATCCGATTAAGCTCTCTGCGGTGGACACTGTACTCACTTTGACCCGCCGCTTCCTGCAGAGCGTGCAAGGCACGGTGGAAACCTCCATAGTCCCGTAAATAACACAAGAAACAGCCTGACTCTAGATGCTCGCTCCCTTGATCCTAATACAGAAGAGGGTGGTCGTCGAATGAATGATGGAAATCTCGGGGCGAAAGACCGAGCAGCCCCGCGTCGGTGGCTCTATAGCAGAGTTTCAGTCCAGCACAATGTTTGCTTATCAAAGGAGAGGTTCAGCGACTGCCGATCCAGTCGAGGTGAGGGCTGAGCGGGACGCCGACAGTTGCCTTATGTGGAATAGCGGCATCAGAGCGCTGCCACCACCCCAGAAAAGGCAAAACCTCAAAAGTGACTGCGGTACGAACTGCCATGTTGTCGGGCGCAACACATTACTTCATCCAATGTTGTGGACGTCACCGTAAATTCCAGCTCTCTTTGCTGTTGCTCTCGTTTCTATTCGGGACTGGCGAGACTTTTTCGCCGCTTTTTTCTCTCATTCACCTCACCTGCGCTCATTCTCTTGGCGTGTATTCTCTCTGACGACTCCCAAGTAGCACTGCCATCATCTTCGGTGGGCGGAGACAACGCGCAAAACAGCAGCGAATGGTGACGGCCTCGACGCTACCCCCAAATGGTGATGATGAGACCGAGCACCGAGTGATGCTGAGCGCAAAACTGGATGAGGCAACTCTGCCCGGCGACAAGCAGGCAGCACAATGAAGATCCAAAGGGTACCAAGCTCGCTCCGTCTTTCATCTCATCCCATCTCATCCCATCTCATCTCATCTCATCCCATCTCAAGGCCCAGAGATGACCCGCAGCCACATGACGCTTGCTAACAACATCGCCCATTAGCTATTTATCTATCCTGTCAAATCGCTCCTACCTATTGAGGTGCAAATTGCAGAGATTACGAGTGAAGGATTTCGATTTGACCGACAGTACATCCTAGTCAGGGATCCTCGATGCCACCCAACTGTCAGGCCTCATCTGGCCGAGCACTTGACCATCAAGCGGGTGTATAAACTGGCGCTCTTCCAGCCGTCAATAAACGATGATTGGTCGGAGCTGACTATCAAGCACACGCTTGCTCAACCAGAATCATCCATTACTCTCCCGCTCACACCATCACCACTGTCATGCCTGGACGCGCAGACGTATCAGGTGAGCATTTTCGGCACCGAGGCCTCATGCGTTGACATGGGAGATGGCCCGGCAGAATTCTTCAGCAAGCACCTCGACATACCCACGAGATTACTATTCATCTCCGGCTCAGGCAGTCGAGAAATCCCAGGAGCCGCTTATATACCCAAACACCGACTGCCGCTCACAATCCGGGCCGCCGGCGAGCATTTCCAGCCCCAGCGGATCCGCTTCGCCGATGCGGCCCCATTCCTAGTCACATCAACGGCGTCTGAAGAAAACGTCCGAGCTCGGTTACCAAAAGAAGACCAGCGAGAGGACGTTCTGATCCGCTTCCGTACCAACATTCACGTCGATGTGGGATCCACCGCCGCGTTCGACGAGGACTCTTGGAGAGAGCTTACTGTGTTTTCAGAAGACTCGACTACGCCAAAGGCGGTAGTTCGCTGTGTCTTCAAAGCCCCTCGCTGCTTGAGTGTGAACGTGGACATTGAGAGTGGGGGTGGATCTCCACGGAATAGACAGGTCTACGGCTTGATAGCTAAAGATAGGCGTATTAACACGGCCTATCCCCGTAAGTATTCTTGACCACTTTTTATTCGGAAAGCAAACGCTAATCTACCCCTCAAGTCAAACCAGTCTTTGGGAATTGGTCTTTTGCCGGCCCAAATGGAGCACTACTGAGAGTCGGTGATGAAGTTCGTGTTACGGAGAGGGGGCTAAGCGACAGGTTGACTCAACAGGTAAATGCGGCATGAAATACAAGCTTATTCTTGATACAATTGGTATACCGAGGTCGTTTCGGATCTAGGGAAGAAAAGACCGTGGGCAGTTGAGATGTATAATAGCTAAAGATACGGCGGCGGTATCATAATTGAGTGTATATATGAACGGCTCAATATCAAAAGTTCCAAAAAGTCAAATCTTCCAAAACATGCATACATTCATACCCGTAGACCATACGTGCAATCGCATAAAGCTCACTAACTAGTTACACAAGGAGCGATTCATAGTATAATTAAGCGGAGGGTACATATGGTAGTTAGTAAGCCATCAGTTGTTCGTTCGACGAAAATAGGTATCAATTGGCATTTGAATAGCCTCAGTAAAATATTCACTGCTCAATTACTGCCGTAATGACATAATTTTCATCTTCTTTCCAATACGAGCACAGCTGTTGAATGTCAGCAGAGGGCGGATCTTGAGTGAGTGGCACTAGTCCCAGATAGGCAATCGCCAGCGAGCATGCCGGAGATGTTGTTTGTGATGTGGATAAATTTACCTGACGTGGATAAATGTATTCAGAACACTTCGATAAGCCAAGTTTAACAGAAATGGGAATTGAAATAAGGTCAAGATTTTGATTATTCTAGCGGGCCGGATATACGACACTACACCGAATAGGGGGCATCCGACTGTGATCCGATGAGGCCAACTCGAATAAATACGTGTATAAATATAGAGTTAAATAAAGCTGCGTGCGTATTATAATGAAAATGGATATCAGGGAGATAAAAACCGACTATCAACTCGTTCTATCTTTTAAAACATCCAAATCTTCTTCATTTTCTCAGCATTAATTCCAAATACGTTGTTTTTTCCTATTCTTCTATGAAGGAACGACCTGCTAGCGACCAATGACAGCTGTCCAAAATCTTTCCAGTGACGACGAGACAAAAGTTATCGAGAATCCAATCGAGAGTCCCAATACAGAAGCGTCAGTCGAAGAAGCTAGTCAACAGCAATTGCAAGAGGATGAACATGATGGCGGATATGGCTGGGTATGCGTTGTATGTCAGTTGATGATTACAGCAAGTACTTGGGGAGTCAACGGTGTAAGTTCACTTCTCTAGTTTGCCAATTTAAGAAGCAAAGCATTAATAGGCTTAATGACAGGCTTTCGGTGTCTATCTCGCTCACTATATTTCGACAAACGCCTTCCCTGGCACATCAGAAGCCGCCTACTCCTTCATCGGTGGTTTATCTCAGTCCCAAATCCTCATCATAGCTCCTCTCGTCACCCACGCCACTAGACTTCTCGGTACCAAGCCTCCGCTGTTCATTGGAGCCGTGTTGGAGGCTGGAGCTTTGATTGGCGCGAGCTTCGCTACAAAATCTTGGCATCTCTTCCTATCCCAAGGCTTGTTATTCGGTTGGGGGTGCTCGTTCCTATACATCGGCACCATTGGCCTTATCCCGCAGTGGTTCGCTCGAAGAAAGGGCATTGCTACTGGAGTCGCAGCTGCGGGAAGTGGTCTGGGAGGTCTCATATACAGTTTATCCACCGAGGCTATGATTTCCAACTTGAGCGTTGCCTGGGCCTTTCGCATAACGGCCATTTGCACCGCCTTTACAAATATTGTTTGTATTCTGTTGATAAAAGACAGGAACAAACACATTCAACCGTTTCAGAATGCGTTTGATTTCCGCCTCCTAAAGAGACCTGCGCTGCTCCTCATCATTGCGTGGATGTTCCTCAGTGTCATTGGATACACATGCGTTCTGTTCTCGCTTCCTGATAATGCCGTTCAGATTGGTCTTACTGCCCACCAAGGTGCCATTTTAGGCGCCTTGGCCAATCTTGGAATGGTTATTGGGAGACCCACAGTTGGCTTTCTCAGTGACCGTTACGGGAGGCTGAACATGGTTATCTCAGCAACCTTTCTGGCAGGAGTATGGTGCTTGTGTCTCTGGACATCGGGCACATCATATTCCGCCTTGCTTGCATTTTCTATTCTAGGAGGAACAGTTATGGGAACATGCTGGCCAGTGAGTTGGTTCCTTGTATCTCACAGTGGCAACTAACGCTAAGACACTCTAGATGGCCGGGCCGATGTTGGCAGATGCCTTTGGAATAAAGCTTCTCCCATCTACGCTGTCTATTCTCTGGACTAGTTCTGCTATCCCATCAGCATGTAAGTTGATATTTCATCCTATCATTCGAACTATAACCACTAATACTAACGGCTTGTAGTTGCTGAGGCCATGGCTTTGGGACTTCGACGAACGCACAAACCGGTCTATCTCGATGTTCAGATATTCTCCGGCTGTGTGTTTATTGGTGCTTCACTCTTTTTATTGCCTTTGAGGTTTAAGAAGAACATCAAGAACCTCACTGCAGCAGAGAAGAATTAGGACCGACGCATACGAAGCAACACAAATACTGTTTAGAGCTTGTTCACTCGAGAAGCACTCGAAAATTTTACAAGGTAGAAGAATACAATAGAAGGTCTCTTGAAACAGAGGAGAATAGAAGGAAAATAAAAGGGTAGAAGATATAGAGAACAGGTGCACGGCACATATATCATTGAATGGGAGACAATAAAACTAATGAAAAACGCACCATGTGCTTAGTTATTAATTCCAAACTTGTAGTAATAATTAGAGTATAATTCGATTAAAAATACAAATATTCAGACTATCTAAACCTCAAACAGTGTTCTTCCACAACAGCTTCAACGGCTTCAATGTGACAGCACCAAAGCCTCGATGTTGCATAAATCCATTTATGCAACAAAACCACTCCACTAGTCGCCTCTCCATCCACTGCCTGTGGCTTGACCCGCTAAAAGCAGCACAAATGTGGCGCATCACCAGATCGATCTGACAGCAGCTCCACCATGTCTCACAGCACATCGATCCGCAAAAAAGCAGCGGACAGCTTCCGTTGGCGGGAATCCACAGCGGACTCCGCCAAAGCTCTTGGGCCGAGTGATCTCCGTCTTGATAGCCTTTCTCAACAGCCTAAACTCCAAGCTTTCAGCTAAAGGGTGTGCCTAGAGAACAGAAAACAAGGACAAAATCTTCCCGTGCTTATTTTTATATCAAGCTTCAAGCCTCGTAGGGCGCCTCTCGTGATTCTTAAATCCCAAAACTGCTAATGCACTTAAAGACAAAGATCACCTGTGATAGGCAGAACAGGCGAGGAGGCAGCCAGTTGCCGACTAAGATATTACTCGTCCGAAAGTTTGCAACACGGCCAATGATGGCTATTGAGGCGTTTGCTCTTGGCGAAGTAAGCGCGAAGAGGCCCGCTTCATCTACCTCGGAATTGGCGCTTAGGCCTTTGCTTTGCTAAACAAAACCTAGGTAAAACTACCCGATTTGGGTGCCGATAAGGAAAAACATCGAACCATCATCTTTCATTCTTCTTCCCGCGGAGTGGCACCGGATCGCCTCCGCAATGGTTTCCTTTTACTTATCTCTTTTGTCTGCCTGTCAGCCTGCCTTGCGCAAAAGGCGGGGGAGGAGAAAGGGGGGAGGTGGCGAAGGCTACAAGTTAACCAAAACAGCCGCCTGATCTGATGGAGCATAAGAGATAAAGTACACAGCCAAAAGATGACACTGATTTTGACTGCTTATAGAGGACATGTGATGTGCTTCAGGTAAAAATGCGATGACAACTCCATAGTAATTGCGGAGTGGTCATCGCATCTTACCCTTTTAGGATATCCGCAAAGGTGCACACAAGCATACTTGAAACAGCGGATTTTGGGTTACAAGGCAGAGACAGGCTGGGAAAACACAATGAATAACTAGCGCCTTGCTTATTTTCCTTCTCCAACTTCCAAAATATGTAGGTCTAATTACAAAACCCAAAAAATTATAGCGGAAATATCTTTGACATGCGTTCTAGCGGCACCATTTTGGGGAGGTAAAGGAGGGGTGTGGCCGCCTTTTTCTTGCCTTGTTCGTTTGCCTAACACAGATCATCGTCTGATACCTAAGCTGATGGGAAGGTATCTTTTGGAGTAACCATCGATTATTCCCTTTGCATATCCATTTTTGGGCTTCTCAAATCTTTGTGGCCCCCTCCTCTCCATCCCCTATCATATATCGCCTGTTTCCAGCGTGGGAATTCGAGCGTGGGGTGTACCATAGGGAAACGGAATTACTTGGACAAATCAAGTCATCGATCCCCTTGTATGAACAGGTGTCATTCTGCATTTTTTTCCCGTTACTTAGTGTCCTAATCTACTTTACTATCAATGTATTCCAAACTCATTTGCTTAATTCCGCCTGGTGCGCGACCTGTCATGCTACAGAAGCGCGCGAAAGCAAAGGAAGGCAACAGAACCGAGGGCGTGCGCTTGGCTTACAAACGCCGATAATGTCCATGGACAAATGCCTTCCTTTAGCTCCCTAGTAAACGGCTCCGAAGCTAGTCATGTCCTTCGAGGCGTACAAAATGTTCCAGTCATTGACAAGAAGCCCCAAGCGTTACCGTATCCAGTCGAAAAGGTGCAAATAGAGTGTGAACGAACTTGGGGGAAAAGCGCTCTCTCGGCATGAACCGCGAGAAGGTGTAATGATAATCAAAATCTTAGGATGGCCACCTTTTAATAATGCCGGGCGTGTGTGCCGGAGATCTGACCGCACCATGTCCTACGGCCCCCCGCTGACGAATCAACTTTCTCGCCAGCAATAAGATCTTTTTTTTTCCAATTTGTGAACAAGGCAGGGCCAGTAATCACGGAATCTTGATATCTCCTAGCTGCCTGAAAATCTAGAATACCACCTTAACTCCGTACATAGGCAGGGAGAAAGACAAGATGCACAAAAAACTTGCTCGTGCTGCTGTACGCTGTACAGTACTAGGTAGTATTACCTCCTACATAGCTGCACATAAACTGCCAGCTCATCTCACACGCCCCATTTAGGCTCGAAAAAGCACATTTCCAAGCTAAGTTGCCATAGCAAAAAAAAAAAAAAAAAAAAAAAAAAAAAAAAAAAAAAAAAAAAAACTTCACCTTTTTTTTTTTTTTTTTCTTCCCCCCATGTCCGCCGTCTTGAGTCGCGTAGTAGTAAGAGTCATCTTTTTTTTTTCCTGTTGGGCGGATCTCTGCGGGCCTCAAAGCACAGCACTGCCGCTATTATCGTGAAGAAATCTCTGTTTCCTTCGTTGGATTTTTTTTCCGGCGGGGCCCTTATCTCCTTCCGGCAATTCTCAATTATTAAGGTAGATCGGCTAGCGCAGCCGGCAGTGAGTACGTACCTTGAGGGCCCCCCGCTTTTCTAGAGGCCATCTGACCTCTAAAGTGGCCTTTTCGGATTTCAAATGCAAATAATCGGTACGTACCGAGCTAAGCTTGACTGATGCTTTGCTCATCGGGTCGCTGCCAAGGTGCCGACGCCGTCTAGTCCGAGCGGCAGAAAGGAATTCCGCTCGGTCTACACCCCAAAGCCATCCGCCTTTGCCGCGGGTCTTCGGAGGTCAAGTGTCAAATGTCAAAATTGTTGATTTGCGAGCAAGGGCCAAGGAAAAAGAAAGTTTAGTTAGTTTGCAAGAGGGGGCTTACTGGCGTTTTTCTTTTGTGTGTGCACGCATTCACGATTGATTTGCAATGGGAGATAGGCTCGTAGAAGTGAGGTTGTAACGTTTTTTGTATTTGGTAATCGAGAAGTAAATCGCTATTCGATTTCTTCTCCAAGTGCTACTACTCTTGGTAAGGCGGTCCACTCAACCAAAGGAAGACCAGTTCCAGGGAGCGGCCCACCGATGCTCATCCAGATCCCCCTCGCATTGCCATGAATGTAATGAAACGACGTTGAGCTGTGAATCTCTAATGGTGTATATAATGATTGAACAAAGGAAAAAAGAGTGCTAAATGTGGAAACAAACAAAAACGCCGAATGCCTTTTATATCTTCCCTCTCGGGGTATCATAATGTAGAGATATCCAGAAAGCGCCGTGCCAAGCCATGCCAATTCGCTAATGCAGATCAAAAAAAGTCGTAAGAATCAATTAAGTATGTTGTACAAGAAAGAGGAGATTGTTTGCTGCTTAGTAGACTGAGATGGCAGACACCAGGCCGGCAGGTGATCGGCGGCCCAGATAGAAATCCTCTTCTTGGTAATATGATTCTTCGCTCTCTTGTTCTGACTTCTCGGGTAGAGGCAGCTCGGCATCGACAGGTGATGGAGGCATGGCCTCGTCGTCAGAAGACTCATCAGATTCGTGGTCGACCAGCTCCGGAGGGGAGTTGGAGTGAGATGGAGTTCGAACAAGGCCGAGGTGGGCGTAGTCCTCCTCGAGATCGTCGTCAGCCATGACCTCGTCCTCGACAACCTTGATTGTGGAGGCGGGGCTGATTGTGGTGCGGGTGTTCTCCTCCATCTCGTCGTAGTCGGATTCGTCGTCAGAGTCGACTGAAGAGTCAGAGTCGTATTCCTCCTCGTCGACAGCCTCCTCTTCGATCCGATCGGCCCACTGAATGTGTCGCTTGTTGTTGGCGGCCGAGGTGCTCTTGGAGTTGCGGACAGACTGGTTGAACCATCGCTCTTGCTCTCGCTCAGCCTCGGCAAGTTCAAGCATCAGAGAGTCGAGGAGGTTAGCGTGTCCGACCAAGAGACGGAGATCGTGATCGGGTTGAGCAGCCTCGCGAGAGAGCTTTGCTCGGGCCTTGTGGGCCAGGTAGTAGGTCTGAGTGATGGACATGCTCTTTTGGGTAGCTTGTCGCAGCAATGATGATGGAGCAGACATTTTGCTTTGTGTGGGTGAGGAAGATGTATATATATTGGATGGGTGACTCAAGGCAGCCAGATCTGTTGCAGGGATGATTGAGATGCCTAGATGGTAGTGGGTACTGATTGAATTGTTTGCTTGTGTGCTTTGTTTGTTTGATGCGGAGGAGTCGAGGTTATTATGACATTTAGTTGTGTTCCTGTAATGATGCTCGCTTGAATGCTCTGCTCTGATGGATGATATCGAGGCTCAAGGTCGGGGGAGTCGGCATTCTTTTAACTCGGGAGCCTCGAGCCGGGTCCAGCCATGGGGTCCAGTAAAAAAAAAAGTCATCGGTGCTGTTTACCGGGCACGCCTGCAGCCCGGTCTAAGCGGACTTTGTGTGCGCGGGCCCGAAAAGAAGCACGACGAATGCGAGGGATGGGGGGTGTATCCGACAAGGTCCATGGAGGTGAGAGCCAAGGGGAGGGGTGCCGCAAGGGCGGCGTGTTCTGGCGCTGACTAAATCCGAAAATTCAAGTTCTCCGGACGGAGGTAGTAGCTGGTCTCTCGTCTGCCCCCGGTACCCGACTGCCTGGCCGCAGCGCCGCCATCGCCCAGGTACCCTCGCGGCTTGAGCTACACGCCAGACGCACTGCGGCGTGCGCCACGGACGGCTTCGGCATTTTGGGTGACTCCAGCCCAGCGTTGTTGCTACGGATTTAGCTGGCCGCGCTATGCCCAAACAGGGCTTCGCACTCGCATCGCCGATTAGTCACAGCCGAACAGAATTTTCCCCTTCGCTGCAGGTCGTTTACCTCGTTAAGCCCATTCTCGGGGCCCTCTAGTGAGCTGGAAGCTTCCGCTCTACGGCACCTGGGCACAGGCTACTCGGTACGGCTTCAACAAGCACCCCTCCCCATCACTGATGGCCATTGGCCAAAATGGCCGCGAGCCCCGTCCAAAAGTGGATTATGAATCACCAAAAAGATGCCCCACCGCTCGCTATCTCCCGCCCTGACGGCACCGCTTATTAACAGCAGAGCACACAATGTCCGTTCTGCTGCATTTCTCAGCACCCAGCGCCATTGCGTAGTAATAGGCGCTCCAGCACAGTCATCCAAGCCCATCAGACTTTGCGCTAATCTGGAATCACACTTCTGGACATTTGTCAGGCCTTGAAGGGTGTCTTTTTTCTGCTTTGGGCAAAGCGATGCGAGAAGCCCATTGCCGGCTCGAGCAATTGCTGTCGTTATCACCAACGCAACGCCCCTCAGCCCTCGGAGGCGCTGCACAGCATAGGCACCCCGAAAGCCAATCAATGCAAATTGAACTTGAATTAATTAAGGTCAGGCCAGGTCTCAGCCTCTGGCATTCCCGTGATCTGGCCTCTTGGCGTCGCAGCCTTAGGGGCTGCCAGGTCAGCATGACCCCAGGTTTTGCATCCCGCTGCGCGCATTCTGTCCAGATGCGGATGTCAATCTCGGGAACCCGAGCCCGCAGCGTACGAATCTCCCTGCAGGCCGCGACAGCATCTAGATTGCACAGCCCTACATGAGCAATGCGAGTCCGACGGCTGTTGGTTTTAAATTCTGTTTTAATTATTTTATAATTAGTGTCGATTCCCACGTAATGTCTCGCGAGCCCCAGACGCCGCGTTGCGCTTGCGTCTCCCTGCTTCAGCTAATGGTGCCAAAAAGATCGCCATTCATCTCGCTTCAGGGTCCATGTCCGTAATACTGGTTGCCCGCAACAGCGTCTTACCTTTCGGAACCCGTCGCTGTCAATGTTGAGACAAGAGGCGGGAAGACTCTGCTAGTACTGCTATTATTAGGCTGTCAATTGAACTCGAACGATGCTGCGGAACTCCGAGATTGTCTCGTTCTGCCTGTTGTAGGCAACTACATAGACGCCATGAAACTAACGGCTATTCTATGTAGTATGTCCTAAGTCCGCAAGCCTATACAGTACCACGCGGGTATCCTATTTCAAATCCCAAACTAAGCCAAGCCAATCAGGCTAACGAATTGGCTGTCGTAAGTAATCTACGTGTTACCGCCAGTTGCTAACGAATTAATAGGGCTGAGTCGATGAGTATGACTCCCACCCTCTTTGAAAGTGGGTATCGCGGCTCGGTGGGTACGTACTCAACACCTTAATCGGAGGGGCTTACGGCACAGACCATCCCAACCAAACGAACAAAAAAAATTCAAATCGATCCATCCAGCAAGGCTGAGGATAAACAAAGATCTCAGAACCTCCTGGTGCCGAAAAAGCGAAAGGGGGTGTTGAAGCACAGGCCTCGAACATGGCGCAGGGGAGGAATGCGCTGTGCAGTGCTGCGTACGATGCGCCCAATGAAGCGTCGCAGAGCCAGAATATTGGCTGGCTGCATTGAGACACGGCAGCGGATTTGCGTTTCTTCCCACTCGAACGCCGATAGCCTGGCAGCCGCGCCTTACCCTGGTCGGCACTAGCGCCTGTTGCTGACAGAGGCCGAGCTATACGCGCAAAACTCGCGCCCGAATGCCGAGTTGGGCCTAACCCTGCCACATACAAAGAGCGAACGCAACACCAAGCCCCCCACTCGGACGGCCTGACGTACGATAGCCATTGCATACTCGTACCGTCGTACGTCGTACGTCGCTGCGTCTCATCGCCTGCCGTTTTGGGTGAGACCGCCTGTTCGAGGTGTTGCCATCAATGCCAATCTGTCTGTCGCCCGAATTCCGAAGCAATGCGCGCGTATACGATTATACGGCCAGGACAGCCGAGGAGATGCAAACAAAGCTCCCACCAGGCCTGCTACATGTACGGAGTAGCGGGGCAGCAACTGTCCGCTCAGCTCTGCCATGGCTATCTAAATTGCATACTCAGCTTGCAGCGATAGTAGCTCAATAGTCGCAATAGCACATATTTCCCATGTTCAGCTTCAATTGCCTCCTACTCTTCTGAATTCAATTTCATATCAATGCTCGAGACGCACACCCCTCCCTCAGCCCTCCAGTTTGCGCCGCCATTGTCTAGATGGGAAAAGAAGGCTGCGGTGCTCGTGTAAAGGTCTAATTAGCGTCATCTACGACCTTGTTTCATGGCATGCCAGGGTTCTCAGGCACAAGGCACAAACGAGGCCATCGCGAGAGCAGCTGCCCTTGCGCTATCCCCCATGCGGTGCTTCGTCGCACTCTAACGAATGAATGTTAATCGCGACAGCCGGGGTATCGGGGTGGGGGGGGGGAGGATAGATGATGAAGATGGCTTGAAGAAAAAGGGTAACGATGAATAATGAGGGTCCTATTAATCGTAAGCAACAGCGGCATTGGGGCATTTCAAATCGCTTTTTGAGCTTTTGCCGCATCAGGCATGGCGGATAACCTTGGAGACTTTGAGTTACGCCCAGCCAAGCCAGCATCGCTCTCCCGTCTAATCGGGTCTTGAGTTCCACCAGGGCACATGGCGTGCCGGGAATCCACAAAGGGTCGCTTTGGCTTGATTAGGTCATCTGATGATCGACCGTCAATGGTCAAGATAGCCGTGAGCGGCACGAGCGTAGGCTATTGCGGCTTTCACTTCAATCTAGCAGCCACGGGTTCGGAGGAGAGGAAATGGCGTTTTTCACGTGTCTATCATTGCACGTGTGCTCCGAGACTGCGAGTAATTGTTCTATCATAACTCCGAAACAGTAAAATGGGGGGGGATTTAGGAATCACTTCTCATACTTGTACACCTTTTCACGTGCCCCCCCGGATTGCGAGTAATTCTACGATTATTTGAGTCAGGGCTAGTCCCCGTGACGGTAAACGGTTAAGAACGGGGAAGTGAGAGGCAGTGTTCGTTACGGTTCTCTCCATAAATCGGAAACGAAAATCATCCACTCAATTGCTTTCATAATCGCAACGCTCAATGCGTGATAGCCGAGAACATCCGCCGCAATTTTTATCAATTCGCTTAACCTGCCGAATGGTGTTTTTCTATCCTCTTTTCCACATTTGCTTGTTGCTCTACATATACGAACTGCAGTCCAGGGTAGCGAGCTACGTCATGATACATACCCGCGGAACGGATTGCGGCATACAGTAAAAAATGGGGCTCCAGCGGCGGCTTCTGCCGCCATGCCGTCACACATTGCCCGACAGACGGATTCTTACATCCCTCCTCTTTTCGTTCTCGCATTGCAATCTCGCGGCTCGGCTCAAATGCCGTCACAATCTGCCCCAAGGGCAATTGAGATTCGCGCTAGAAGTAAAAGAAAGTTGCGGCTTGTAGAAAAGAAGACGCAGAGAAGGAAAATTCTCTTCCACCAGCGTTGGGGGGGGGGGATTTCAATTGGCCAATCCCAATCGCCAGCGCCACGGTTTTTTTTCTACGCCCGACTGGAAGGGCAGCAGAGACTGCCGACCAAAGCTTCCGTATCACTTTCCCCCTCGATCTCGATCTCGATCTCGCAAGTGAGTGAGTGAGTGAGTGAGTAAGTGACTGGCTGATGTAAAGGGGTGAATTCATCACTGCTTTTACAAAGTCTGTGATCGCGGCACGTTCCCTCCCTCGGCATGGATGGAAGCTTGTTCTCGTTCTCGCTCCCTTCTCTCATCCTTCCGCCAAGCTTCCATGCATCCCGGACCATTCCGCTTTCGACACACAATGCTCAAACCCGCACGCGCATTCTGCATCCTTGTGACTTCGCACTGCGGCGATTTGACAGTCTCCGTCGTCGCCGCGGACATACGCCTGCTGCTCCATTAATCCTTCTGCCGCAGCTTCCTTCGCAGCTACGCAAGGCTCACCAATAGGATTCCTTGCTTCCAACCTCCGTTTCGAGCCTCGCCCCTCGGCGGACGGCTGTCAGGCCGACGCCGTGCAAAGGAGCTCTATATCGGTGGGCTCCGTTTTCTCTCTTCACACGTGATGTACAGTGTAAGCAGGACCATGTCTGGTAGAATCTCCCTGTGCTGCCGTTGGATGTCGGCCGTCGGTGGCCCGACCACCGACAGCGAGAGCGCATGTGCGGCTTTATTGATGTTCCCGGCATCACATTCTGGCCTGCTCAGCGCGCGTGAGTAAGCAGGCTGACATCCTTTTTGGCCTGGCCAAATAACTTAGCCAGCGGCATGAGAACAGCGAGAGCCAGTGATCCACACGTTTGGCACGGCCCGCCAACGATCGTGGCTCAAAAGTAATTTTAGGAAGTGGAAAACAACCCCATACTGCTCCGTACCTGTCAACTCTGTGGGCCTAGATGACTTGCGTGCTTTGCATGGACGTAGAACGAACATGAGCCGAACATACACAATAATCAAGTTCGCTTCAAGTCATCCAGGCGGGCGGTAGCGAGTCAATGTTTCCAAATCAATGGGATCGTGCCACGCTGGTCTGTTGAAACCCTGTAGGAACCCCTCAACCTCGGGCCATATTAGTTATCAATTCTTGGATTATGAAACAAGACATATCTATCAGATATCTGCGGCTTCTACTACTAACACCGTACGCTTTCAAGCGAGAAGAGAAACCTATTCGACAAGGGGTTGCTGTACTACTGTTTGATCCGATATTTGAGCATGACATCTCCTAGGTAAAGCCCCTGAATGACACGATCATTTGGGGGGGGAATAGACAGCCTGCTAATGCATGCATCGCATCACCTGCACGTGTCCCAAGCCAGGCACAGCAAGGATACATTAATGTACCAGCATCTAGTACTTGCTTATTCACACAAAATTGATACAACCAACACCCAGAACTCCCATGCATGTACTAGTGGTGAAACACAAGGCAGCTTTCGCTCAGGTACTTTGTTCAGCCTCAGCCCGATACAATATTCGGACAACTCCGTATGAAACACATATGGGTATATCTTTCACATCATCTGGCAAGGCAATAACAAACAGAGAGATAAGAAAAAGGAGAAAGAAGGCTGCCTGTCAACTCAGCCCTTGACAAGGATTGTCCTTACCGCTGAGCTGGTAATGAGATCGGCGAGGCTCGTCAACTCCGATGTATGCAGTAACGGCCCTGTAGCTGATTGAAAGGAAAGCCTGTTGTTCTCCAGCCTAGGTCATGTACACACCCTCTTCCCTTGCAAGCCTGATAAAGAAGGCCGACAGCCCTGCTCGTTACAAAATAGCTTGTAGAAAACGTAATTTCCCCTTTCCCCAAACCTATATCGCCAGTTGGTGATTGGTTCTGTTATTCCCTTGTAAACGAACCACATGGAAAACGCTGGCAGCTTTACAGATACCAATATTTGTCATTCCATCCTTGGTCATCCACGACATGGTTCCCTCCCGAAACCCCTGGCCATAGGGCAGAAACTCATCTCTTCCCCCTCATGGTAAAACGCATCTCACCTGTACTAGTGGTTATGCGCTTCCGCTCCTGTGCCGTATCCTCGTTCACCAAAGAGGGGAAATGAGGCCCCCAAACAAGGCGCGTGCACACGGGAGCAAAATTAAATCAAGGTCGGTGCCTCGTAGGATGAGGCCTAATCCAGTTAAATCCAGCATTACTGTCCCCCCCCCTCCATTTTTTTTTTTGGTTCCCGTCCCAGCGCAATGGGCCGCCCGTCTGACGGGAAGAGCATTGACCCCTGATCTGATATCCATATCACCACGCGTTTGGAGGATCCGCTTTGGCATTGGCAGCTCACCCAACAGCTTGGTAACCAGGGGGGGCAAACCGGGGAGGGCGCATCGCATCCTCGCTCAATGCAATTTAGGCCTCTTATCCCCCCAGCCTGTCTGCTTACTTGTACTTGCACACACACACACCCGGGAGATCAGCTTGTGGGGATGCAGGTTTATTTCACCATGTGTGTGTGCGATGCGCGCGCACTGATATACGTGGGACCTGAACCCATACACATGTAATACATGCTGGCAGTTGGCTCTCTCGCGTGGCGCGGCACCTTATCTTCGTGGTTGTGTGCTGACAGGTTCCCCCTGATCAGAAGTTACCAGACGGCTGGTAATGAGCGTGGCCCATTCTTGCGGGCAACTCATTCTCTCACACGCACTCTGAAACGCATGGGGAGACATAGGACCCTTGAACATCCTCTGTAGAGTATAGAGAGTAAAGACAGCATACGGAAATGGCAACTGTAGTATCAGCAATTTAACTCATGTCACAAACTAATAGTATTCGAGTAGTGACAAAGTGAAGAAAGAATCCGCTTGAAAATTATCAACGCCCTAGTAATGGGTGAGATTATGCTCACATCTATGCCTGAAGTTTCTGTTTCGTCCTCTTTCTCTTGCCGCCAACTTCCCTGCCCTCCTCCATCTCCAGTAATGCCTCTCGCTTCTTCTCGCCCACCAGCTTCAGCGCGTCCCGGATAACTCTCGTCTCTAGGTTGACACCTTCTTCTTCCCAAGCCTCCATCTGCCTGCCAACTCGCTCCTCAATGGCGAGAACCAGATCCACGTCTCGTTGGCCCACAAACGTGACAGCCTCGCCTTTTCGTCCCGCACGAGCAGTACGTCCAACACGGTGGATGTAGTCGTCCGGGTCTCGGGGGATATCGTAGTTCACCACCAAGCTAACTTCTTGGATATCAAGACCTCGAGCGGCTACGTCTGTAGCTACCAAGATCCTAGCTGCCGAGGCTCGGAAGCGAGCCAAGTTATCGGTTCGCTGTCTCTGGGGGAGTTTAGAGTGCAATGACGTAACTCGATGATCCAACAGGCGCAGTAAGTGATGTAGATAATCGGCTGTAGTTGTGCGATTGCAAAAGATGATGACAGACTTGTTGACGTTTGCCTCGGTGAGCAAAAAGACATGTAGATAGTGCTCCTTGTGTGTGATGGGAATTTGAACATGTCTCTGGCTCAGAGTTGCCGGGATTGCAAGCATCTGTGTGTCGACCTCGCAGACAAAAACGGGTGGCTTTCCGGGCCGCTGCGGTAGGTCTTTAAGCGCTCGCACTTCTGGTGTAATAGTAGCCGTGAAGAGGAGCGTCTGTCTTTCGGAAGCAGGTGGTAGCACCGATAGACATTCTTCGACGTCTGGCAGCATACTGCCAGAGCCAGCGGCATGCAAGAGGCGATCTGCTTCGTCAAGAACGACGTAACGAACCCTTCGCAATCCACATATCGTATCCTCTCCAGATGTTCGAATGTGGTCCGCCAAACGCCCAGGAGTTGCAATGATAATGTGTGGTCGTTGAGCCAGCGCAATGGCTTGAGCACGCATATCAGCACCACCCGTTACAAGGATCATCTTGAGGCTCTGAGGGGAGGAGATGGCCTTGAACTGTTCGTAAATCTGAAGAGCAAGCTCGCGTGTTGGCGTAAGGACGACGGCAAAGATGGCGGATGGATCCTCTGCCCACTTCTGGAGAACTGGGACAGCGAAAGCGACAGTCTTTCCTGAACCTGTTCTGCTACCACCAATGCAGTCTCTTCCCTTTAAGATTTCCGGTATACAGCCCTTCTGAATGCCAGTTGGCCGTTTGATGGCCATATTCTCGAGTGATTGAACAAGCCATGGCCGCACGGCCAAGGCAGAAAAGGTGGTATTGGGATCGGTTGGTGCGAGAATGGGGTTTTGAGACTGAGGTTGGGGAATAGCTGCGGGCTTGGCGGTTGGCTTGGCCTCTTCCTTCTTTACAGTGTTTCTTTTTATTCGAGAAGGTGCCGCTATGGAAGACAGTACCAACTTTGGGGTCTTATCGTCATCGTCGTCATCGCTATCATCAATCCCAATATCAAGGTCGAGCGAGGTGCGGCGCCGTTTCCGAGCAGCAGCATTGTCGAGATGATCCGACTCGTCAGAGGAGTTGTCTGAATTAGATGACAGCTCCGGATCCGGAGATCGTTCTGGGAATGCGACGCCTGCTGCAGGCATGTTTGAGGCTTGGAGTAATGCGATTTGCGGATACACTCGCAGCCTTTCGTCGATACCAAAAAAAAATTTGGAATGTCTAAAAAAAAGTTCAAGTTGTCCATTGAATGTGGGGATATTGCCCTGACCGCTTTCCTTGTTAGGACTAGCCTTGAGATCCGCGTCTATTTCTTGCGCCGAAAAGTGGCAGGTGAGACCAAGCTGCCTTAGTGCTAGATGGGTACTCCATAGTACTTCGTCCTTGGCGTAAATGAAGAGGAAAAGCAGTACTACCTAGTTAAGGCACTAAATTGCCCGGATTGAATCATTTTGAGTCTATTTTTAAAAACCAAATCCGCTTCGACCTCGAATCTTCAATCAAGTCCCACCTCTGAAGCAACCAAATCATTCGCTTCTGTCTGTTGCGCGCCATGTCTCTGACGCGGGACTAGTAAGCTGCGAACCAACCAGATCGGCGAGTAGACGCGCGCTTGAAGAAACGCTGGTGCTCAACGCTTATTGGCCCAAGGCGGTCCAGCTCCCTGCGACGCTGCAAGCTGCGCCGCACTTGAAACAGCATCGAGTCAAGCACCTGTGACCAATTTTACCTTTCAGACCAATACGATGGCTGCGCAACGTCTATTTTAGCAATCCTCGTATGCAGAGCCCTGAATCGTTTGTCTGCGGCATGAGACAAGCAGCGGGCTGGCAAAGGCAGGCCAGTTGTGTCAACGCCTGCAGTGCCTGAAATGCTTGGCTGCGTGCAGTGAGCTGTATTGTTCGCCCGCTCAACTGGAACCTCGACCCTAGATACGTTTGCCGAGAGGGCTTCCCAACTCGCCATTGGCCCGCTTTGGTGTCGTGTGTCAGACAGGCAGCCCCGTAGCGTTGATGGGATTCGCCTCGGGCCCGAAAGCTGAGGATATCGAGTGAATGAGATGCAAGCCCACTCCCTCTAGCTGCAGGGTTGCGGCGATGCTTGACTTGGTTAGCCGCTGGTCTTACACTCCACGTGTCGACCGGTTCAGGGTTTTTCCAGACGATCGTCTTATACATACATACAAGTCAGCATGAAGCACATAGCAAAATTCTGGTGCCTGGCATCTGTCTGATGGCTGCGCGACAGCCAAGATCAGCGGCCCTTTTGGCATTAATCTTACATGTCTGGCGGGGATGCGCGCTGCTGACCAGAGATGCAATAAGTACCTACCTATGCCTTAGACAATACACAGCGGTGGTAGTTGTAGGGTAAGCGAGCAACTAGCCGCGCCGGGCTGCGGCGAGAACGCGCCGTCCAGAGGCTTGATGCGCCGTGCCGCGCATACAAATCCTGGCAAATGTTGCCGATTCACCTGATGACCCTGGTCACGGTGCACTTGACGGCCGACAATGGGCGGGCATGCTGTGGCTCTGATCGGGAAGCCATTGGTGACACGGCGTGCTGAGTTTTGCCGCATTTAATTTTCTCTCATGATATGATTTGCCCCCTGGATCATCGTCTGCCCTGCCGTCTTTTGCCGACGCCAGCGCACAGTTTTCCGGCGGGATTTGCTTGCTGTGCTTTGGATGCTGATTTGTCCGCTGTCGTCCTCCCAGCTCATCTCAACGGCCAACTCGACGTTTCACCAAGCCCGCAGTCTCAGAACCAGGCGCGGAAACCGGCTCAGACACACCACAGCGCTGCGGGTGCCCCACTCCTCCCTCATCTCCACTGACAGTTAGCGCTGCCAGAGCTCTGTTTGGGGGCCTCATGGAGCCCTACGGGTGCTGTACGTGCAGGCTTGTACAGTGAGCTACTGCTTCCCCACAAGGGCCCCCTGGTCCCGTGGTGCTCACATCAATCCTTTTGCCCAGTGCCTGGCGTCTCCGGCAATACCTACGCCGTGCTCTAGTGGGTGGGTGAGCACGGCACGCAGCACTGTTACGAGTAGTGCCATGTACCATCGCTGTACGGACGCTGTACGGACGCTCTGCCACCGCCTGCGCACAGGGGCTTTCTGCCGCCATGCGCCATGGGCGGTGCCACGCAAACTCCGCTGGGCCGCATACGCAGCTCGAGGCAGCTACATGTAGGTACTTGCCAGGAGGCGCTGTAGCCCACACCTCTAAAACCTCTCGTCCCCGACACAATCAACAGAAAAAAGTACTAGACCCGACGAGCTGGCCATAAGCTTCGTCTCTGCAGCCAACTTCTTATTTTGACAACCACCGTCTGCATCCTTTCGATCGTTTCATTCTGCAATCTTTGTTCCTTCGTGCCCACCGTCCGGCAGCGCTGCTTTTTGTCCTGCTTCGTCGACACGCGCCAGCCGATTATTCCCCTCTTTAGCGGCATCCCCTCACTCGCCTTCGACTTCCCGCCAGGGCCAATAGACCGTGCATGCGAGCATTCGCCGATTCTGCCAGCGCATCGCAAGTCATCTGCCGATATCTGAAAACCTAGCACGGTCGTTACTCTGCACCCGTTGTGTCCTTTGTGCCCTCTTCCGCCCTCGTCGAGCTCCTTGCGCTGCTTTTTATCCAACCGTCGTTGGGTGGTTTCGTTGTGCCCGCGCTGCATCCTCGACTTTAGAAGCGTGGTCTCTTGTGCCTCCCCAACCTTCAGCCTTGCAAAAGGTACCTCCTACCCACCAGCAATTCGCTCGTTTGGATATCACACGACAGCCTGCCTTGACTGGCACCGCTCACCAGAATGGCTGATGCGGCTTCTTCACAATCCCAGGGCAACGAGCCCGCTGCCCAACTGGTGAGTTGCATGCCATCACTCTTTGCCACCCCTGGACTAGCAAAGAAGACAGCTTGACTGACCTGTTCCGCTATAGCATCCCGCCTCTTCTACCGCCTCTGCCGCTCTCCAACCTCCTGCACCTACCCCGATGTCTGTACCGATCATGAACTCTCCAGCCCCCATTCTTCGTCCTGCCATTCCAGGAAACCGGGGCCGTGCGGCGCCCAGATTGGGGCTGGCCATTCCTCCCTCACCAAACGTCAAGCCTGTGGGCAACCAGGCTATTCAACCGCCTGCTAGGCCCCCCCTACCGACTCTGCACCTGGCAACGCCCATGGGCAGCCAGGCCACGCCATATGAACAGCCTCCGAGGTCGCAGGGCATTCAGCCCGGACAGTCTGCTGGCGGTGGCAGCGAGAGCAGTGCAGCGCATTCAAGGTCTGGGAGCTTTGGCCCTCTCGATGGCCGAGCAAGCAACCCCACGTCTGCGGGTTCTCAGTTCTCGGCCCTTTCATTTGCCTCGCAGTTTGGCATCCCTGTAACACGACCCCAAGGAACCCCGGATCCTGTATCGGCCGTCGGTTCCATGTACTCGGAGAGAAGTGAGGGAGGTGTTTCCATGGAGAGAGATGGAAGTTTGCAGGGCCTGGAGGGCTTTGACCGACTAAGCATCGAAAAAGCGAGGAATGCAGATGTTGAAGATTTAGATGACGAGGGGTGGAGGATTGCCAGCTTGGAAAAGCGAATCATTGAGCTGGGCAATCTTGGTGAGGGTGCTGGAGGAGCTGTTACCAAGGCCATGCTTAAAGGTGGCAAGACCATATTTGCCCTCAAGGTAATGACCCTGCAACTGAAAAATTCATCGTACCAAATGACACTGCTAACAATAGTCCTAGATTATCACTACCAATCCTGATCCTGATGTTAAGAAGCAGATCGTTCGAGAATTGGGTTTCAACAAAGAATGTGCTTCTGACCACATTTGTCGCTACTACGGAGCATTCGTTGATCCTTCCACAGCCACCATTTCTATAGCCATGGAATTTTGCGAAGGTGGCTCATTAGATAGCATCTACAAAGAGGTGAAGAGACTGGGTGGGCGTACCGGTGAAAAGGTACTGGGAAAGATTGCCGAGGGTGTTTTGGGCGGCCTTACTTATCTCCACACCCGACGCATTATCCACAGAGACATCAAGCCTTCCAACATCCTGCTGTGCCGTGACGGCGCGGTTAAGCTTTGCGACTTTGGTGTCTCTGGAGATTTTGGAACCAAAGGCGAAGCCAACACCTTCATCGGCACTAGCTACTACATGGCACCAGAACGAATTACCGGCCAGTCATACACCATTACATCTGATGTATGGTCCACAGGAGTTACGCTGCTTGAAGTAGCGCAGCATCGGTTCCCCTTCCCTGCAGATGGCACAGAGATGCAGCCTCGTGCAGGTTTGATTGATCTGCTCACGTACATTGTGAGGCAGCCCGTTCCGACTCTCAAGGACGAGCCCGACAACGATGTATACTGGAGTGACAACTTTAAGTACTTCATTGAATGCTGGTATGTGCCACTTATACCACTTCTATTTAGAATTTGATGCTGACGCTTTTGTGATTTATAGTCTGGAGAAGCAGCCCAATCGCAGAGCTAGCCCGTGGAAGATGTTGGAGCACCCGTGGATGGCTGAAATGCGATCCAAGAGGGTAAATATGGTGAAATACCTTTCCTTTGTATGGGGTTGGGATGAGAAGCAGGTCAACAGCTCTCGATAAAGGGCACGGCTATTGACCCATTTACTAAATCTTACGCACATTTCTGAAAACATTGTACACCGTTCATTGCTGTCGGACCAGCAGGCTGGCCTCGCCGCGCAGCGTATATCATACTGGGGGAGGAGCAAATAAACGAGAAAAGAGTAATTGAGCATGCAAGCTAATCAGACCATTGACAAATCGAATCTTACTACGGTCATGAAGAGAGGGGGAATTGGTGGGCAGCAGCGAGTTTTTTTTTTTTTTTTGCATACTTCAGAAAGCGAGTATGAAAGCACTTTCACTATATTGGGAAAAGATGATGTGTTTTGTCCATGCTGCAATTCAGAGTTGCCAAGGAATAAAGAGAGGCATCACTCAGCTTATACTTGGATATCAAAGCGCTTGTACATAGCGATTCTTCAGGTCTTTCTACTCTTTTTTATTCAAATTTGTCATCAACATGGCGTGTATATAAGGGATCATTTTTCAGCTGTCCTAACTACCAAAGAAAAGAATTAAGGAAAAAAAAAAATATGAAATCCATATCCCAAAAGATCCCATTATAATTATGAGCTACCAAAAAAACTGAGGCTATTAGGATGCATTACTCTCAGGGGGGTCTCCCATGAGTTCCCGCAACGTGACCGTAGCGTAGGCGCTTCTGCCGAGTTGGAATTTGACCACTGCGGCGATCTTGAGCGGCTTGTCCACTTCCATGACTTGTTCTGCGTTTGTAGTCTCTGTTTCTTCGACCTTCTCGATATCAGCAGCAACCTCATCCTGTGAAGTCTGGTTGGACGCTTCGTTTTCTCCTTCTACCTTGGCAACCTTGCTCGGCCTAGCGTCATCTCCATCCTCACGAGGGCGTTTATTATTAGTAGCGGTTTTGCGCTCTGCTTTGATGAGGTCCAAGTCGGTGGGGTGCATCTGCTCTTCGTCATCCGTGTAGGTCTTGAACTCGACGCTTGGCTTGGCGAGAAACCTGTTCATCAGCTTGCGGTAGCGTCCCGGCAGGCTGAATTCACGGCGCATGCGTCGCATCTTGTAGGGATCCAGACTGCCATTCTCTTCGCGGCCCATGAAGTCCTTGTAAAACTCGCCAATCTCGTTATCCGGGTAGATGACGTCGTAGCCTGGTGTAGGGAGAACAATGTCGTAGACAGTATATTTTCCACTTGCAGCCTCCTCCTCGGTCAAAGGCCTGGCCTGGAGAGGAACATCGTCATCATCCTCGACGGGATTTATAATGTCATCGCCGTCTTGATCTTGACCGCTGACTTGGGGAGTGGCTTCAGTTTCGACAATGACAAGGTCGCCCTTGATGACTTTCTCGCCAAAAAGCTCCCATCGTCTGCTTGCAGCGTGATTCCACACGTGGGATTGGCATGCGTGGAGGTACATTGATCGTAGACCTCTGGTGATGTGGATGAGGGCTCCGACAAAGTCTCTTCTGGATTGCTTGCCTTGTCTGTTGAGGTGGCGTAGGACGCATACCTCGGCCGCGAATCTCCTGGGCATGATCTCGATGGCTTTCTCGACGTCCTTTTCGGTTCTGAACAGCATGCAGGCAAGATGACGGTTATACTCATCTCGCTTGGCCGGCTCATTGGGAATACCCTCTGTTTCTGCCTTTTGAGCAATTTCCTCGTCATATGCAAGAATGGCATTGATAGCGCCTTCATAGTTATCCCCCAGAATCAGCTTTCCAACCTCATGTGTTCCGATCTGGTGGGTGCCGAATCGCTGATGCCCAAAGTAGTTGATCCAGCCGTGCTCTGTCATGTGGTCCAAAGCAGATTGAACGTTGGCATGCATCAAGCCAACCTGCTCAGAGATAGGCTTGGCGCTGTCTTCGCCTAGAATTTGGCAATTCTTGATAGTTATGGCAAACTCATTGCCTAGCAGTTGTCCTAGGTGGATAGGGTCCGACTTGTACTCGTAATCACCAGTCGTTATGCCCCAGAGCTTTCCATTGATACCCGCCAGGCTTCTATCCCGCGTGTATCGGACGGAGCAACGCTGGACTGTAGATGCACGTCGATCCTTGGTGCCCGCATAATTTATGACCTGAGGCTTCACCTTCAAAATACGGGCAATCTGGTTGACGGCATCCATGGTATCGCGGTTGTCTTTGAAAAGCGTAAAGTGGAGATACTCGCCAATGGGCTGATCTTCTTGCTTGTTCCGGTTGCGATTGCGGCCGCCCCTACCTCTTTTACCCCTTTTTGTAGGTGCCGAGAAGCTTGCAACGATGGCACCGGCATCGCCAGTGCTTGTTTCTATCCTGGAATTGAAGATCCGTCGAATTTCTTGATGAATTTCACCTCGCTTGAACTTATCATCAATGGGTTCGGAGACGACAGGCTTTTTCCTTTCCGAAGGCTCAGCCTGACCGTCTCGGAATAAGTCCACGAGCTCTTGCGCAAACTTTTCGCCTGCCAGATTGCTAAGAGCTGTCACATCTTCCGCTGGGATTTCAACAATCTCCTTCTCTTGAGGTTCATCCTTGACTTCGTTGGAATCGCCATCGTTAGTGGAGTCTTGCTGCTCTTTGGGAGTATCAGCCTCTTTTACCGGCGCGGCATCCGCTGCCTATCCAGTTGATCAGCATCGACTACCTATGCAATCGGTCTGAGGAAGCCTACCGGTTTGTTTTGGCCATTTAGCCCGACTTTGCGCAGATGCACAACAACGCCGTCTTTCCCAATCTCATTGACCTGGAAATCTGAGAACCTGCAGAGAATGATTAACAACTGGTCCGACGTCACTTATGGGGAAATATGAGGAAGCGCGCACCTCACGCGTAGGTCGCCGACCCATGGGAATCGCAGAGGAGTGGCGCGCTGCGTAATTCCTATTGATTTGGCGTGAGACGCAGTTTGGCGCACGTTATAATGCGCTAGTTCGCTCATGATAATGGTGATGCAGCGATAGAGATGAGAGAAGCAATTGAGCTGAGCCTCACCTTGTGAAATTCTCACCAGACAATACGCTCTGAGCACTATGGGGCGGATTCTGCCGGCAATTATTATGCTTTATATAAAGATAGTAGGCGGTGTGGACTAGGGCGCTTAAGTTTCTTCGTAGCCACCTAAAGAAGTAGGCGGTATCAATGGAGCCGTATGTACCTTGGTCAGCCATTATGCTATTGCAAGCTGCAAACTGAGCAATTCTACAAGGAAGCGATGCAAAAGTGTATTTTCTCAAGTAAAAAGATTAATTACAATAATTTAAACGTTATTGAATTTTTTTTTCTAGTCCGATCATTAAAGTATTTTTTTTAAAAAAAAATACATGCCAAATAGGCGAAGAGCGTTTCAGGTAACTTGAAACTTGTATAGAAAGAGCTACTACTGGAAGTATGTCAATTAATAGTGATTCCTTCTCTACCAGGATGTCGTATCTTTGAATATTTCAGTTTCAATCAATTCAAACTTACACAATCATCAGCTTCGAAACTTATTTAGCTCTGGCCCTCACAGTGTCCCTATTTTAACTTCCTCATCCCCCTAGTTGTAACCTTGCATCGTATCTGCAGAACCTGGAGATAGATATTTGTTATTCTCGTATAAATATCTAACATCCTATGTGACTTTGATATCAGGTTGAGATGGGCATGAGAAACACTTGCTCGCCTTGTGCTTTATCCATATTCCATCTCTTCTAAGACAACAGATGAAATACAGAGCTGGAATTTGAGTTCCTCCTCACGGAAACACACTCGACAAAATGCCCCGACGATTAAGATGGCTCATTCCAGCTGTTCGTTTTGCTACCGAATCGCGACCATCCTACGCGGATTCGGACTTGGAGCTGGAGGAGAAACGCCCTGAACATGCAGGTATGTTCTTAGAAATGACAACCGCATATGTTCTCTTGCTAACCTTATCAGATATTTATGACGCGCTATCACCCATGGGTCTGATTGACCCTGGGAGTAGGCGTCTGAGTGAGCACAAGCTTCTAGAGCTGTCTGATGACATCCGGGCTCATCTCCTTGAGGACGCTTCTCTGGGCGACAGTGCAGAAGTCGTCAAGAGAACTCTCCGTGAGCTGGTAAGAGACGAGAGTGGTGCCATGCCTGTACTGGATTTTGCTACCATTCAGAATGCTCGACTAGATAAGCTGCTTTCCGATATATTGGCTCTTGGCCATCAGCAAACATCGCTTCACCCTCGACCGCGCATTGATACCTTGACGGCAGAAAGATTGCAGAGACTGTGGATGGCTAGATTTCGTGAAAAGTATTTCAACATTGATCAAATCCGGCATCAAAGCTTATCCAAGACCGGTAGACTAAAAGATGTGACGTTCAACAATGCAGCTACGGACAACTGGGAGTTGTGGCAGGCAGAGAATTGTAAGACTCTATCAGGGCTTGAATCAAATCTTCAGTTCAAACCAGGACAGTAAGATCCACGAAACAGAGGTTATCTTGGTTGAGGTCGATATGCTGACAAATGCGACCCTTCAGTTAGTGGCTGAACCTGGCATGTGCGTACCGAGATGGCATTGTAGGAAGTACTTGCGAAACTCCAACAGAAGGGAGATACGGGGTTTCCTCACTCCCACTGCTGACAGGGCGGGAAGAAGTGGTATCCACAGACACAGTTCGCTATATGCGTGAAGCAAAGCTTTCTGAAACGCATATTTCCTTGATATCTCACGTTGGTTCTCAAATACGCATCTTGAGAGGCCACCGACTCAGAAGCCCGCTCTCACCAAAGGCGGGCATACGATATGATGGATTGTAATTTTGATCTTCCAATAATCAGTTACGCTTTCTAATGGTGGTGTAGATACATAATTCGACAATACGGCCACAAGCAAAACCTGCAGAATCGACTGCATCGCATCATTGTGACGTTGGAGAGAGTTGCGGGCCAGCCAAGCATGACCAATCTCGCCAAGGTCCCTCGTCCATCACAGATGGATGACTGGGTGCTGTTTGAGAAATTTGAAGGCGAAACGATCCGACAGAACCATGGAGAGCAAAGCTTTCTGGATTGGAAAATGATGAAGGCACAGGAAAGGATGGAGCGGCGGCAATGGAGACGCGCACTCGAGGTTGGAGCTGCTTTGACCATGGCTCGGCGTGCCAGGTACAGCTACGGAATGCGGGACTTGGGGATAAAGGAGAAGACCTAGATCAGTATCTCTGGACTGTTGCAATACGACGTATCTCTTCTCAAACGAGAGAACCTATTTTGTGCATCGCTGGCAATTGTGACCTTTTTTTATATTCTCCTTGGAAATGATGGCAAGATGAAGTACCAAATGGGGTTCAGCCATGCCTAACTCGAGCTTTTTAGGAGGGGCTTATTCAGTGGCGGGGCTCATACAACTGAAGAAAGACTTCACTCATACATCGTATCAGCGAATTCACATACACAAATTGCCAACGATGGGGAAAAACGACAAGAAATCCGGCGACAAAGGCGGCGCCAAGGGAAAGGGGACCGAAGGTAAAGAGTCTGGAGGAAAGACTAAGGGAGCCATGTCTATCAATGTTCGACACATTCTGGTATGTCCAAGGAGGAGGCTCTGATGAGACCATTGTCAAATAGCATCTGGCTCTACGTTTTTCTTACTAGTTCATCATTTTTTATTTTATTCATTTTAATTGTTTTGGTTGAGAGGTGACATCATCGCTAACATAAGCCAAAAGTGCGAAAAGCATGCGAGGAAGGAAGAGGCTCTTCTGAAGCTGAGCGAGGGTGTCAAATTTGACGAGGTTGCACGGACCTATTCCGAAGACAAGGCACGACAAGGTGCATCTTTCCTTTCTCTATTCCGGTGCTGTTAAAGCTGGCCTGCTGATATTTTTTTCTTTTCGTTTTCTTCGCTGCAGGAGGTTCTCTAGGATGGAAGACAAAGGGCAGTCTGGACCCCACGTTTGAAGAGGTTGCTTTTTCCCTACAGCCAAGCACTACGAGCAGTCCTATAATTGGAGAGGCCAAGACGCCGTTTGGCTATCACATCATAATGGTGAGTTTGTGATACTCTACTCATATTCATTACTGGAGCATTTCGTGGTGTTCACACTGGACTGTTTAGGTCGAGGGGCGCAAGTAAAAAAGGGTGCATGCAGATATCACGAAATAGTGCAAAAGAGAGCCAGCATTTTAGATGATTCTTTGAGTTCCGTTTTTTTTATTGTTCCCATCATGCAATGTGGCCATGATACAAGGCCTAGAGTACAACCCTAAAGGAAAAGTCGTTTTTTTACGCGTCCTGAAAAGAAACCAAGACCGCACCTCTATACCCCATTAAATCAACGCCGTCCATACCCTTACTGGGAAGTCTGGAAGTAGTTCAGGATGATGGAGCGCTCCTGAGACTCCTCACCCCAGTCCTTGACAACGACGCAAGAGCAGTTGACAACCTTGCGGGCGTTGCCCTCACGGTCCAGAACGCCTAAAGAATTGTAAGTAACTTGTCCTGAACCAATTTCTCTTCCGTCTTCTTCGGATTCAGCGGGGATATCACATACAGAGACCGGCCCACTCGCCGAGCTGCTTGCCATCGGGAACCTTGATCAGAGGGATCTTGTGCTCATTGCAGAGAGCAATGACCAGCTTCTTGTAGGCCTCCTCCTCGCAGTTCTCGTTCAGGACGCACATGTGAGCCTGGCGACGGTCCAGAGCCTTGGAGGCTTCACGGAGACCGCGGGCAAGACCGTCGTGCATGAGAGCGAGCTTGAGAACACCCTTCAGGGCGTCCAGAACGGACATCTGGCCCTTGGGGGCATCTCCAGAAACTTCGACTTCCTCGACGACCTCGGGGGCGTTGTTCTCTTCTACGTCCGACTTTTTCGTGGGAAAAAAAAATGCCTGCGTTAGCGCTATGTTTCTGCGTTTAGAGGGGGGTAATTTCGCAATCGACAAGATCCAGCGAGGGGCTCATTTTTTCTCGTTGATTCAGACAGAAAAAGAGCATCGATCCGGCATTGGCAATTCTGCGAAACTGGGTGAGAAACTCACCATCTTGTTTGTTGTTCTCGTCGGGCGATCCTCGAAGATTAATTGATGTGTGATGAACTAGTGACGGGGGTTTTTGCGTCGTGCGCGACAGTTGATAGTAGGAGTTGAGAATAACGGGGATTTGCCTAAATCCAGAGAGTGCGTACCCTTAGGGCATTTTTACGCGCACGGACCACCAGGGCACACAACGCACCAACGGCACAAGGCTGGCTCCATAGCAGCGCCCCGTCTAGGTTTTTTTTTTCTATCTCCGCTGCACCTCTCAGCTCGAACCTCACTTTCCCACCCGAGCCAGTCAAACTTCCAAAGAGGTATGTATGGTCTACTTCAACGCCAACAGCGACTTCGGCAGGGCGAGATGACGCCTTTTATCGTGGCTGGGGACAGCAATCATCAGCGTCGGCCCCGATGAGCGACAATGCGATGAACGCGCGATGCATCAGCCATCATGCTGTTCCGTTTGGCGCATTCACGGCTTGGCTGGCGTCTCTTGATACGCTGCCTCCCCTCCGGCAATGAGCAGGCTGAACCCTCGTCGACGGATCGCTGAGGGCACTCTCCATGTTCAGAAGAGCCACCCCGAGTCTAACATGCATTGTCCATTGGTAGATACCTCATTTCCCAAACTCGACTTGAGAATCTCCTGTCAATACCGCCAAAATGGTCCGCACTTCCGTTCTCCACGACGCCCTCAACTCCATCAACAATGCCGAGAAGTCCGGCAAGCGCCAGGTCCTGATCCGACCTAGCTCCAAGGTCATTGTCAAGTTCCTCCAGGTCATGCAGCGCCACGGTACGTTTGATGATGGAATTATATGCGACTTGTCCTCTTCCCTTTCCTCCCCTCCCTTTCGGCATGATAACTAGGGCTACGATCGATACCGCACCACGGTCCAGCCCCTATAAGTTGCCGATATATTATCCTGCGGTGGATTTTCAGAAGATTTCTAAAATTCATTCATCACATTAAAAGTCGCTTGAGGTCTTCCGCAACATTTTGCTAATACTTTATCTTTCAGGCTACATTGGCGAGTTCGAGGAGGTCGATGACCACCGCTCCGGCAAGATCGTCGTTCAGCTGAACGGCCGTCTCAACAAGACTGGTGTCATCTCCCCCCGCTACAACGTCCGTCTCGCCGATCTCGAGAAGTGGGTTGTCAAGCTGCTGCCTGCCCGTCAGTTCGGCTACGTTATCCTGACCACCTCTGCTGGTATCATGGACCACGAGGAGGCCCGCCGAAAGCACGTTGCCGGCAAGATCATCGGCTTCTTCTACTAAAAAATTGGCGATGAGAGAGAAATAAAAAAACCATTTTGAGGCATTCTCGGCGTTTCAATGGTGATCGCGGTAACAGTGATCAGCGTCCTTTGATTTATACCCGGATAGTCACTTTTTAGCGTACACTTGGCAATAAATCATACACGAGAGAGCCCAATCTATTTGACCCGCCGATTCATTTGTGATGCTGTCCATATTGAAGATTTTCTGGTGACGTAACTTGTTTATCTATCAAGCTCAAATGATGTGCTATCTACAGCCATTTTAGCTGTGTTTACTGAATTTCAATCGAATACAAGTAAATATGAAAAAAACAAGGCTGTATATCAATTTTGTGGCTATAATGGTTCCTTTATAAGCTTCTAGATTATCTAGATTGGGCATCTTCTCACCTTGAGATGTTGCTGTTGCTGCTTGGTGCTTAATTAAGTAAGCATCCAATTACATGCTATAGCTACCTGCCACTAACTGCGCTTCTCCATTAGCAGCAGTCCCCACTCACGGACGGCCCAACTGGTTGCTGTCGGCGCCTCCTGCACAAAAGTAAACAAACCTGGAATCTTTATTTTGCTTGTTCCAACGGCAAATCTCTTGCTGGCTTGCCATGAATTTCTCATTTTTGGAATAGAGAGTTGCTAGGTTGCGTCTCCCTATGGCATAATTGGCGCTATTTTTTTTCTTTCCTTTTTGGCTTTACCTTTTCTTGGGAGTGAGATTGTCTCAAAGCCAGACTTCAAGATGCGGCGGCGTCCGTATTTCCTTGTTGTGGCTGTTTTGCTCTTTTGTTACTGCGCATATATTATCTTCAGCTTGCCCAACGAGCATTTCGATGCCCTGGTCACTCCTCTCTCGCAGCCTCACCAGCAGCAACAGCATGACCAGCATCGGCTCCAAGCAGCTGCGTCGTCGTCGTCAACAGCGCCAACAAAGCCAAAGCCCACCTCACCACCTCCAGTGGTCTGGGAAGACTTGCCGGTTGTGACGGGAGGGCCGAAGCCAAAAGCAGCCCCTGATGCGGCGTTACATCCCATCATCCATCTTGCCAAAGATGCGCACAAGGAATTTTCGGAATTGAAGAAGCGACAGTCCAAGTCTCTGGAGGAGGCCGTCAAAGAGTATCGCAGGCGATATGGCATGCCCCCTCCTCCACACTTCGATAAGTGGTATGAATTCGCCGTAAACAACAATGTGCAGTTGATTGACGAATTCGACATGATTCATGATATGATGATACCGTTCTGGGGCCTTCAGCCCAAGACTATTCGTGCAAGAGTGACAGAGGCGCTCGGCTATGACAATGGATTAATTGGGGTCGCTATACGAGACGGTGGAATTACACACATGGAGCATGGATTCGAGTGGCAGAGGGAGGCCACCAAGGGAATGATGGAAAAGTTCAAGCAGCACTTGCCAGATATGGATTTGGCTTTTAACGTTCACGATGAGCCTCGTGTGGTGGTACCCCACGATGATTTGAACCGACTTGTCAGTAAAGCCAAGAATGAAAATATGGCTGCTTTGAGTACGAACAAGAAGCTCGTCAACGAGTTTTCAAAATCATCTGACCTAAACGACGGCCAAACATTCAAAGAAACGAAGCTATCCCGGTTTAGCACTATTCAATACCAATCGACATGGGCAGACTCTCGTATGTCCTGTCCGCCCGATAGCCAAGCCAGAATCCTCGAAGATGAGCGTGCAGACGACTTGAGCAGATACGGAATCAGTGATCTTGCCTTCATTTACAACACAACTGCCATGTCTGACATATGTCTCACGCCTTCTCTAAGCTCAACATATGGCTTTTTCGACCGCCCTAATTCTTTCAGAGTCACCCATGATCTACTGCCCATATTCTCCCAGTCCAAGGTGTCGTCTTATGGGGATATTATATACCCGTCTCCATGGTATTGGTATAAAAAAGTGGCTTACAACGAAACCAACGACATGCCGTGGGATGAGAAGGAGAGCAAGCTCTACTGGCGAGGTTCTACTACGGGAGGATACAGTCGCAACGGCGGCTGGAGGAGGCATCACCGCCAGCACTTTGTGCAAAAGATCAACTCCAGAGAGCAAGCCAAGGTGATGACCAACAGTGGTGGAGCTGGAAATCCTAAATGGGAGGCCAAGGAGGTCCCCCGTGGGGAATACCAGAAGCTCATTGACGTGCATTTCTCTCACGTTGGCCAATGCGACCCCGGAGACTGTGAAGCGCAACGAGAGTTTTTTGACGTCGTTGACCTGGTTGATCAGCAAGATGCCTGGGGATATAAATATCTGGTCGACATAGACGGCAACGCCTTCTCTGGCCGCTTCTACGCCTTTCTGCAGAGCAAAAGCTTGACGTTTAAGCTTGCTTTGTTCCGTGAATGGCACAACGAATGGCTCAAGCCGTGGGTACATTATGTGCCGCTGAGCCTCCAAGGGGAAGATTGGCTTGAAGCAGTTCGTTTCATCAATGAAGACAATGAGGGATCAACCGAGGGGCAGAAAATTGCCAAGGAGAGCCGCGAATGGGCCAATAAAGCGGTTAGAAAAGAGGATATGGAGGCATGGTTTTTCAGACTGCTTTTAGAGTGAGTTCCTTCTTTCCCTTTGATGTGGACTTTCTTTTTCCAAAATGTTTGGTAAAGATGTAAATTCTTTCGTTTGTACTGACATTCACTTTGCAGATACGGACGGGTGATTGACGATAATAGAGCAAATCTTGGGTATGATATATGATTGGGCGGCACGAATGGGAAAGCGAGCATTAATATACTAGGCGTTTATATGAAAATGATACCATTGTTTGTTAAAAAATACCTATCTATACACATATAGTAGTACACCATCAATTGGAGCAAATACGAAAGAAAATAGCGAAATCTTTGACCGCAGCATCTTTTGCAATCAAATATTTGTTCCATAAGCACCCACCACCACGACATACCATGATTGTTCTTCTTTCACCAAATCATTTACTTTGGCACATGAGAGGGCCACATAGTTTCATTAATACCGAGATCTATATACCTGATAGTCACCTATCCCACATGCACCAGCAACCATCCTCGCATGCCCATTTCCCCCCTCTGTGTTCTTTGAAATAAATGAAAACATCGCTTTTGAAAAGTCAATTTTCCCAAAAGATAAAAAGGATTTTAAATTTGATAAAAAAAAAAAAAAGAGAGCCACTTCATTCAAACACGGATGAGCAAAAACAGCCCAAACATTGAATCTCATCCTTCCCGTTAGCAAGTCTAGTCTTCGTCCTCATCTTCATCACCCTCCGCATCACGATCCGCAGACGGAGACCGCTCTTGGTATTTCTCAACCGGGCTGGAAGCTCCGTTACGATCGGCTTCTTCGCCCTCAGCATCGCCATCCGCATCAACATCGCCCTCCTCGATGGACCGCTCGACGCCGCGATGCAGTTCTTCCTCTTCGTCCTGATCCCAGCCCATAGGATGCCGTGCGTACATCTTCATGGCGGCCCTCATCTCCTCTGTCGGGTCATCAACCGTGAGATCCAGCTGGTCAACCACTTGCGGCTCATCGTCCTCAGCAAGGCCGTAATTCGTACGTGCAATGTTTCTGGTGCGTTGGGGACGGATAGTAGATCTCTGCATGATGGGGTAGTAGAAGACAGCCTTTTGGCTGGAATCGGTCTCCTTCTCATTGACGGAGAGGATAATTTCATCTTCGTATTTGGTAGGGTGATCGAGCTCCGTCTCCTGAGCGGTCTCGTATGCCCTGATCCTGTTGAACTGGAAGTATCCTCCTGTGTCTCCCCTGTGGGTATACAAGTCCTCGTCGTCATGGTCGGCGTCGTCGACGTCAAACTTGCGGCGGAAGCGGTCAGCATCGGCACGAGTCTGGCCAAGATAGAAGTCATAATTCATCAAGTTGGCCGGCTTGGGGTTGTTGACTGGATCCTGATTATAGGCCTCTGCGGCGGCCTCGAGGGCCGCTTCCTCGGCCGCCGTGCGGTCTATCGGCCTGAACAGGCCGCTGCGGAGACGATTATCATACTCGTTGGAGCTTGAGACGGGATTCGTAAGGAATTTGATGGTAACGTAAGCACCAGAATCGGGAAACGCGTCCAGATCGGGCACCAGAGGCAGAGCATCGACGAGCTTGAGGTGCTTCTTGGAGGGATGCTTGATGCGCTTGGGGTCCTTGAGATCCTGCTCCGCAATCTCGAAGCCCTTGTCGATCTTGCGCTTGATGGCCTGCGGAGAGTCGGCGGCGGGTTCTGGCCGCTTGGCTGGTCGTCGAGACTTGGCCAGCAGGGCCCGGGGGTGGTTTGCCTCGAAGCGTTTCGGGATTAGGGACGAGATGTACTCGGTTCGGCGGAGGAAAGAGACGTTGGCCTCGGCAACCTTGGGCTTACCAAGGGCGGCAATAGGTCTGAGAAGAGCTCGATCGTGCGGGTGGAGGGCTAGCGGCTGTGACGGAGCTTGGATTGCTGCGAAGTCATCCCCAGTCAGATCCAACTCAAACGTCAAACTACCCATGCAAGAAGAATCAAATCAAATGACACTCACATCGTTCATCTCCATCAAACACGCCCGGCATTCCCACCAAGTCGAGCGGCATGCCCAGTTCTGCATCAGCCTCGATATTGAGCGGCTGCTCTCGCGCCAGACGTGATGCAAACCCTGGCGTCGTGTATTGGCCGCTTGCGAGGCCGGTGTTGGGGATGTCGAGCAGCTTCGGAGGATTGGGCGGTGGAGGCAGAGTATTTGAGAAGCGGATTCGCGCGATGAAGTCCTGGTGAATCACGCGCTCGCCCGAGCGAGCTCCTGAGGACGACATCCTGTGTCCCTTTCTCGGCTGGAATTCTCCGGCTGACTTGCTTCGTCGATGCGGTGGAGGGTTAGGCAATTGGGGCCGTAATTATGGACTGGTCGCACAATGGGTTTCGGTGCCTCTATCGCCAATTGCTGCTGTAAAAGGCGATTTGAGGATGTGGCGGAGTGTCGGCGGTGATGGAGGAAGAAAAATGATAGTCGCGCGCGGCACAAGGCGAGAGCCCTGCGAGGCTGTCAAATCTGAGGCCAAGCTCTGCGGTTCCCCACCACGCGACTTTTGTACAACCAGACGAAGACCAGCCATTTCAGAGTCAAACTAAAGGCCTTTTGCAGCTTGTAAAAATTGAAAAAAATAAAAAATAAGAAAACAAAATGTTGAGAATAATATTAAAATGATTTTTTCTTCGTCTCCGAGGCGCAAAAAAGTATTTCATTAAATTAAAATATAATAGGCAGCTAGCTCTCTCTGAGAGTTCGTCTCCAAGACCTGGTTCCCATGCGATTCCGTATCAGTCATACCTGGTCTAACCCATCCATCTACGCCTTTGAAGCATTCATCGATAGGCCCTCAATCGCTTTTTTGTAATCCCTTTTGGAAGCCCATCTGTTGCCATACACTCGTCTCTTGCATTCAGCCCACCGCGCACTCTGGCACGCTGTGGGCACTGGCAATCTGTTACATGACTAAAAGTCAACCCATTTAAAAACTCCATCTCCAGTGTCCATTTCGAGTCTCTAAAGGAGAGACTTTGTCTCTAAGCGGTCGCTATGCAATCTGCTTACGATCGGTCCTTGTTGTATGATTTCTTGCCAACGGAAAATGGCACATAGCGATACTTGATCATGTGCTGGATTTGTCGACGCACTGCAAGATTTCGGTTAGCATCTCAGTGACAGGCATAGTATTGGAGAAAGGGGCTCTTACTGGTCAGGACAAAGAGAATCAGCCAGTACATGACCAAGACGGGCCAGAAAACAGGGACGTCGAAGATGGCGAACCAGGTGCAGACAAAGGCAATGCCAATGGCTCTGGTTGCCCAGTACCAGAACTTGAATTCGGGAAGACGTCTGATGAACGGCTTGAATTCTTCGTCTCGGTTGGTCGGGAGGGTGCCGACAGAGCCATCTTCCATCTCGTTATCCAAGGCGTCGCTCGAAGGGTCGAATTTCGGCTGAAGGAAGGCCAGGAAAAGGTTCAGAAGATAGATTCCCAAGGCATAAGCGACTGATGCGTGCAAATTCTTGTTAGCTTCGCTTTTCTTTTTCACATTCTCCTTCTTTGCTCTCCCGTCGGACTGAGAGACGCAGATTGGGGATGGAGCCACGACTTACCAATGTACCATCCCTGCGCAACGAAAATGCGTAGGAAGAACACCAGCAGACCCACGCCTGTGCCAACCCATCGGTATGTGACATATGGGGTTGACTGATCCAAGATCGCTTGGTATTGCTGGTCATAGTTAGCACATGTAAGCCCGGGAAAACGCAGCCGGGAGGCCTACTCTCTGCAACTTGGTGGTATGGGCTGTGACGGCCGCGAAAGGGGTCTGTTCGGGCTCTGGCGCATCCATCGTGGCGGGTGTAAATCAAGTCGCCTTGGAGAGGAATCGGAGTGAGGCTTTGATAAAGATGGAGGGTGAAGCGAGCGGGTTGCCGCGCCAATAATCGCACAGTCCGGACAACTGAATGGGCGAAAGAGAAGTTGATGGAACGCAGAAGGGCTGCTTTATCGCGAAACGGGCTGATCCGGCGTGGGGCGCAGTGCCAGCATGTGCTTTGCGTACGCTTCTCGGTCGAATTCAGCCACGTAAGGCTTGACCCCTGGCCGGTAGCGGATGCAGGCCGAGGTTTTGCCGGTGCCTGCAGGAACTCCAGGTACGGAGCAACAGGACAGTTTCTCCGGGGCCCATTAAATAAATGGTGATCTTCAAAGCAAGACAGCGGCCTGAAAGGTACGGAGCACTTTGCAACATTAGCTGTTGTTCTGGGTGTTGCTCGACGGCGCGGCGCAGTGCTTGGGAATTAAAAAGGTCTAATCACAAATGCTCGATTATGTAAGTATACCTCAACATATGGGAGAACCAACATCTACATGACTTTTGCGCCGCTTGTGCTCTGTGGTGCCATCGATCGGCTGCATTGGCTTCGTCTTAGTTGCAAGCAACTTTATATATTGGAACGCTCGCCGCTTAGTCCCGTCAGTGGGTCAAAACCCATCACAATAAGCGTCATTGGTCTAGGGGTTAGGATTCAACTCTTCCATTAACCAATTGAAAAGTTGAGGCCCGGATTCGAGTTCCGGATGACGCATTTTTTGCTTGCAGTAAAGCTGCTTCAAATTTTTTTTTTCTCTTTCTCTTCTCGCTTCTTTCTCTTTTGTATATTAGTTAGATTTGTCACATTGTCACATATTTCAAGTAAATACGTCACAGTCCCTATTCTCGCACACCTCATCGGGCAGACGCAAATGTATAGAAGCATATGCAAGCCTAACTCATCATCAATACCATATCTCACGTATTATACCCCATTATACCGTGCTTTCTTCGACATGTGCCACTTCCTCATCAAAATCACCCTTCTTCGCCTGCAGCTGAGAGAGCACTGCTGCTGCGATACCAGTTGACGCGCCGCCACCCACCTTGGCTTCGTCGCCGTCAAAGTATTTGGCGATTTCCTCCAACGGAGTGTTCTAACACGAAAAGAAAATGTTGTTAGTAGATTTAAAGACTAAAGTGGAGTATGCAGAAGTATACCTTTGTTTCAACCCAGAGGAAATATACGACGGTGAAAATAACACAGAGAAAGACATCGTAGAACTGTCACCCATTGGTATTAGACAGGTAATTATAACTGGAAGCCCAAGGAGGGCTTCTATAGCGCTCAAACTTACAATATAGAATCTCCATCCCTGAGATTCGATACCCACAGGGTTGATGTACTGGTTGAGCACTAATCCAAGTGGTTAGCAAGGAAATGGCTTTATATATATAGTGAGTGCAAGTACTCACAGTTTGTGCTGACTCCGAAAAACGTAACGTTCAAGCCCTTGGCGCGGATCTCATAAGGCAAGATCTCAATGGGATACGCCAGAAGTAGGCCTTGCCTATACAAATCGTAAATATGACGCAGCATCCCAAAAAGTCCTTCGACTTACCATCCGCAGTTGAATGCCGTATAGAACAAAAAGATCATCACAATCACTCCCTTGGCATCGGCGCTGTCTCCCGTGATGTTGTACCGCGCTGAAAGTATAGTCCATAACACAAAGCATATAATCATCGAGCCTGTGCTGCCCAGCGCCATCTTTCTCCTACCAATTTTATCAATATTGAACGAGGCCCAAATAGCAACGATGAAGTTCCAAATCTGGAGCCCGCCATTGAGACCAGCTTGCTCAGCGTTCTTGGTGATGCCAATCGTCTCCAGCACAGGGACGAGATAATACGAGACCAGGCCGTTACCGCACCACTGGGAGAAGAAGCCTTGTAAGTAGCAAATGAGGGTGCGCTTGCGATTGCCTGGTGTGCGGATCAGTTCGAGCCAGCCGCTCTTGGAAGAAAATTCTTGCTCTAAAGCGAGAGTCTCCTTGATCTCGGTGAAAGAAGTCTGAACAAAGTCGGTACGTTCACCGTTGCCATGGAACTTGACCAAGACTTCGAGGGCTTCATCGTGGCGATCTTTGGCAATAAGAAAACGCGGGCTCTGGAGAGAAGTTTCCCATGTCAAAGTGGAACTTGAAAAATACCTTTGGAGCAAATCTACTAACCTCTGGTAATAGCCAGATGAATACGATCTGCACAATGGCAGGGAAAGCCTGAATAATGGAGGGAATGCGCCATGCCCAGTCACTGTCGATATTAATCGTTCTACTTAGGTTAGCCTTCTTTCCATCCTTTCAATACTCATAAACGGCGTTACATACCCAAAAGTCACCCATGCAGCAACAATCGATCCGAAATACCACATCGAGTTGTACACTGCAGTAATTGTGGCTCGATGTTGCGTGTGAGCCAGTTCAGTCACTATGAGAGGTGCGCTCCCATGATCTATCATGACTCCAAAGCCAAGAATAAATCTTCCTGCGACAAACATGCCGACTGCGACATGGCAATCACAAGAGTCAGCCTACGTTATGAGCATGGGAAAAGGGGGACGGGCTTTTCTCTTCTCACCATCTATACTCGCGCTCTGAATCGCCACCCCAATTATCGCAATGATGCTGCCAATAACGATTCCCCATCGTCTTCCCAGCTTATCTGCAATTGTAGCAGGGAATGGAAAGGGAACCACGGCCAGAAGCTGTCCCAGTCCAAAAGCCAAGTTGTAAAACGCCAGTAGCGAGCCACGAGGATGATGAAAATAATCCTGCCACTGCCCACTCGTCTGCAGAGCGTTCATCATGGAGCCATCGTAGCCGTTGACCATGGACGTCATCAGGGGCACGAGAAGCAAGAGATACAGGCGTCGAAGTCCCGGCTCGCGCCACCATGTTACCTTTGGAAACTCTTTGTTGGCGAGCGTAAAGGTATTAGACGGCGGAGCCGATGGCTTGAGGGCATCGAAGAACTTCATTGTAAAACAGTGCCTTGATCTCCTCAATTTTTCAGGATTGGGGGAAAACGCTGTTGGTCGGCAACAGATTGGGAAGAGATGGAGGGAGGTTCATATATGTTGGTTACCTCTCCGCGGCCATGACCGGGGTCTACATATACATGGAAGGATACTTGTAGTGCAGACAATCAAGTTAAAAGAAAGGGAGGGGAAGCATCTCCCATCTTCCTTTCCTCGTCATCAGGCCACTAATTGAATGAACTCCCCATGATTCTCAAGACTTGGGATTATCGACGGCGCCTTTAGCATCAAAGAACCCAATTCTTAGTCCATGTAAGTGGGGGAAGGGGAACGCCCTTTTTAAACCGACTAGCCGTAATATCTCAAAAATTTCTAGTTGGAAACCGAAGCCAGAGTTGAACTTTATTTTCTTGGGCAGGGGATCGTCATTGTATATACCAAGAAGAGATATTATCTAAATGCCGAAGTCGCAGAGACTCGCGGTGTTTTGCCCGGATATATTCTTTCATTGTATGTACTAGGTGGTATAAGCTCATGCTCATCGCGCGATCGGCCTTTTAGACGTTTATCCTGCTTATTATTTTAGGGAAACGCTAACCTTACAGAATCTGGGGGATGAGCATTGAAAACTGGAGAGAGTCTGGAGAATGCTGGACGGGTGGAATTTGAAGTGCTTTAGCCGGTGAGGGGAGCTGGCGGCAGTATCTGGACATGGCTCGTCGCGTTAGCTCCTCCGATCGCCAGCTCGGCTATTTCCCCAAATCGTTCCGTAGGCGAAGGTGCACATGGAATAACACCCTGATGGTAACATCGTCACATTAGAATCACTTCCCTGTATGATGTCGCCTTGAGAACCCGCGGGGTAGCAAATGTCCGCTGTGCTAGCAATATGGAGGTGGCGGGGATTTGTTCCATGTCCACATGAAGCACCCTGAATGATGTTACGGCGTGGGGAGGTCATCCGAGATCGCCATCCTGGACTTGTTATGTGTAATAAAGTTCATTCTCTCGCCTTGGGTGCTGTAAAGTGGGATGGCGGTTCTCCAGACCAAACGACGACTGCTAATGTTCTTAATGCATTCAGACTAATATAAATGCACTTCCATCAACCTGGGTAGCATTCACCTCTTTATTATTGAACATACCACAAACGTATACAAGAGACTTACAAAATTGGTCTTCACCTTCAGTCATGGCTACGTATCTACGGACCAATATACACGATGACTGGACCTTCAAGCAAGCAGACAAGCCAGATTCGGACTTTCGATCCGTTGCTCAGTTTCCAACTGTCATTCATCTCGATCTATTACACTACGGACTGATACCAGATCCGCCAAATGACAGAAACAGCGAGCTCATCCAATGGATTGGTGAGAAACAGTGGCTCTATAAGACTTCATTCGTTTCACCACAGCCACCGTCGGGCAGCGGCAAGATATCCCACACAATGGTCTTTGATGGCCTCGACACTTATGCCAAGATTCGTCTCAACGGAGAAGAGATAGCCAGCACAGCCAACATGTTTCTTCAATATCGTGTAGATGTCACAGCTACATTGAAGCCAGCAGGTAGAGAAAACACCCTCGAGCTTCTTTTCGACTCTGCTTTCTTAGAGGGCAAACGGCTTGAAAAAGCGCAAGGCTACAAGAACTTGTTCTGGAATGGCGATTCGTGCCGTATGAATGTCCGCAAGATCGGATGCCATTTCGGATGGGATTGGTGAGACTGGTTGTGCTTGTATTTTGATTATACATTCACTGACTGACTGTCGTGGATTATAGGGCACCAACACTCTTAACTTGTGGCCCATGGAGGCCAATCTATCTTGAGTCCTTTGTCACTCGAATCGCTGATCTGAATATTGATATCGATGTTGCTGACTCGCTAGACTTTGCAACCGTAGCCATCATGCCAGAGCTGCAAGGTCTCAACAGCAATAATAACAAGTCGGTACAAGTCAACATCAGCGGCCCAGATGGGGAAGCCATTTTCGCCGGCAGTGGGAATAGCAGCGTATCCATCAAAGCCCCCAAACTATGGTATCCAGTAGGATATGGAAAGCAGCCGCTATACACGGTGACAGCCACTCTCGGTGACCAAAGAGTCATTCGCAAAGTCGGCATCCGCCACCTCCGTCTAATACAGCGACCCCTTGAAAACGGCGCTCCAGGAACAACATTCTTCTTCCAAGTAAACCAGATCCCCATATACTGCCGCGGTGCCAACTGGGTGCCCGGAGACACGTTCTTGCCGAGGATTAATGCGACTCGTTATCGCCAGTGGATCGAATTGGCACTCCACGGAAACCAGAATATGATTCGCGTCTGGGGCGGAGGGCTCTATGAAGATGATTCATTTTATGACATTTGCGACGAGCTTGGCATTCTCGTATGGCATGATTTCCAACTCGGATGCGGCGTATATCCCGTGTCAGACTTCATGACCAACACCATCCGCGAGGAGGCCATCTATAACCTCAAACGACTGCGGCATCACCCTTCAATCGTCCTATGGTGCGGCAACAACGAGGACCACATGTTTGCAGAGCTGCACCATCTCGAGTACGACATCAACGACAAGAACCCAGACAACTGGCTGAAGACGAACTGGGCGGCCCGCTGGTACTACGACAAAATGCTCCCCGACATATGCGCGGAGCTCGTGCCTCGCGTGCCGTACCACAACTCGTCCCCCTGGGGAGGCTCATACAGCAACGACGCAACCGTTGGCGATATTCATTCGTGGAGGGTATGGATGGCCGACCAGCCACGCTACCCATATCAAGACTACGAAAAGCTCACCGGCCGCTTCGTGAGCGAGTTTGGCATGAAATCCGCTCCCGCCGTCCGCAGCGTCCGCCAGCTCATCAGCGATCCCGCAGAGAGGCATCCGCAATCACGCACGTTTGACAACTGGTTCTGCGCGCCGGAGGACCAGCGCACGCTGTCCATGTATCTGATTGACAACCAGAAACACAACCACGCCTCGTTGCCGGCATACGTATATGCCACTCAGCTCAACCAGGCCGAAGCAACCGACTACGCACTGAGGCCTTTCCGGCGCCTTTGGAAGGGCCCTGGGCAAGAAGAATGTGCCGGCAGTCTGATCTGGCAGCTCAACGACTGTTTCCCAGCAGCCAGCTGGTCTTTGGCCGACGCGTTCCTCCGTCCCAAGCTGGCTTACTTTGTTGCCAAGAGAGATTATGCACCCATCGTTGTTGGGTGCGCAAGGACAACGGTTGAAATACCCGCCGATGAGTTCACCCGAGTATTTGTAAAACGAGTCACCACGGCGGATGTCTGGGCTAGCAATTGCACAGTCTCTGAGGCAAAGTTGACCGTAACGATTGCCTTTTATTCCATCTTGGATGGCAAACTGCTGGCCTCCAAGTCCGACGAGGTGACACTGCCACCGAACCGCTCTACAGAGCTGCAAAAAATAAAGTTCGAGGAAGACGAATGGGGAGTCAAGCAAGAATCCATAATCGCCGCTACAAAGCTGACCAAGGACGGACATGTGCTGGCCCGTTATGTCAATTTCCCACAGCCACTGCGGCATCTCGATTTAACCGCTGCAGAGGTTACCGTCACCAAGAAAGATGTCAATGTCTCTGATAATTCGTTCAAGCTTGCTGTTTCAGTCAAGAATGGCGTGGCAAAGGGAGTAGAATTGATGATTGATACTCTGGACCCGGACGTTGCAGACAGCTATACCTTTAGTGATAATGCCTTAGATCTAGTTCCAGGAGATGAACAGATTGTAACTGTGACTGCTGTTGCTGATGCAAAGGTTGACATTGGCGAAGTTGGAGTGACAGAGCAACACTATGGCTCGGTAAGTCTAGAAGCGGAAGTTTAATGGCATTGTACGTCTTGGAGTTGCAACGGCGGTAGCTTGGATAGACGTGTATACAGATAAACTATAGATGACGAAGTTGTATTAGACTGAATTGATCCAGTTCAACCACAGAATCTTCATTAAGGAAGATAAACTTGATTTATGTGCATGTAAGCTCATTCTTCTACGAGATATGAGATAACAGCTCTGTCAGTCAGCCACCCTCCCTCCACATCTCCTCCAAACTTGAAACAGCTTGCGAGACATCCCATGTAGTCTCCTCTTTGATCCGATACAGTAGGTCCAGTAAATGCAACTGGCAATTACGATCTCTTAGTGGACGGCCGCCTGGTTTCTTCTCGTTTAGCAGTCCGTATTGCATACCATGGGGAGAACCTTTTATCTAGCAATTCAAAGTACATATGACTTTACTCACAGTATGCTAAAATATCTGCAGCATTTACCAGTGCCCCTGGATATCTACAGCCTTTATATAGAGTCAATCCACGGATGATTCCACAAATTCGAAGGCTATGTTCGACAGCTTCAGACTGCGAGTGAAGGTCAGGTTAAGAGTAACAAACAAACCAACAAACGACAAAAAGGTAAAAACCCACCGTGTTCTCACTAGAATCATTGAAATCCGTTTGTTGTTTACCTAGTATGAATATTACCTTGCAGAGATAATAGAACTGCATTGCCACAGCTAGCACACCAGAAAAATCAGGTCATCTAGCCCAACTCGAGAATATGCATTAGCCAACAGTAACTTACTATGCCAAATACATGTATAATAAATCGCGGGAATTGAATTATCATCAGTCACTATGGAAAGTGGACTAAATGAATTCGGCAGTCCCTGCTGCCAATCATCCACCAGCTTGATCAACATGTCTTGGTGCTCGATAGCTGATGTGGATACATCCGGGCCAAAGTAGTGGTTAATAACTCGTGCAGTGATCCAGATAATGTTGTTCGTCCAATCGTCATCCGAGTCTCCATTAAATACCACGTGGTATGTTCTATCTGATGTGTCGATGTTAGTCGGGCAGCAGCCACGCAGAGCAGTTAAGATCTCCTGGCGGACATATGTCCAGAATGCAGTGTGCTTGAGGCTCCCTGGGCCAAACTTATTTGCATTATGGCTGAAAAGGGATAATGATCCTCGTAAATGGCGTTGTAGATCAACTTCGGCATCATGGTCGCTGAGCATCTCGTGCATTCGTAGAATTACCGTCGATAGCGCCAATGCGCTCTCAGAGGCACATGCTAAGTCTTTCAATGCGGCTATCAGTCGGCGTACACAACTGTAGTGATATTCGTCTGCCACGAGTGGATTAAAATTAGCATCAGAGCGACTCAGATACCGCGCTGAGAATGCAAAAATTGCATCGAGCAGCATGGGGCATTTCATAGCCAGCTGAGGCACCGATGCCGAGAAGTGGTGCCTTGGATCATTCAATGCCAACTATACCCGTTCAATTTGATATTAGTTGCTTAAGAAACGTTCAAGGTAAAAGAAAGTTTCAGCAGAAGCACGTACCCATCCGCTCAGATGTTCAGTATAGAGAGTCAATAGGCGCGCTTGTTCTGGATCCCTCAAAGCTGCCCGGGGTTGTGGTAGATATATGGGTAGAGTTGAGTTTAGAGCTTCGATCAAGCTTCCAACAGGAGTGCTCGTCGTTTGGCTACACGAAGCGTCTTCAAATGGGAAGTGCGAAACTGGAGGCAGGGATATATAGAGCCCGTCAGGTTCGATTTCTGTTGCAACGGCTGGTTGATGATCTTTTTCATGTGAGTACAGTACAATCAAGTCCCGTTTTGACCCAGCTAGTTCTCACCTAAGGGGCTAGTTTGACTTGATATCGTATCGTTTCCTATTTTGGGAGGGCCTCGGCCGGCTTTTCGTGGCTTCATACGTACTTGATGAGCGAACCGCACTTTGATAGTCGGATTAGTAGGTAGCAGAGATTCCATTACTGCTATACTCACCAGAAGGCGGAATATCAACCCAGATATGATCTTCTGGAAAGACAAAATAATCACTTTTCTCCAATGAATTGCCATCGAAGCTGCTGTGGCGACGTTCTTGGGAAAAGAAGCATGATCGACCAGCCTTCTCGCAACGCTTACATTCCGGCCTTCGTTCATCGCCTTTGGCAGACATGATTAGCTCAGAATTTAAAAAAGAAAATTCAGCGGAAAGTAGGAGAGGATAACGCATTATAGAGAATCATGAGAAATCAGGCATGTCGTGACGGCTAAGCGTCAATGCTTGGGGGACTTCACAGTAATAGCTTACACTTGAGGTGACGTTTTCGGCACGTTAGACTGTCTCATATTTGGCCAGTTAATTATCGGTAAGATCCGCAAAGATAACATCAGTGATATAAAAGGGCTAGCGAGAATCTCCGCCGTTGGAAGTGGTGTGTTGAACTGAAAAGCCTTACCACCCTATTCGGTGTTAGTGAAACGCATGGCAATCACGATATATGCATTTACTTGCCTGTCTTTACGCGCCGCTGATTGGCCATAGAAGCCATTGTGTGCCCCAGTGAAACTGCGCTGCCACGGTATTGCTCACAACTGAACTGCCCGTTGGGCATCTCATCGTTTACTCGGTAGAGAGTCATGCGAGAGGAAATCAGGCATACTGGGCTGGATGGGGCAAAGTTGGAGACGCTCGATCTATGGGAAGACCCACGGAAACTTGTTCCCCGCGCGACTGCAGATTTGCGGAGATGAGCAGAGCCTTGCTCTAGCGCTGAAAAAGCCCCAGGAGTACTTTCCTACCTACATAGAGGCGCTATGTATTAGGAACTGCTAACCTTGGGGTTCAGATGCAGCTATATCGGCCTACCAATATACATGTACCTTACCTCAGTATGCAGATTTTCGGTATTCTGCATAAGAGCTGCTACACAACAAGTATTACCCAAGGTACATGGACGGGACATACGTGGCTCTACCGCTATGATGCCTACTATACGAATATAGATGCCGCAGGCTGTGCTGTCATAAATATTATTGATAGTAGGTACACGTATTTGAAACCATATGCTTGCATGCATTTACCCGTCTAGCGACATTTAGGCTTTCGGCTTGGTTGTGGAAACTTCAAGCTATAATGCAACTTCTAACCAGGGGTCTTATACGAGAAAATTCACTTTGTGAGACCCGTTTATCATGGAATATCAAGTTAGCTCTTTCAAGGCTATTACCCAAGCTGTACACATATTGTTGCAGCATACACGTATTTTCCATCCAGCAGGCCGTTTTCCAGATGTTGAAGTGCACATGAGGTTAGTTCAGAATAGCTCATGATAACAAGGCAATGAATTTAATACACCCAAGATTGGTGGCTTAAGAGAAGAAGCAAGCAAAATTCTCATCAGAGTGTTCCAGTCAAAACTGATTATGGAGAGAAGAAGTCTCGTCCACGCAGCTCCACATTGCCATATAGGGTAGATTTGATACGGGCGAGTCGCCCATTAGCGGCAGACATCGTGTTGTCTAGACACGAGAGATGTGGAGAGACGAGGAGGATCCCTGTAGGGGCAGCGCTGCAGCACGACCTGCATCGTCCGTTATAGCCTGGCCAGCTCCCAAAGGAACCCAAACAAGCCTCTAAACCAATCACCGCGCAGCCGTCATCTCGCCTCACGCTCACTTTTGTCCTACGGCCTCGAGGGCCTGCGTCTCTGGCGCAAGGTTGCTCTGTGAGCATTTAAATCAGCCCGTCAGTCCCTTTGCGCAGGCGTCAGCGGAAAGGCACATGTCGTTTCAAAAATAACAAGCAAAAAGCCATCGCCATCATCACCAGTAAACAATAAACAATGCGAGAGCCGCCGCCTGAAGACGACTGGTCCTCCTCTGGCAGCGAGTCGCCGCCACCAAGACCAGCTCCGGCTCCAGCACCGCCGCAGCATCAGCATCAGCAGCAGCATCAGCCGCAGCATCGTGCGCAGGCGCCGCCGACAGCGAGGCGCCAAAGCATCGCCAACCGCTTGCTGGGGGCGGTCCAACAGGTTCGCAAGGACAACAGAGAAAAGGCCAAGAATGAGCCTCAGCCAGCGCCTGCCAAGCGGCGCGCGTCCGTCGCCGCCGACAAATCCTCCCCCATGAGTCGCATCCGCACGTGGCTGGACAACTGCAACGACCAGCACGACTACCACTGCTGCGCCGATGACGAGGATCTGGACGCAAACACCTTCCACCCCGTCTATCTCGTCGACTCGGTTGAGCGCTGCTTGGTCAAGGCGAAGCCGAGGGATCGCTATCTTGCTCTGAGCTACGTCTGGGCGCCGCTGGGCCAACGCCGCGGAGGCCCCAGCGAGGTGGTTCAGCTGCTCAGATCCAACATCGAGGAGTATCAGTCGGTGCTCCCAGAAGTGGAAATCCCTGAAACGATTCTCGATGCCATGTACCTGGCACGGAAACTGGGCTTGCGCTACCTGTGGGTCGATCAGCTGTGCGTCGTTCAAGATGATGATGTCGACAAGGACAACCATGTGCGACACATGCCCTACATCTTTGCAAATGCCTATCTTACCATCGTGGCGGCGCATGGCGATCTGTACACCGGCCTTCTACCCATTAGCCCGCGGCGACATGCTCGCGAGGCTCGTGAAGCCAAGCCTGGCGGTAGCAACAAGGACCACAGCGAGTTGCTTCGGCAGTCCAAATGGAACACACGTGGATGGACGCTTCAAGAGCTTCTCTATTCGCGGCGAGTCGTGTTTTTCTTTCAGGAGACTGTAACATGGGAATGTCATTGCGGCCTCTGGCAGAAGAACTCCACAAACATCATACCTAAATTGCGAGGGAACAACAATCGACAAGACTGTATTAATCGCGTTTCTGAGCCCATACTTGGATTTCAGCATGCTCCATGGCCTGACTTGGACGAGTACGCTCGTATAGCAGCCGATTATAGCGCGAGAAGGGTGACGTACGTTGAAGACACTCTAAGAGCATTTTCAGGCATCACTTCCATGTTGTCCCGTACATTTTCGGATGGATTCATGTTCGGAATGCCGCTCATGTTTCTCGATATAGCTCTACTCTGGAGACCGCAGGCATCCATACGACGCAGGGCGCCACCACGAGCTCCTTTCTTCCCATCATGGTCCTGGATGGGATGGTGGTTTGATGGTGTACCGGTCGACTTAATATTGTGGAAAGCTGCGGCTGACTATGTTGAAGAGACGAGTCCAACAAAAGTAGGGCCAAACTCTAAGCGCTTTCAGTCCTTGCAGACTTTTAGAATCAAGAGTACTGTCACCTGGAACCTTACAGACAGGGCTTCCACAGTTCCTGTGGCTAACACAGGACTGCGATACCGAGAACTACGGTCTCGCAAAAATGCTGGTGCGCAGCTACCCCGTGGTTGGTCCAAGAGCGGATCCTCTTTCAAGCATGATAGTGACAGGGGAACGCTCTTCAAATATCCTGTGCCGGTCGTCGATCCTCCCAAAGATGGATTGAACGCGCCAACACTCGCTGAACAGACTTTCCCCGGACCGCTCTTGTCTTTCAAAACGGTCGCTGGGTTTTTCGACGTCGATCTCGCCGATACCATGGCGCCCAAGGATAATTCAAATCCTCACATCGCCATTGGAAACATCTGGGGCAAGTCCGGCAAATGGATTGGCGAGTTTCGAGCTCACGATTCGTGGCTGGGCGTGCAGACATCCAATTACGAAGGAGGTGAAAAGCTTGAATTCATTGCCATAAGCACAGGAATGGAGCGCAAGGGCTCATTTATCTTTACACCGGAAAGATTCGAGGAGAATAAAGATCCGGACGGCATACTGGACTTTGTGAATGTGCTCTGGATTGAGAGGATCGGCACTGTTGCCTACCGACGAGGAATCGGCCACATTTTGCTCAAAGCCTGGAATGCACAAGCACGAGATCAAGTGGATATTGTTCTCGGATGAGGGTTTCCTGAGAGTTGCCTTGATATAGCTAGCGAGGTATATGTCGAGCGTGGGCGTTTGGGGGGAGGGGTCTTAGTCTCGAGTCTATTACGGCGGCGGCAATGATTGTTACATGATCTGTGGCTTAATATCTGTACTTAATGTTGTGCACATGCTAATGATTTTTTTGTTAATTACTCAGGAATGTACTTCTGGGGAGACGGTTTGTGGTTAGCAGGCGGGCAGGCAGTTTGTACACGATTGTGTTTAGTGCGATGATATCTGAATAACATACTATATATTCCTCTTCCATAGTACCTATATGCATCTATAGAGTCCTTCCAGCCGATGTGATGGCATGGCATAGGCGGGACCTTTGCTTTGTGGCTGAGATGCTTTGATTTCGACGTCTCAGGGCTTTGTATGATAATAGTAACAGTATCGTTCGTTTGGGGCACTTTTTACACATGGTGTTGCGCGCCAAAAGTTGAGATATTGACGATGCACGACAAGCCTGCATCGCATTGAGTGTCCATCACGTGGACGGCTGGAGTCTTGGGCCTTCAATACAGAATACTTACATGTATATACGCTGCATTCTCTTTCTGCAAGTGAGTCAATGACGAAGCACTGGATGCAAACAAGAGTGCGTCTGATATTGATATTCGATCGTATCTATCAAAGAATGAGTAAGCTGGGTGTGGTATGACAAGCACATGCCCATGCCTTGTCTCACGGTGGCGCCGATGTGTTAGACAGTTCGCTGTCACTTTCGGATTGTGAGAGAATGGCATTTACCTCATTGATTTTCAAATCACACGGCTAGATATTTCTGCGATTAAAATGAAGGATTTTCTGCTTGTATATTTCGAATCAAGGGCCTCCAAGAAATGCAATAAACGAATGATCTTACATCAATTCCAGTGACAGCCGCTAATATGCACCTTACGTACGCGGTACGGTACGAGGCTTCCATCGCCACTAAACCGCCCTGCAGCCTAGCGCCCAGCTCCCGCCTGACCAGCCCCGTTCTAGCGGCCGCCGCCCCCAGGTTATCAGTAGTAATGGATGGACTGCGCATCACATCTGGATCCGGATCCTTCCTTAGTAACCAACAGAACGTCACGGGTTTCGTTTCCCGCCTCCATTGTCCACGCGACCCCTGCCAATGCCTGGATTCAACGAGCGTGAGAGATACATCGTAATCTCTCTTCGTCTCCGTCACGGTGCTAGTAGGACGCAGCATCTTTGAAAGGCTTGTTTCTAACCATTCGAATACGACTGTCGCAGCGGGAGGGAGACAAGTGCGTGAAGCGGCTCCGATATCGATTCGAAACTCCAGAGGCTTGTTATCTCGATATCGCAAGGAACCACTCCCATCCGTGCAGATCGTCGCCCAATCAAGGCAAAGGCGAAAGCAAACATGGCATCGAGATTGGAATATCGGTCGCTGGCCGATGAGGAGGACCGGGAAAGAGCTTCAGACGAAGATTCAGCCTTGCTCGGCGGAGAGTTCGAGGATGGCCTAGAGGTGCCCTTTTCGTGGATCGAATATGGCATCTTTTGCTTCCTCGGCATGGCCATGCTCTGGGCCTGGTAAGAAACAACACCGCCGTTTCCCATCATCTATATATGTAATAAACAAAAGGAAGCTAATATGACAATCTACAGGAACATGTTCCTCGCCGCAGCACCGTACTTCGCCTCCCGCTTCGCCGGCGATGCCTGGATCGAGGCAAACTTCCAGTCCACCATTCTCACCGTCTCGACCCTCACGACTCTCGTCGTCGTGCTGATCCTCTCCAACATCCAATCCTCCGCCTCGTACCCCTTCCGAATCAATCTCGCCCTCGTCATTAACAGCGTCATCTTCGGTCTGCTCACAATCTCCACGGCCGTCTTCCTCGATGCCTCGCCTCGGCAATACCTGAGCTTCGTCCTCGTTATGGTGGCGCTGACGGCCTGGGCTGCCGGGTTGATGCAAAACGGCGCGTTTGCGTTTGCTGCTGGCTTTGGACGACCAGAATATATGCAGGCCCTCATGGTAGGCCAGGGCGTGGCCGGCGTTCTGCCTTCTATCGCGCAGGTCGTCTCTGTGCTGGTTTTCCCCCCTAGCAAGGAAAACACGTCTGGCGAGAGAGAAGGCGAGTTGTCTGCATTCTACTACTTCCTCGCCGCTGTTGTCATATCTATAATCACCCTTGGAGCCATCATCCCTCTCGTCAGACGGCACAACCGCATGGTAGCAGACCGTCTCTCAGAACGCCTAACCTCCTCCATGACCAGCATCGAAGAAGCCGAGCGCGCCACCCGAAAAGTCGTCTCTCTTCTCTATCTCCTCAAGAAGCTCCACTGGCTCGCCTTTGGCGTAGCCCTGATCTTCACTGTGACCATGTTCTTCCCCGTCTTTACCGTCAAGATCCTCTCCGTGCACGAGGATGGCGGCCTCATCTTCCAACCCTTCGCCTTCATCCCCGTGGGCTTTCTGTTCTGGAACCTTGGCGATCTCGCGGGCCGAATAGCTACGATGCTGCCTTACTCGCTGACCAAGAGGCCGTTTCTACTCTTCGTGCTGACTGTGGCGCGAGTTGGTTTTCTTCCGCTTTACTTGCTCTGTAACATACATGGTCGGGGCGCCATCATCCCGAGTGATTTCTTCTACCTTGTCATTGTCCAGGTTCTCTTTGGAATGACCAATGGATGGCTCTGCTCCAACATCATGATGGCGTCGGGAGAATGGGTTGAAGAGAATGAGCGGGAAGCTACCGGTGGATTCATGGGCTTATGCTTAGTTGCTGGCCTTGCTTCTGGAAGCTTGTTGAGCTTTACAGCGTCTGGTATTTAACAGACATGTTCATCTGATTGATTTGCTATCATTATATCACAAATGGCGTTCTTTTCAATTTATTATTCATCACGGTGGTACGCATGGCATAGTTTATAGATCTCTTAGGCATTTATTTATTCGACAACACAATGTGTCATCTAAACTCATTTTGACTTATAGCTAATAAAACAATTCTGTAGTATGTATGATAGAAAAAAAAAATGATGAATCTCTCAGCGAAGTCGATTGATCGGTTTTACTTGCCGCCGTCCTGTGTTCCTTGCGATGCTGCTCTCAAACCTTTTCCCATATCCCATCCTGTCTTGTTCCCTTTAATGCGTCTTCAAGCCACGCATACCTAGCCTCCAACGCCATTGTAAATGCTTCAATACCAGCTTCTGAAAGAAGAAAGATAGAGGAAAAAAAACTGAAATCCATTTGCCCAAGCCAAGACCAAGTTATGACCCTAATTTGTGCAGGATCCTTCAAGGATTGCATCTTAAGGGGTTATTGTAAATAGAATCAGATGGTGCGCCTCCCGTAACTCTTTTGAAAGGCTCCAGGCCTTTGCGCAGAGCTGCGAGATCCGTCTTATGCCGGTATGTCGTTGTTTTTATTCCCGTAGGCGAAAAAGAGCCATTATTTTGGCAATTAGAATTCGTATCGTGTTTAATCGTATTTTCTTCCATGAGGAGAATGACCGGCTCCCCCGTGCGAGGCTTCCCCGACCACTCCAGCGAGCAGAGTGATGGTGGATGGTAGTAAGTGTCACCACATACAACCCAGTCGGCAGTATAGAAGCCACCGTCGATAAGATCCTTCTCAGTTCCACGCCAATGGCTGGATTTCCTTTCGGGGTCTTTCCAATCAAAATCACCAAAGCGAAGTTTGATTTCCTCATCGTCGTTGGGAGGAATCAGCGCAAAGCACGTACAGTCACGCAGTGTCATGGCGACAACGAAGTCTAGGTTCGGTATAGGTTTAAGAGGCCCCGCATGATCCAGACTCTTCTGGCAATTTCTTAGTGCTTGAATCGCCTTGTGATGGATAATTTTATCGAGAGCGGCCTGGATGCGCTCACTGTTGTGCAGACCGGAAAGTTGCGGAGCTATTCGAAATGGAGACGCGACCTGCTGTGGGCAGTCGGGATTTGCAAGCATAATCGGACAGGGCTTCTTTTCGGGGCAAGGAGCCTTTGTACCAGGGGCCTTCAAATAGTTGCGAAGTTCCAAGGCGCACTGCCTGCATCTGATGGCATTTTTGGGAGCACTGGGTGACTGTAGCAACCACTTGGGTTTGAATTCGATAAGCATAGAGCCATCAGCGCCTTCGGAGCGTATTAGTATGCTGTTGGGCAGAGTCTGGGGAGGTGCCATATATGATACGTGGGCATGTGAGTACTCACTATTTGGTCGCATGTCCTCTACAAGAAACCCCCAAGAGGCGCGGCCAATGAAGGATCCCTGAAACTTGGACTTACGCAAGTGGTTGACATCCCGAAGCATGGCATTAAGGTCATCCACAATGTTGGATTTATGCAGCACTACGAGCTCCTGGCGCACGGCATGGTCACCCAGATGCGGTTGGATCTCTCGAATGAAGAATTCCTGTTGGCGGAGATAATAGTTGGAGGATACTGGAGTACGACCAAGAGCCTGTGCTTTGGCCACCCTGAGGAGCTTGCCTATAGGAACAGAGTATCGGTTAGCCACTGGGTCTGTGTAACCACACCTTAGCGTCGAGGAACACTTGGGAAGTTTGCCAGAACCCTTGATTTGGGTATCCCTTGCCCCTTTGGAAGGAAAGAAGGAAAGAAGGAAAATGGCAATGTACCTTGAAACTGGGTGTCCATGCCACTATTGGGGGGCAGTTTGATCTCAAAGACGACATTGGCGGCCCCTTCACCGACCAGCCTGACGGGCTTTGTTCCTTGTGGCAGTAAGCTGACACTGATTAGAGGGTCGCACACGCTGTCGCTGTTGCTGTTGCTGTTGCTCATATCCAACACGGGAGCCGTGTCGCGGCTTCGATCGCGGGTGCTGGCGTCTTGGGATCTGATTCGCACTCGGTCACCGCCATCACCGTCGCGGTCGCAATCGCACTTGTGGTCGCGGCTGCTGTATAAGCTCATGGCCCGCAGCCGGACCATGTCGTCGGAGCTGATTCCCGGGACAGCCTCATCCTCGGAGTCTTCCGCAAGAGAGTCAGCATTGGTTGGAGAGTCTCGGCCAGCATCGGACAAGAAGTCGTCGTCGAAGCAGTCGCCGGCAACGGAGGAGCCGTAGTTGGAGGCAGAGTCGTCGAGGACAAACTGGGGTGGCAGCTGCAAGAAAGCCGGGTCCATGATTGGGACAAATCGTGGGCCCGTCCTGCAGGCCTGCTGCAAGGGCCGCAAGGCGCTGAGTCGGAGGGTGTGGGATGGCGCGCTTCGGGCGGTCTCAGGGAGCACAGAGGCTGGATGGAGAGAGATTGTAGGCTGGGCGCGGTATTCGCAGGGAGATGCTGAGGATATTAGGTACTCGGTACTCCGTAGCCAATAAGACGACCGAGGGCGAGGCAAAGGAGGCGATATTGCCGTCGTTTTTGTCGTGGCTCGTGCTTCGTATATAGGGACCACTCTACTCTATTTCCAGGTCAAATGTTGAATTAAACGGCAAAGAGTGGAGAACTAGAGCGGCGACGGCGTCATTCTTGCGTGGGAGTAGATCCGCGTTCAATCTTATATCTTTGTTCTGCCCGTGGGGAGAGCAAGTCGAGCGAGCGACACGAGGAGATGGTGAAATAATCAAGGAGGAGTTGGCTGATGAGAAAGGGGGAAGGAAGTCGATGGCAGATCGCCTAAAGTTTAAAAAAAGGGATCGAGGAGGTTAAAGCCACCCGCCCGCCATGGCAAGCTTATGGTCTAGTAACTGGCCCGCCATTGACTTTGGATCTTATATCAATACACCGCTATGCTCTTTTGGCGCCCAGCCATGCACATGGAGATATTGGACGAGGAAGCAAGGGAGGCTGGTGGCGTGCGTATTCGTGGTAGGCATACAGTGGCGAGGCCAGCCGGTGATCTGAGCTCTGATTCTGACAACCGTGATCGGGATAATACTGCTAGCAGCATCTGCCCTATAATCGGGACGCCCCTAGCACATATGCACATACATGCAACATTACCGTGAATAACGCTGCTGGGTAGGTATTACTTTGTACGGGCAGTGGTGGCAATGACATCTCCCCTCTTGGCCGCGGCGTTCAAAGAGCCCTCGCTGAATGTGCGGGCGGCTGAGGTCGTATCCATTGACGTGCATCTCCCCTTGGCTCCGCAGCGCACGCTCTACTCTTTCAGGGCTACGGCGGAACCAGGAGCGCGGTGATGGATGCAGCGACTATTGCCCTTTGGCGTTGTTGCTGCCAATCACAGTCCAAAGGTGCTCCAGCTTACACACCCAGGTGGCCTGCAGGGCTGAATCGCTTCTCAGCGGCGGAGGCCTGATGGGCGCTGAAATCCTGCCTATTGACTGTCCTTATGATCCTTATGAACTTCTCGCACGAACTGCTTCCTTGTTCGCTGAGCTGGAGAGCCGGCAGCAGCTGGTACCTCGCTAGCGAATTGGATCGCGAATGTTGTTCCCTGCCTATGTCACGATACTTGAGATGGTGGGCTGATGCTACCACGCACCGCACGCGCAGTAGCGGCTGGGAGGATCACAGCTGGAGCGTGTACGTACTTGTACCCAGCTGGCATGCTATCAGCGATCGGGGTGCGTGACCGTGTACATGTATGCATGTATGACCCGAATGCGGTGCATCACGGGACACAACTGCAGCCTCGAGATAATTTTTGGGACGTTTTCCCATTCCCATCTACCTCTACGGGGTGGTAGTCGCACCTACACACATGCCCACAGACAGTGCAAATATATAACGCCTTGGTGGTCTATCCCATCAATCAAATAGTATTCACCAATCAAGATATGACAACCAATACAGGCGAGCTTTACAGCGCTGGCTAGGCCTCGACGTGTGACGAAATTTTCTTCAAATTATGTAGCCTACCTCCCAAACACCATTAATACGGAGTCCATAGCTGTTGATGATATGCTACAGATTTTAGTGCGGCGGTATGGAAATTCGCACTTAGTTTGAAAGAAAGTGCAACACCACGACCGAGGCGGCTTAAGAGCCACTCTATGCTGCATTGCCCGTGAAGTTCATGAAAATCGCAAGCTCTGCGGCTGCGTTTACAGAATCGACACTGAAATGGACACCCCTTTGCCCCGGATTTACGGTCCCTGTGATGTCATTAGGGGACCTCCAACCACGCAGCCAAAGCTCCCTTGGATTGGACCCCCGCACGGGCAATCACGTCGATATGCAGGACACCGTCCCCATAGAGCCATGGAGTGACCGGCCAGCTCTCTAAGCCGGAGTCGGACATGCGCCAAGATTGTCTGACGATTTTCCATTTGCCTGCCTTGCCGAAGCTACACTCCGCAAACATTTGCCCTTTTTTGGAATCTTCTACGGAGAACTCTTGCTTCCCTTTTCCCCCACTCAGCAATGCAAACTGTGCGGAATACGGGAACACCGGGGATTGCGCATAATTTCGTTCCGAAAAATGCCCTGCGTACTACCGCATATTCTACCAATGTCCTACTTCTTCCGGCTGATATCGTGTTAATGCCGAGTTTGGTCGACCTAGCCGACATTAAGCATCGGTGCTAATATTAGCTTGTTTCGGCTCCTTATGCAGCTTGCAAAACTCAAAAATCGCGTCTTCATGGTATAGCAAGTAGCATCGGGGCTGAATCTGTAACTACCCAGGGATGAGGAGAGAAACATTGAAGCCGTCTCCTCGCATAATGATATGCACCTTGCATGTACTTCATACTTCATAGTTCAGGGAAGTGTTTTGCCACTCAATTCAGATGGTCGCTTCTCCAATGCACCGTAATTTACCTGATACAGAGAGGCTGGAGGCGATTGAAGATGCAGATCGTGGAGCATCCATCTCCCTCTGCGCATTACCACTGCGCACTGGGTACGCGAGCGAAGAAAGCTACTATGTATCTGCAGCAAATACACCTGCAGTCGGGCAACCGATCGATAGGTAGGCTTGGCTGTCAGCTGATGAAGAGTAGCAGAAGAATCGCGACGCGACACATCAGGAGACATGCGCCGGTCACAGTGGTCCAATTCGGCTGACACTGCCGCTGCATCGTCCTGGGGGACTGCAGACACTTAGCCCTGCATATCAATAAGCAAATGTCGCTGCTTATTATTGTAGAGAGCGCTGGATTTGTGATTCTGGCCACGACGAAAAAGGACATCTACACGCGAAAGTGGGCAGATGCAAACCCGGACTCACGATATTTCCACGCAAGCGGCATGGATATGGGAGGCACAGTGCCATCTGCACGGCATTCGTTCGTCACTTTACCACATCGCTATTAGCGGATTTACGGCGGCCAAGCCCGCCTGAAATGCCCCGCCGCTGGACGCTCTAGCGGGTTGTTTCAGCGGCCTGGAGCGCCTACCGTACATCCGTGCGTCCGCGCGATACCGAGCTCCTAGCTGGTGAAAATTTCTGGCGCCCACTTTGCTTCGCTAAGAAAAGAACCGCAGACCTCAGCTCCTCCAACTCTTAATAGCGTCATCTTCCATTGTCTTGCTCCCACCACCTTCTACGCCACCTTGGCTCGCAATCTTCCATCTCAATTCCCTCTTTGCTGCAGCCTATCATCTCGGAGCTTCCAGCAATCATACTCCCTCGCTTCGCCTGCCGAATCGCCGCTCTCGCATCGCTATCAAGATCCATTTCAGAAATCTCAGCTGATCCCTGCTTGCCTGCAAGCCCTCGCACGAATTGATTCCCCCACCCACAGAAAGCTGCGTCTCGCGGCCCTCGACGGCCATCGTCTGGAATCCCATGGTCTCGAGATTATAACTGCCATTTCAACATGGCTTTCAACTTCAACTGGTCGCCTTTAACGGCGGACGCTGAGTTCTATTCGCGCGCACGCGACCTGCTCACAAAGGCCCTAAACAAATCGCCCAAACCTCCCATCATCGTCGATGACATCCTAGTCAGCGAATTCAATCTTGGCACCGTCCCGCCAGACCTCGAAATCCTGGAAATTGGAGACCTGGCAGAAGATCGATTTCGAGGCATTTTCAAGATGTGCTATTCCGGAGACGCCTACTTGACGCTGAAGACGCGGGTTCAGGTACGTTTTCGCAGCTTCTGGCTCTATCCCCGTAATTTTTTTTTTTTTTTTCATGGAGCTTCCTCGCGCCACGCCAAAAAGTACCCGATAATGCCCGAGCCTTTCCTTGACCCGCGCCACCACAACAAGCGCATCTGAATCGCACCGCGAATTTGGATGCTTTGTTTTTGAAGAAAGCAGTCAATTCATCAGAGATGCGACAATGAGCTGGATAAGTGTCTGGCAAGCTGTGCAGTAAGCTTGGGGATATGCCGCTACCGGGATGTGATGCGCCATTGCCGGCACTGCCGTCGATCATTTAGCTCTTTGCGTACATACGCAAAAAAAAAAAAAAAAAAAGCACAGCAGACGCCGTCTCTTTGGGAGCTTCACACCGGCTTAGAATGCTATTTGTCTCCCTGCATGCTCAAGCAGCTCTGGTTTTGATCAGTCTTTCTCAATTTCTTCTCGTTCATGTCGCGCGTGCGGGGGCGACGCAGCATTGCATGGTATGGACCAATAGATGGCTAACACGACGATGCGCAGGCCAATCCCCTCAACACCTATCTCTCCTCTAAGCCGGAATTTACCTCGCCGCAGCCACTGGCAGCAGCCTCGGGCCTCACGATTCCTCTCTCCATTACTCTGTCCGAAATCAAGCTCTCGGCGTTTATTATCCTTGTCTTCTCGAAACAAAAAGGCTTAACCCTGGTGTTTCGCAATGACCCACTCGAGTCTCTCAAGGTCTCTTCGACCTTTGATTCGATCCAGTTCGTGCGGGACTATCTGCAACGGACCATTGAGCAGCAGCTGCGGAATCTGATGATGGATGAGCTGCCAGCTATTATTCATCGACTGTCCCTGCAATTGTGGTGTCCAGATCAGGCCAATAAGGGCGTGGAAACCCCCAAAGAGGAGACAGACGAGGAGGGGGTCAACCCGCTATCAAGCCCACCTTTGGACCCTGTCGATGCCAATGGCAACGTGCTTGACCCAAGTGCCATTTCGGAAATCTCTCTGAATGGCGGGGGCGAGATGCAGTCTCTATTCTCCCAGAAAAATCTGTTACGCCTCGCTGCGCTGACAGATTCGCACCGGACTTTGTCTCTATTCACACCTGGCATACGAGACGTTGTATTTCGAGCTTGGTCAGGTTGCGCCGACCGTGCTGATCCTGCTACGCCATCTATTTCATCTCCTAACCGAGTCCGGACGAATTCACATGCTGGCGGCACGAGTACCACCTACACATTCTCCGATACGGCAAGCACCTTGCACGGCTCAATATCGTCGCGGCCTTCTTTTGCAAGCGTCAATGCCTCCACGGGCTTAGGCGTCGGTAGCAACGTCCGATCAAGAACGGGTCGCAAAAAGAAGAACCGAGTGGTCAACCTCCGAAAGACCAAATCTGAGGCGGTCACTCCAGACAGCCAGTCCGAAGCCGGGACCAATACACCCAACTCAATCAACATTCCTCTCTCGGAGCCCATTATGGACATACCAGAAGAGGAGGAGCTACAGCTACATGATGATCCATTTACCAGCGATCCCTTCAACCCCCAGACGCTCATGTCTGATATCGGGGACAACACACTTACTTTAGAAGAACTCACCTCCGCCCTGAAAGACCTGAAGATGCTGGCCGACGCCACGGCAAACAGCCGTAAGACGACCCCCGAGAAAGGTAGCCCTCGCGAGACGCCGAGTGCCAAGGGCCAATTATCGCCTGATCCACTGGACCAGGACTGGGTCATGAAAATGGCGAGCGAAATCGCACGCCGTGTCTATGACGAAAAGCGGTCTCAGCAACGGGGCAAATGGGATGAGTCGGAGGATGCCCCACCTCCGGCATACGAGGCATCGCCGCAGTCGCCGTGCCATTAGACAGCAATTTTGAATCGAGCTGAATCAGGGCATGGAAAGACGCGAGCATGGCAATCTCCTATGCTCTATTGTTCGCCCTTTACAAAGCTTTCTTTTACCTCGCCTCCACTTTACGGACAGAGAAGAACTTTTTCCTTTGTTACTTTTTTTTTTTTTTTGTTTGGCAGCATTGTGCTGATTTCACTAAAGTATGAGCATGTATACGCATTTGCAATTGTATATGCACGTACAGGCATCAAACATTTGGGTATGTTTTACCTTGGCGTTATATGGAAGGAGGGGCAATAGGGAATGCATGGCACGCATCACAAGTAACGTACACACGGGACAAAGAGGGCAGGCAGGAAAATCAAAAAGCAGAAGCAGCAGAAAGCAAGAAGAAAGCAAAAAAAGATTGGCTGGGGCTAAAAACCGGGTGGGGTCTCAAGGACGGTGGTGTTTCTTTTTTGGTTGCATGATTTGATACCCGGATATGCACTTTTAAACAAGACGATTGTGTCCAGTAAAAAGTGTTTTATTTCCATGTTTTTTGAATGGCTTGCCTTTGCCTTTTTTTATGGAGCCGTCTGCAAGCAGACGTGTACGATGGGATGCGTGCCTCTTTCATAAATTTTCCTTTCTTGTTTTTTCTTTCTCTTCGATTCGCTTCGTTGGCTAGCCACGCCAACCACCCACCAACCCTATTATGGCTGGCCGCCCCGGGCGTGTGTTGAAGTAATACGTCAGAATTTGGGATCTCCAGCCCGGGATTTTTATTGCCATTGTGGGGGAAGATGGGGGGCGTGTCCTTTTATGGTGTTGGTGTTTATTTGCATACCGGAGGAAGGGTTCATGCCACCTCTACGGCTTGCTTTCTCATTTTTCTGTTTGAGCGTTGAGCGTTCGCAAGGCATTGTATTATTAGACATGTCTTCCCTATGTCTCTTTTTCCTTTTTTTCCTTTTTTCTTTGGGTGTTTTCAGGCACGAGGGTTTACGTGCTGTGTATTAGTACCAAACAAAACCAAAAAAGACTGTATACTACTATTATTAATGGGGCTACGGGACCTGGATCGAGGATCGAAATACACTAAGACAGACAAAACTCCAATCTGCAGAGAATTACAATATAAATGAAGCTTGAAGCTTGACTATTCTTGGCCACCTTTCCCTATCTTTCTCTCCACGCACATATAAGTCGATAATGATGCTTGTATCAGGCTTTCACCGCAATTCTACGCAAAGAAGGTGCACATTTACACATGTAGGGGGAGAGAATATCGATGGTTTAGGTCCACATGACCAGATTTGATGCCAAGGAGGGGTAGATTGGTTTAGTTATGTCAAACACTTATATCTCTCATATATAAGTGATAGTAGTGGTGGGCAATACCCTAAGTTTATGCAGCTACTGCTACCGCAAAATAAAGCAGTGGGGAAGCATGTGTCATCATCATCCAACCATCTGATGTTATTTCTTTTTTTCTCCGTCGGAGACATGCCTTGTGGTAGCAGCACTGATGAGTGCCCCTCGATTCCACTGCCTAACCCCTTCCTCGTACCCCTCTTCTCCAAACTCATCGTAGCACAAACACAGATGATCGAGGGGTTAAAGAGATCCGTAGACTCCCACCTCTCATGAAGCCCAAGATTGGCTGAGCGCCCAAAGCGACAGCCAATGATCGTCCAGAAGTGATGTGGTGTCAAATGCTCTGCCAAATATGGCAAGGATTCAGACTGACAACAGCGTCTGAAACATGGCTCTTGGCTCGTTCGGCCCCCTCTCTCAAATTCATGCAGCCATTTGCTGCGGCCTGCGGCATAAGTTTGCTCGCCGCCAAGATCTGCTCATTTGTTTCTTTTTAAAAAATAAACAAGTAGATATGTAGTAGTTTTTGAAAAAAAGTGGCTCAGCGATGTGTTGGCAGCCGCTGAACCAACGAATCCAAGCTCAGAGACAAGCTGAAACAAGTACGCTTCTGATGATGGCATCCTGCTTGAATCACAGACAGGCCACGCCGTTAATCTTCCGTGTGGAGGATAAGGAGCAGGGTTCTGGCCCAGGGCTGCATGTGCATAATGCTCTTTTCTTCTTTGCTCTTCCACGGACGTGCTCTTCGGCTTCGGTCGGAGGGAGATGATTCATGAAAGCCGGCGAGGACGCTTCTTGCGTGAGCTTCGCGCCGGCCGCGGCGATGATGGCGTTCCTCCTTTCTACGAAGGTTTCACCGCTGCCGCGTTTTCTGCTTTGAGCTTGGCCAGCTGCTCTTCCTTCTTCTTCAGCTCAGCCAGAAGCTGCTTAGCCATCTGGTCAGTCTTTAGCTGCGCATCCGAAAGCTTCTTGACTTCGGCGGCCTCCGTCTCCCGACTGAACGGCTGGCCAGGCCGATTTGCACTGGGTATCATGGCCGTTCGCTCCCAAACATCGCCGCTGTCCGGCGCGGGGAGTGGGGGCTGTGCGCGGTTCTTTCCCTTGCCCTTGCCTCCTTTGGCTCCTGCGGCCGGTTTCCATCCCTTGGGCACGGCGCCAGTCGTCAAGATCTGGTAAAATGCTTCGTACGGCTCATTGAACAATTGCTCTTCATAGCTCCAAGCCCGAACCTCGCCATTGGCCGCCACCATGGCCTGCTTTTCCTCTTCGGTTCTACCGTACGGATGGAGGCGTAGATAGTGGTATAGAGTCTGAGGCTTCTCGCCCGAGTCGTTAACGTAGTACAGCTTGACTGTGATGTCAAACTCTCCCCATCCTGTCTCGTTGACGACGAATGGCTTGCCTGGTTCTCCTTCTACCACTATTAAACGGTTAGACTAGGTCGCAATGTTCGCGAGACGTAAAGAATAAAGAAGCAGAGGGAAAGAGGGCGCAAGAGCTTACTTCGAACATAATTCGGGATAGACTCGTGTAACTTAAACTGCACGCGCCGCAACCAATACGTAATATCCGTATCCTCCATGCCCCGTACAAAAACCTGCCATGAATGCGTGTGGTTATCAGGCGTCCCCGGCGGTCTTGGGTTCGAGTCTGAGAACGGAAGCGCCGTGCTGCCGATGACAAAAGGCCGTCGGATTTGCGTCAGCTTAACACGCTTTCCGAATTGGTTTGACGGCGCCATCGTTTTGGTTTTGCAGCGTTGAAACGCGGTTGCGAATGCGATCGAGCTTTGCGCGTCGATGGTGGGGAAAAAAGTAAAAGAGCCAAAAGTTGAAGAGACGCACTTAACTTGCGCAGCCTTGCAGATATGTCATCGGTCCCACTATTCCTGCAGCCAATTACATCCGCCGATTGCCGAGCTTCAGCAGTAGAGTTCCTCAGCCTTATAGGTGCTAAGCTCTTAGCTACGTGATGATTTCATCGACTCTCCGCATGGCCTGATTTTACCAGAGAACTTACAATCTTTCAAATTCCCGTCAAACCATCGAATAAGCTTCAATAAGACTCATTCATCAACCCAATTGTTTATATCTTATACTAAGTCTACCATTACCATCTCATAGAGGGCCGACACAGCTCATTCGCTCAAGCTTACGGTAGCCATGTCAGCCGCAGCCAAGAAGCTTATAGTCTGTGGAGGCAATGGCTTCTTAGGGTCCCGGATCTGCAAATATGCCGTAGCTAGAGGTTGGGACGTAACATCAGTCAGGTATGTGAGCTACGTATTATACCTCATCTCGTTGTCTGTAGCACAAATACATACATCACAACGCCATCGTAAATGAGATCACAATTGCTCACATAGACTCTTCGCATAAAAAAAAGTCGCTCAGGTGAGCCACGATGGGAAAACGTCACCTCCACTGCAACTCCTCCGCCATGGGCTCACAAGGTCTCATGGGAGCGAGCCAACATTCTTGAGCCTTCAACTTATGCGCCCCTACTCAAGGGCTCCGACTACGTTGTTCACAGCATGGGTATTCTGTTAGAGGCAGACTACAAGGGAGTCGTCTCTGGCCGAGAATCTCCCATCGCAGGACTTCAGAAAGCATTTGCTTCAGTTCGAGATCGAGGTGTCGACCCCATCCACAGCCAGCCTGGAGAGAGCATTAAGCCCTCCAATATCAAGGATCAGCTGTCGTATGAAGTCATGAATAGGGACAGCGCAATTTCACTCGCTAAACATGCCGCTGCCGAGAACACCGGCGCCTTTTGCTTCATCTCTGCCGCGGCTGGAGCGCCGGTTCTCCCTCATCGATACATTTCTACCAAGAGAGAGGCCGAAGCTGCTATAACGAGCAACTTTCCCCAGATGCGCGGCATTTACATGCGGCCACCTTTCATGTATGACAGTTCGCGAAAGATTACAATGGGAATCGCTGCAGCAGCCGGTGCCGCTTCCTTTTTCAACAGTCTAACAGGCAACGTCCTGAAAAACTTCATGGGGGCAGCTGGGACAAAGCCCCTTCAAGTGGATACAGTTGCAGAAGCTGTAGTCGAGGCGCTCGCGGATGAGACGATAAAGGGCCCCGTGGAGATTGGGCAGATCGAGGAGCTTGCGTCCAAGGGGTGGAGGAAGACAATGTTGTAAATTAAAGTTCATGTATTATCAAAAGCAAAACGCTGTATATCTATATGTGCAAACTCAATTCCGAAAAGAAACAAACGCTCCTCATATATCCAAATCCCATTGCCCGTTTCCCTCTTGAAATTATCCAATTAACACCTTATATCATTGTTCCACGCTCAAAGCTGTCCCTGATTTCAGCAGTATATTTGTTGTAGAAACGTGATAGTTTCTGGTTGAATTGTTTGTTCTTCTCATTGATGTATGTGACATCTCCGTCGTCGCCATTCTGCGCCATCCGCTCCTTTCTTTTCTTGAGACGAACATCTTCTGCGCGCTGAAGATCCTTGACTAGGCGGTCAATAGCCTCTTTGTCAGGTTTATTTTGAATAAATGATGTCGAGTCCGCTGTTGAGTAGAATGTGCCGTCTTTATCCACGGCGATGAGCTCGCCGTCTTCTGTTTCGACGATATCTAAACCGCCGGAAGCTGCAGCCTTTTCGATGGCGGCCATCTTCTGCTTTTCGTATTTCTCCAGATCAGGATTGATATTGCGAAGCTGCCTTTTATATGATTTGTTGGCTTCATGGTGATAGTCTTGGAAGGCGTTGTTATCGCGGTGCGCTGCCTTCTTCTTTATGCGCTTATCCCACTTTTCGCTCTCGTCCACAGTCCAGTCCCAGGCCCGTTTGCGCTCGAAGTCCTCTCCAGCCTCCTCGGTATCCGCCTTCAATAGTTTATGGGATGCGATTGCGTGTCTCCGATGCAGAGCAGTGAGTTCGCTAGGATTCGTGGAGAGGCGTTGTGATTCCAGGCTTGCTTCTTTGAAGTTGGTCTCTGAAGATTTCTTGGCGCGAGCCTGAAGAGCTTTGAATCTAGCCATGCGGTCGCTGGCTTTGGATGGAGCATCGAGCTTGGGTTCTTCTGCAGCATCTTGCTTGGGTTCTTCGGACGACATTGTTGCGCAAGTCGAATGTCTGACGGCTGTGAAATCGTATTTAATCTATCGCTAACTTGGGGCAGAGTAGCAGATTCATATGCACAGAATTGCGAAGCAGTGGAATAAGGTTTAACAGCAGTAATAGTTTGGTACTGTCCACGTGATTAAGGCCGTGCTACTTCAGCTAAGCCTCTAAGTTTAGTAGGTATTCGACAGGCGAGCTTATATCCCAAGAAGACGTTGACAATGATGCGCCTTGAGATATATAGATTCTTTCGAGATGGCAGAAGAAAATCTCTGCCTTGATCTGACTTATTAAATGTGAACTGAGTATTTCGTGGTTTTAAGGCTACGGTAAAGATGCTTCATTCTTATACCACGGGCTACGTAATATTCTTCTGCTCGCACTGTATCCCTCGCATGCTCTCCCAAGCGGTTCAACGGAACAAGTAAATTTTTGATTTAGGTGGCTGCGGTATGATATCCTGTATATTGTAATTCGTAAACAACACTAAGTGTATTCGTAGATTATATATGATTTTTAGTACATAGTATAAATGCTGTTTGAGATCTTTTTTTTTTGTTTTTCCCCCAAGTCTCGTAGCTCTTTTTAGACTAAGTTGCAACATTCTGCCGTGCTATTTACTAGCAGAAGCCACTCACCGCCTTCTTAACTAAGCAATTGTTTTTGTAAGTGGAAGCAATAGAAGCAGTAGACGCCTTCGCAATGATGGTTTTTGAAGTACCCATATATGGTGAGAGGTTGCGTAATAACTACTATCTGCAGAGTAGTAGAGTTATGTGCTGGTGGTTATAGCAGCCCGTCCTCGCCCTCATGCTCTCTACATGACAAACTGCCCTACAATATTAGCCATAATTGTGATGAGAAGCTATGGTAGCCAAAACAATAAGAATGGTAATTTACATACGCTGAATATTCTGTGTCTTTCTTATTCTCTAATTTGAATGATCCTGAATATTCGAGTTACTACATGAAATGCAAAGTCTGTGTGAGGTGCTACAGCCTCAAGGGAAAAAAACAAAATACTACAGTGAAAGAACAGCACGCTAAGTTAGTTGGGAGATCCAGCGGGGGTCCACTGAACATTAGCGGAATCTGGGGTAAAATAGGTACCTCGGAGACGCTGTAATTAGGCTCGCGTGAGCAGTACACATATGTACCGTTCTCCTAGGCAAGCGATGCAACCATATTTTGCTCACGTTGCAAATTGCTCAGGGAAGCAGAAAAGGAGCCGTGAATGCTGAATCCAGGCATATGGATCAGCCACACCCATTGTACCTTCGCTCAGGATGATAGGCTCAAGATCGCCCTGGAGGCTTCGGCTCACAAGCTCGTCTCATCGCTTTGTGGCGCACAACCAGAGGCGTTCCAAGGCTTTCGTGCGGAGAATCGACAAGAACAACGAGGTCTATTACACAATATCCAACAAGCGGCCACCAAAGTCTCCAGACTCAATTTCTGTTCGAGATGATTTCTTTGAGATGCCAGATCTACTCCTGGATCTCGATGCCGAGGACAGCCGGTTTGTTCGTCCGGTAGACGAAGCTGATGATCTACGTTTGGAGAGGAAGTGGGACGTTAATCCAAAACGACTTGCCGTTCAGGACCAGTTGAAAGAGCTGCAAGCGCAAATTTCAGAGTCACGGCGCAAGGCTGATGATATCTTGTCGAACCCAACTAATATCTGGAGGCTCAGTCCACACGACATTCTATCAGCAGCTCTTCGCGGCACACCTACCGTCGTCGACGAGATTCATCCACCTGTGATGACTCCGGAAGCCTCCCGTGATTCCAGGGAACTCGCCTTGGGACAGGATTCTAGACTAATTGAGACCCTCTGTCGAGAAAACGGAATCCCCTCGCATGCACTACAAGATAACCGGGTCCTTCTGGAGTGGATGTGGCTACGATATAAAAACCTCAGGCGCTCCATGGAGAACCGAAGCGAAGAGCCATTATCGCCAGCTCAGCTATCAGATGCTCTGAAAGACCAGACATCTATCGTTGGTATTCGTCGGCTTGTGATTCATTCTCTAAAATCAGTTGAGGTAGCCAAGACATATTTTCCGAGACAAAGGGGGACAGACAATGGGCCGGATGTCTCTCATGAAATACGCAACGCCTGTTTAAGGGTCCTGAGTCAGCATCCAGAGAAGGGGGCTGCACATCTGGAAATTCTGGCTTTCGTCGGAAATCTAACCGCAAGACTATCAGGCAATAATAGGTCTCCGTTAACTGGACTGGCTTTACGGCTATCAGCCGAAGCAGGAGTTGTGGGAGCGATATCTGAATGGCTACGTCGTGGATTTGCTGATAATACGTGGGAGCGATATCATGCGTCATCGACGGATGTGGCAGAAACACTCAAGACGCTCATTCAGCAACTGAGCAGTGGTCTATACGCCATTCATGACCGACAGTTACTATTTCAGTTGCTAACTGGGATTGAACATGACTCCCTCTTGAATGAGTCTTTCCGTTCTCTTCCTTTATACTATCTTGGAGAGCAGAGCAAAGTCTCCACAGACGAAGCATACGACATGTATGCTTCGTACATCATGCTTCTGGGTCACTTAGGAGCTGTAAGAACTCTGTGGAAGGAATGGTATGCTTCGAAGCCCGTCGTGACGCGTTTCTTAAAACCAGATGACAACGCTCAAAGACTTGAAGCTTTGTATGAGGCATCGTTACGCAGCGCTCTTCATGTGGCGGCGCCCATGGACACACAGGGCTTTCCCGACATGGAGTTGAATGAATGTGTGGCGCTGGATTATCACTCAATAGGAGCACAGGATACCGCTTCATGGTTTGCCAGCGGTGCAGAAACAGTCATGCCGAATGAGTCTCTGGAACTGCCGCCTTTCAATCTACCTCTTGATGAGTGGGCTACGAGAATCTACCACATTCTTCGCCAAAATCCTTTGTCAGCTCAGTGATCAGCTACAAACATCAATATGGTCGTTCATATCACTACCAAGAAGCTGGCATATGCCATTTCCCATTGATTGGGGCAAATCTTGTTGCTCCTACCAAGGGCAGCGAATGGCTTCAAGAAACAAGACAGGCGACGACACCATACAGGCACCTCGGATACAATTAAACCACAGCTCATGAAACATGGCTTGTTCCAGAAGCAAAGTTTAACCGTTGGAATGCAGAATACTGGAACATACAATGACGACAACATCTAACATCTACATGGAATTGAGGCGCTCCGATCTCGGTCAGGGGAGACAAACTCAAATATATTACAAGAGAAAGGCAATGGGCGCCACCACCCCCTTATCGCAACGTACCTACTTATCTTTCGTATCATTCTTATCTAAGATACCGTTTAAATGTTTAGCCAGTTTCCAACTAGTATCAGAAGCATGCTCGGCATCTATTCTTATCGGAAAGCTTCTTGTCGGCACTTGTACATAGAATCTAGATAGATTGTATAGTATACGGGCAGGGTTATCAATACAGTTGGGATTCTAGAAACGCACGTTTACACCCCTTTCTCTTCCTTGATTAATAGGAGAGGATACCGAGCCCCCGTGCTGGCAATTGCTACCCACCACGGTGGGTATCGCCGGCTTCTAATCTCCTCATCGACTCAATGCTAGAAGCATTCTTTTCGATCCGGATGCCCGGTTGGCCATATAATTTGTGCGACCTAATTTTTTCTTCGTTTGGTGAAAAAAGCCCTGAATCGTTAACCCTAATCTATTTTAAACTCGCTCAGGTACCGCATAGACAAGGAGACGGCGCATAAATTGATACACGTGTGTGACAAGTACCTAGTAGCAGCAGCATGGCATGTCCACCAAAAGAACAGGGCGCATAGATAGCCAGCATGCAATCTGGATCTGATGCTTGTTCAGGAGAAGGCAAAATTTATGCCGCGACGCTTGCTAGCAGCGAGCATTACTCGTGTGCGGACAAGCAGCATTCATTACCACTTATCCCAACGGGGCTGGCAGCGTCCGGACCGATCCCGCGCAGATCCATACGGCGGGGATGTTCCCCAAACTAGACCCTTTCCGTTAAGATTAACCATTTCTTCTTCCCTGTTGTTCTGGACAATAGAGCTTGTTTGCATGGGAGTCCAAAATAGGAGTCCGAGATGTTCGCCATAATTGAGATGTATGAGCACAGTACACAAGACAAGCGATATTTCTCTGGTATTCTAGAAGGAAAAAGCAGTACCCCCGCTTGTATGAGGCAGCTCGCTTGGGCTTGTATGGGAAACATCTCCGGGGATGGGAATCTGGCCGACTCCACAGAACAACTCCCGCCAAGGCAATAGACTTCAATTAGCAGCAGCTGGGCGGAAGATGCTAACTAGAGCACAAAGTACAGTACAAGTAGGTATCAAGCCCCCTTCCGAGCCCGATTGAATGGTATGGTATGGCATGCATGACACGTACAAGATTTAGGCAAGCAAGGAGACGGCAGCTGTATAACAGGCGGGTTACGACTAAGCAGGCTGTCAACCTGAGAAGCATCACTCTGTGTGAGACACACATGCTACAGCACTACAGCACGGCAGTGGCAGCATGCGCATAACAGACTAACAAGAATGCACGGACACGCTTCCGATGGCCTCAGCCCGCACGGCTTTTGCATCAGCTTTGCTTCGAGGCCCAAAGTCAAGATGCGGGGTGGCATCTGGTTAGGATCAAGTGGATCGACGGGTAATGAGATGCTGCCACCGCTTCTTCTCGTTCGTTTCATTTTGCCCTTTGAAGCAGTAGTTGGTACATGCCAACCCCGTCCGGCTGCTACTGTATACCGGACGAAGCCAAACCAACAATGGAGAGTTGGGACGCAATGCAGAACGTTGTTTTCGCCATCAATTGCGTGTGATGTCTTGATTGGCAGAACTCTGCCCGGCATCCCTGTCAAAAGGCCAGGCAGAGACACAATTGGCGGTGTTGGAAAACTGGTATAAATACATACATGCAAAATGCCATGGCAATGCCTCCATACGGCCGTCAAGACGGAGACTCTGGACGGTCTGGCGGTATGCCGGTAGAAACGGGCAGCTTCGCCTGTGCAGATTCTCCATAGCAATGGCACTCCAGATGGAGTCGAGCCCGCCCAGCAGGATCCCTGCTCACGACAGCATTCGAGAATACGATGAGCCACTGTCAAGGGGCTCGCCATCGTGTCCGTTTTCCCATTGGAATCTCCTGATACAGGGTCTGGTGGAATGATTGAGGAACGGACGATAGAATTGGCCAATACGGACCCTGATGGCGAGGGGTGTGGGGAAAAAAAAAGAAAAAGAAATTTTCTTGGATATAGGTATTCTCCACATAAAAGCAAAGGAAAGAGTCTGCGGCTACTAGAGGCAGATGAGATTGCTGGTGTGGGATTTTGCCATGTTGCTAACTTTTCGTCTTCTCTCGTAATTTCTCATTTGAGGCAAGATCCAGTCAGCTGAACGTAGGTTATTTTCTTCATTTTTGCTTTTCGCTGCTGTGGGTGGGCCAAAGTAGCGAAATCCGCCCATGGCTTCTTGGCTCTTTTTGCTCCCCCATTCCCGCGGGCCTGGAGTCTGGAGAACGAGTCGCTCCAGCTCGGCGCCGAATATGGCCAGAACCGAATAAGCCGCCAGCCGTGAGTGGGTAGCGCCGGGCAGCTAAACCAGGATCCAAGAGGGGGCAGACGGCGAAAAGACAGCGCTTGAGACAGCAGCTCCTGGTCCCTTGTGGAGAGCAGCGAGCCATGGTCGACGGACCAAGTCGAGCACCATGATGGCCTCGATCCAGGAGAAAACAGCACTTGGGGCTATTCGGGCGTAGACCCAGGCACAAAAAAGTAAAACCTATCGGGGGCGGATGGCGCAAGAGCCAATTCCTCGTCTTACCAGCGGGATTCGGATGCTGTCGTGTCAGCCCTAAGTGGGATAATTTGCCTTTTCGCTGTCTGACAGGCAGAACGCCAAGCGGCATCAAAGCTAAGAATTGAACGCTGAGATGCGCCTTGGGCATGGCGGCATTGACGGGAGAGGGACAGAGCTCCGCGCCATGCAGTCTATCTTAGCATCAATGGATTTTTATAGAGCTAGCAATGGGGACAAGGGTCGGGCCAAAGCCTTGAGCATCCGGGGTTGGTTGAAGAGAAGGGTTTTGTGGCAGGCCTACAAGTATGTCCATACTATGTCCATAGTATATGCAACTTGGGGGTTAGTAGTGGCCAAAATCCCCCACCTAGCGAGTCAAGACTCTGGATTGAAGAGCAGCAATAGAGCACGTGTGGCACGTGAAACACTGAATTCTTGCTGCTATAGACTAATGTAGCAGTAGAACCATGGGCCAAGAGCAGTCCATCTGTTAATTGGCATACCTAGAAGCTAGCGGACAATAGTAGTGGCACGGCGAGGGATTGTTTGCGGTTTCGAAGCGAATCACGTTCGTGGAGCTGCATGCCAGGAATCCTGCATCAGTGCAGCTCGGCTAATGCTCCTTGTGCACTATCCAGCCAAGACCACCACTTGCTGTAAACGAACAGCCACTGCAGGCGAGAAAACGGAGGTGGAAAAAGAGGATTTGGGGGCGTTTGTCAGGGGTGGGTGATGGATAATACTGTACTGTACTGCAGATACGGAGCACAAAACGGGGTACAAGGCCCTGCATCGAATGTGCAAGCAAGGTCTCGTACGAGTGCTCGTGCCAGGACAGGATTGTTCGTTTGTTGGGAAAAGTCAATCGAGCAATGCGTGAACAGCCGATGCGAAGGCAGAAAAGAGGAGAATTGCGAAAGTACCTGCGCAAATGAGTCGGAATCCGTGAGCCGCGAGGCTCGGAGTACGAAATACGCAGTAGTATTGTTGAGGCTATGAGGCAGGATTTTTTACGGTTACAGTGCATCTGCGTCATTGGACATCAAGGTTAGATGGCGGGCTTTGGACGGACGGAAAAAAACACCGTGATGGACTCTCAATATGCCATCTTTTTGTTGCTATTCCTGTCCATTCGTGTCTGCTAGACGGACACCCAAAACTCAACCTGTGAACTGTTGAGTGCTTCACGAGACTAAAAACTGCGGATTACGAATTGCAGATGGTGAAAAAATTCTATCATGCCGCTTCTCGCATCACAGTTGCGTAATCCAGTGTTGCGACAAAGTAAACCCCGTGGCCCCGAGGCCTCGGACGCCGCCCACGCTGATTGGATCGTGGCGGTGGAAATAGCGGTTTGCCGTGCTGGTTAGCAGCGTTTGGGCCTGGAAACGTGCTCGCTGGACTGGATGACTGTGCAGGCCCAGCACTGGAGCCCATTTTTTGCGTCGTCGCCTGTACCGTCAGCTGGCGCCGTTTGTTCCGCCCAGCCAGCCCCAGAAAATATTCACGAAAAAAAAAAC